CACCAATTAAGGCAGGGCTGATAGGTCCTGACATTTCCCCTGGAGAGAACATGAATCCGTTGGGAAATTGATCTGCATCAAATATGGAGGGTTTGGATCCTGTGGGATTGATGGGTTTATAAGGGAGAGTGTCAAAGGCAGAGTAGCTGGCATTAGAAGCTTGTTGCAAGTCATTGTTGCTCCAAAACTGGATGGATGATCCTATGTCAGTCGTGCACGACATGTTCTCTGAGCTGAACTGAGTGCAGTGTGCACCTTGATTGAGTAAACCAGATGCTGCTGTAGGTTCCGGGAATGGAGACCCCCAAGAGTGAGAAAGAGCTCTCTGTGCCATGGAGTTTGTCTTCTTGAAAATCCTGCAAATTGCCCATGCATCCTGTACAAAACGATGTGTTGAATAAAACCCAAAACACAGCTTTAAAACAAAGAGAAAGGGAAAAAATAACCAAGACTTACATTTGCAGGAAGGCTTTTATCCAAGAGCTTTTTTGGTGGTGGTGCCGACTCTGAGAGAGAAGGTAACCGAAATTCATGCATCATCCAGTCAGTTTTGATCCCCTTAGCAGCTCTGCCTCTGTAGAACACAAGGGACTTCTTCAAACCTATGCACTTGGAGCCTTCAGAAGAATAAATAGGCCTGTCTGTTCCAGTTGCTTTCCAAAACCCAGCTCCTGTGACTCGATTAGGCCTAGCACTGTTCCTGTATTTCCTGTCTCTTGGGCAGTAGAAGTACCATTCTTTCTCCCCAGTACTTGCCAGCTCTGCTTGCACATATCAAGTACAACTTGCAAGTTCAGTAACAAGAACTAAAACATGAAAAATAAATATGAAATCATCATATACATGAAAAAGAGAAAAAATTCATGTTGCTGGGTGGCTAGAGTTAAAAATCAGACAGAAAATTTCATGTTGCAACCAAAACCCCAACATGAAAACAGGTTAAGAATAAAAGGATTAGAGCCATTTCTGAAGAAAGCATGAATAAGAGACAAGCTATCTTACTTGGAAGATCCCAGGGATCATATTTGTAAATGTCAACTTGCTTAATCAACTCAATGGGGAGAAGCCTCTGCTGAATTTTTCTCCTGAGGTAAAACCCAACAAGCTCCTCATCAGTGGGATGAAAACGAAAGCCAGGCAACATCACATCATCAATCTTGTCCATGTCATTCTTCTCATCCATATTTCTCTTCCTTCTCTAAAGGTGCAAAAGACAGCTTGGGATGCTTAAAAGTATTTCGGAAAAGAAACCAGACCCTTGAGAAATAATCTCTTAAGCTTTGAAGCTGGTCTGGTTCTTTAGAATGAGCTCACAGTAATATTTAGTTCACTGCATCCAAAGCTATCATCTCATGTGCCACCTGAGAAGGGGTCTGGTTCCGAAGCTTCGGCCGCCCTTTCAGGGTGACTATGGAGGAGAGTACGTTTGCACGAAAATCAGTATGACTTGGTAAGCAGAAGCTGAGAGCCTCAAAGTCTTTTAAACAACAGCTACCAAGAAGTGAATGGGATTTTATTGAATTATAAGTTGTTGTGCTTCTTGAACTGCATGAGGGGGTTATTTAAATCCAAATTAAGGATCTCAAAGAGTCTACAAATTCAGCAAGTTTTTGGAGTTTTAAAATACCGAGTTGCTTTCACACATGCATCCTCATGTTCAGCTTATAGAAACCACCCTATTTATCTTCAAACGACCAAATGCAAACTGACAAAACACAGGTTCCTTGTCATAATATTATATTAACCTCTTAAATAATCTTTGCTTGAATTGTTTTTTTGCTAACCATGTAGGATGAACCAACTTTCAATACAAAAGGCTCAAAATTAAGAGTCAATCTAAGAGATATCTATGCACACACACAAAAAAAAAGGAAATTCCTCTGAGACCCTTCTGATTTGTGAGGGAAATAGAAATATTTCTGGCATCCCTGGATCCAAAAATGCCATTTCTGTTCCATTATTCTAAGACCTTCCATTCCCTCATATGAAAACGTGACATGTCAGTTGATATTTTAATCTTAAGATATTCCAAAACCAGTGATTAAGTATACTAATTGGGGTAGCTGAAGCATACCAACCTCTTTTATATTGGTCTACTTGGCTTCAACCTGTAGAATAAGCCACCATGCAAAATAAACCACCGGACTAATCTTTAATTACACACTTGGTCACTCACTGATATAACCCAACAATAAGAAGGCAAGAAGGGATGATGGTAAATTGGTAAAATGAAGAAACTAATATATTTTGCTAAATTACCAGTGCATCCAGAAATTACAAGAATATGGTAGCTGCATTTGCTGCAGTGATGACAAGGTTAGGCAAACAGTGCGCTGTTTGAGCTAAAATTGTTTTTTGGACAGCTTTATTTAGGGTAAATTCAGACTGTTCACCAAACTGTAACAAAGAGCAGTTCAACTACTTGAGTTCATAATTTGACTAGTGATGTCATCTGACCCTTAGAGTTGCAGACATGTAACAAATTATGAACAAACAAAAACAAAAGGTTGAAAAATCATGTCTTCAAAAGCAGAAAAACTTGTCTCAAACGGGGATATCATTATTTTGCTATCTCGGCCAATCACGGTATACCAAGTGAGCATACAGTGATTGGCCGAGGATAACATGATATCCCCATTCCACACAAGTTTTTTCGTTGTTGTAGATTTCTTTATTTATTTTTTTTTGTTTTTTGTTTTTAAATTTGTGTGTTCAACTTTAAAAGATATAAACCATGTTTAATATTTCAACCTTTTCTGTTTGGTTTGATATCCATTCATATTGAAACAATGAAAAGATCTGCCTTAATTTTGTCAAGGCTTGCCATTAGTTAATAAGAACTAGGAAGGCACAGGTCAAACCCCTTGATTTCACGAACATTGGAATCCAAAAGTCCTAATTCCCACAGCCCAAAAAGAAAAGAAAAATCTTTTTGGTACTTCCAGACACCAGTTTTTGAGATGCTGCATTTCTTCCAAAGAATTGAGACTTGGGTTTCCTCAAAAACTCATGCTAGTCCACTGAGATGCTACAAGAGATAGCTGCTCATGTCAACAAGAGAGAGCCACTAGCATTAATCTTGTCTCTAAACAAGTTTAATTAAGATAACTAAATTCACTGTGTTTGGATTTAATAAACTAATTGTCGGTTGCTGAAGTTTGCTAACCATGTCTGCTACATAAATGGCAAGCCATGAAGCATCAATTAATTTATTTAATAGGTGAAGAAAGAACCCTTTTTGGTCAAATTAATATGGCCAAATGGAGACTCAAATTTTAGTGAATTTCCCCAGATACTAGATCCTCGTTTGCAACCCTTGTTGTCTGTTCCTTGACCTTGGAATTTGAAACCCATGCGTGCAACCTAAGTTGAAAGTTGGATCAAACTCTTCCAACCCAAGTTTTCTAACCTCTGCAAACATCAACCATCTAAACACAACTATGTTCCCTACGAGTACGAGACAAATCCACCATCAATGTTATTGACTAATATTGCATGGTTTCTGAATTTTAATGCAAATTATAATATTGGTTTTTCCTTTTTCCTTTTTTTTTTGGGTTGAGAAAACGATATTCTAAACTACTGTAATGTAAATTAAAGAGGAACGAACTTGACCAACTAGCCTAATTCATATCTGCAAATTTTGGTTTTTCTTAACCACTTCAAATTCCAAGCTAACTTGAATTATCATTTTAATGCTTCAACCCATGCACACCATTTTCAAATTTGAACAAAGACTAGAAAGTAGCTAATTAAGTTGTAATGAAATTGTGCTTCTTGTGGGATAAATTTTCAACTCGTTCTTATCTTAACCAAGCTTAAACAAGCTGTAATTAATAATTATTCAAATAATTTTACTGTGAAAGGAATAATTAAGGTTCTTGTTTTCTAAGATAGGAGTCAATAATAGCAACTACACACGAATAAATGAGTAAACAAATTGCAATTATTAAGCTTAACTAGAGTTATAGGGAATTTTATCATCTTATTACAGATTTATGCATCATTATCAACATTCTTAATCACATATATAATATGTTTTTAGAATAATTAATCAAAGATAAATCTCTTTGAAAGCAACATTCTTTGTAATATCTGTGACTTAAAATAACCTAAGAATCCTGTCTCGTTGCTTCCCTGCTAAGTTACTGTTCAAACCTTATTATTAATTTGAGAGACAGAGCTCCCTGCAGCAGCAGTCACAATCAGGATTATAAACCAATAATTTTTTTTACTTTTTAATGGTATGGTAAAACCAAACCCAAAGTAATTTGCATTGAAAAAAATGAGGAGAATTTGTATGCAATTGCCAGATTATTGGAAATTGATGATGTCAATTTGATTGGGATGTCTAAAGAATCTGACATGGTGTTAGAAACTTGAAAGCAAAATGGAAAAAGACAACACAAAGACAAACCTGGTCTTAATACTAAATTTGATACATGGGATTTTCTCACATCAACTAAATTAAACAATTTTGTCTCACATCAAACTAAATTAAAATTGCGTTCGGGAATGACTTGATAAGACCACAAGCTGCTGCAGTGACGTGTATAATTAATCAATAAAAATAAACAATATTTATATTTTATCAAGTCATCAACATATTATTTTTGTTATTATTGGTTTTATTTATTTATTTTTATCTTACATGAAAATTCTGTTTTCACACCTATTCATACTCGGCTGGTCTCGGGGTTAGAAACACCATTTCTTGGGCTTTTAGACATACAATATTTGGGCCGTATCAAAGGCACACCATTTCCTTTTTCAAGCGAGGTATTGGGTTCAAGTCCTTATAGTACCTGTGTGTCTGAGTTTTCTCCTTCCCTTTCCAAACTTTGGCAAAATAAAAAATAATAATTTTCCCCATTAATGATTTAATTATATACAGTAATTCCTCATTGTACATCAAAATATCGAGCAAAATTAATATTCCTATAATAAAACTGAAGAAAATTATGTGCTGATTGACATGTAAAAAACATCAGCATGCCCTATCATGAACTCTTTTCTTCTAATGTTATGGGAAGCTCCAAATTTTTGCTGCTCCTCTGGATCTTTAACGTTACTTTATCCCCCACGTTATATTCATCCAATACTCTGTTGAACTCTGCTTTGCTTTTAACCTGATATAAGTTAACATAGCATCAATAAAAGCGCCTTCTCTTTTTACATGGAGAGGAAATTGATAACAGCTAGAGTAAGAGACAGCTCACAGGTTTGTCGTCAACCGCAACGATGATATCCCCGAGTACTATATTACCAGCAAAGCCTCTTGTGGTGGGAAGTATGCCAGCCTTTGCTGCAACACTATTTGCAGGGACCTGCAGCATTATAAAGTCAATGCAACAATCAAGAAGCAAACTGTCCATGGACAGATGTGATTATGAAGGACAGAGATATTAATTGATATGCAACTCAAAATCAACAACTATACCTGCAGAACAAGAGCTCCATATCGAACATTGAGTTGATTTGCAACTAGCTCTGGAGCAATCTCCAAATTAAAACCAGCTCGAACAACCTAAAACGGATGAACCAGCAATAAAAGAAAAAACATGTGAGGCATCTTCTGGTTAACATAATCAAACACTTCTTTATCTAGTGTGTTTCGAATGATCTATCTTCAAAAAGGCACAATTTGTGCTCAACCAACAAAAGTATGAACAATCAAAGTTCAAAGAACCACCAAGTACATTATATGATAAAACTAAGGAGGGGTTGCTGAAGGTGTTAGATTGAATGTTGACTTCTGAAAAGAAGTTAAACAATCAGTTGGCACCTTAAAAATACTTGGGGCAACTATACATACTTTTCCAAATTGAATCAACTGAGGCACGATTTTGAGTACAGTTGATGATGGGATGGCAAACCCTACACCGGCCGATGTCCCTGCCAAACCATTTAAATTTTGAGGTAATCACTTTGTAACTTCCATATGTATTTTCTCAAATTTCAAATTTGATTATGTATTAGAGTTATATTATGGAATTTACTATGAAACTACTTACCTGTCTGAGTAAATATTGCGGTATTAATTCCAACTAAATTTCCTTTGGAATCTAACAGGGGTCCTCCACTGCCATAGTAAGAACAAGAAAGGAGTAGGCGATGATCAAATTTTAAAAAACTAGGGTGAAGTTGGCCCTGGCTGTGAGCTCCTTCATGTCAAAGAGGGAATAAATCACTAACCTGTTCCCAGGATTGATTGCTGCATCTGTTTGAATTCCACCACTAATTGTGACTCCAGCTTGACTGAAAATGTCTCGATTCAGTCCACTAATTACCCCGACAGTGAGGGTATGATCAAAACCAAACGGATTTCCAATTGCTAAACACTGCTGCCCTACTCTTAGAGAAGAAGACTGCCCCACAGAGATTGGCCTCAACAGATCTTCAGATGCTTCTACCTAGCAATTTAGAGATATCAGTACTGAGTCTGAGCTGCTGGTAAATTACTAAGACAGTTCCAATGAACAAAACTATCATCTAAAGTACAAAAACAAACATCACCTTTAAGACAGCAAGATCCTTTGCACGATCAGCACCAATTAGCTTCCCCTCAAAATTCTTTTGTACCCTTTTGAAAAAATTCAACCAAATGAGAAATATGAGTTCCTGCATTAAGTACACTGCTTAGCAGTCTATCTATGAATGCTCTGAAAATCTCACCCTTCCAATGCTAGAATGTTAACTCTTGCAACAACCTCCCCAAGACCTGGATTTCTTGATAGGGCATTACCAATTACTGGAAATAACAGAACACAATTGTTAACTTCAAATTTAAGTCCATTGGATAGTCATAAAATGATCCACTATCATAAGTTAAAACAAAAAATATCTATGTACAGCATCCACATTGTAGAACAAGAATATAACATTCTGAAAAGAAAACCTTGAGATTATGAAGCCAAAATTTTCATTCCAAAAGAACTTGCAATTCATAGGCTTGAAATGACAAAGATGCTAAAAGATTTAGTGAAATTTACCAATGAATGTAAAGTACGCAATATGTTCTGGTTAATAACATAAGTAACATCAGTAAGGGGTAGAATCATGGATGATGTATTCATTTACTTGTTTGAGACCTACAACAATATTCTTTTATATGCACATGTAATTCTTCAAGTTCCTTCATCAGATCCTACCATGATAATTGGTTACAATGTGACCTTGTCCATCCCAGACTACTCCTGAACCATTTCCTTCTGGAACCTGTTTGTACATATATTAAACATTATTTGCAGTTATACGATACTGCACACTTACCAGCATGACAACATTTTATAATACTTGGAAGTATACCACATGTGATAAGCACAAAAATAAGTTCAAAGGAAAAGTGAACCAAATTGATAAGTCTCCTTCCAGAAACTTAGAGAGAGAGTTATCAAAATTGAATAAAACAGCCACGCACCTCAACCACACCAGTTATATTAAGTTGAGGACGCAATGTCACATCAAAAATGTTAACAACAGAGTATGTGTTCTTCTCAAAGAGTTGGACAATTCTTTCCTGTCAATAAGACGCATATCAAAATTCAGCCATAAACATCTGAAGAATGGAGCATTAAACCTATAAAAGAACAATTCCTCCTATAAAGGGATACAAAATATGGACCTCAGTGGGGAAGAGTGGCCCGGAAGTGAAAACCGGGGGAGTTACTTCTTCAATTGTTACAGTGGGATCTCCTAAAGCTTGAGCTGTAAATCCATAGTAAATTGCATCATCATAAGCGAGTATTTGGCATTTGCAACAAATACAAAAGCTACAATAAATATCATCCCCAAAACTATGAAAAGAAGCTGGTGGATAGACCAATCTGGCGATCAGAGGGTATCAAATCAAGTAGACCCATAATTTACCAAACAAAAGGGCGTGCCATGTTGTTGAACATTGATTATAAGTTTATAACTATGGACCACATAGAGTTACGCTAGAGTCCGTCGCACATTAACAAACAAATACTCAGCTTCACCTACACTGGAGATGAGAATCTTGAAAAACATAATTCAAAATCTACATTCTTAAACTATTTGCAAACTAAAACACCTTAGAAGAGATTCTTGACAATCATATAACAAATTTAAGTTGAAGACAAAGCTGAAATCTTGCGAACCTGACAAATACCTTGAAGGATCACAAAGTGGATACATGAATATACTCGCAAACAACGCCCGCCGTGTTGTGAAAGGAGCAGCCTCGCGCACCAATGGATCGAAATCCTTGCTCAGTTCTTGAACACTACTAAAAGGGTCAAAAGGACAAACATAAATTTTCCAACCAAACAGCAAAAAACCAGAGACTAAAATCATATGATACAACATAAAGATGCACAGAGAAACACATGGGTGCAAATGACAAATATAACTAAAACTGGGAAACATTTAAAAAAATGAAAAATTTTACAATGATATGAACACCCAGTAATACGAAGCACAAGATTTACCGTAATGCGTTTGCATGAGGAAACATAAAAGCTCGGCTACACATGAACTTATATAGAAAAATAACTAAAATTGCTAAAATTGAAGAAAATTTGAACAGAGGGGAAAGGAACCTTTGAGTGGGAATGGAGAAGGGAGGAACGGCGCCGTCTGAGGAATGAGTGGGCCTGTTTGATTGAGAGTGAGAGCTGGCAGAGGAGACTCCATCAAAGCAAAGCTGTCTTCGACCTATCAAACGGTTCTTGGGAGTGCCCAACCCCAATGCATTAAATTGCACAGGACAAGAATTGCATGCTAACACTTGCATTGTTTTCACTGCAGCAATAATTGATTGAACAGCTCAAAATTCCAATGGGATAAAGAAAAGACCAAAAAAGGTCAGTGGAACGGAAGCCTCTGTGTCGGAGACTTGGAAGTTCGAAGTTGGGAAGAGGCAGAATAGCGGGAGGGAGGGAGGGAGGGGGGATAAGGGTGGGTTGGGTTGGGACTGAGACTCACTGGTCACCACTGACATGGTACGATTACCATTGTACCCTCCTCCCTCTGTTTCTAAAATGCTCAAATCGTTTTAGTTTAACTGCTTTGCTTTGTCAAAAAAGTACATAAAAGAAATTTGTAAAGGCAGTGTACTTCGTTTTTTATCATCTTTCGTTCTGCAAACAATTTGAGGAATTAAACTTCGCAGATTCTCAAGAGTCGCTTGTTTGTCTCTCATCATTTCCTTTGGTTTTATGAAGGAAGCTGCGTGCTTTTCTTCATTTCGTTAACACTTGTCCCAAAAAGGTTCGGAGGAGTTTTCGGAGAACCTCCCTCCGGCTCTGACTCATAGAACAGAATGCTCGTTAATTACAAAGAAGTATTAGTTGTATTGGCATGCGCATTTTGGGTATGTTAAATTCTCATGGTTACGAAACTCAGACCGACAGGTGAAAAACTGAGCTCGACCGAAAGTTATGGTGCCAAATGCAAATAAATCATGAACCCCCAAGCTTTGCCCATGAAGATGAAAATCAAAACGCATACGATTATCACATAACAAGAAAACAGGCAACTGATTTGTCATTGATATGAAATTCCCCAGTGACCAAAGTAGCAAAATAACAATAAAAGCATTCCCAATCTAGCTCCAAATTCATTAATCAACAAAATCTAACGTCAAAATCTCGCTCAAGCATATCGTCTTATAGTTCAAAAGGCTAATGATCCGTCACTCTGCCTCATTAGGCTATTGGCCTCATTTAGTTCTTGCCTGCCTGCTTTTCCTTGGCCTTTTGGATCTTCAGAACCTTTTTCACGATCTTTTGCTCTTCCACCAAGAAAGCTCGAATGATTCTACATCAAATTGAAAAATAAAAACTCAATGTCATGCCTCGATTAATAATTTATAAGTATATAAGAACTATACAATAATAATAGTAATAAAAAAAACTGCAGGAGCCCAGAGCGAGAATGATTACAACTCATTTACCTCTCTCTAACAGCACCTCCAGACAACACACCACCATAAGCCCGATTCACAGTCCTGCGGTTTCTGGATAATCTAGACCTCTTGTACTCTGCAGGTCTCAAGTGAGGAATCTGCAAAAGAACCAAAACTGTTAACAGAAATTCATACAATAAAAAATAGTCATTTACTGATCACACATTGTCAAGCACATGAAAAAAAAATTCCAAACTTGCCAATGAACTTCGATATAAATGTACTAGTCTAGAAAGTAGGAGCAACATAACAGCAAATAAATACAACCCACAACATGAAAATTGCAAATATCATATAAAGCAAGATAAATTATAAATGAACAAATATAGAACCTATTTGTCAAAATTCCAACTCGTTTTCTTCTTGTTTGGATTATACATTAAAAACACTAGTTATATTTCAAATGATTTCTACAGAGATGGAACAACATATACAAAGCCTACCCCATTAGAACAATACTAAGCCAGATTCAGTGCTTTCATCAAGAGTAAGAGCACATGTAAGAGCCTGGCTCATTAATTACTATAACTACACCAACAGCCCCTACGGGGAGCAAGAGATACTGTATACAAAGGTAATACATATATAACGTATGTGTTTCTAGGAATTTTTGTACAAACATATGTTTAGGAGTGTCAAGTATGTTAAATTCAAAACTTGGATCCAAAAGAAAGGGTGTGTCACAAATGTACCAGAATTAGACCTATTATGAAACCCTACATTTGGAGTACATGATCCAATACTACTCCAAAGTCGCCTATCATCGATAGATTACATCTATGCTTAAAGCAATTAATCACCAAAACAACAACATTATACACAATTTCAACGAGCCAAAGCAATCATCCATCAACCAAATACAACCACACATTCTCACATTCTAACCATAAATCTAACCTAATAACTCAGTCAAACAAAAACAAATATATGCATACATACATATGCAGATATTGAACAATCACAAGAAAGAAGAGACATACCCCTTGGATTCTCTTGCCAGTAACAGGGCATTTTGGACCGCTGGCTCTCTTCTTGGTGGTCTGATAAACCAACTTACCCCCTAATATTCACAACCCATAAAATCAAGTCAGCTAACGCAACCAAAACGACGTCTTCAAAAACCAGAAAAACCAATTGAACTTTCATTCAGATTTCAGCAGAAAAATGGTCATTGCTAACGATGAAAAGAAACATACATACCGGGGGTTTTGACGATGCGGTGCTGGTTGGATTTGGTGGCGTAGCTGTGACGCGTTCGGTATGTGAGCCGCTGCACCATTTTCGAGTGCTCGTTAAGCTCAGGTACCTCAGGCTTTTAGTGCGACGGATTACAACAAAAGGGTTGCGAAAATAGGAAGAGAGACCTTAAATAGGGTTCTGAAGGCTATGAAGCCCTAGATCTAACGGTTGTGGCGAGCTTTTGGTATTGGACGGTGAGGATTTATGTGAAGATATGTTAAAATGTGGACGGGCCCAAAAGCAAACAAAACCCACTTGGAAGGGAAGGGCCTGAGCCTTTTTTTTTTGGACTGAAGGGAAGGGCCTGAGCCTAGCCAACTCTACGCTGGTCGATTACGAAGACACAGCCCATTGGGCACTCCAGTGTAGACCAAAACAGCATCCAATTTCTTCCTAATTTTTTGTTATAAACGATATTCTACTGAAATCAAATCTAAACTACGGGGAGTGGGGGATTCGAATTCGGATGTATAGTGAGGAGCACATTTATCCGCTCTAGCCAACTTGGGTAAGTCTATATCTGCAATTTCTTCCTTATTTAACTTGAGCAAAGAATTGGCAATTATAATGTATGGGAAAATAAATAATGATAATGAATAATTGCTAAATTTTTTTTGAGAAAATATTTATTATCATTATTTATTTTCCCATACATTTACGAGAGAATTTCTTTTTCTATTAATGGGAAAATAAAAATGAAGCACCTAATAATATATCCTCACAAATTAAGACCTACGAGATTGCCCCTTTTATTATGGGGTGACGAAGAGATTGTATCATTCGATTGTTTTTTTCATGCTTTTTCAGAGGTATGAAGAACACTGCAACATTGGTATAGATGGTTTGTTCGTCAATTTGAAAGCCTAATCGGCATGGATTGGTAAAGATTTAGATACTAAATTCGAGTTTCAATGTGAACAACCAACTAGTTATTATATTATGATATTTCTATACACGCTATTGGAAAAAGTACTAAATTCTCAATTTCTCTGAAGTGCGATATTCTAAACTATATTAATGTACGAGTAGGGTATTCAAATTAGAGTGCAAATGGACGAACACACAACCTTCCCTCGTAACCCACATTTGCCATGCATCTTAATTTGGAATTTGCAAAAGAAGAACCAAACCCACCAAGGTCAATTACTCAATTACCTAACAAAATAACCTCATTAAATTTGTTGTTAACTGCTTACCCACCCAGCACACAAAATTTCCACGGAATTTATTTTGCCCGGGGAAAGGGACACGAAGGTGAAAGAAATGACAGCATCATTGAAGTTTTGACCGAAACCAAAATGTTAATGACATCATACCTTACCAACAAACACAGCAAGGAAAGACGTGTGGGGACCTTAATCTTCACATTGCACCTCCATATATATATTTTTATAACACTAATTTGGGATATTTACTTATTTATCAAGACTATGAAAATCATTGTGTTTTCCTTTTTATATATATTTTATTTTTTGATCAAATTTTGGTGGGCCATATATAATTATGATTCATTATGCCTTGGGATCAAAATATACAGTGAGGAAAACTAAAATTACTTGTTTGGTTAGACCAAAAAGAAAAGGAAAAGGCTAATTATTACTAGCATGGAAATAGCAAGAAGGAGGGATCTACACGAATCTTTCTGTTCACAAAATGTATCTTGCTTAACTTATTGTGACACCACACTAGTTGCTCTGTTGTTATACTGGACATGTTTAAAACCCTTGAAACTAACTTCATGTCAACTTGAGAGAAGAAATACAGGTGATCTGTGCCTTCGTCTTCATGCTTTCGGAATCTCTTTAGTATGCAGTGCCCACCCCTCAACGTGTCCTTAAGCTTCCTCTCCTTCTGCATTCATAAGCAAAACACATTAAAACTTTCGGAAATAAAACATACGCACAAGGGAGTTTAACAAGACAAAATTTTTGTAGCTATAAAACGTACCTTGAGAAGATCTGTTTGGACCTCCGTTAAAAGCTTTAAATCGGAGTCTTGAAGTTCTTCTTGTCTTGTTTTTCGACACGCAATAGTACTATTAGCATTTTTATCGGCTCGAATGAATCGCCAAATAATCCTTATTGATTCTTCCAATATTTCCACCAGAATGTCACTTGTAATTGCATAAGCATCTTTGCCTTTCCTTCTTGCTTTCTTTTTATCCTTTAAATTGTCCCCTGCATGGTACACAAAGTTTGAATTAGTCTCTCAGAATAAATCTTCAACTTCCATAAACTAAATAAAGAAGCATTTGATATAAAGTAATTGTCACCTCTGATCACTGGAACTTGAAGAAGATTGCGCATGACACATCGATTCTTGACATAATTTTCGACCCTTGGCCCTTGAAAACGTTCATTCTCTACAAATCTCTGCATGAGCACTTGAAACTGTTGGAATTCGTCAGCAACTTCATTGTACGAACGTATTCCATATGGATCAGATTCCCAAAGCTCAAAGGCCTTCTCATACTGCCATTGAAGGAACTCCCAAGAAAGGCACAGCTGCCCAACATAAACCACTTCCAAATCACCATGCAATTCTCTAATGAACTTGACCATAGGGTCAGAATCAGAATCAGAATTAGAGTCTTTTTTGCGTTTGCATCTCCAAAAGGATGAGACTGTTGGAGCTGAGGATGTGCATCTTGAAAACGATTGTAGTGAGTCCTTAGACTGCAAAAAACCTATACATTGGATTGTCATAAAATATATCAGAAATGGGATCATGTGAATTAAAAATTACAATAAGATTATAAAAAATACAGAGCAGATGTATTTGGCCACCTATGCATTTTAGAATTAACCCAAAAGTCAATTTAATTAACAATTACATAGTAACTTTTCATGGACATGAATTTCCGCAGCTTGTCTTCAGAAAAGAAACCAACAAAGAAATGGTGGAGCACTAAAGCAATCCATAATTAGACTGGTGAAGCTACTAAGTTAAGCATGATTATGGTGTTGAACATTATGGACAAAAGATTTGAACCTTTAACTTTTGCACTTGACCATAAATTAAGGAGAATGGGGTGGCTCTATGTACTGTGTGCACAGCCGCTGACATGTGCTTGGTACTTTAGACAATATTTAAACAGGTACACATGCAAAGGAGCCTTTTGTAAGTGCTGACATTTGAGAGACATGAAAGGTATGCTCTAATTAGTTAATGTATGTATACTTTTATGTAATAATCACTCTTGATGCTTGGGAAGTGAGCAGGCTCATGTTTCTTCCATGATCAATTAACCAGATTCAGTGGGTCCTAAGTAGGTTGAGTTAATCATGCCCATGAATTGAATGGATTACAACAGTTAGAACATCTTTTTTTAACTATGCTCAAGCTTTTTCGACAAACATGAAAGGAAAAATGAAAAAAAAATAAAAAGAAACTGGGGAAGAAAACACAAACATCAATGGTTTGAATTGAAACTAGGAAGAAATCAAAATTGAATGAAATTAAGAAGCTTGGTAAAGAGTGACTGACCAATTGCATATAACTTCTGGTAATTCAGAATATCGAATTTTCGCATTCGCTCTCTGTAACTCTTGAAGAATTTGTGAAGCTCTCCCATTTTATCACCGCGATGGACTTTTTCATCTATCTTCCATGGCTTCAAATCATCCATATTTGGGGACTCAGATTCTTCAAGAATGGTAGGCAGACCAGTAGCTCTGACTTTCTTGAGCTCCAGTTTCAACTGTTCTATCAAGTGCTGGTGTTCCCACAATGTTTCTAATGTGTTTGAATCCTCAGAATCATTAGCTGACGAATTTTGACCATTGGGTTTTTCAGAATTTTCTGAACCATCCATTGGCTTTTCATCTTTGCTACTGCCTCCTTCAGGATTGGAGCTGCTGGGGCTGTGATGATCATTCCCAGGCAACGCTTCTAGTTCTCGAACTTGTTCCATTATATCTTCATCTTCTTCATCAAAACCATCAGGCTCATAACCAATATCCAAATTCTCAAAGTCAATGCCTTCTAAAGCACCAAGTTCATCTCCTTCCCCAAAATCTGTTTCTGACAGAAACCCATAACTAGGGGAGCCAACAGCTTGACTTCTAGCTGAGAACACATGGCTTGAACCAATAGAATCAGTGTCAGAATCTGAACCAACAAAGTGCTTTTCTGACAAAAAGTTAACTTCATGAGAATCAACTTTCTCACCAGCAGAATCGTTTTCCTGACTCCCCAGTTGCTCTTCATCCGAATGAGGATCTTCCATGACTGATTTCTTCTCTGACTCCTCCTCCTCCTTGCTTTCTCCATCTGCAGAATCTTGAGGACTTTCTTCATGAACAGTTGCTTCAAGGGAATTGGAAACGCCTATTGAATTACCAGCATGTACTTCTTTGACAGTAAAGCTTGCAACTTTTGCTTCTTCCACGAAGCAACTAAAAGTCTCTGCAGCTTTAAATTCATATTTGCTGCTGCTTTTGACTTGTGGTTCTTCTTTGAATTGGCTAAGCTTCTCAGGTATGAACACGTACTCTTCGTTTTCTGCTGGAGAAGCGATATCCAAGACAGGAGAATCACCATTAGCATTCCCTTTATTGCTTCTGCCTAATATTTCTTTAGTCTGGTACTCAAATTTAAATACAAACTTTGGCTCCGGCGTCTCTCTATCATCAATATCATTGAAGTCCGAATCATCCTCACTCTCCCAAATCTCAGAATCAGCTTTCATGGGCATAGCTTCTGGCTCAATACGGCTCGGTACCATTTGATTGCTTTCTTCCGAAAGAGGGCTAGAGCAACAGGAATTGTTCATCAGAGAACTCTCGTCTTTATTGAAACTGCAAGGGGAAGGAAAACAAATAAAGTTAAGGTTACTGAATTTCTGGAAATAGAAAATCTAAATTATAAAACCCAACTGGGAATTTGAATACCTGAGGAAGATTTTGCTGAAAAATCTGAACAGAGTAAGCAAAAGGGCAGAGACAGAGAGCGTGAAAGAGGCAGGAAAAAGAGCCATCTTTCTCCGAAAACCCCAACCAGCAGAACCCATATTCACGAAATCAAAGTGGGTATTTAGCGGATACTTGTTTAGGGCACCCATGAGTGGAATCCATCAATCTCTTTATTTCAGTTTGAAGCAAAAAAACAGAGCAGTGTTCATGCACACTCTGATTTCCACGTTGAATCTTTCAAGCAAGAATGGACTTACCACCTGTAAAATTATCAAAATTCATAGAGTGTTGAAAAGGGCTGCATGGAATGCGATCAGAGGAGGTGGAAATCTGACCAAATTAGGGAGATTTAAAAGGGATTGCAAGCAAAAGTTTAGGGGGAGAAAAGAACATGTCAGCGACTTGGGTTGAGCTAATCTATGGTTGCTTAGAGCCTTGGAATTCTGAGGACCGTTATGTGAGCGATTGATGGTATTTACAAGATTATATCGGGTGGGGGGTCTGTTTTGCCTTCTCTTTCCTACACACAGTGGGAGAAACACAGAATTGGGTGAAATTGAAAGCTTACGTTTTTTATATAATGGGTTTTGTTTCAAGCTTGTTGGCAATGGGAAAACAATGTGGTCTACCTCTCTTCTCCTTCTTGTTTTGGGACTCGAATTTGTGTTTAGATTTGCTTGTCAATTCCTAAGTGGAAGAGGATTTGTGAAAGAACAACTTAAAAAATAGAAACGCAAGACACCCAATTGCCAGTTTCCACTTTCAAGTTTTTATAAGTCGGTTTAGAGACCAACCAAAAATAAAGAAATTTGTAAGTCAGTGGAAACGGGCAAATACGCACTAAAGAACTTGCTAGTAATGTTATTTCCCATTTTGTTAGAGAAACCAAGACAATAAGGGCATGTTTACGTATCAGTAATGGGTAAGGAAGGAAAGGGAATGATTTCCATTCCTGACTTCTCCTGCATTTACTTACAATCAGGAATGAAAAAAAAAAGTGGGCCCCATCTCAAAATCCGTAATCACATTCCCTCAAAACTAGGAATCAGATCAACTAGGGGGGAGTAGTCGATACGATTCTCATTCCTGTTTTCTCTTAATAACTTCCAAAAATACCCTTATCACTTTACCATAATTTTAAAATTAATTTGGATTCTGATTTATGCAAATTAGTAAACAATAACAATGGGAATCAATCTCATTCTATTGCTAATTCCATATGTTTAGTAAACAACTTAATGGAAATGATTCTTCCCATACCGATTCAGTAATTCTTCGATTCTTAAATTATTTGATTCCTTAGTTTCTTCATTATTGATACGTAAACATGCCCTGAAGGGAAGAGTCGAAGAAAGAGAAGGAAAGACTAATTTTTTTCTTCTTCTTCTTCTATTTTTTTTTACTTTCGATTTTGTAGTTGATAAGAAGAAAAAAGGGATTGCAATTCAGAAGAAAGAGAAGGAAAGACTAGTTTTCTTCTTCTTCTTCTTCTTTTTCTATGTTTTTTCCTTTCTATTTTGTAGTTTATGTAGAAAAATAAGTACATGTTTGGGAGTGCTTCTGGAAGGAGTAAAAACGTTTTCTGACAACCAAAATCGTTTCTGACCACGTTTGGCAGAAAAGTTTAAACGTGCTTTTGTATTATGTAAGCACTTTCTAGAGAAACACTTGCTATGTACTTCTTCATGAAGCACTTGGATTTTTTTAATGAAAATTTCAATATGTTAATAACAAAAGCACTTTTACTATAAGCGTTTATGAGCATAAGTGCGGAAGAAACCTCTGTGGAACATTAATTAGAAATATTAACAAATTAAAGTTTTGAGGTTTCTAATTAATAAGGTGAGCAGTGACAGTGAGGAAAAAAGTAACACAAATGAGCAAAACATTTTCTGTGCTCAAGTTAATTTGCGTATAAATTAAGTTAAAACTTAAAATATATGGTACAAGCAAGCAATCTACATCAACCAAAACAGAGATATAAGACAAGCCACACACACAGCTCATTTGTTGGCTTTGTAATATTATACGTCTGTATATCAGTGTATCTATCTTTACTTCAAGTTTCTTTATATTATATATCATGAAAATTTCAAAATTCATACAAATATTATTAATAATATAGACACTGATATTGGAAAAAGATGTCAATTAATAATAATATGTAGGATTATGGTCCAAATTCTAGTCCTTCTCCTTTTCATCCACCCAAGATGAAATGATTAAGAGCCGATAAAACCAGTATAAGTTTTCTCTACGCTCGAGAATACTTGAATTCCTTTCCCCCGTTTTCAATATTTGCTTGAACCAAGGCAATTCCTCTTTAAATGAATATTGATTAGTGTGTAACCACATTTAAACCAAGTATAAGACAATTTCAGATACTTTTTCGATTCCGATAGTTCAAGTTAGAATGCTCGAGTTTAGGGTTATGATATTATCCTTTTGTATTATAACACGTGTATATGTTAATTATTATAATAAATTAATTAGTATGATGTTGTTGAGACCGTGTGAACTGTGTGAAGTATATAAAAATAAAAAATTAACAAAACCAAAATAGCTAAATCGGATCACGCAAAGAAAATAACGAAACCGAGAATTTGACAGATTAGTAGATGCAATGTAATTACAATATGTTATGTATAGCCGCACTCCTAGTAGCGTGTGGGGCAATGGCAATGGTAATGCTATTGGTATTTTGTGTCACGCGCATTACAGTTCTTCATATAATGAATTAAGCATGACATAAACAAAGTCAAAAAATGGAATTTAAGCTCTATATTTTATTAATATATTCGAGGTTTCTTGAGGGCCATATTTTCTTACCTTCCCATTGCAGAAAATTCCTTCTTTCCTTTTAAAACTCATCATCGTCAGCAGCAGCAGCATGAGAGGGAGATGGAGACGCAAAAGAAAAACGTTGTGCCTCGTTTTCTGGTGGAAGAAGAAGAAGACGACCCCTCCAAATACTCTTGACCTTTTTTTAATGAAGTTTCTAACGTCTTCGAGAAGCAAACAAAAGCCAACCCCCAACCCCCGCCAGTCAAAATAATCCTTCTTCTAGAGACTAGCTCGTGAGAGTCGTATTTCTGAGATGTTTCATGGTGGCGGTGGTCTAGAATAAGATTGTCGTATGTATCTGTGCTCAGATTATATACGGAAAAAAATCATTTTTAATCTTGTGCATTTTCTACCATGCCAAATTAAGATTTTTTTTAAATGAGCAAATGGGTACCATCGTATCCGAGAAATATCACTAGATGCCAAATCTAGGATATCTTATGCTTGTTACCAAATATGTCCATTTGGTATTGTGTTTTTCCATCCGCTGTCAAATAACAAATATAGTTTAGGTAAGGTGTGGTGTGGTTGGTAAATTGTCACCTTCAGATGACGAGTTACCTAGTGCCTCAATAACAAGGGTTCGAAACTAGTTGGAAGTACTTATGTAACCAAGGGCAAGCCGAACTCCGAGCGGGAATTAATCCTACACTTCGAGTGTGGGGCACCTCGTAGCATTTATATATATATATATATATTTGAGGCAAAGAAGAGAAATATATTTTCCTTCTTTTCTTGAAATTTTTTAGAAGGCAACCAACGGCCCATTTAGTCTTACGGACCAAAATTAATTATTTTCCAGCATATACCCTTCGGCCCATATTATTATTATTTATTTCTCCCCACTTTAGATTGGGTTCATAATAAGATCGAGCCTAAGTGATACTGTTCTGAGATTGGGCTCATACGGGCTGCTTAAATCAAGTCCTGGAGCAAAGAAAATTAAAATGAGCCTATTGCACCAAAAGAAAGTCTAAATTACCTTATTTTGAAACAAATGCTATAAATAACTTTTCACTAATAAAAAGTTCATTTTGAAAAGAAAATTTTGTTGAAGAAAGGTTCTTCGTTAGGTTAAAGAAGACTCTAACTCGTTTGAGAGTGCTTTTCTCGAAATCACTTTTGCTCATAAGTGTTTTTAGTAAAAGTTCCCTTATTATAAAGATGTTGAAATTTTCATAAGAAATCCAAGTGCTTAGAAAACCACTTGAGAGTGCTTCATGTGGAAGCACATAGCAGGTGCTTCTCCAAAAAGTGCTTTTATGCACTTCTAAACTTTTATGTCAAACAATGTTAGAAGCGCTTTTGGTTGTAAGAAAAAGTTTTTGGTTAAAAAGTGCTTTTATCCTTTTCAAAAGCACTTCCAAACCGGCCAAGTACATGAGTTTTATGGTTAATATAAATGAAAATTAATTTCTTCATCGAAGGACATGAGTTTTCTTGTTAATATAAATGAAAACTAATTTCTCCAGCGAAATATTCACAGATTCACAATGAGACTAGTACATACAATTGTCCCTACCCCTATCATGACACATGAAATTGGTCAAATGTTTTTAACATGGTTGATATAAGGACAAGATGTTTGACAAACGACATGATGTAACATGGCAGTTTCTTCTTTTTTCAAAAAGAAAACTCATGAATCTGCCGCTGAATTCCTCTGCTATAACTAACGCTCCATCAAGATTCCCATACCTATAAGTCGTGCCTTATTCTATATATTCACACATTACAGTCGGCAATGCATATAACAATTTGGAATTGCTTGATTATCTACTCTTATATCAATCATAGCTGGGGAAGTTCAAGTTCAATGAACAAATATTAATTGAAAGTTGGAGCTCATATATATCCACCAAAATATCATATAACTATATAATATATAAGCCAAGTCATCTTCATCTTTAATTTCTGACGTGTGAGATGTTCAACAGTTTTTTTTTATAAAAAAATTCATACAACTAAATTGAAGAAATATATATAATTCTGGGAAAGAATTATGCACATGATCCTTTCAGTACTCACTACTTGGACACTTCCGATCATGGAATAGAGCATGGGCATTTTATCGAAAAAATAAATATCAAAGTATGGACATATGTTCCAGTCAACGTGTGCTTGTAGAACCAGCTTCTTTAGTCGACAAAATAAAATTATAATTAGGTCCCAAAAAAAAACCAAGTGGAAATGAAGAGGAAACCACTACTAGATGGGCAGTAGACGCGCACTATAATATATGGCCCTATAGGGATTCGAACTTAAGACTTTTGATATGCAAGTCAAGACCCTAGCCATGGAGGAGCGTGGCCAACCCAAACAGATCGATCTTGCTCCGTTAACTCGAACTGAGCCAAGGAGTGTGCCACTCTATTAATTACCTTGTTTTGGGTTGGAAGATCACATATACCCCACATTCAGCTGCATCACCAACTTCTTAATATCTACCACCAGATCGATTGCCTAGGTTGCTCCAGATATCACCATCTCCATTAAAAAGTGTATGGGAAGTTACATAGGCTCCTTATATCATAACTTAATAAATTACAACAAACATTCATGCTTCACGCTACATCAACAGAATATATATACTATAATATACTATACACATCATCAATTGTTTTATTATTTACGTACAATTATATGGTGCGGTGCAGCGAAAAATACATGGCCAGCTGATGCATGATACGATATGATATTGATACTATCATATAATTGGATCGTTTTGTGAATTGTGCAGACTGCGTGCAGGCTTTTGAAAAGACATGCATGTGTAAATTGTATACTAAAATATTGTTTACGCAGAGTGCCAAATCAGAAAGAAGAAAAAAATGGAGGAGGAAGAAGAAGAAGGAATCTATGATTATGATTATGCATATTAAAGGCCACATGGAAATTGCAGTGTGACAGAATTGGTGACGCAATTTAAAATCTGGCATCATATTATTTTAGAATTTGCACATCCGAATAAACACTCACAAGAGAGAGATCTGCCATCTGCTAGAGCATTGCCTCGTGGGTCCAAATCAACTTCAATTTACTAATTTACTACTTTCATTTTCATGAGATAGAAGTCTAGAATCAAATGTACTCATATTCAAGGTGAAAGTTAGCTTTTAGGAGAAAATCTAATTGCCGCTGTCTCAGGAAAATTCTAAAGAAAAATCCCTAGCCGCCGACCTCATCTTCCTACTCCATCCGCTTTCCTCTTCTTCTCTTCCTTTTCCCTCTGAATTCTTTGTTTTTGGTTTTGTGATGTAAAAGCTGTCGCCATGAAACGTTGTGATCATTATAATATTAGAATTTACACATCCAAATAAACAAGCACAACAGAGAGATCTGCCATTCTTCGTCTGCTAGAGCCTTGCCTCTTGGGTCCAAATCAGCAATGTATTCATATTCAAGGTTGAAAGTTCAACTTCAAACTTAAAAATTATGACGTTTTCATGGAGTGCTTTCAATTTACAAGATGAATCAGATGAGAACATAATTACACTTTTAAGTAGACTTTTGTTGGGTTGCTTTGAATTTACTATTTCAATGAGATAAGAGTGAAAAATTTACTATCGCATTTACTACATTGACCTTTTGACCCATATATGTGAATTCATCCATGTGAGTGGTTCCCACAATTGTTAAAGATGTAAGGCAGTCCTGGACTTGGAATTAAACAAGTTAACAATTCTGGACTTGGAATTATACAGTGATAATTTCATTCTTCATTGCCCGACCAAGCTTAATTATACCCTTTATTTCAAGGTATAGGGACCAGTAGGACAATTAATTAGCTGGTTGAATTAGTGTAAAGCCGGGCCTTCACTCTCTAAATTCACTGTCATTTTACTTGTTGATTGATGATATATAAATTATAGGTCCTACCTTGATTGACGGTCCTAGTTAAGCTAAGCGTCCACAAGCGGCTATATAGCGACAAATTGTTGTGTAGCAACACATCCGTAACAAGACTATATCACTATTAATTAGATATCGAACTCATCACAAATATATATATCATCGTCGTCATTTATATGAGTTGAATCTGAGACCTCTTTCAACTAAGTGGAGACAAATACCACTATACCAAATACTAGTTGGTAATGTTAATCGATTCAGTGCTTCCTCTCAAATGACAAGGAATTTGATTAATTTTGATGATAATCTCTTTACCAAGGATAAGATCATAATTAGATGATAAGCAATATATATATATATACACACACACGCACATATAATAGACATATCGCAAGTGATTTACATGAATGGTGGGTATGGTTGACTTTGACTTTGATCACTACCTTGCTATCCAAGCAGAGCAGCCGACATGATGCACGACAAAACAAGTCTCATCCATCACCATATATGTCACCCTTTTCGATTTTTGGCTTCTCAAGGAATTAAGCTCCTGTACTACTACTATACAACAAATTCATCAGATATTGTAATCAACCCCTTTATCACTAAAAAGTAACAAAATATTATTAATAATATTAATTAACAAAAATAAAAGCATCTCCAATAGTAGTAGCAAACCAAATTTTTTAAATTGAAGTTTGTTAGCCTACGTGGCAATTTGAAAAACTTTGTTTGCTACTTAAATATTTGTGACCCAACAAACTCTTCTATTCAATTAATGCAATGTTATGGAAAAGAATGAAAACATGTGAAAAATGTATATGTATTTATTGTTTGAAAAGAAAAAATGCATGTTTTAAACATTTTCAAGGTATGTTTTATTTTTTCAAAGTAGAATTAAATGTTTTGAAGAGCTAAGATCAACTTACTAGTTCTTAAAAAAAAGAAAAAGGTTGCAGCTTTGATAACTGAATTTGACGAGGCTGTTGAAGAGGATTTTGATGAGACTGTTGGAGATGCTCTATGGTCTGTTAGTTAGTGAAAAAAGGATATTTTAATTTGACGACAGAGAGTTAAAAACTTTAGTTGGAAGAAATTACTAAAGGAGGGGTGTTTGGTTTTTTATTCTTTACTTTTGAGTAGAAGTAGAGTCAGCTGAAAGCACACACTATTCATGGGTCATGACATGTTGGGTTTAAGAGCACATTAAAGGGCAAAATCAAGGGGCGGGGTTTTCCTCAGTTGAGCCACATTCAATGCCACGCGGTTTTGCGAGGCAGAGAGAGAGAGAGAGAGAGAGGGAGAGTTTTGGCACTACAGCTGACTTTGGCATGCCTTGCCAGCCCTTGGAGGAGGGAGTAAATGCTCTTGCTGTCACCTTTTGACTCTTTGGCTACCCTTCTGTTGATCTTTTAGGTCAGCGTCCTCTCTCCCCTGCCTATGCTTGCTTGCTAGCCCTCTCTCTTTATCTTTTTGTCTATTTATGCAGACCAAAAGTTAGCATTTTTCCAACTTCCTAGAAAGAAAGAAAGAAAGAAAAACATAGTTCAAGTATTCTGAGGATATATAGCTAGGAAAACCTCTTTGTTTTGTTTGTTTGTTTATTTGTTTGTTTGTTGAGCACAAGAAGATACTTGGGAGACTTGTGGTGGTGAGTGAGTGTTGTAAGAGAAATAAAGAAAGAAAAACACGGTGAAATGGGCAGGCCTCCTTGCTGTGATAAAGAAGGGGTCAAGAAAGGACCTTGGACTCCTGAAGAAGATATCATTTTGGTCTCTTACATTCAAGAACATGGTCCTGGGAATTGGAGGGCTGTTCCTACCAATACAGGTTTATTTTCTTTATTTTCTGTTTCTTCTGTTGCTTTTGTTTGAGTAAAAATTTACTTGGTTTTCACCTGATGGGTCAGTTTTGTTATGGCTTCTGTATAATTTTGAGATGAAAAGGCAGGATATTTTCATTTTGGCGTTGCATTTAGATTATTAAAAGCACAGCTATTTTGGTATTTTGTTAGTGAAGCATTAGGGTGCGGTGATCTACTATTTGAGCCTTCAACTAATACATCTTTGTTCTGTTTTGGTGTTCCAGGGTTGCATAGATGCAGTAAAAGTTGCAGGCTGAGATGGACTAATTACCTTAGGCCTGGGATCAAACGTGGTAACTTTACTGACCATGAGGAAAAGATGATCATCCACCTTCAAGCTCTTTTGGGCAATAGGTAAACCCAACAAACACCCCTTTGGCTAAGAAAAGTCTCATATTTTTAGTGTAATGTGTAATAGCTATTGAAATTATAGGATCTGAAAAATGCCAAAAAAATTGTTTTGGGAGGCCTGCCTGCAGGGTAGGTTTGGTTTCTGTAAATCTAATTTATGGCTTCATTGATTGTGATGCAGATGGGCTGCAATAGCTTCATACCTCCCACAGAGAACTGACAATGACATTAAAAACTACTGGAACACCCACTTGAAGAAGAAGCTAAACAAGCTTCAAGCAGGCACTGAAGGCCACTCTAAAGATCAAGGATCAAGCACCAGCTCACAGGCAATATCCAGAGGTCAATGGGAGAGAAGGCTTCAAACTGACATTCACATGGCCAGACAAGCTCTTCGTGATGCCCTGTCCCCTGAAAAGCCAAGCACTTTGAGCTCTGACTTGAAACCAGCTGATGGGTTCCTTATCTCCACCACAAAACCAGCCCAAGATCAATCAACAACCACTTATGCTTCAAGCACTGAGAACATTTCAAGATTGCTCAAAGGTTGGATGAAAAACCCACCAAAATCATCATCAGCCAGAACCAACTTGGCTATGACTCAGCATTCATTTACCAACATGGTTTCAGGGTTTGACTGTACATCCAGTGAGGGGGCCACATCTGCAGCAAACACAACCAATGGGGTTGAATTATCTGATGCATTTGAATCTCTATTTGGTTTTGAGTCCCTTGACTCTTCAAATTCAGATTTATCTCCATCTATGTCACCAGAGGCTAGCCTGTTCCAAGATGAAAGCAAGCCGACCCTTATTAGTGACCAGTTTCTGTCATTGATTGATAAGTGGATATTTGATGAAGATGCTGCTGCTATTCAAGGGAAAGATATGATGACACTAGACCATGAAAATTCTAACTTTTTCTGAGGACTTGCTTGTTTTTGGTCATATTGTCATATCTACTATTAATCTTTTGCTTACTTTAATTTGGTTTTAGGGTATTGGACTGATAAATTCCACAGTGCCTTAACTAGCAGAGGGTTACATTGTTACAAACCCTCAATGCTAGAACAGGAAATGTAAAAATTTTACCTTACCATCTCAAATGTCTTTGAGGGGCAATGATTAAATTTCTCATTTGCATAATGCTTAAGGTTTTGTTCTGTTAGGCCTTGAAATGTTGTGAGGAAATCATTTGGTAATTGGCATTATAGGATATGATAATATATAAATAGTTCTTTCGTTGTGAAGCTAATTTCATTTCTAGCAGAGGCTCGTAATAATTTTAGTTGCTTCACCTAATTTGTCATTGAATAAATAACGACACTAATGGGAGAAGAAATTGCATATTATGGGAATATCATTGTTTTGTTATTCTCATCCAATTATATTCTGCACAAAAGATTAACAAGTTTTTCTCGAATGAGAGGCCTCCCTAGTACTACTTGTGCACACATGGCCTTCACTTATTGGGTGTAATGAAAAACGATATGACAAAACTTTATGCATGCCAAATGGAAACCAAGTCAACCATGCAGATAGCATAATTGAATGTTAACACAGAAGTAAAGTCAACAGTACTGCAGCTTGCTTAATGAAAAGTTAATTGAAGTTGGTGGAAGCATTCATGAGGGTGTTTATGTCTAGCTAGCCACAACCCTGTGGAAATTTGAAAGCAAACAGTCATATAATTTCTTCTGCTACTAGCTTGGTAGTCTCTCTATTGCGGTCCAAAAGCGACCATTAAGAAGAAGAAACTTGAATCAGTCTTAATTAAGTTAAAGCTAAGATCGATAACAAGAAAATTCCCTCAGCTCTTGAAATCATGTAGCAATCATATAAGCAAAGAAATTGATAGGGCAGAATTTCAGTAATGGTAAACTAAATGGGCAGATGAAATTTACCTTGGAAATGTGGAAATTGGCCTTAAAACGAACATGTGAAGCGTTTGATGGTCAACAGAAGAAAAAATAAATAAAACATGTGAAGGGTTTTGATGTTCATGACTACTTGTCTTTACAAGTTGTTGTTGTTGGAGTTTAATCCTGGCCAAGCAAAAGTAAAACCAGACTGTAAAGGCATATAGAACAACCCAATAACAGAAAAGGCATGGCAATTGGCCATGGGTGGCAAATGGGATCAAAGATGGTAAGAAGCATAGGCCCCCAATCAACACCATCTGAAATACGTACACCATACGTATATATCCTGCTGTCCTAGTTGGATAGTGAAAGGTTCAATTATTAATTTAGTTTATAGCAGATATGCCATGAGATCTAATGAACATGATAGCCTACCAAAGAGAACATGAAAGTCAAGGATGAAAACGTCCGCTTAGACATCATTCATAATTTAGTGCAATGGAAAAATATGACGACATTAAAATGATGGATATGAAGCTAACTAGTCTAGTGAGGGAAGACCAAATCTTCAAGCGAAAAAAAAAGATTAGCCAAATTTGCAGCAAAAAATAAATTCTACTTGTGACATTGTACCCCACAGCTCAAATATTTGAAGGAACTGCATGTGGTAATGGTACATAGCTTAGCTAGCAGTTTTAATTGTTCTTTCTAACAGAGAGAGAGAGAGAGAGAGAGAGAGAGAGAGAGAGAGAGAGAGAGAGAGTTTTATGTAAGTCTTGGCAAGCATGACAAATTAAACCTGTTACATGACAGAAACATGTGCTCCTCATGACTTTCCAAACCTACCTTGTATTAACTATTGCATGCGCATGTGTTGCTGTTGCTGTGTGTGTTTTCTGTACCTTGCATTATCAATACATACACCAGTAAACAAGTTGATTTGAGGCATGAGGTGAGATTGTGCTAGCTATAGTTTCAAATTTAGAAATGGGAAATGATAAGGTAAAAATAATATCTGCAAAATTTAATGATTGTATCAAAAAGTCCAAAACGGCAGTTCCTTCCTTGTGATGTGTTGTGAACTGTTGTGTGTGGAAAAATCATCACCGGCTATATATGAGATGACTTCCATTGAGATTGAGATTGCGTTGCCATGACATTAATAAAAAATTAAAAGTAACTGGCACACATCAAATCAGTACTTATGTGCTGTTTGTGTCAACTCCCACAATCTTTATTTTGCCTGCAACTTTTGGTCGACGAGAAAAAATGAACCAGTGCAGCCGATTATTCTAGAAGAGTGGTTGAAATTTGAAAGAAAAAAAAACAAAAGAGGGAGAGAAAATAGAGATGTTGCATTGCAGAGAGACTGCCCAGAAGTCAGATCACAGGAGGCCTTTTGCTGTCTCTTTAAATGCTACCACATGAGAGTGTCATAAGTTTTTGTACTTCAAATGAGACATTCACATGCTCAAGAATATATTGCACTAGTTGTTGTGTACATGGAAAATGCTGGCCCTCAGGGAGGGAAAAGTCTCAAAGACATCGTTTTCATTGAGGCATATATTAAACTGTTCTGTGTCAAATTTCAGAATAATTGATGCCTATAATTTTTGTGACAAGAACAAATGAAGCTCCAATGTAAAATGGCAATGTGTTCTGCTGGGTACGAGGGGAGTGAGACAAGAGGAAAAGCATGATTTGACAATTCACAGAGAGTAATGGTGAAATCTCTTCTCCCTGAAGTGTCACAACAAATGGAACAGGTTTTCAAGGCAAGTACTAGCATTCAATTAGGTGCGTGGCGCGTTTGAGCCGTTGATCTAAATGGCTCGCATCATCACACACCCAAACCAAATCAGATTTCACTTCACGCAAACCAAATCAAACACCTAGAAGAAAAAAAGAAGAGGGAGATGGTAGATGAGGGATTGAGAGAGAGAACATCACAACACAATTTCCATCCGGAAACATCAACTTAACCTCGCTTTCATATATTCATCGTGACAAAGCTGGCATGAAAAGAAAGTGAAGTACCTATAAGTTGTCACTCAACCTTTGGCTAGCTATGCTTTCTATGTTCACGTGCCTATTTAGTTCAAATCACAAATTTTAAATTGTCCGACAATTAAAGATTCGTGATCTTGCTTTACTAAAAAAATATGAGTCTTCCCTTTTCGACAACACGACTTAGATAACTACACCATCCAATCTAACTTGAATGATTAAGCCCCATCAGCACATTGCATGCACTCCATATATATAGCTAGTAGGATGCATATTCTCATCTTAATTTTCTTTTTTCGGTTGAATGTTTTCTTTAATTGAATCCTCGATCGAAAGAATCAGAGAAAAGAAGGAAATGATAGAGATATTGGTTAAGTTCCTTGCTTTTTGCCCAGTCGTCTATTGTTATTTTTGTAGTAGTGAATTCCCATTTAGTTTAAGAAAAAACGCAGAGAAAAAGAAAAGGAAGTTAAACAGCTAAAAAGATTTAAAACAAATCACCTGGTTTATGCTAGAACAAAACTCTACGTATTCTGTGGTCCAAGCTCACGAGGCACCTTCCTCTTTTCAAACCGAAATTTCTTTGGCATGGGAGGAGGTGAATTGACAAGAGCTAGCTTAATAACTAAGGCAGCAGCTGTGAACCATAATTTAGTTGCCGAGAGAAAAAACTTTAGGTCAAGTTGCATCAATCAAAATTCAAAACCAACTTTTTTTTGTTCAAGTTTACAAATTTCCATTTTAGTTTGTATTATTGATCAAGTTGATTAGAGAGTTGTGGTCACCTTTTTACGTGAGTGGTAGTACAATGTTTAAAAAGGAAATATGTGATTAGGAAGCCTAAGATGCTTTATCCTGTAAGGACCCAAAAGGCACAACCACTAGGGGCCTTTTACTATGGCCCTATGGGCATCACAAATTTGGGTTGGGTTGGTGAGAGGCAAGAAAAGCTTCTTCTTTCGTTATCTTCTCAAAGCACAATCATATTTAACTAGTCTCCATCAACCCACAAATTTATCCTTACCAAGCCTTTCTGCTCTCTCTCTCTCTCTCTCTCCCTCTCTCCTAAGATCGCATTTCTTGTACTTGGATCAAATCAACTGCCAAAGGGAGAGGAGACAAGCTAAAGCAAGAAGTGTATTATATTGCGATATTGCAAGACATTATTCTCTTTCAGTTAGGTCATCAAGAGTCAAACTCTGGATCCCAGTTGTTGCAAATTCTTTGAGACAACGGTTAGGGCCAATGCAGTACTTTAGGTAATATTCTCTTAACAAAGTGTCTCCCACATGTTATATACAAAGAGTCTTACATATATGTATCAAATCGTGAATTTAAACTACAAATTCAAAAGGATTCACCTTATCATCAATGTCATTGTTGCCATACTGCAAAAGTTTTGGCATTTTTTCTTTTTACGAAGTATAACCAGTACCTATTTCATGTTAAAAATTGAAGTTACCTTATGTGACAATGGAAAAATGTACATATCTCAGTATTTTAAAAATCAATGAGGAGGGGACTTGAACATGAGGAAACATGTTGTTGATGCTTTGGTAAATCATGGTGCTTTGGGCTCTGATTTAATTTGGTGGGATACTGCACCTTCTTTTATTTTGCCTTTTTGTCAGCGGGATTGGCTGGGCATGCCTACTTACCGGTTCTCCTAGTTTCTTTTGTTTACTCTTTCAGAGTTTCGGTCTCTTAGGTTAGCATGTTGTTGTGCATTTATGTCATTGTCTTTCTCTTATGCAGGGTTTGGTTTGGTCCCCCATGTTGTTCTTATATCTCTTTTTTGTTTCTTATTAATAAATTATGATCAAGGGGACGGGCGGAGGGCTTCTAGAGTGTTGGTCCCCTCTTTGAGGGTGGTGAATGTTTGTGCATCTGATAACCGATACTGAGGAGCTAATCTCGTCTAATCCTTTGGTTTATTTAAAAAAACATGAGGAAACATTAATTTGTCCTTCTTATAGTTTCTAAACTAGCAAAATCACAAGACGTCAAAAGAGAAAAGTTGATTGTCGGTTTCTATTGCTCACTTTTATTCTGGTGAACTTAGTTCGTTCAATTCCTCTTCTAACGTTAAGATAGAGGTAGCACTAGACTAATAGCTAGTTGATACTGCAGTTCGCCTAGACAAACTTCAGCTAAGCTGTTTAGTAAATTTAGACGCACCCACATTACTTCTTAACATGGTTAAACTTTCCCTGATTAATGTCTCCTTATATCTTCAAGGACATGGGTATTGGAGATGTTCAGTAGACTTGATATTTAGTTGAATTTTGGCACCCAAAACAAAAAAAAGTAAAGCTGCATGCAGTTGTGTATCGAACCATCAGCCACCACGTAATAAACAAAAATGGCCAAGAGTTGGCATGGTCTTCCATCGATATCAAATACCAGCATCACCTAACCACATGTCTATCCATGTTAACATGTACGGGGTTTATTTCTAACTTTTTAACCAAAAATTCAACTCACACTTGTGCATGTACAATTGGTACACAAATTTTTTTTTTAAAAAAAAAACACATAAAAAATCATATGAAATGATATTGATGTAGGTATTTTAAGTGCTATTACACAGGCAAAATTATATCATACATCTTACAGATAAAGTACGATTGAAATCATCATTTGTTTTTGTAATTAATCAAAGTCAACAATATTAATGTCTGTACTTTTTGTGTGTGTTGTGTAAGTTTGTGATTGCATATCTCATATCTGTGACAAAATTTTGGAAAACCATCATCGAATCTTGGGTGGCAGTGGCACCAACTATTGTCTTCTCTGTTTATGTGACAATGGACTATAACAATTTTTTTTTTTATTAACTACAAAAGAGTCGATAATTTCACTACTTTTTAGAGAATGAAAAGAAAAAAATACAAGCAAATGCTCAGAATTTCAGTACTTTCTATGATATATTTGGGTGCTTATGTCATTTATAACTACATTATATTTAGGGTTTTTTTGTAGCAATGGTCCCCCTACTATATTTGGAGTTACATTTTGGTCACTCAACTCTAAAAATAGTTACAGAGGTCACTCAATTAGGTGTTATGTTACACCATTAGTCCCTAACGTTAGAGAGACTTGACGGTAGGGACTAATGGTGCAACACAACACCTAATTGAGTGACATTTGTAACTATTTTTTGGAGTTGAGTGACCAAAACTCCGAGTATAGTTAAGGGACCATTGCTACAAATAACCCTTATTTATTTATTTTTTGTTATTTTGTTTTTATAAATATTTAGAATAAATTTCCAAGTTTACTCATGAATTTAATTGAAAAATAGACAGATTTGACGAAAGTCACTAGTAATGCAACACCATACATAATTGGGGGACCTCTGCAACTATTTTTGAAGTTGAGAGACCAAAATGTAACTAGGGATATAGTTCAGAGACCATTGCTACAAAAAACCCTTATATTTATCACCACATCCGCATGTACCATGGTAGAATGAAATTGAATGACAAGTCGAGTGGCATGCAAGTAAGTTAGTTTTATGAAGTCCTTTCTTTGATAATTTTCCTCACACGATTAAATGGTATTGGCGTGTGAGAATGTGAATGTGAAAATATCCCACATTTTAAAAAACCTTGTAAGGTACTTCTAATGAGTTTGCCCCCCCCCCCCCCCCCCCCCCCCCCACAAAAAAAAAATTTCAATTGGTTTTCATGGCATTAGAGCAAATTTGCCCACGTATGAAAGTCCAACAGCCATACATGCTCCACGTCACCCAAAATATGTTGTCCACATGTTAGGGTTGAAAATTCGTCATACGTGCGGGGGCGTGTGAGAATGTGAAGATGAAAATGTCCCACATTTAAAAAATCTTGAAAGGTACTTATAAGAAGTTGGGTTATTCCCTCCATTAATTGGTTTTGGAGTGGAACCTCAATTTCCTTCACGGTTGACTGTACTAATTTGAGATGTCATTTTCTTTGTTAATTTTTCCTCACACGATTCTTACCAAAGATGCCATCATATAACACAAGTAATATATACATCATCACTAACATGCAAACATAAGTGGAATTGGCTGGTGCCAGTGGGATAAAAATTGCAAGTTATCACGGGCATGCCAATTTGGCAATTGCTACTTTGGATGGGAATTTGGTGAAAATCTGATATATAAAAGAGCAAGAAAACAAGAAGATAATTATAATGGTAGAATTTTCCGTACAGGGTTGGCAAGGTGACCTTTCATTTTCGAGTTTTAGGGAGATGAAGCTAGCTAGACAATTGTTGTTGGCATCGTATCAATGCGCCCCACAAAACCATCCTTTTAGTATCACTTTAGGGTCCACACAGTACATATTATCAGGCCTTAATTACTGCTTAGCTGTTCATTCTATATTAAACCAATCGCAGTTATGGGTGAGAGCAAAAGCTTTCTCATCATATTTAGCATCTAGGGTTTTGCCTTATTTACACACAGAAACGTAAAATTTCTTTAATTTTTATGCTAATTATGAGTTGTGAGGTTGTTGGACGATCAGTTCACAACGACCATGTTTTGTGTTCACCACTAGCTTTTTTTTTCTTTTTTCTTTTTTCTTTTTAATCAGAACCACTAGCTAGTTAGTAAGTAATGACAACATTAGCAATAATAATACGTACAGTACAACCCCACTTCCTGTCCATGGAAGAAGTGAATAATAAATTATAAGAAAAATAAAATAACTACCAACTAGCTTTTTGTAATATTTTTATTCCTTTTTTTAAAAGTACTTTTACTGTTGAGAGGGACAATAATATACTAAACTCATACCGTACAACCCAGAACTTTTCAAGTCCAAACTCCCTTTCCCTGCTGCTAAACAAAAAGAAAAAAAAGTTAATTGGATTACTGTGCCTACTAGTAGTTAAGACTACTAAAGCAAGAAAATGGAGGATTAGATGCTAATATGCTATAAATATACATCTAGGGTTAGGGCTTGGTCATTGCCACCACAAAGCCATAAGCTCTTTTTCCTTCTCTCTCTCTCTCTCCTCTCTCTCTCTCTCTCTCTCTCTAACTTCCCCACCAACTTCTAATCACTTCATCTTTTGATTCTGAGTCAAAAACCCAGCCAGTAAATTTCATCAAAATGTCAAAGAGGATCATCTAGAGAGAAATTAAGAGAGCCAATTAATAAAGAAGATCTTGAATAGCCAGCGATCTAATTACAAAAACTTAAATGAGGAAGCGACAAGTAGTTGTGAGAAGATCAGAAGAAGGTTCAGCAACTTCATCTTTCACGATGCGGAGCGTGAGATATGGAGAGTGCCAGAAGAACCATGCCGCCGGTGTTGGAGGCTATGCCGTTGATGGTTGCAGAGAGTTCATGGCAAGTAACGGAGAGGAGGGCACAACTGCTGCACTCACCTGTGCTGCCTGTGGCTGCCACCGGAACTTCCACAGACGAGAGGTGGAGACTGTCTGCGAGTGCCCTTCACCTTCAGCAAATGGGGCTTAATTAAACAATCAAGCAGCTCATGATTTCTGTAAATGTAATTATTATAATTAAGTATGGGTTTGGGAGTGTTGTGTTTGTTTTTCTGGTTTGATGATGATATGAAAATAGGTAGACGGCCTACTATATATATATAAGTGTGTGGATGGAGAAAAAGGTATATGTTGATTTTTGTATTTCCCAGTTGATTTAAGCGTGTGCAGCTTAAAAGAAAACAACAAACAGTTTTGGTGTACTATCATATGAGATCAGGATGTGCATTACATGATGATCATGAAGCAGTGAAAAGAAAAGGTATGTTGTTTAATCAAAGGGTGTACACAGACAAGTCACCTACCTGGCTAATAGTTTCTGAATTTATCATCTGTATTTGATTCTTGTATTTAATTACATACCTATTTGAAGCCTCTTTATTTCTGTGATTCATAAGTGTATATAATTTTAGCATAAATTCATTTGTAGTGCTGACTGATCTTAATAGTAAGTTCTGGAAATCCTCCTGCTAGAATTAAATTAACCCAAATCTCAAATTAATGTGGAAATGTTAAGATTACTTTGTATTTAAGATTGAAGGCCCACATATATCTAATCATGTTGGTGGTGGTTATAATGGAGGGGAAAACGTACTTGAAAGGTGATTAAAGCTTAAACTAAATCATCCACTAATGCTGATTTAGCTAATTTGATCATCTCTTTTGGTAGGTCAAGTCAAGGTATATTTTGATTATCCCAAGAACCAAAAACGAAGAACGAACGTTGGAGAAAGCTCCACGAGGCTCTCACAAACACAAGCTCATTTCTTTGGCAAATTTACATAGAACATGAGGAAGTTGGAAGTTGGAAGAAAATTATGAAAACCATGTGCATATATTTGTGTTTCTCTTAGAAATGATTCCCTTTTGTCATTTGGTCATCAAAGGATCTGAAAATGGCAATTGCAGAACTATATGTGTACAAGGTTTTCTTTTTCTCTTCTTTTTCCTTTTTGATGTTCGTAGGGTTTGATGTTGTTTTTTTTTCATGTGAGTTGTTGTAATCAAAGTTAGGCCTTGAGAGTATGGAGAGGGAACAAACGTTCTGGTATACATTACATTGTATTTGAGTCGATCGGGTAGATGTCAATTCTATGATATGAAAACCTCAAAGCAGTATGTACGTATGCATGTTCTACTTGCTTCTTGGGGGCCAAATGAATGCTTATAGTAATAAGGTAAGACAGAGAGCCATGCACCCCACTTTGCCAAGCAAAGAAACCAACTAGTGTTTGTTTTCTTGGCCATGGAGAGTTTGGCCAATTCTCCATGAGATTGACTCTTGAAGCCAATAGGATCTAGTTCTATGGTCTCAAGTTTGAACACTCATGTCACCTTGATAGTGTGTATTAAGTTTGAACACTCATGACATCATGGTAGTGTGTATGACAAAACCCTCCTTCACTTGTATTCAACAACAAAAATCTTATTGTAAAACAAGATGTCAACGTACAAGTTTTTCATCCCAAATTTGCTATAGAATGTCCTTACTTTGTAGCTAACTGGATAGGGATAATTATGATACTTTTTTATCAAAACCCTAAAAAAGTCCCAAATACAAATTGTTGTGTGCGCGCATGACAGAGTCTGAAACTTCGAAGCAGGAAGTGTTTCTTGTAAATGTTCGCATCACAACCAGGGCCAAATGTTCAGGACTATGGGCTTTAAAGTTTTGGGTTGAGTTTGGGAGCTCGAAATACAAATTTTAAAGGGACCAAACTCTTGATTTGGGACCTTTGGGCCGAGGGAGAGCTAAGAGAACCAGAACGATTTCAAATCCCATCAAAGCAAATTTCTTGAACCAAACTCCCCAAGCCATCTTTTTTGGTCAATACATAGCCCACAAAGAAGTCAGCCCCACTTTTGATGATGTGATAAGTTTGATCTCCGTTAATATTATAATTATGGATTTCAATTATGAAATTTGGTCCAATTTCGAATTCTGGTTTTGCTCAAATTGAGGTAAATAAATCTACAACACTGTTTCCTCAGGAAAAAAAACACAGCGCTGTGGGGTTTTGGCAATCATTTGAATTGTGTCACACGCAACCCTAGCGCCATTATCCTAGAATTTAATGCTTTACCAAACTTGTAGAAAAATAAGGTGAGTTAGAATCTCAGTGAAAGATCGAGCTTGACCTAATTCATAGAGAAGATGATGGAGCATTGCAATTAACCAAAGTTGGCAGCACAGCACAGCATGTGAATTGAAAAGATGATGGGCCACAGTTTCCATTTAGGGTTAGACAAAGGACCTTCTTTCTTGCTATATTTCACGTAGGATGGGATCAAAGTCCATACATACCAATACCATACGTCCAGTTACACATGACGTTTCAACAGTATATAATATATAATCAACTGTCATTTGGTTTTGGGCTTCTATTATTAGTCTTCTGCAATTTTTACGTAACCCAGTGGAGATTACATTCAACATTATTTTATCAAAAGCTGAGATAATATATTAGAGAGGCACAGTTTTTTTTTCTCCACAGTTAGGAAGAGAGAGAGAGAGAGAGAGAGAGAGGGTTTTCGACATACGTACTCTATTAAGATGTCATGGAAATTCAAATATGAAACCACTAATCTACAAGCCAATACTCTCATCTCAGTTTTACCGTGATGTAACGGATGCCTAGGTTTCAGCTAGCAGTAAATGTCAATAATAATGATATGATGGTGCCACGTGTTGTGAAAACATCCATATATATCATATTCACTCTCCATCTAAATGGTGCCTTACATAATTAAGTCTGAATATATGTCCTTCAGTTCATTTTTATATGTCTTTGTCGCACCTAGAAAAGAGATGAGAAAGGTAAGGTAAAAACAAATAACGCTAATTAAGAAATATTCTATTTATCAAGAAAAACAAGAAATATTCTCTCTCTCTGGCAGCTAAGAGAGAGAAAGCTTCCGATTTGTGGGGTTTTTGTGTGGATTTCATCAGATATTTGGTGTTCTTCGAATTTCGGCGGATTTATGTTTATCTACTCTTCTTTTGGCAGATCTATTATCTCATATGTGAGCTAGCTTTGGTTGTGTATCATCTTGCGATGCTGCTCTCTATGTCATGTCCTAAAGAATTAGTGGCGATTGGTTTTACTTTGTTGGCATTGTTTTAGTTTTTTTTTATTCTAGTTTCTTTTGTTCAATAAAGTCTGAAAGCTCTATGCGTTTCCTCATAAGATTCCACAAACTTAGTTGAGTTTGCTGAGTGTTCTCTTGAAGAGAGTCATGCAGGTTAGTGGGTAGTTTTTATCATTGATGTCATTGGTCTAGATTCGAGGATATTATGGTGATTGAAAAGGGTTATATAAAATTTATTTTCGAGAGTGATTCTCTCCATATCGTTTTAGCTTTTCGAATGGATCAGGTCACTAGGAAGTTTTACTCATGTATGCCATATTGTTATTGAGATGGCTCCCTTTACATCTGTGTCCTCTATACTATTTATTCCTATTGATCTAATAAAATACTATCGCATTTTATCAGAAATGTCCTATTTTCTTAAGCAAGTGTGCAACCTTTATTCTCTCATAAAGGTTGTATATACTTCTTCTTATCTTCTTCTGCAGAAACAAGGCTACAAAACTCGTCGGAATATAAGATATATGGAAAGGTCAATTTTTGCTTTTGCAAACGTAGACTGAAAAAAAAGAGAAAAAAAAAAGCATTGTGCTGGATTTCATTGTGGATCTTGAAGACATCGTCACAACGTAAGGAAAATACATATAAACCCAAAGTAGTGAGAAATAATTAAGCTGGAAGTTAGGGTTATGTGTCCAAATTTATAAGAGTGTATTGAGATTAGGGTGATAAATTATAAGGAATATATATATATATATATATGAACGATAGAGATTGTCCAAAGAACATTGTTAGGACCACAAAGTCACTAAGCATTAATCTTTATGCTGCAAATAATTGTGTGGTCCTTCATTGACTTGCAGTACTTTTAACACTGTTTCCTTTTCAAACAAATATTATGTTTGCATGCTTATGATGTTAATGGTAAATATACAAAGTAGTTCAAGGTAGCTAGCGTGGTAAATAAACTAATTGAAAAGGACAGATGAATCCTTTGTTGTTGTGGTTCTGAAAAAGTTAAAAAAGAAAATCACATCATGGAGGAATGTACAGCTGCTCCCTGCGTTGTGTTAATATCAAGCAAGTGGAGGAGGGTCTTTGTGTTTTGGGTTTATAAATCATGAAAGGTTTGATAATTAACACATTGCTTTCCTCTCTCTCTCTCTCTCTCTCTCTTCCTTTTTATTCTTTTTTTCCATGATCGATTCAGCTGTAACCTTCTTTCTTTAACCCACCATCCCCAACGGAGGTATAGGTTAAATAATTGTGTATCGATGTGGAGGATGTTAACCTCCAATCACCATCGATCCAAATGGACATCACGGGGTAACAAGTAACAACCACCACAACTTATTTTAAAGGAGAAACATTCCTAATTCTAGGATTTTCAAACTTACTTTTTTAATTTCTCAAAATTGTTATGTGTGCTTTATACTTTTGTTTTGGATTTGTAATCTATAATTTTTTTTTTTTTTTTTTTTTTTTTTTTTTTTTTTTTTTCACAAGTATAAAATACAAGTAGATACTAGAAAACAATCAAACACCCAACTCATAAGGAGTTTATGTTATTACAAAATAAGAAAACTGCAAACAAACAATCAAAAATCAACAAAGTCACTACCGTCGTTGTTGCCACCGCCACTACAGACATCATCGCCTCCTTAGAGATTTGAACATAAGAACTTGGATACATAAATAATTGCTTTTAACCACTAAAGCTACAAGTTACTTGTCATTCTTACGAGAGTTTAACTAGAGATGGAAGTTTGGTGTAAAACTTAAATACAAAAAGGGCCTTGGTAGGCCTTCCCTAGTCGTTGGAGCTTTCTTCAAAAGTGACTCGGTGCTAATTTCCCCACTTTGCATTTGGTTTTTTGGATTATGCAATTCAAGACGACCCATCCAGTGGTCTAGAGAGAATCCACTAGTGTAAAGAAATCCCTATAGTGACCCAAAATATGGCTATAAGTTTGAAAGCTCCCCTATGAGAATCCAAGGAAAATAGACTAGACTTCACAAATAAAACTTAATTGCCCCCTCCTAACGAAGATGAGATTATAACACCACACAACACCATACAAAAACAAAGTCATCTCATCTCATGTGCCTCAAATTCAATTTCTGTGCTTATTCTATCTGTTATCCACTTCCCCCAGTTCCCTGTACTGTTTTCTCTCTTTAAATCACATGCTGCCATACCACACACACATAATTTAAGCACATTGAAATCGTTTTTCTTCTTCTTTTTATAAATATAACAACACATGGAGGAGAGCATCATCTTTTCTGGCACTCATTTGGGCAAACCGATCCAACAGTGTCCCAGTCACGTCTTGCCTGGACTTGCATTTCAGGGGAAACATACTGCATGATGACTCTCAAAGTAAAATACATATGCTTCTCTCATTTCATATCATCCCCACCACTCCATTTTCTTGACAGTAACATTTTCTGCTAGTGTTGCAGGAATCTTCTAAGTCGATGTAATTAATTAACATCTAATTGCCTCGCAAAATCTACCATTAAGTACAAACCCTAAACTTAATCCATTTGTTTCTTTCTTCACAAGCAATTCTGGGCCAGGAACAAAGTTACAAATCATCCACAGCTTGTTGGGAGGATCAAATCCCAACATCCCAAAAGCTGACTCTCCATGTGCGTTGGAGAGGTGGGTTCCATTACCTGTTTCTTGCATTAGTTAATCAGTACCATGTAATTATGGTGCAGTTTTAATTAGCTTCTGGCTACTCTCTCACCAAACCCATGCTGCTGCCATATATTTTCCCATTCTGGTAAAGGGTGACGTGAAAGATAAATTACTTTGTCACTTTTTTTTGGTTTAGAATCAAATGACTTGTTCACTTTCAACTCCCTCATTAGGCAATCATTCTCATTCCACAATAACTGATTTTCTTTAATTGGACCCTGTATATTCCTACAACTTCATTCACACTAAATGTGAAGAAAAGGGTCTCTCTTCCCATTCAATTATGAAAAAAATTCATAGATTTTGAATGGTCCCCCCTCCCAACTCATGTACTTACTATCATAATTAACCACCCGATCATTCTGGCATAGTTCGCAGCATCTTAATGAAGTTTGTTAAATTACAATTAACCGACATCAACATGCATCAACGGTTAAGATCAACTTTCGTGCTGGTGAGAATGCAAAGATAATACAACGGCCAACCCACACTTGTATGGGTCGTTTCTTACTAATATTATTAATGTAGTTGCGAGTTCTACATCCACAACGGTCAAGATATATCCAACCCCATGTGTACATGCATCAACGGTGAAGATTAGCCTCTCCGCGTACTAAAATTGTTACGGGTAATTGATCAGAACTTTATAAGTTAATTTGACCGTTTGATGCATTTTGAGCTCCACGTACACCAATGGTCATTGGTCAAGATCAATCTCGTACGAGTTTTTATTTTTATTTTTAACATTGCTCTAAACTTTTAACTAAGGATAGGCAAGTCTAGAACCACGTCTCATGGAAAGGGCCATCCCCATTTGCCACTAAAACGCCCAAAAGGGTAATTGACTGAGCGACCCATACTTGGCAGTTGGAGTGAGGAAAGGGCATGCAGGCACTGGACACGCCCCCACAAAAACAAAATTACTGACTTCATGAATGACAAAACACCAAAACAAACCCACACAGTAGGGGTGTGGTGGAAAAGACACTTGATATTCAAGTACCACTTGCGTCATCATCATCATCTGTAAGATTATATTATAAATTAATTCCATTAAGAAAATATAATCCATCTGCTGCTTCCCTTAAAAGGTAAGTGACAAAGCCATTACTACATCTCCAAGTTAACCAACTTACCTTATTAGATTATGCTTGTTTTAGCCAATTAATCATTACTTTCGGATCAGATTAACTTTTTAATTAAAAAAAACACTTAGAGTAGCCCCTAATCGTGTTGTAGCCTATCATCCAGAACCAAACCCACCAAAAGTGACACATTCGCATCCCTTTTCCTTCCTGTATGCATGCCTTTTTTTTTATTTAAAGGCATCAAATATAAGGTCATAACTATGAATATCCATGGCAGCGCCATATGGTCCGTAGGGTAGGCTCCATACCCATAATATATAACAAGCCAACCTAGTTAAAAATTTGGTGAAAAATGAAAGAGTAATAATGGGGATGTGGGTTTTGATAAAAATGGTTTCTTTAGATCTCTCGGATCATTCTCTAGCTTGATAATTAAAAGCAAAGAAATGCGTAAAGATAAAGGATAATCTAGAATAATTTGCAACTGCCCCCAATCTTATGTTTTTGCGCTAACACTTTCTGCTTCTTTCTATCAGACACAAGATAAGAAAATCTCTCTGTGATGAGACATTAGATTCAGAGATTACAAAGCTCTCTCTCTCCTCTCTCTCTCTCTCACCTTCTGAAAAAGAAAAAGGGCACTCTGCAATTCCACTGCAGCTTATTCTCAGAGAACATGAACATTGAAAAAATTCATTACTTTTTTGTTTTTGGGGTTCCACAAATAAACCAAGCTTCACATGATTAAATTAATACACAAAGAAAAAATAAATGATATCAGGGTATGAAACTGCTAATATCAAAACAGATAGAGATGGGATGAAGAGCAAGAAAAGTAATGAAGCTATGAAAAACTAACAGAAGATACGCAAATTAATTCCCTTTTTTTGGATCAATCAATCTCTCCCGTCCCAGGTTATCCTCACAAAGTGAAGTGATGATCGTCTCATTAATTAAACTAAACACAATGAGAAAGAGAGAAAAAAAGAAAATTAAGAGAGAGAGCAACTAATTAAGTAATTAAGTAATAGTACTGGTCTTACTCTACTGCTAAACTCCTTATTATTCATCAAAAGGATCAAGAAGAAGACGACGACCCATTGGTGCCAGCATGTCCCGCCGCACCACCATCAGTACCCTGGTAGTGATTTAGGTTCTGCATATCGCTGTTGTTGTTGTTGTCGTCGTCGTTGTGTTCATCATTTTCATCGTCGACGTTGTTGTTGTTGCCGTTTCCGTTGCCGTTGCCGTTGCCGTTGTTGTGAGCTTGCTCAAGCAGAATGTTGGGTCTGCTAACCCCACCGCTAAGACCACCGCCACTGCCATTGATGACGTCTCTTTTGGCAAAGGTGTTCTTATTGTTGTGCATCCAAACCTTGAGAACCCCTTTGTCCACATTAATCTCATTGCAAAACTCCTGCACAATCTCCTCGTCCCGCTTCTGCATCTTCCACCCAACCCTCTCTGCAAATTGGTACATCTTGTCCTTCTGCTCCTGGCTGAACTTGGTCCTGAACCGCTTCCTCGCGTTCGGGCTCGGCGAAACAATTGGGGGTTGAGGACTATGATGATTGTTAGGACCGCCCAAAGCGTTTTCATGAGCCGTCGAAAGAGCCAAGAGCATGTGGGGGGCAGAAGGGTAGTAAGAAGACGAGATCGGGGGCGGGGAAGCCGAATTGGGGCTTCGATTTCCTCCGTGAGTCGGCGGCGGAGGATGGTGGCGATGGTGGGGCTGGTACTCGATGACGTGCGTCGTGGCGGCGGCGGTGGATGGCGGCATGGGGTCTTCGGGGTCACGGCGGTGGAAATTGCGGTGGCAGCCGCATGCAGCGCATTTTAGCGAGGTGGGGTCGGTGGGTATGGCCGTTGGAGAGGGCATGAACTCGCCGCAGCCGTCGAGAGCGTGGCCGCCCAAGGTGGCTGCGTGGTTCTTGAGGCATTCTTTGTAGGTGACGATGACCGGCGTGATGGGGATGTTGTGGTGGTGAAGGTGGTGGTGGTGGGGGTGGGGGTGGGGGTTGTGGCGTTTGAGGACGCCGTTGCTGAAGGACAAAGGCTTCGCGGGTTGGATCCGGGTCGGGGTTTCGCTGTCTGCTTCCGGGGATTTTGTGCTGGTGGTGTTGTTGGTGGTGGTGGTGATGGAAGGGGTTATATCCATCGCTCGAACATCTAAGGTGTCCAAAAAATAGAGCACAAAGTCAAAAAATGAAACAGAGAAAAGCTAAAAAGGCAGCTGCTTTAAGGGGTTAGGGTTAGATTTTTATACAGATTATTGCTTTGAGCAACCATGGGAGCTCAGAGGGTGTGAAGAAAGAGAAGAAAAAAATAAGGAGGAGTGAGAAAGAGGGTAGCTTTTTGGGAAGAAGGAGAAGGAGAAGGGAGAAGGAGCTTAGCTGAGAGGATGATGATGATGAGCAGTGATGACTGTCGATAATAAAAATCTGGGTTTTGTGGTTGTCCTTCTTAACCACTTGTTGTTTTAACCCTGGTTCTAATCCATGGTTAAGTTGCTGACCCCACCTTGGGGTTAGATCGATGTTGTGTGTAATAAATATACCTTAGCGGCTTTAGCTCCATTGAAATTGACCCCAACAATTTCTCATTATGATTTTAATCAAATCATGGACTTAAGAGAGGCTTATATTTCAAGTCCTAATCATGGGTCATGTCTGTGATATGGAATAGTCAAAACAGTGTTATTTTCGTGACATGCAAATTCTTCTCTTCATAAACTAAAAAACCTATATGCTATAAGAGTAACATTATTTTCATATACCACCATGCATGATAAGGATTCCACATAACCAACTTCAATGAATAAAAATATAAAATAGTATTATTCCCGTAACATGCAAATTAATCTCTCTCATAAACCCTTTTGGTCTTGGGATACAACCCTCGGAATTAAGGAAGCATTTTTGAGCAATAATTATTATGACTCGGTTGTAGACCAGGCCGAGTTGAGCCGGGTAGTTGTTCATGATGTGAATGAATTAATAAAAACCTAAGGTGATGAGGCCCTGCAAATCTCAGACATTGACTGTAACCCATCTTTAATTTGGTCAAGTTGCACAGTGAGCCCCTGGACCGCTAACCTTTTCAAATTTGTTTTTGCCCCCCCCCCCCCCCCCCCCCTTTACACTTTTTGACACACTACGGCATGAGCAAAAAGACCATTTTACCCTAATTCACAAACCACAACGGTACATGATTGTAATTTACATCCAACGGGGCCTTTTGGCAATGTTGGCTTTTTAGAACGTTAGGGGAGCGAATCCATAAAAAATCCAGGGTGTTTAGGACACCACGTCCCTATAAATCAAAAGTATCTTTGTCGGTTTGAGAGAATTTTCGGACGCTGAACGGGAGTTTGTCCAGATAACATTTTGGACTTCTCAAGCCTAAACGACATCGTTTCCCTGCAGCCTTTGGCCCTGCCTTACGTAAACCGTACCGTAAAACTGGGTCGGCAGCGCAGAATTCTGAGACACTCGAATTTGGAGCTTAGTGCATGAGCTTAATCATACTTAATACGTAATAAACCGCCTTTAGACAACGCCACGTGTTTACGGATAAGTATGTGGCGACACGTGTGCTACACTTGGTCCCTTGCTTGAGCCACGTGGCCCCGTAAACCGGTAGTCAACATTGGTCAGCGTTAATAATGAATTAAGATAAGGTGAGGGGAGTGCTCCGGCGTGCTTGCAGGACTATCGTAGCGTGTGGTGCGGTGCGGTGCGTAACTTTTTCCTGAAAACCGTTTGGGTGCACTGACTTCGGTGTCGTTTATAAATCATGGGATTATTGGACGCAGTAATTAAATTTAGGATTAGCGGTGGGAATGGTGAAGAGGTCGGGGATGACGTCGGCAGGCCAATCATGGAGGAGCTAAGGTTTAATCATCGAAGGGCGTGTTAATCCACAGCCGTTGCGTCCATTTTGCATCGAAACTCGCAACCCGTTAGTACGCAACCTTGTTTTTTCATGCGGCTACAAAATTAAGAAAACGGATATTGTTATTTTTGACGAATTATAATTTTTTGTCTCATGAATATGGATTTTGATGGTCAACAAGAGGTCCCTAAAGTTCAACCCTTTTTAAACAAATTCAATGGGTAAAATTATAAAACTCTGAAAAAGAATTCTGTTAGCCACACTGTGGGGAGCCTGGAGCCCTAAAAATCGGGAGTTGTGCGATGGCATCATTTGCACATCCTTAAAACCGATTCTAGTTAAAAATATTTACTTACACACCTAAAGTTTCTGAGTGTATGTCTCAATTCTTTCCATATCTTTAGTTTGTGAGGATGGGTGAAACTATTCATTCCAATTAGGGTAAGGGACTCTTGGGTTGGGGACATAAGGCACATGGGGCTTGCCTGTATCAGGATACATGCCTTAATTATAGGTTTAGACTCATTTTTCTTAGGCCCTCCACCACTTTTAAATTGCTAATGGAAAACAGAGCTGTGTTCGTGGTATGACTTTGTCCCAAGTTCCAAGTTGTGCACGCCTAAATCTACTGACTTTGCTCCCGGATTCACTGGTGGGGCCGATGATCTTCAAATGGGACCCAAATTACAACTCCTGAGCTTGCTAGCCAACCAAAGCTCCTAATCAATCCTGACCATGACCATGACCAGTGGCTGGTATAGGGACGCTCCACCTAGCTCATACCTACAAACTTCCCATCCTTAGGGACACCGTCAAATTTTGCTATGACTTCTACTTCCACTCTCCTCCCCTTTCCTCATTGCTTTTTAACCTTTCAATGTCTATATTAATTTCAGGGATAATTTGGCGGTGGCCTATGTTCCACAGCGAGGCCGGACTTAACAAGATTATTTTAATTAAAATGAACTAGTAGTTCAAGTTTCACAGATTTAGCGTTTTCAATAAATGATAGAATTTAATTCATTAAATTGGACAACAGTCTAACATGTTTGAACAAATCTCATATTTAGAAGAGCATAAGGAGAGCGGAACAAAGACAATCCAAGCCTGGAAATGACTTCGCCCCTCTATATACTAAACGTGCGATGCTATGAAACATTATTAGGACTCGATAAAGGATTTTGAAAATCGGAAGTATATGTAGATATAGGCAATCTTGTTAGGTGGGCCTAATTGAGATCAATAAGTAACCAAGTGCATGCACAAATCCAATTTAGCAATGGGTTATGGTCCAACCCAGAGTACTGGTATTGACTTAACCCTCAACTCAAGTTCTAAATGAAGACTTGTTGATCAGTGCAACGAAAGAGACACCACAATTAACTTAATTCGTATGTAGTGCAAAGTAACCCCAGACTTGGCACGTAGCGAAAAACAGCAACTCTAATCTTGCCTGTGTTTGAATTAACGTACGATTATCAAACTAGCAGAGAAGTCCCAGGTTTACAAACAATATGTTTTTTTTTCCTGTGTGTGTCGTCTTGAATCTTATCATAGGGTTGCAGATGACAAAATGTTGAAAATCCTACGAAATGCGACCTGAGTGAGAGGTGCCAAAGTGTGAAAGCTCAGCTACCCAATGGAAATCAATTGCAAAACCCTCAATCATTTAACGAAGGCCAGAGATGCATTTGGACCATGAGACCAATTTCCCTACCATCCCAAGTAATAATGGTGGTTTACATAAATACAACCTCCCCCAATAGTACACAATCATTGAAATATAAATGCGATATCGATGGCCATTTCCACATTATTTCGTTTCTTCTAAAGTTTTCAACTTTTAAGCTCTGGTTTACCTTGGGATATCCAAAGAGATTAAATACTGAGGTTGGTTTGTAAGTGAAAGGCACTGTCATCTCAAACCAAAGAGAAGAGTACGCTACACTAATTACTCTTGTAATTATTTTGGTCAAAGTAAAGGAAAAGTTAATTCACGCATCGAGTAGATAGATTCACAAGGAGCTATGGCTAGGAGTCTAGGAGTCAAGGAGTATTGTTGCGTCTCTTCATATTTGTTTAATGGTACTTTTACCTGAAAATTGACCCACAAAGGACAACAATATTGACGCTTTTTATTTTTTTATTTAACTCAAATGATATTCTACTTTAACGTAATCAAAACTACATTCAGGAAAATTCGAACTCTAGTGCGAGGAGCACATTCGTTTTCTAACCAACTTGGCTAAACCCGTATCTATAACTTATTAGTAGGATTTTGATTTTTATTAATTTTGAGAATCACCGATTTGCTCAATTGCCTGATCAACCCAGCAACTACTTGCCAAACTATTCAAAACCTGACCATTCTCTCTTGTGCTTAAAAAGTCAAAAAGATTTAAAGAATCAGGTATTTGGGTTCCAATTCCTAGTACTTAATTAAGTAGGATTTTTCTAGATGTAGTTGGTGCATGTAGACTTAACTAACTACCAAGTCCTAATCATAGATTCTTCAAGAATTAATTTCTTACATATATATGATATGACCAAGACTAGATAGAGCTAGGCCATAACAGGTTGGTTTATTTAGGACGGTTGCTCTACTTGTTGTCCTTTTGCCAAACCTCGGATTCAAAACCAACAAGATATCATACATTTGGGGGTGGTGATATTTCAAACTAATAGGGTCGTACGCGGTAAAAAACAAGCTGCCTGCATGAGCTCACATTGCTTTTCTAACAGTGTTCCTTTTTTGGGTAGGCAATAAATGAGATATATTGACCTTTGTCAAATTGTGAAAATAAAGAATATTATTAATATCAACCAATTAAAATGACTGCATATCAGAAAATAATGTAAACAGTAGGATTGAGGAGTTGTTTTTTGTGTTTTTAGCACAAGCGATAGTGTCTAAACTATAAAGAGGAGAATTTCTCACGCACACACAACTATGATGACATAGAAGTTCGAATCTGCAATCTCTAGTATGCAAATCAAAATCATTTTTCACTGGACTAGACTATATTATCAGTAGAATCGAATAGTTAATATGTGGAGATGAGACATTTTGCACTTTTGTTTTTGTTTTCCCATATATGTGGTCTATGACCTACATGGAGGACACATCGGTAATTTCACATTAAGTTATTAATGTCCATTTTGTTTTTTATTAACTCATGAAAAACGGAAGGGTTGAGTTGAGACTCTGGGCATGAAGTGAGTACAACTCCAATGGGCACGGCAGCTAAAATTATTGCAGAGAGCTTAGCCCCAAAGATGAGTGTGCAAGAGTCAAAATCATGACCTATGTTTCCAGAAACACAATGTTGATTGAGCTACTACCCACGAGGAGGATGAGGTTAGGCAAATTATGAAAGAAACAAACTTGATTGACAGATTGTGGTTTCTTACACAAGGCAATAATTGTTATGATGCCACTTCTCCTACCAAGTTTCACACGTATAATTGAACCCAAAAACAAAAAGGTCTTGACTTGCAGTAGTGGTCTCCTCTCAGGTTTGAACTCGGTGACACTATGGTAGTGCGTGTGTGAGAAACCCCCCTCTCATTTGTAGTTTAAACTATCGCTTATATTAACATAAATCTTCCAATTAATTGCCTAATTAGCAAGTTAAAACATGGACCCTGGAAGACCACATAAGGAAGGCAGGCTGAGAAGGGCATCATCATCGCCTGATCTCATGAAACATCAGAGCTTATCCCATTAATGGCGTCTGACAAGTCCACCTAATATAGTCCTTTCATGTTGGTACAGACTGTAATTTCTCTGGACCTGAATCAAACTCATATGAGGTTGAACCAGATGCTGCTGGTCCTGCATTCTGTCGGCCCCGGAAGAGAGTATTGTACCATCGTCTTCAAGTTCAGTCCCGGTCGGCCGTTTGAAACGTTGGCTTGGATTGTATTATTGTTGGATTAGTAAGAATAATGGTTCATCTTTGATCCTAATGCGACTGAATTACTGCCCAATTAAATGTGGCCAACCACTGGGCTGGGATTCATGTTTCTATTTGTTATAGTCCGGTGACCACTCTAGTCCTGCATCCAAATAAAACCCAATCTTCAACCTCGAGCAGAAACAATTAGGTACAAAGAGGCCCAATGAAAGTTTGGTCCCACCCCAATATAATAATGGCTTATAACTTTTCGGGGCCCAGAAGTAAGAAACTCTGTCAGAGGATGCACATGCCCGTAAAAGTTAGACCCAAGTTTACCTTTGGGTCAAAATGTAAGTTATTATATTTCCAATGGGCCGGATCAAGCAGACCCAAAGAATGGGGGCCTCTCAAACAAAGGAGTTTCTATAAGAGCAAGTCCACTGCAGCATGGCCGGGCAGAGAGGGACCCTCGCCAGCGAGACGACTCCAGTGCATGCAAAGCAGCCTAGGCAAGACACGGGGGCCACCAACCCGGGTAAGCCCAAAGGTAGATCCAGACCGTGCTGTTGCCTGGGTTTGTTGACGCCAAGCTGGCGTCAGTGTGCTTTTCAAATTTGTTTTCCACTACTACAAGACATGTTGCAGCACCTGGGGTGTTGAATCAAATTTTCCATTGTAATCCAACCACTACCATTTTTAATGTGATAAAAATTGAATAAAATACTAAAAAATTCGGAATTTTTTTCTTTAAAGTTTAAATAATAAAATTAATTTTTAAAGTTTAAGTATTAAAAATAGAAAATAAATTAAAGTAAATAGTAATTGCTCTTACCCTGGGTGGAAACAAAATTGCAAGGGCTGCCACTATTCACATAAATAGTGACAGCCCTTGACTAACCCTTGCCCATAGGGGTGGAAGTGCTCTAAGGAGTGGGCTAGGTTGAGAGAGCGTTTGAAGGGGTTCAATTCAACCGTCCAATGTTAAGAAGTTTATTGACCATAGGATGACTATTAAGAACCCCTCATTGATCAAATGCCGCGTGTAAATATTTGTGACATTAATAAGACAAGGGTTTATTAAATCTTCCCCCAAGTAGGAAAAAGATAGAAGTTGGAGTAAGAGTTAGTCATGTGGGTTTAAACTAAATTTAGGCCCCTCCCATGTGGAAGTTGAATCATACTCACATGAAACAACATGAATACTGGGAATAAGCTAATACCTGTTGTCCTCCTTTCCGTGATGTACCGTGCAATACACGACCCTTTGTTGGAGGGTCTTCAATTTGACTCATTTTTATATTCCAATTGCAATTTGCATAAAAGCAACATCCATTTCATATGCAATTTTGTTGTTTCTCAAGTTGGTGCCTTCCAATTGCCAAGTGCCAATTCCAATTTAAGAAAGCACTCTTTATTTGAGAGAGGATGGAAATCAAGATTATGACAACATATGCCCCATTTTATTACCTCCAACACATGCTCACTATAAATATTTCCATACACTAAAAGCATGATTTGTAATTTATCAGTTTTTTAAACCTATGTACTTCTAGAACAGTACATGATTTGCATTATTTTATAGATAAAGTTAGACCGAATGTAACACGAGGTCTTCTCATTTTCTTTGTTGGTTTTGTTAAATTGATCTTTAGTAGCAAAGTTTAAATTTCAATAGTTGTCTAATATAATGATTAGTGAAGAATAAGTACCAATTGAATATGTTCAAAAGTGCTAACATATATCGCTTATGAACGGATGAATTCTACAATGCATCGACATTTCACAGTCATTGACATAAACGTAAACGACTGATGTTAGCATATTATTGGTTGATTGCTTAATGACTTGTTGGATTAAAAGATTGTTTAAAAAAGGATTGAAGGGTGTGGACTATGAATCTAAATTAGAAATTGGAGTTGCATATAGGAACAAACAGAAGTAGATATGCGGTGTTTTCAGAGGTTTGTTACAAAGTGATATTACAAGGGCTTTGTTACAAAGTGAGGTTTGTTACTATTAGTGCTGGAGGCATCATAAGGGATTCTACGGGTGGATGGATCAAGGACTTTGTTACAAATTTGGAGTGTTGTAAAATCATTGAAGCTGAATTATTGGGTGTTTTAAGAGGTTTACTCCTCACATGAAACGAAGGTATCTAAAGAATTAAAGTGGAGTGTGACTCTTTTATTGCTGTCTCCTTAATTAATAGAGAGACTAGGCCTAGTCACCCTATCTCTAGCTTCATCTATAGTTGCAAAGACATGCTCCTGCGTGATTGGGAGTGTTCCATTTCTCATATTTATAGAGAACAAAACACTGCTGCTGACCATATGTTACATATTGTTCATCTCCCCCCTCCTTCTATTCGGATGACCACTGTTAGGCTTGTCCCAGTGTAGTTTTCTTTTTGGTTCTCTATTGGGCTTCGGCCCTCCTTGTAACCTAAAAAGAAAAAAAACTGAAGTAGATATGTCGGTGAATTTAGAGCAGAGCAGTCCAAAAAGCATTCACAGTTTACCCAATCTCATTGGCACTGAGATGAGATTTGGACCAGAAAACGAAAGGCATGGGATGGGAGGGCGCAGGATACGCACTTTTGTCAAACCACAGCCACCCGCAGGTCATCAGCTTTGGGTCATGTGCTGTGCTCAGTCGAAGCACATGCAGAGGGACAAAAGCCTCCCACTTTTTAAAGGGAAAACCCTGCCCTTTTATTAAATTTTATTGTTTCCTTTTTCATTACAGAGAATTAAACAAACATTATTATTTATTGTCCTCAAAATAAACAAAAATTTCCGTTTTCTTGGAATCTCTGTCCACTGTGACCTTGCGGGACCCTTACTCTCAAATCGCTAACTACCTCCTTCAATGCACCGTCTGCCCTATTAAATTATTCAAGATAAAAAAATTAAAGTTCAAATCTGGGCTAGGGCTACTTTCTTTTGTTGCCTTCTTTTTTCAAGGCTGTAGCATGAGCTACCTTTTTCTTTTCACAAAGAAAATTTAAGGGAAGATTAGCTACTCTTATCATCAGCGTTAAGGTAAGTCTATAACTTTGAGCCGGAACAATTTACTTACGCGTGACACCGACATGAGCTACCCATTGATTCTAAATGTTCGGCATTATTTCAACTTTCAACCCAACCCAACTAGCTAGTTCCTAGTTCGCCTACAATGTATTTACTTGTGTTTCTTTCCATTATGACTCACCATTTTTCTACCAAATCTAATAAATAACAATGCTGCAAGAATAGGCCTCTGCAATTCTCATCTTTTATGTTGAGCACATGATGAAGAAGTATATTGCTAGTTGATTCTCAAGAAGTTGATTTCGCGAACCAAATAATTCCTAAATTTTATAAAGGCTTCGCGAATCAAAATAAGCCCTGAAATTTGATATTTTATATCCAACAGTAAACTCAGATCGGAAGGATATTTTTGAAGTAATGATGCTGAAGAGACTAAAGCGTAAAAAAGGTTGGATAATGTTGAACCCTTTTCTCTTTCTAAGTTGGGGTATACTTTATACACGAAAGTTCAGCAAAATCCGTACTTTCATTCACACTTATCCTAGCCGCTTGATCCATGTGTCTGCACACGTGTCATCTCATGCTGAGCTAGCACAACTAGTAGTCTGTGTGAGTGGGATGTACCCAACCATATCATACCTCACACCGGCAACCACCCACACTGCCATTGATTTTCTACTATTTATACCCCCACACTAGCAAAGCAAGTACCCACCACACTTGAATCTGATTTCCCCTCTTCCTCTTCTCATTCTCTTGGTTTGAGTCTTTGCCATTTTAGGAGGGGCCTGTCTCTGTTGCAATGGCCATGGCTAAGTTTTTTGCTGCCTTGATCTTGGCACTCCTTGCCATCTCCATGCTTCAAACCACGGTATGAACTTTCCCTCTTCAACACCACTCAGACAAAAGCAACAAAATTTTCCCCAATGAGAATTAGAAAGAAACCAACATTCACATAAATAACATGTTCTGTTCACTGATTTTTGCAGGTTATGGCAAATAATGGACATGGAGGTCATCACGGTGGCAATGTAAGCTCTCTCTCTCTCTCTCTCTCTCTCTCTCTCTCTCTCTCTCACATAGAGACACTTTTCATACATAGAAAATACGTTATATTTCTATAAAGCTTGCATTTTTACCTTGTTTATGAACTGGAATGCTTACATTTTGCTTACATTTTGTTCCTTTTTTTTCATTTTTCAGAATGCATATGGACCTGGGAGCCTCAAGAGCTACCGTAAGTAGTTAATCTTCACTATTATAAGTTAAAGCTTACTGCTTTTTTAACCCAAAAATAAAAAGCTTTGATTTTTGTGATTAAAATTGTGGTTTTGGGTCCAAATAATCTTGACCATGGTCTTCGTTGCCATTGTCTCTGGGTTGGTGGGGGGACCTTTACCGTTTTGACCGTTCTGAATATTATTTTGATAGAGCAGAGCAGACTGACTGATACAATTTTGTTTTGTCTTAAAATGACCAGAATGCCCATCACAATGCTCGAGGAGGTGCGGCCAGACCCAATACCACAAGCCTTGCATGTTCTTCTGTCAGAAATGCTGCAAAAAGTGTCTGTGTGTGCCCCCAGGGTATTATGGGAACAAAGCTGTGTGCCCTTGCTACAACAACTGGAAGACCCAGCAAGGAGGACCCAAGTGCCCTTGATTTTGATTGATCAGCCCACCCACTATCTACTTTGAGTTTAATTATCCTAGCTATATGTACTGACTATATATAAAGTATATGTATGAATTCTCTTTGAACTGGGTTTGTTTTGTTGGGTTAGAGGGACTTAAAATTGTCTGTGATCCAGTCACTGAGAGAGTTTGTTGCTTAAACTGAGATTTCCTAATCTATTGTCATCAATGCAATTTCTGATTTTACAAATGGAGTCATTTATATAATTTGCACTGTTTTTTGTAATTTGATGGAATTGGAATTCAAAGTAGGAATTGGATGGAATTTTGACCTCTGTCTTGTGCTCATCGCTGATAGTGTGCATGTTTGTGCTCATCGCTGATAGTGTGCATGTCCAAACACGGGGTCACCTTCATGATAAGACTTGCCCTTTGCATGTGAATGGCACATTACCACTTTACCAGTTGACATACACTGATGAAGCCTTTGAAAAAGGATATAGAGAGAGAAGAATTTAGATGGGTCACAATGCCCAAAAGGCTTATTTGGTTCTTAGGCGCAAAAACTTTAGTTTCAACAAAAGCCCAAACAAATGTTTAGGCCTATGCCCATTAACATATGCCAATGTTTGCTCATGTACTCATAACAAAGAAAGTTCAGAAAATCACAAAATAAAACTCACTACACTGCATGATTTACATACCAAGGGCACGCAATTTAAGCATATGGGTTTATACAATACAACCATCATTATATATTGTTGTCAAACATACAATCCATAGATAATACTGGCACACATACATATCCCGATCATGCACACGCATACACAGATTACTTGCTAAGACATTACAAACACATAGCTTCAAATGTTGATTCAATGCTGAAATCTACAACTTTGGAGTAGTTTTTGAGACCAATGTGGATGATCACCTCATGCTAGACTGTGACGCAACGGGGACGCTAGACTGCGACGCAATTGCAACCTCTGACGCTGCCGAATCCCCTTCATTTTGGTTCTGTTCACAAAACTAAATGATTAATGAAAACTACATATAATTGAACAAATAAACCATGAAAGAGGTGAGGGTGAAATAGGAGTTATATGTATCTGAGTTTGAGGAAGTGCTTACCAACGCTTTCGCAAACCATGCCAGAAGATAGCATGGTATAAAGAAACCAAACATAACCTGTGCAGAGCGATCAATCATCATGGAGCTGATTTATATAAAATCCAAATAAATCTCAACAAGCAATAGATTTCTTATGAGAAATAGGTTCATTGTGATATTCCACTTACACAAAAGATTGTCACGAGGTCACTTTCCTCTCCATTTTCTATGAAGTAGTAGACATCTTTCACTACCAGAAACGCCAGGCACTGCAAGCCAATACCAAACAGATTGATACAATTCATGGGTTGGGGGGTGAGCGTATTCGGAAATGGAGCATGCCTCCAATTTCTCCCGCTATTATTAGAGCGTAAATACCAGTACACTACAATAAATGTACACAAAAATTTCTCTCTCAATGTTGGAAAAATTTGCAGATACAATTAATAATCATCTAATTAGTCTTTATATCATATGTTTGTTGACTATACTTGAATGGTAATTAAATAATTATAACTTCAAATTAAATTAGGCAGGCCTTACAATAACAGCTCCAATGCGGCACACTGCACTGCCACTGAAGGCTCTAGCATTATAAGCCTGCTGCCGCCGCATGTACTCCGCTGCTGCTGCGTCAATATGTGCCGCCCGTTGAGCTTGCACGGCCGCCGGAGTATTATTAAAGGTGAAATAGCCATCCCTGCAACACAACTCCACGCACATATATACCCCATGTATCATTAATTATACGAGCGTCTTAAGGTCATGACTAATCATGAACATGTTTAATTATTAATTTACTAGGCTAATTAGAGACATATAATTAATTAACTAGCCTTGCCTGATGCCAATGGTGACATCTTCGGCTTGAACATCTTGTGGTGGAGGCAGGACCATCGTATAATCCGGCTGGTATGGCTGTTTATCAGTGACACATGAGAAATAAAACAAATAAAATTCTTCTAGTGATAAATTAAGGGCTCGAGGAAATGAAAAAAAATTAAGGAAGCATGTACAATATATATACCTGTTTGCAGATTTCACAAATCATGCTTAGCCTCTCGTTGATCCATCTTTGAATGCAATTCCTGTGAGCAAACTATATAAAGAGGAAAAGAAAGACAGCCATTAGTAAGAAGCTAGTTAGATCTCAGACGACTCTAGCTAGCTACTTCAGGCACCGATACTTTATGTTAATTTCCAGAAAGAAAAAAGAATTTGATGACGAAAACAAAAGAAACGAAGGAGATGGCTAGCTATTTGCATGAGTTCATGAGTTCCTTTGACTTGTTTCAACAGATACACACAAAAAAGCAAACCCAAAGTTGACTGACACCTACTGACACGTCTTCTTCAGGACAATGAACGTTACACATTCAAACTCAATTGTAATCAATAGGCAAATCTGACCAAACAAACAAATATATATAACGGCTGATATATACCTTGAGAGTGCCGTTGCAGAGGCAAGGAGCTTCCAGTTTGTCCATGAAATCTTCCTCCTGGCAAATTCTGCATTCTACTTGTACATGTTCTTCATCAGTTTCCGCCAGTCCTGCTTCTAGGTCCTTGTTCAAGTCCAGTACTTCGTTCGTTGTTGTTTCCGTGCTGATAGGGCCAATGATCTCAGAGGCCTCAGCTTTCTCCAGATCCTTGCTCATGTTCTCCATTAATTCAATATTAATTAACTTCTGTTGCCTGCTTCAAAAAATAAAAAAATAACCCATCAAATGCTTTACAGCGCCAGATCAAGGCATGCATGATAAGATCCACCAGATCCTCACACATTTTATACAACAAATTACCAACAAAAAAAACTATATACATACCAAGTTTAGGGCTTTTAGTTTAGACAAATATCTAGAGGAAAAAAAAACAAGAAAAATATCATTGACAAAGAAAGTCTCTTAAAACCCTGTTGCAGAAGAAAAGAAAGAGAGTGTGCTGAAGAGAAATGAACTGAAGGAAAGAAAGAGGAAGATAAATGCACCGACTGTGATCTTCTCTAAGCTTCTCTCTCAAACTCTCTCTCTCTCTCTCTCTCTCTCAGTGCGTGAATATCGCTTGCTGCATGGACTGGTTGAAGAGCTCACATTTATAAGGCTGTGTGCAGGTGAGGCTCGGGCGGAGCCGAAGCCGAGGCCGAGCCTGCTTCAGGTTCGGCAGTGTAAGAAAATGCAGAGAGGCCAAAAATCCATTTGGCGAAAGGCATGGCTGGAAAGGGACGCGTAATACAGTCATTCTGCCACATAACTATGCTTTTGTTTACAAGGGCTTTGCGTTTCCTTCAACTTCTGGTGCTTTCTCATCTTGTTTTCATCTGCGACGGTTACGCAAGCTTGGATTTTTCCTACTCAAGTTTACTGCCATGCCCTTCTTTTTTTCATAAATTATTCTTCTTCTATTAGGAGAAAAAAAAAGTCAGTTAATTTATATTTTACTTTCTTAAAAGAAAAAGAAAAAACCAAAATTATTCTTATTAATATTGCCTTATTAATAAGGCAATATTCAGGAATGTCACACACACATATATATATATATGGTGGCGGTTAGATAAAAATACACTTGTTTAGAACCCTAAATCGCAGTAATAATGCAACAAACCTAAGTAAAATGAAACAATGATGAAAATAAACGGTCGGATGATTTTGTAATTTCATTCCAACGAAAATTTTGTCCGCATTCAAAATAACAGTATAGTAAACTAACAAGATCGTTTATTCGACATTCGTATTCCGACAAAACATCACTTTTTAGATTCAGTAATTATGATACGTTGCTTAGATAATTATAAATTCAACTATGACAAAGTAGCAACAACGACAAAATCCTTTACTCGACACTTAGATTTCGACAAAATTATACTTTTAGCTGGATTTGACAATTATGACATGCCCTTTTTAACTATATAGACAAATGTAAATATTTATAAGGCATGATCAATTAACTAAACCTAGTGATGCCACTTCTAATTGTTATGTTCAACTAGATTGCAACAATATATGCCACATTTGTTATGTTCAAGACTGAATTGATTATGTGGGAGCTTATAATTCCAATGGTAGAATAGTTACTTTCATATTTGCTGTAATAGTTCGAGTCTCACCCTCCCTTTGTCTAAATTGAAAAAATGAATTATTTACTTAAATGATCCTCAAATTTATACTTGAGTTGCATTTTAGTCCCCCAAATAAATTATTCGATCAAATGGTCCATTAACTCTCTATTATTCGGCAAATTGGTCCCCCGTTACATTATGTTCATATTACCGTTAAATATGAGAGCAAATTAGTCATTTTGTATGTTAAAAATAAATAAATACTGAAAAATGAAATAAAAAGCTTTTACTCTCTCTTTCTTGTTACATTGGTTATGGGTTGCAGGATGGGTTATGATGGGTTCTGCGGGTAGGGGGGAGGAGGAGGGGTATGTTGCCAAGAAGGGGGGGGAAGGGGTGAATGGGAGAGAGAGAAAGAGAGGGGGAAAACAGAAGGAGGGAGGGGCTGCTGGGTTTTTCTCTTTTTCTTCAATTTGTTATAATTTTGTATTAATTTTAATCATATTTTTATTTTTTAATGATGAAAAGTCATTTTTACCCTAAAATTTAGTTAAATCTAATAGAAAATTAGACGGTGGGACCAATTTGCCAAATAATAAAGAGTTGATGGACCATTGGAGTGAATAATTTAGTTGAAAGACCAAAATACAACTCGGGTATAAGTTTGAGGACCATTTAAGTAAATAACCCTTGAAAAAATATATATATATATATATATCGGATAAAATAAATTGTAATGCTACTCAAATATTGGGCCTAACATTTGGCCAGCTCACTATTATGTGGGCCAAGAGTACCTTCATGGGCTACTGTACGGCCCATGTATCATTTGAGAATGGAGAGGCCCCTCGCAATTCTCAGTTTCCCGCCTGAACGAGAATCGTTATATTTCAAGAAAAATAAAAATATTTTATTTTTCGAAAAAAGTTTAAATTTAAACTGGCGGTTCAAATGTAGAAATGTAGATCGGAGACTCAGAATATTCAGTTGCTCTGGGTTTCAGCGAGGACTTGAAATTCGTGAGAATCCAATTCTTCGAGAAGCATCTCGCTTCTACTCCTCAGTTCTTAGTATTATTCAGTGCTCTTCGCACTAGGTAAACGAAGTCTAAAGAGATACAGAAGGCTCCGAGTTGACTCGGGCAAAATGGTGGTGGAAACGCAGGACGAGTTCATGGCAGACGGCTCTGACTCGGGTCGTGGAGCATCCAAGGCCCCGAGGCTGTTCATCAGGGAAATGGTTATGAGGAACTTCAAGTCTTACGCCGGTGAACAACGTGTTGGTCCTTTCCATAAGGTTAGGGTTTTTGAAATTCTCTCGATTCGTTTCCAGGCGCTATTCGTTTTGTAAAATTGGAAGCTAGGAGTTTTGCTTTTTGCCGAAAAAAATGCATCTTGTGTAAGATTTAGGAAGAATGCTTCGCATATATAGTTACAGAAGACTCGATTCTCTCTCTCTTCGAATTTACTTATTAGTTCTATTTTATGTTTTTATTTATTTTTTGGGTGGGGGTCAGAGCTTTTCTGCAGTTGTTGGACCCAATGGGAGTGGGAAAAGCAATGTGATAGATGCAATGCTCTTTGTATTTGGAAAGCGTGCTAAGCAGGTATACTGAATGTTCCTCCTTATTCTATATGATTAGTTTGGATTATATTACATATATTTTGGGTTTTAAAAAGCATCAAATGTTATGTTTCTTTGCCTTGGTTTTACTTTTCTTCCTCTAATTGTGCGATATATAATTGTAGATGCGACTTAACAAAGTTTCAGAGCTTATTCATAACTCCACAAATCACCAGAATCTGGATAGTGCTGGAGTTTCTGTTCATTTCCAGGAGATCTTTGATTTGGTAATTTTAACCTTTTATCGTTTGGGTTTTGTTTACTCTGAAAATTGATTAGTACCCTCGGTTTCTTGTGAGAAGATAAAAGAAAGAAGATTAAGAAGATTAAGATTTCAAGTTTTAAAGTGTCCTGTTGTAACTTATTTTTAGAAAAAAGCAATCAATTCAACTGGACCTGAAGGAATCTCCTGAGATTTTTTGTTTTTGTTTTTGGGTGGGGTTATTCTGGTATTTAGTAATGAATATAGTAGAATTTAAAGTTTTTTCATGCTTCCTATGTGCCTAAGTATCTGGTGAAAGTGTAGGTTATCTTAGTTTGATACGTTTGCAATCATTACAGGATGATGGCACATTTGAAGCTGTTCCGGGAAGTGATTTTGTAATCACTAGGGTAGCGTTTCGCGATAACTCCTCCAAATATTTCATTAATGACCGTGCAAGCAACTTCACTGAAGTTACCAAGAAACTGAAAGGGAAAGGAGTTGACCTGGACAACAATCGTTTTTTGATCCTTCAGGTTTGATATTAGACACGCAGCTCTTCTACTTCGAGAAAGATTTCCTCGGTGTTTTAAGATTTTGCTTATGGTTACTATCAGGGTGAAGTTGAGCAGATTTCGCTGATGAAGCCAAAAGGTCAAGGATCTCATGATGAAGGTTTTCTTGAATACCTAGAGGACATTATCGGAACTGACAAATACGTTGAAAAGATTGATGAATCAAATAAGGAGTGAGTACTTTTTCTGTGTTTATTATATTGAAAAAATTGTCCTGTTATAATCCTGCTCTTGGACATGCATATTCTCTTTTCAGTCACAGTTTATGCCCTACTTGTAGGATTTCCAAGCGCAGGCAGCTCCTTTTTGTTAGCTAGATAATGAAAGACTAGCAAATGGAAACTTTCCTTGTATGGATGTTTTACAGAAAGACACTAGACCTGATCTCCAGATTTCATTAACTAAAGTAATAGCTATTTTTAATAAAAGAAGATTAAACAATTATCATTTAATTCCTTTTAACATAATAAGGATGGCTTTATGCACTTTTGTTGCTGAATTCTCAATCATTTTTGGGAATTCCCCTCCTTTCCCCATCTTTCTGATAGAGAAATCTCATATTTCTAACAACTGGGCATGTTTGCTTTCATTGGTCTCATAGGTTAGAATCCCTCAATGAGAAAAGATCTGGTGTGGTGCAAATGGTCAAGTTGGCAGAGAAAGAAAGAGATGGCTTGGAGGTATATAAAGTTTACACATTGGTAGACTATCTTCTGATATGATATATTGACCTTCTGATATATATCATTGAACAGGATGTGAAAAACGAAGCCGAAGCCTACATGCTGAAGGAGTTGTCACTTCTGAAATGGCAAGAGAAAGCCACAAAATTGGCTCATGAGGATACCACGGAAAAATTGGTTCATCTACGAGAAAATATGTCCAGCTTAGAAGGAAATCTAAAGACCGAAAGGTAAACCTCGTCAAACTAGGAGTATGTTGATTCAAAACTTATTTTTAATGATGATCTTGGCTGCTATTTCAGGGAGAAGATTCAGGAGAGTAATGATGCATTGAAGGAGCTTGAATCTGAGCACAATAAACATACAAAACAACAGGAGGTTTGGTTTACATGCCTTTTCTGTTCCACAAGCCAAGCTTCTTAGTTAATGATATTTGAATTTCTTGTTTGTTAGAAGAAATGACAAGTACATCAAACCTTATGCTGTCTTCATCACTTTCTCAAAACATGACTTGATTCTGTGTTCTGGTTTTAGGAACTTGAAACTGACCTCAGAAGATGTAAGGACGAATTTAAGCAGTTTGAAAGGGAGGATGTTAAACATCGGGAGGATATGAAGCATGTGAAACAGAAGATCAGGAAACTCAATGATAAAGTCGAAAAGGTAGGGGAAAGTCATTCTTTAGTTGAAGTAAAACGGGCATGCATCTTACCTTTTGGCTTCAACTGCAGGACTCGTTAAAGATTAATGACATAGAGAAGGAGTGTGAGGACTCCACAAATATCATCCCAATACTTGAGCAAAGTATTCCACAACTGCAAAAATCCTTGCTGGATGAAGAAAAAATCCTAGAGGAAATTATAGAGAACTCAAAAGGTGGTTTCTTTTCAATTTCAATTGTTCGGATCTGGTGATTTTCTTTTTGTTAGACTTGTTTACTTAGCATGAAATAAAAGAGTTTGTATAGTTTTAATGTGATGCTCTTGATATGATAAACATTTGGTGGACCAGAATATATCATATATGATTTATACTTTTATCTAGTCTAAAAGTAGTTTGTATCTCTGTGAACCATTACATGTCTTTGATGTAATTGACACGGATGAATATGTTCTTGTTTCAATGTCTGTTATGTTTCATCTTTGAGTGTTAGCATTCAGTTAGTTATTGAAGTTAGTCCCCTTTACATAATTAGTATCAAATCTCCCCAGCACAGATGCAGCTTTATAGCTAATTTTTCTTAACATGTCACATGCTTCCTCTTTTCACCAACAGCGGAAACTGAAAGTTATCGCTCTGAGCTTACAAAAGTTCGTGCTGAATTAGAACCTTGGGAAAAGCAACTGATTGAGCACAAGGGGAAACTTGAAGTTGCATGTACTGAGGAGAAGCTTTTGAATGAAAAGGTTACGTTATATTGGTGTTGACACTTTATTAGTAAAAAATAAATTGATGGTGACCGGACAGCTCTTTGTATGCTTAGTATCTCCTTTCTTTTCAATGATTAGACTATTTGTTCTGTGACTAAAGTAAAAACTAAAGAGTTCTTTTGTACTACTCCTTCTTGGATTGAAGAACTTATGAGTTTTAGTTTGAGGACTTGCAGCTTAATTTACTTTTTAATTGTTGCAGCATCAAGCTGGTCATACAGCTTTTGAAGATGCTCAAAAGCAAATGGATGATATATTGGGAAGGATAGAAACAAAAACTGCTGGCATTTCAAAAATTCAAAGTGAATTAGAAAAGAGCAAGCTTGAAGGAATGGAAGCTCGTAGAGAGGAAAAGGTTTGTTTTCATTATTGAGATTTCAAGTTTTTTTGTTAATTTATCGTTTTGCATGTCAAGGGATGTGGTGAGAACTTATGACTTCTTGCAGGATTACATCAAAGAACAAGAAGCTCTGATTCCTTGTGAACAAGCTGCAAGACAGAAGGTTGCAGAACTTAAGTCCATTTTGGATTCTGAAAGGAGTCAAGGAACAGTTTTAAAAGCAATTTTACATGCTAAGGAGTCCAACCGAATACAAGGAATACATGGCCGAATGGGTGATTTAGGTGCTATTGACGGTGAGTGTTCTGTGCATTGAGGTTGGGTGTATGATTGCTGTTAACTTTTATTCTGCTCAAGTTTCAGATTGGTTTTATTTATTGTTGTCATCAGATATGCATTAACTGACAAATAGTTAATTACCTGGAAGTTTAGATTTGTACTTGATGCTGGGTGAAGTGCCTGGTGGCAAGTGAAAAGTGCCATGCACTTACATTCATGATTTCTTTCTTGCTGTGCTTATGATTTTTAACAAACTGAAGTGCATATCCTTTTCTTAACTCCATACTTTATTAATTCTCAAAACCACACTCTACATACACTGAGTTTATTTTTTGGAATTAACTTCTTTTTGAAATGACATTGTCTTTGCAGCAAAATATGACATTGCCATATCAACAGCTTGCTCTGGACTTGACTACATTGTGGTGGAAACAACTAGTGCAGCACAAGCATGTGTTGAGCTACTCCGAAGAGAGAATCTTGGGATTGCAACTTTTATGATATTGGTATTAATTCCATGTAGTCTTCAGCATAAACCTAAAATCCTAACATTGAGCAACTGTTTTAAGCACCTAAACATATTAGATTGGGGGAAGTTGCAATATTTTCAAAGTTCTTTTTGGATTTTGAAGACATTAGGTTTGGCATTGGGGTGTGAGTTAATTACTCTAGTGAATGGAGGTTATGTCTTGGCAGCACTCATTTTGGGGAATGTACAACAATAGTAGTTGAGTGCATTATGCATTGCATGCAGTTTATTGGGGAGTTACTAATTCTGATTTCATTTTGTAATTTTAATATCTCAGGAAAAGCAAGTTGATCTTTTACCAAAGTTGAAGGAGAATGTCAGCACTCCAGAAGGTGTTCCACGCCTTTTTGATTTAGTTAAAGTTAAGGATGAGAGAATGAAACTTGCATTCTTTTCAGCATTGGGAAATACCATTGTAGCTAAAGATCTTGACCAGGTATATTCCAATTTCCACATGTATCAATCTCACCGTCTCTGTTCAGTTAAGCCTAATTTTGCATAGCATGATTGTTGTGCTTCTTAAGTTTGCATAATGTAAAACCCAAAACAAATATGAAAAAAGTCTGAAAGAATGTTGAAAATAATAATAAGGATAGCTGGCAAGAATATTCCAAGATCTAGGGGCGACTTTTCTTCATGGGGCATTTTAGAACATATAAGTGATTTTGACATAGAGGGGTAAATGATTACCACTTCACCACTTCATAAGCAGTGATCTCTTACTTTTTTTTTTTTGAAAGTAGTTCGAATCAGATTACATTTGAACTTCATTTTCTAATACAAATACAATCAGTGATCCTATGTGGCTTACTTTACATTCCAATTAAGTTTCATTTTAGTTTGGCAAGCAATTAAATAGCACTCTATTTTCAATTTTAGGCGACACGCATTGCATATGGTGGTAACAGAGAATTTCGACGAGTGGTAACACTTGATGGTGCACTATTTGAAAAATCTGGTACTATGAGCGGTGGGGGTAGTAAGCCGCGTGGTGGTAAGATGGGCACTTCTATTCGTGCCGCCAGTGTTTCTGGGGAAGCTGTTGCAAATGCTGAGAAGGAGCTCGCAGCCATGGTTGATTCACTAAATAACATCCGCCAACAAATTGCTGATGCAGTGCGGAGATATCAAGGCTCAGAAAAAGCAGTTGCACGCTTGGAGATGGAATTAGCTAAATGCCAGAAAGAGGTGATTCTTAGTATGGCACGTTGGATTCTCTTAGGTTGTATATATTTGAGAAGAATTTCTTCAATAAAAGTTTTAATTTTGAACAGATCGACAGTTTGAATTCACAACATGGTTATCTTGAGAAACAAATTGGTTCCCTGGAGGCTGCATCACAGCCAAAGAAGGATGAGCTTGATCGGCTAGCTGAACTAAAGAATATTATTTCTCTTGAAGAAAAGGAGATGGATAAACTTACACAAGGGTCTAAGCAGCTGAAGGAGAAGGTGAGGAACTCTTTTATGACTTTTGTCCTTGCAAGTAGCAGCTAATCATGTTGGGTAACTGAACAACCAAACACAGTACACGCACTCACATACAGGCTGAGTTTGTGCTTTATCTTCTGGTCTACCATGTTTCAATTATATAATTCTGAGAACGGATGGAACTATAAACTAGTTATCACATACACAACGCATATACACATTATTTGATTTGATTTGATTTTTTTGTTTTTTGGGTTTTATTGACTGATTTCTGGTTGTCTCTAGGCCTCGAAGCTACAGAGTAATATAGAAAATGCTGGTGGTGAAAGACTAAAAGCACAGAAGTTAACAGTCAATAATATTCAGTCTGTAAGTATTTGCATCACTATGAAATATCTAAACTACTGCAGTGGGATGTCTGTTGAATCTGTCCTAATTCGTGCAACTTAATTGCTAGGTTATTGATCAAAAGAACACTGAGATTAACCGCCGCAAAGTCCAAATTGAGACTGGCCAGAAAACACTAAAGAAGCTGACAAAGGTGATTGAAGAATCGAACAATGAGAAAGAACGACTTGAGAAGGAGAAGGAAAAATTATCTGACAAATTCAAAGACATAGAACAGAAGGCGTTTAAAGTTAAAGAGAAATACGAGGAAATACAGAAGGTTTACTTTTATAATTACTCAATTTCTATGCACCAGGGTAATATTGAAAAAGAGAATGTGTCTTACTGCTATATAATTTTGTTATATCCTGTGCAGCTGATTGATAAACATAGAGATGTGTTGGATAAAGCGAAATCTGACTATAACAAGATGAAAAGGACTGTGGATGACTTGCGGGCATCAGAGGTACTATGCTGAAAAATGTGTATTTTTACTGTGTCATTCTCTGGTGCCAAAATTATTACTGTTTTGAAATTCCAATGGCGGTAACTATGCCCGTAATACTAGAAGAACCTGATCTGCAAAGCAATAAGCACAACTATAGAGTTAGTAACTGGCACTTCGCAGTAATTGGTCACCTTCCGTCTTCTTTGTTCATGAATACTACTTGTACTGCACAGTACCAAATCTGGTACCTTAGAATTCTGCTGTTACTCTTTTTTGTATCTATCAGGTCAGGTTGTTTTTCCCCATTAACACCATCAACAATTACTTGGCAATGTCACAGGTTGATGCTGACTTTAAATTACAAGATATGAAGAAGCTAGGAAAGGAGCTGGAGTTGAAGGAGAAGGGTTACAAGAAAAGGCTTGCTGACTTGCAAAGTGCCCTTGTAAAGCATATGGAACAGTATGTGGATTTCAGAAAATACTGGTTTAGAATGGTTTATTGAACATTATAATTTATACTATCTCTTGCTTGCAGAATTCAGAAAGACTTGGTGGACTCTGAAAAGCTTCAAGCAACCCTGGCAGATGAAGTCCTAAATAACCCTTGTGACCTTAAAAGGGCCCTTGAAATGGTAGCACTCCTTGAAGCGCAATTGAAAGAGATGAATCCGAATCTTGATTCAATTGCAGAGTATGGTTTCTCTTCATTTTCATATATATTTATGATTTGACTTGTATACTGCATGGTTCTTCTAATTGCTTATTTTAATAGGTATCGGAGAAAGGTCTCATCATATAATGAACGAGTTGAGGACCTTAACATGGTCACTCAACAGCGTGATGACATAAAGAGGCAGTATGATGAGTGGAGAAAGAAGAGGCATGACACCTTTCCGTTTATATGTGTTCTCTATTATTTTTTTTTAAGCTGTAACTCTTATTCATTTGAAATTATTTTGATTTTAGGTTGGATGAGTTCATGGCAGGATTTAATGCAATCTCTTTGAAGTTAAAGGAAATGTATCAGGTCTCTCTCTCTCTCTCTCTCCCTCTCTCCCTCCTTCCTCGGTTTTGATGGATCTATTTTTCTACCTTCCATGCTGTCTACAAGTGAGCTTGTTGAACAGTTTGAATTAGCACAGGCATTGCTTGTGCCACTTGTACGCTGGTATCAAATGATGTTTTACTAATTTGAGATTGCGTTTGATTTTACCTTTAGATGCATGATTCCTTATCTTTTTTGCTTCTGTTATTTATAGATGATCACGCTGGGAGGTGATGCAGAACTAGAGCTAGTGGACTCCCTGGACCCTTTCTCTGAAGGTGTTGTTTTCAGTGTCAGACCGCCAAAGAAGAGTTGGAAGAATATTGCAAATTTATCTGGTGGTGAAAAGGTACTGTGAATTTTTCTCACCCGCTGTTTCTTGATTTCCACAACAGCCAATAAAACCTATCTATACTATAATATGAAAGATATAATATAATCTTTGGTTCTTTACTGCTTCCAGACATTGAGCTCGTTAGCTCTTGTTTTTGCACTGCATCATTACAAGCCTACCCCTCTTTATGTAATGGATGAAATCGATGCCGCTCTAGGTACTTTTTGATGAATTGCTGAGCTAAATTCCAATTTTTTTCATATCAATTTATGAACACCCCCCCTCTCTTTTTCGGGGGTACCCCCAACATTCGTATTTATGGTTCATATGGCCTTGCAGACTTCAAGAATGTCTCTATTGTGGGCCATTACGTGAAGGACCGGACAAAGGATGCACAGTTCATAATCATAAGGTTGGTTAATTGCTCTCTGTGGAAGATTATAACTGGAAATCACTGGAATCATGTTAATAATTGAAGCTGGTTGTTTACATAATGTATTGTGCTATGTGCAGCCTCAGGAACAATATGTTTGAGTTGGCAGATCGACTGGTTGGGATATACAAAACAGATAATTGCACAAAGAGTATCACCATCAATCCAGGAAGTTTTGTGGTCTGCGAAAATGCTGCTTGACCCAATTCTTTTAGCACCAGGCTTGCATATAAGTACATATTTTTTATTAGAGGATTTTGTTTATGCTATGTATTGGCAATGCCATGTTGCCTGGTATTTAAAACAAAAACACGAACTTCTAATATAGAGACTCTTGGATTTTCCCATATGATTAGGTTTGATCTGTGAAACCCAAAATTTTCAAGCTGAATCGAGAGGGTCTTTGCAGGGAACTTGTCCATTGTGGCTCCTCATTCGATGAAATGCAAATGAGCGTCGTGGTGGTGGTGGTGGTGATACTGGCTGGGTCGGGTTATCACTGACCTGGATGAAGTTGTAGGAGCATGACCCAAGTAGGGTTCCTATCACTGGTCCAACGACGTAGACCCAGATTCCCTTGTAGTATGCGCTTGCAATTGCTGGGCCTATTGTCCTGGCTGGGTTCATGGATCCACCTGATATTGGTCTGATTATTCACTAAACTCCTTGTTAGTTGTTTAATAACTCACTCTTTGTATCTCTTATGCAAAAAGTTTTAGCAAGTTTATGTACAAGTAATGGGAATCAAAAGAAAGGGAATGATTTTCATTCCCGATTTCTCTGTAGTTAATTACACATAAGAAATCATTTAATATGCATGTTCTACCTTAACATGCTTATTCAAATACTCAAAAATTGGAATCGAATCAACTAGGAGGGAGTACATATTCCTTATTTATCATATTCCCTTTCTTTATATTCCCATTACGTATAAGTAAACATAAGTGTAACTTTATGCTTACCCAGCAAAGATTGAAGTTATGCAAACTGCGGAGCCAACTGCTACACCTGCCAGCTCTCCTATCTGTTTTTTTTTAAATGAAAATTTTAAATTAAAGAGTTGAAAATTCATGACAAAATAAATGAGAACATAATGGGATGTAATATGTACAGCTTTGGCATCGGTTGCCACTGCTGAAGCGATGAACATCATGGAGAATGTCATGACAATTTCTGCGATCAAAGCTTGAAAGTCTGATCCAGAAGGTGATGTGGTGCCAACATGTTTGATTGGATGTAATAGCACAGAAAGCGTAAATGAGGCAGATATGGATCCTGCTAGTTGAGCTACCCAGTAGATTGGGACCTGGAAGAAACACAGAAAGGTCCATGAATTTTTGCGGTACAATGCTATCATTATGGTATATATTCCTAAACCCACTACCATAAACTAAACTTGGGGTATTTTGCTGAAAACTGGACCAAATGCTTTTTGCCCCATGCCTCCCCCAACAATATTTAAAATGTAATTCTCCGACATTACTCTAATTTATAGGGAGAGGGATTCGAAAATGAATTCAAGGAGTCGAGAGTTCATTATCCTGGCCAACTAGCCTAACCCACTTATAGGGAGGATTCACTCAATTAACAACATTGTTGCTTTCTCCTATCTTCTCCTTCCAATCTCAATTTATTAAAATTGTTTTCATAAGATAATATCCCAATTATTTTCATTATTCATTTAAGTTAGTTGAGTTTTGTGGCCAAGTGTGACTACAGTGGATAGCATCGTGGGTCATGGGCCCAAATGAGGCTTGGCCTGGACCCTACGTAAGCATCTATCATATGATGTGCATGGCATTGGACACATATGATTGAATTCCGACGGAGAAAAAAAAATTAAATAAATAAAAAACTCCCAACCGCATAATAACAAAGATAGAACTACATGGGGATCTCAGAAGGGTAGCTGTAGGTACCTGTTTCCATGGAAAATGCCTAACAGCAGCAAAAGCTAGAGTGACGGCAGGGTTCATGTGTGCCCCAGAGATGTGGCCAACCGCATAGATCATCACGGTCACTACGAGCCCTCCTGCAATTGAAGCTCCAAGCCTTGACACTTTGTGTTCATCGCTGGCAGCAAGAGCAGCCGAACCACATGTCACAAACACCAACATGTACGTGGCTATCATCTCCGCCATCACCTGCATGAAATGCATACACGTTAATTAAGTTGAACAATTTCAGAAGATGAAAACGAAACAAAAACAAAAAAGGAGGGACAAATATATCACATACAACGTTGTACCTACCTTTCTGAAAAAACCAGGTGGGTAATATTGTTGTTCAAATGTTGGATTTTGGGATGTGGGGTGGTTTTCCTGCACTGAGACTAACTCGTTTGTGTTGTGGTTTCCAGGCTCTGGATGTTTTGTGGCCATTTTTCGATTCAGAAGAATTAAGAAGCTGGAATTTGAATAAATATACTACTGGTGATGGGAATTAGGGAATTGGAGGAGAGATTGATCTAGTGCCAAGATTGCAGGAGCTCATATGCCCTCAGGCTGGTATGGTAGATAAGATTTTATAGTAGAGATATCACTTTAAGTTAATATATAGTCTAACAATTTAGTACCAAAGTGGAGTTTTATTAGATAAAAAGAAGAGAAGATATCACTAAGTTAATATATAGTCCAACAATTTAGTGCTAAAGTGGAGTGTTGTTAGATAAAAAGAAGAGAAGATATCACTTTAAGTTAATATATAGTCCAACAATTTAGTGCTAAAGTGGAGTTTTGTTAGATAAAAATAAGAGAAAATATGAGGTTGCAGAAAGTAACGGGATTCAGTAACGAGGGATTCTTCAAATAATTTTATTTGAGGGATACTTTTTAGAGTTCCCTATGAATTTGTTTTCAACAATCTAAATCATCTATTTTTTAAGTTTACATTTATAGATCATCCTTGCAAAAAATTAGACAAATCAAAAACCGTTTCTACATTCAATTGTGTTCTACAAAATCAACAAATACAGTGCTTCAAGAAAGTAATAAAATTTTAATAATTCAATTGAGTAGTCAAATGATATCGGATTGAAGTTATTTTTTATAGAGATGATTTTTGAATGAATATCTACAAAATAGACGGTTTGAATTAGTAAAATACAATACGAAGTGGACTCTACAAAGATGTAATTCAAATAAACTTATTTGAGAGATCCCTCAATAAAAATTATCTGTATATATATATATATATATGTATAGGTGTAGTTGTAGATAGGTTAATTAACTTTGGGTTTTGCTTTAAAAATATATTGGCATCTTGTTTTGTTTGATTCATGCCTACGACTCTGTTTGGTATTCTGGTTAACCAGTGATGATATTCATGACATGAGCGCATGGTCAAGGAAAAGCGACTGCCTAAATCTCCGCATTAGGGCGCCCAAAAGAATATTTTGTCTCATTCGTTGTAGTCTTTATTTATGTCCACTGCTTGCTGTCTATATATAAGTGTAGCTGATTCAAATTATTCAAATTCTTCATGTATGTTGATTTCTAACTTGTTTGGGAATTTTTTATTTAAAAAACTTGATGGGAAAGATCATCATCTTGATTTGATCTTTGTGAACCTTTGTTTTGTTTATCTTAATTCTTAGCAAGGCTAGGTATGTGCATGTCCTTCACTTTATTAGTTTCTTGAAATGTTAATTAGGTACTAATAAATGAGCACTTGTTAGCTAAAAGTCAACATCAACAAGGTTTATAGCTTAGCGGAAAATGACATTTACTTGTAAATAAGTGATTTCGGGCTATTTCCCTTAACTATCGCTTGTATTAAAGATAAAAATAAAAATAAAAACTAACAATATTTGTTTAGTTAGTTGCAATTTTAGTAATCATATGCTGCTCCTAAAATTTAAGAGGCCCAAAACGAAACAGGAAAAAGAAGCCCATCACCACTCCTGGATCATCGCGCTCATAGTTCGGCAGGCGTCTAGATTTGGCCCCAAGAATGTTTGGTAGGCGTCTATTCGACGTTAGAACCATTCTCCTAACTTGACCCGCTGCATATATTTTAAAGTTCACGGAAGCTGTAATGAGGAAAAACAAAATCTAAGAGAGAGAAATGAGTGGTTGAAGGCTGAAGCTTGAAAAAACAAGATTAAGATACATGCGGCTGGAAAAAGAATTGCATATCAAGTTGTATGTTAGAGACCTCTTATATTGGGCAACTTGAAAATCAATACCAATATAATAAACTCATATTAATAAAATAATATCTATTATGGGGTTCAATTTTTCTTATTTTGTACTGAAAGACAAATGAAAAATTTAATATCATTACCAAGCTACAACAACATATTAATGTAAGTTAAAATTTAATGTGGGGCCCCCTTTTAAAGTGGGCTGTATGCGGTCGGTCACTTTACTCATGCTAAATGTCATAGGTAACACAAGAGGGTCATTAATAGTCATCCGATAAATCCCTTAGCCTCTGTTTGAGGGAAAATTACTCGCAATTTAGCTAAAAGTTGAGAATTTAAGAAGAGAAATTGTCAATTCCCTTGTTTGGCAGTCTAGCATCCCACTAGACGCAATTGCAATCAAATTTGAATCCCTTGTTTATCCTAACCAAATTTGCCAAAACACTTTTTCTAAGAGCAATGAGTCATTCACTCATTGCAATTTTGGAACAACATCGGTTTGATCTCGTTAAGGATACGTAGACAGTTTAACATCCCACTAGACGCAATCGCAACCAAATTTGAATCCATGGTTTATCCTAACTAAATCAACCCAAACACTTTCCCAAATGCAAATGTCAATTGTAGAAAATTTGTGGGTTCATCAAAATTGCTCATTATTTTTCTAGACATTGACAATAAGAAAAATGGTATAAAACCATCCAATTTTTCTTATGGGTCATCTACCCATGCAAATTTCAATGAGATTAAATTCAAATCTCTCAAACACAAATTCTCAATTAGTGGGCCACACTTACCCATTAATTTTCAATTTTTCCCATGGGTCATTTACCTATGAAAATCTTAAAATCTCCAAATTGTCTCATAGATACAAATTCTAAATTAGTGGACCACACTTATCCATTAATTTCTAAATTCCAAACTACGTTGGTTTGATCTCTTCGAAAGAGTACGTAAGCAATCTAGAGAGTCAATCTAGATGCAACCACCCAAATCTTAAATCCAAATAGAATCCTTGTTTTATTTTTAACCAAATTCGCCCCAAACACAATTCCATATTGAATCCCTGGTTTATTCAGCTAAATTTACTCAAACACTCTTCAAAACAATTCAAATCAAACCCCGATGTTCGACTTAAGGACAGTTTCAAAACCAAACACACACGTTCTATTTCTTTATGATGGAATTAAAGGATGTTCCCTTGAAGTAACAGATTGTAATTAAGAGACACCGTGTCTCGAATGGTCTAACTTAAAATAATAAAACTCCATTATTTAATTAATTAGTAGCGGTGAAATTATGTTGGGAGGTTCACATTTTTTTTTTCAACAATAAGTTCAAGATTTGGAATTTTTAGTTTCTATGGATCATGACATATCAAATCATTCAACATTAGAGGAAAATACAAATAATGTTCATGATATGATTGCAAGTGTTCAAGTTACTGATCAATGGACAAACTTTCGCGATACATTGGCACTAGATATGTTCCATAATTATCAAGTGCAACGAGGCATCATTAATTCTTGATTTATTATTCACACTTGGACCTTTGTTTCTCTTTTTTCGTGTATTTCAAAGTTTTTTTTTAAGTACAAAAAGTTAATCAGAATGATCATTACTTCTTAAGTCATTTGTTTCTATGAGTACTTGAGTATTCTATCACATGTTGTCATGCTTACTGATGTCCAAAGTTGAAATTCTCTACTTCATTTCCTTCTAATTGTATTTTAAATGTGCGAAAATGAACAAGCAGGGGCTAAAGTCATGAATGGATTTGGAGGAAAAGAGGCTAACAAAGTAAAGTCAAGGAAAAGGAAAGACAAACAAGGAGTTGAACCTGAAGGAGAATACAAAACTACTTTCGGTGGAATATAGCTATGGAATATACAAGCAGTACCAGGTCCTACGATGGAATATAGCTAGTGAAAATGAACAACTCAAAACATGTGTTTGGCTAATAGAAAATGACAAACAACTTTAGATGCTGAAGGCACTCCCAATTGAGAAAAGAAAAATAAAAGTATGTTGCTGATGTTTATTGCACGTGGGGAGTGATTTGGTTTGCTAGTATGCTCTGTTTGTTTAAGTTGAGTTATTTAGTTCATCAAACAACATGTTATTTTATACTTCGAGGAATACCTTCTATGTTGCTTATCAATTTTTTTGTTCTTTCAAAATATTTAATTTATGTCATTTACAATTTACATGAGCTATCTAAACATTGAAATTTTCCATTTCTGTCATTTACAATATTCGACATACATAAATTCAAATACTGAAATCTTCAATTGCCAGAAATTGAAATGACGGAAATCTAAATTCCGTCATTTAGAATTCTATGTAATTTACCATTCATTATTCAAAACGGTGCATTATTGGATATCAGTTTCTTATGGTTCACCTGGATCTTTTTGTACCACAAGCAAGAAGAAGAAAAAAACCGAACACATATATGTTTCTGTTGCGTAACTAATGATTGAATGAAAATTCAATCAACCCCCACCAACAAGATTTTCTTTCCTACATTATAGCTATAGCTTCTACCCTTTCGTTTTTAATTCTTTGTTTCATGATAACAGGGTCTTACCACCTCAGCATACAACATGCGATGCGGGGCATTTCAGTTTCCTCCCAAAGAATGGGGGAATGGAGGGAAGGGTGAGACTCATTCACCAGAGCCATGACCATGCAAGTAGATCAAGTCACAGACACCTCAGCCAACAAATGTTCGAAACGACACTATCATTTAGCCCTTTAGCTGTTAGCCTAATATATTTCAACAACCCCACAAAATTTGCAAACCTTTTCATCAACTGTGCATGCGGTAGTGTGCATGTTTTCCTCCTTTTGTTGATTCAACGTTTAACACCTGCAAAATCAAATCATTTAGCCCATCAACATAGACACCTCCTCCTTTCACATTCTATATTTGTCTGTTTGTGTGTCGCTGGGCCATGGATGCAGAAAACCGTGATGATAGGTTTGCCTTTTACGCGCCTCTGGTGCAGCATCAGAAGCCAGACAAATTATATGACGACGTAGAGGAAGCTGGATGTGGTCATCAAATAAGCACCTCATTTTGCATGACCTGTTTTAATGGACTCAATGCCTTATCAGGTACCTTATCTCAACCTGCCTTCTTTTTTTCCAGTGGCTCAAGAAGCTTGTACATCTCACACATTTGTAGTGTTAAATTTGGCTTTTTCTTCGATGACTTCTACTTAAACAACATTTTCTTTGCATTGGGGTTCCTGAACCCATCTTTCTGGAATTCACGGGCCATGGATGGCCCCACACTTCATTTGTTTTTTATGCTAGTGTTCAAATTGTATTGGACTCTTCTTAAGTAGGATGCGCGTGATGAGACTTCCGTGACTAAATAATATTTTTTTTCTTTCTTTTGGGTCCAAATCAGTGCATTAATGAGCCCAAATAGACCTTTCTGCACATTAAATGAATAACTAGTTTCTTTTAGCTTGCGTTTGGTCCATAGAAAAGAAAAAGAGTCTTGAGGATGATAAATTAATACAAATTTATAAATAAATCAAATCCTAGATATGTATTTATAAAAAAATTTAAACACTATTTAAACATAGAAACACACTCAAAATCAACCCCAAAATCAACAATTGTATATTTTTTGGGTGTGTTTATAAATGAGTTTTGAGTGTGTGTAATGATGGGTTTTGGGTGTATTTATAAAGTGTTTTGGGTGTTGGGTTTTTTTTATAATTTTAACCCCCATTTTGGGTGTTTTAGTGAAACTCCCATAAATTAATTGCTTTTTCATATTTGATAAGTTTATACATGAGAAATAGTTGATTGACACATGGAAAAATAGAAGGGAAAAAACATGAGAAGTAATATATATATATATATATATATATATAGCGCATATGCTATTTATGGCCCCAGTCTTGGCTTTTTATATAGAGAAGTATTTTTACTCATCACTTTAACTTAACATGCATCCTTAATACTTGACACATGTCCATTTTGTTATACTAACAACTTTCCTTTTGGCTGTAAGTTATAGATGTAGAGCACATGCTGTTTCTGTTATTTTCGTATATTAGCTAATCAAATTTGAAGACGAGTCTGTCTGTTGACAGCATACTGTCGTATTCTTTTGTTTTGGTTTTGCCTGTATATGTATTTCCATGTTCTGTGGTTCTATAAAATACAACCTGTGCAAAAATTCGTACACTTACGAAGAAAACAAACTTTTTCTGGTCCTACTTGGTTTCGACCTGTTTGTTGGACTGTCCTCTGGTCTGGATCGACCGAACTTGTTAATGATTCTTAATTAGGACAAAACAAAAATAGCGCACAGTTGACACGTTTAACTATTTGATAGACTTCCATATATATACACATAATTTCACAAGCTTTACATTTATGTCCTAGGAGTCATTCTTACTCTTCAGCTCAAGAGTTCAACTTCTCTCTCTCTCTCTCTCTCTCCCTCTCCCTTCACCAATGGATGAGTCTCCAGACAAATCATCCTTGACCTTGCCTCTTATCCTTGATGAGGGACAACATGAGCCTGCAAGCAATAAGGTAGAAGAAGTAGAGCCTAACTTTCATTATGAATCCACAGCTACAACCTCTTTTCTCAAAACCTTTTTCAATGGACTCAATGCGCTGTCAGGTTATCTACTTCTTTCTCATAACAAGTTCTTTCTTTTCCCAAATTAATTTTTGACAAGCTAGGTTACTAATTAATTAATTAAGGCATAAACTGTTATTATAGTTGGGGGTTCTTGCTTGGCATCTTTGACGAGAATTAGATAACCTGACTCAATGCGCTGTCAGGTTATCTAATTCTCGTCAAATTTTGTCGGGGTTTCTTTCTTGGTATCTTTGTAAGATTTGTTATTGTTACATTTTCATCTAAATTGCTTTTCAGTACTAGCTCAAGCAAAATATAAGTTTTAATGCCAAAATTGTACTTTGTTTTTTGGTTTTCAGGAGTAGGGATACTCTCAGTTCCTTATGCACTATCATCTGGAGGATGGTTAAGCTTGATACTTCTTTTCGCAATCGCCGCTTCATGCTTTTACACAGGCTTGCTAATTAAAAGATGCATGGATATGGATTCTGATATCAGAACTTATCCGGATATAGGCGAACGTGCATTTGGGAACAAGGGAAGGATATGGTTGTCAGTTGTCATGAACTTAGAACTCTACTTAGTTTCAACAGGTTTCCTGATTTTGGAAGGGGACAACTTGCATAACATATTTCCAGGCGTGGAATTGGAAGTGGCTGGTTTAAGAATTGGTGGAAAACATTGCTTTATAGTCGTTGTTGCCCTTATTATTCTCCCAACAGTTTGGTTAGATAACTTGAGCCTTCTTTCTTATGTCTCTGCAAGTGGGGTTTTAGCCTCTGCAATCATCCTTGGTTCAATTCTGTGGATTGGTTCTTTCGATGGAATTGGATTTCATCAAGCTGGGTCACCAGTTAACTGGAATGGAATCCCTACTGCTGTTAGCTTATATGCCTTTTGTTATTGTGCTCATCCAGTGTTCCCTACCTTGTACACTTCCATGAAAAACAAGCATCAGTTCTCCAATGTAAGTAAAAACATGTCAGCTGAGTTTCATAATTCTTAAATGACATTCTTACTATTTTGCTTCGGCATGCTTTGGAAATTCTTATCTGTTGTTTCTTTGTTGCAGGTCCTCCTCATCTGCTTTATCCTATGCACCATTTCTTATGCATCAATGGCAGTTTTTGGCTACCTAATGTTTGGTTCAACGGTTCAATCACAAATAACTTTAAACCTCCCAACTCGAAACATTAGCTCAAAAGTCGCCATATTCACGACCCTGGTGAATCCAATATCCAAATATGCTTTGATGGTTACCCCAATCGTGAATGCTGCCAAGAAGAAGTTTCCAAGTCACTACAATAAAAGGTTCATTGGCCTATTAGCCAGCACTACCTTGGTAATCAGCACTGTAATGGTAGCTTTGACTCTACCCTTTTTCGCGTATCTCATGTCACTTGTTGGAGCATTTTTGAGTGTGACAGGTTCAATTGTATTCCCATGCTTTTGCTACCTGAAACTTTCTGGGACTTATCGAAGATTCGGATGTGAGGTGTTGATTATAGGGTGCATATTACTACTAAGTGCTGCAGTTATTGTATTTGGCACTTACACTGCTCTAGTAGAAATAATAGGGAGCTTGTGAGTCGTACCAATGATCTCTTTTTTTTTTTTTTCTTCTTCTTCTTCTTTTGGGCTAGTGTATGGGTGATTGATTAGTGAGTTTTAAAACAAGGAATGCTTAGCTTGTTACAACATGCTGCACTTTGTATTAATCTGTTTGAGTTTTTGCTTTATAGGTCATTTAGATATATCCCCACAAAATAGAATAATACAGGGAGCCCTCGAAGAAAACCTTCGTTAGGGGTGTTGTCAATTTTGATTTAAGAAATAGACATGCATAGACATACAGACATTGAAAAAATGACAGTAGTTGTGGTAGATTCAGAGCTCATAGAGAAAAATTACTGATAAAGAGCAATGTTTTGGAAAATCAGCAATGCGCTATTCCATTAATAAAATTTTGAAATTAATAGAGGTTACATGGCAACTGATTTTGATTACATGTTAACCAACTCCATGTGCAAGCTCAATACATCTAGTAACTGGTAGATACCCTCATAATCAGCTCGAGAATCATAGCCAGAAAAGAATTTATGGATGGACCCGCCTAACTCAACGCAACTCTCCCCTGCCGTCTTCTTCACCCGTCTTTCTTTCATAACCTTCCTCAAATTGGCCGCTTTCTCCCACATCCCAACTTCAGCATACATGTTTGCGACCATCACAAGATTCCCTCCCCTGCTTGGCTCCAGTTCAAGCAACTTCTCACTTACTTTATTTCCTACCCCTTCATCGTCATTATCATCACACGTATTGCATGCACTAAGCAATGTTCTCCATACAATGGGGTCGGGGTCAAAGGGCATGCTCATGATGAAGCTATAAGCCTCGTTCAGACGGCCAGCACGACCTAAGATATCAACCATGGCACCATAGTGTATCATCATGGGTTTAATCCCATGCACATGTTCCATATCGTGAAAGTATTGGTACCCATCATCCACCTGTCCAGCATGGCTACAAGCACAGAGAACGCCAAGAAAAGTGACATAATTCGGGCGTACTGAGAAGTTCAACATCTTTGGGAAAAGTTCAAGGGCTTCCTTGGCAAACCCATGCTGGGCTAGTCCTAGAATCATTGCACTCCATGTCCACACATTCCGCAATTCCATTCTATCAAAAACTAGCCTGGCATAAACCAAAGCCCCAGATTTTGCATACATGTCAACAAGTGCAGTACCCAATTGACAATTCAAAATCAAACCCTTTTCAATTACTTGGGAGTGAACCCATTTCCCTAAGCTCAAGTTCCCAAGCTCCGAGGACGCGTTCAACATGACCACCATTGTAGTCTCATCCGGCTCAAACCCACAATCCCTCATCTTTACAAAATACCCAATCCCCTCATCTAACCAGAAATTCTCAACGCAAGCAGTCAGAACCGCATTCCACGAAACAACAGTTCTCACCAACATTCCATCGAACACACGCTGTGCATCCTTAATCTTCTTACAAGTCCCATAAAAATGAACCAAGTTGTTCTGAACATACACATCACAGTCCAAACCGCACTTCACAACGCCTACATGTACTTGCCTCCCTTCTTTAAGGGCAACGGCCGAAGCGCAAGACTTGATCAGAAAAGGAAAGGTAAGTTGGTTGGGTCTAATACCCCGGCCGAGCATTGCACGAAAGGCCCAGATGGCCTCTCTGGGCGTGTCGCTCGAGGCATAGCCTCTGATGAGGAAGTTCCACGAAGAAGGTGGTGAAGACTCAGAGTGGTCGAGAAGGGTTCGAGCGTAGTTGAAGTTTTTGGAGGGAGACAAAGCGCAGAAGCGAATGAGTTGGGTTAGGAGAAAGTGGTCTCTTTGAAAGCCAGAGACTTGGATTTGGGCATGAACCTGAGAGAGTTGTTTGAATGTGACGCAGAGGTTGAGGAGATAGAGACATTGCTGCTTCTTGGAGCAAAAGTTTGAATTACAGTTATTGGCGGTTGGGATCGGAAGCCGAACCATGCATTTGGGATCAAGGGATGGATTTTGGGTCTCGTCTCGGCAACACTCGCACTCGCATATCAGTACGGCAATGTGAAAACAAGGCACACTTTGGCTGGTACATACAAAAAAAGAATTAGAGCCAATGATTTTTAGCCATTGATCAAGTGTGAGTCTCACCCATGATTTTTAGTCGTTGATCTAATGTGAATTTGTAGCCATTGATCAAATGCGAGTTTCATAGTGAACTACGATCAGAAATTGCCCACTCACGATGGAATTGTATCGCTCCTAAAACTTTGAAGGCAAATCAACAAAAACATGACTTATACACCTGAAATTTGTACATCATTTACATTTTTTTTTGTTTGTCATGCACATCTAAGCTTTAATACATGCAGATGCAGGCTCCTATATTGTCTAGCTAGATATTACATCTCTTCTACCTGTATGCGACAACAAAAAGTTTGTACATATTTTGTGGCATTCTATATATATATGCCTAGGCTTCAATCATCTCCCGGACAGATTTCCTATCTAACTTCGCCACAGAAATATCAGTAAATTCAGACAGAATTGCTCTGAATTCATCTCCTGTGAGGATCTCCTTTTCTAAAAGCACTTCTACTAATTTATCCATGGCCTCCCTGTTGTTCCTCACATGGTTCTTTGCCAGTTCATATGCACTCTCAATTATATGTCTCACTGACAAATCAATGTCTTCAGCGAGCTTTTCAGACATGTTGTTTCTTGCTAGCAATCTCAACACTACATCGCTGCTTTGCGTTGCGGGGTCTGTCAGTGCCCACGGTCCAATCTCAGACATGCCAAACATTGTTACCATCTGTAAATATAGCAATCTTGTTAACTTGGTATTTAAGGATGGATTTTGGTTGTTAGTTTATTGACAATTAAAATTCCATTAATAAAAGTATGTTTGAGGTGTTTGAATGTAAATTATGTACCCGTCTTGCTATCTGTGTGATTTGTTGCAAGTCTCCTGCTGCACCAGTGGTTATTTCTGGCTCCCCAAAAATCACTTCCTCTGATGCCCTACCTCCTAACCCACCAACTATTCTAGCAAACAGTTGTTGCTTAGAAATAAGAGCAGGATCTTCATCCGGTATGAACCATGTAAGGCCACGAGCTTGGCCTCGGGGAATAAGAGAGACCTTCTGCACTGGATCATGGCCCGGAGTCAGTGTCCTACAATTGACAAAGAATGTAGAACATTTTAGCTCAAAATTCTTAGGAAGAACAAAAGAAATAGTACTTGTATATCAAGAATACGAATACATGTTTTCACTTACGCACAAATAGCGTGGCCAACTTCATGGTAAGCCACAAGAACTTTGCTCTTTCCATCTGTCATTTTTGTCCCCTCCATCCCAGCCACAATCCGATCAATTGAGTCATCGATTTCCTTCATTGTTATCTTGTTTTTGCCTCTCCTACCAGCAAGGATGGCAGCTTCATTCATGAGGTTTGCAAGGTCTGCACCACTGAAACCAGGAGTTCTCATGGCAATAACACTAAGAGAAACATCTTTGTCAAGCCTCTTGTTGTTGCTATGCACCTTTAATATCTCTTCTCTTCCCCTTATATCTGGTAGCCCAACAGTGACCTGCCCAAGAAATAACAAACAAAAAAATGCATGAACTTCGAATATCAAATGATGGCCTAAAGACTCAATTTTTTTTTGTAGAGCTTGGAAAACAAACAGCAGCTAGCTTACTTGTCTGTCAAATCTGCCAGGCCTAAGCAAAGCAGAATCGAGAATTTCAGGGCGGTTAGTAGCAGCAATAACAATCACTCCACTGTTCCCACTAAACCCATCCATTTCAGTAAGCAACTGATTGAGTGTTTGCTCTCTCTCATCATTTCCTCCACCAATTCCTGTTCCTCTCTGCCTCCCAACAGCATCTATCTCATCAATGAAAACCAAGCATGGGGAATTGGCTTTAGCCTTGTTGAATAAATCCCTCACTCTAGAAGCTCCTACTCCTACAAACATCTCTATGAACTCTGACCCTGACAGAGAAAAGAAAGGGACCCCTGCTTCTCCTGCTATGGCCCTGGCCAGCAGTGTCTTTCCAGTCCCAGGTGGCCCTACTAAAAGAACCCCTTTGGGAATTCTTGCTCCAACAGCTGAAAACTTCTCTGGAGTTTTCAAGAATTCAACAATCTCTTGGAAATCTTGCTTTGCTTCATCAACCCCTGCTACATCATCAAATGTTACCCCTGTATTAGGCTCCATCTGAAATTTGGCTTGGCTCCTGTTGATCCAAATATGTGTGTATATATATATATATATATATATACAGCACAAAAACCATGTCAAATATTCAGTTGGATTAAATCATAAACATAAAAAACTTAAAACTAGCTTATGCTGTAGATGAGAAACTTGGTGATTTTATACCTTCCAAGTCCAAAAGGCAAGTTGGGGCCTCCTGGTGTGTTTGTAGAACTAGCTCTGAACAGCAATGTTCCAAGTAGTATTAATGGAAAAGCAAAATTTCCCAACAAGTCTAGAACTGCTGGCAACCAATTGATTTCCATAGGATGAGCTGAAAAATCTACGTTCTTTTCTTTCATCTTCCTCAGCAACTCTTGTGGCAAATCAGGTAACTGAACCTTGACCCTTTGGATCTTATCTAATGTGGGATTGAAGATCTCGGCGATCGCAACAGTTCCATTCTCAAACAAGTCCACCTTCTTTACAGCGTCTTCATCCAAGTACTGCAAGAATCTTGAGTATGACATTCTGCTTGAAGTTGATGCAACTGGGCTCTCTGGCTCTGGCTCTGCTCTTGCAGGCTTAGAAACAGAGAGAGCCCCAGTTCCTACTAGGCCCAGTGTAGTGGAGTTTAAAAGCGATCTCCTACTAAATTTGAAGTTTGAGTGAGTGCTGTGACATGGGTTTTCTCTATTGGGGTTTTTTGGAAGGTGGGTTTCCTTTGAAATGTCCTGAGATTTGCAGAGTGGAGAGAGGGAGACGGACAGAGACAGAGCAGGTGACATATCTTAAAGGTTGAAGCTTTGGTATGAGCAATTTTAGTGTGCACTGTAAACTGGTTCGATTTGGAGGGAATGTTGAAGTATTCTTTAATATGGGAGACATTGGAGGCTTCCAGCAACTTCAGTTTGGCTTCTTCTTGAGTGGATTACTTTGCCTTCAAATTTTCCATTTCATTCCTGAAACGTCTAGAATATTGACGTTTTTAAATTTATGTGCATGAATGAGTAATCAGTCTTATAAATTTTGGTGACTATGAAATCTTCTAATCTCCCTCTCAACCACACACTTGGAATGATGTGGTCCATTTGTTTGTCCAAATTAAACACATTTTCATAGGTTAATGTCCAAATTAAGCACATTTCACACGTACACACAACTGAGATGCTATAGGATTCGAACTTGAGACCTATTATCTGCAAGTAAATATATTTTTTCATTGAGTTAGACCTGTTTTTTTTCTTTATCAGCCGGGAGGTAGGAAGGTAAAACCAAAAGAATGTATTTTATTTTGAAAACAAACAATGTAACATCGTTTTGTGTAACATTAGCAGGAAAAGAAAAATGAATGTGAGACATGGAGTTTATGTGTTTAAAAGTATTTTAAGAAAAACCAAATTGTATTTTGAAATAGATAATCACAGATACCGGTTAACAATTTACCAATAACCGTTGATAACTACATATCATTTTGAATTTAAACTGGTGATAAAGCCTCTATATAATGCAAATCTTAAAAATCGTTCCAAATTAAACCCATTGAACATTTGCTTGTTGGCCAAGAGAATCAGAATCAGAACACTGGAAAAATGGATCAGAAAAGCGAGGGAGTTGGGATCAAAATCTACAACAACGCAGTGTACGGGGACCCACATGAAGACGAGTCCGCCAAGTCACCAAAGCCACCTTCTTCTTCCTCACATCCCCTGCCTCTGGTACGACTGAACCCAGACCACATACACGGCAGGAAACGACGTGCCGTTGCTAAGGGGGTCCAGAAGACCTTGTCCAAGACCTCCATGCTCGCCAACTTTCTTCCCACGGGCACCCTCCTGACCTTCGAAATGGTGCTTCCCGCCATCTATCGCAGCGGCGAGTGCACACGTGTCACCAATATGATGACCCACGTCCTCCTGGCCCTGTGTGCCATGTCATGCTTCTTCTTCCACTTCACAGACAGTTTCCGTGGGCCCGATGGGAAGTTATATTACGGGTTTGTGACTCCAAAAGGGCTGGCGGTGTTCAAACCGGGCCTGCCCGTGGAGGTGCCCAAGGACGAGAGGTACAAACTGGGCCTAACGGACTTCGTTCACGCCGCTATGTCCGTTATGGTGTTTGCCGCTATCGCGTTTTCTGATAGGCGCGTTACGGACTGTTTGTTTCCGGGGCACGAGAAGGAGATGGATGAAGTGATGGAGAGTTTTCCGTTGATGGTGGGGATCGTGTGCAGCGGATTGTTTCTCGTGTTTCCTACTACTCGCTACGGGATTGGATGCGCGGCTTCGTGAATGAAGACAAGGCATGATAATTCAAGAGACATTTGATTAATTAATTAATTCACTAATGTTGTTTGTGTTTTCTTATTAGGCAAGAAAATGATGCTTTTGTGTCTCTTATGTATGTTTGGAATATTGTGATGTAATGGTAAATAGTACTTAGTCAATTATGCATGTAACATTTTTTTTTGTTGTTTTTAAAAAATTAGTTAATTGATCATATTACTGATATAGATCGATCTGTTCATATCGCATATCTTTTTTTGATGTTGTCAGAATTGAAAAATTAGTCATTAATTCAGCAAATTAATGGCATTGTGCCATAATTTCTTTATTTGCAAAAATAATTCATATATATATATATATATATGCTTTGGAAATAACTGCATAATGGTATGAATAGAAAAATTGTCTTAATCCGTTTTCATGTCTTACTTTTGCGAACCAAAAAAAGAGTCTTAAAAAGAAATTGGTTTTGAGAAGGTAAGGCCTAATCTAATCCATTGGATTAATTTGATTTCATGTCTTACTTTTGCTTTCCCCTATTTTTTTCAAATTTTCAGTAAACAAATAAATGGAAAAGTTGTTATTATTTTATAGTCCTTTCCACGCAAGCTTTTATCCAAACCTCTTCTCAATCATCAACAACATTTGCACATTTGAATTGGAATCCACCAAAAGACACTAGAACTTTTAGTGCAGTCAAAATCATGGCAGAAAGCTCAAGAAGAATGAAGAAAAAAGCAAAATAGTAGTAGGTAACTGTCAGACCCACCAAAATTGCACAGAAAAATGAATTCTATATAATTGAATCTATCACAACCACTGAGCTGGTGGTGACTCACTCATCAATAAGCTACCACGTTTTAAATTTATGGAAAAACACACGAACAAAAATTCATGGAAAAATAATAACGTAAGACTTTAAACTTCGAATATAAAACCACAACCAATTAAAAAACAAAAACATAATTCTCATCTGTCAGTGCAGAAGGGCATCTGTCAAGAAGCCCAGGCCCACAGACCCGCGCATTTCCGGCAAAAGAATCACAGATTCGCACTAGAGGAAGGACTTGTTTGTGGCCAGCCAATTTCAGCCTCATAAATCCCTCCATGATTTCCCCTTCTTTTGTGGGACCCATCTCAACGACCCTCCCCAACGATTGTTCTCGTGCTCTTGCTTCCCTGTCCATGGTTTCTCTTTCTCCTCTTTCAATTTCACCTCCGAGTCTTCCTCATTGTTCAATTGGGTATCGTTCGACTATCATTTCTCCAATTGGGTTTGTTTCTGTTTGAATTTCTCAACTGGGTTCGCTCTATTTTGCTCTTGCTAGTTCTCATAGGCAAATCGTCGAACATTCCCTTATGGCTTCCATTGGGTCTCTGCCTTTTATGATAGAGACCAAGACTGAAAGCTCTGTGCTTCTTCACAGCAATAATAATCGCCGACTCAGATTCCCATTCTTCACGCATCGGCCGGGAAGGTCCGTTGAAGTTAGTGGTATCAATGCAGAAGTTGTGGGAATGTGCAGTAGACAGATTAATTGGTGCACAAAAGGGAAGCTTTGGAAGATTGAGCCTCTTAGAGCGACTGGTAAGGTCTCTGTGGAGGGCGAGGACGGTGGCGAGCCAGAGGATGCGCTTCGGGCCACCATTGAAAAGAGTAAGAAGGTTCTTGCTATGCAGAGAGACCTACTTCAACAGGTAATTTCAGCAATTACTCTCTTTTATAACGAAAATAATCAATTATAGGCCAAAGGTTAATACTTTCTGTCTTCTTAGTAGTTAAGGGGAGTTGAAAACTTAGAATAAGCAAATTTGTGTTTGTAGATTGCTGAAAGAAGGAAATTGGTATCTTCTATACAAAGTAGTAGTATAAACCAAGAAGAAGACAAAGCTTCTTTTGAACAAGGGAATGACTCATTTCCAAATGTAGAAAGTTCTTCAACTAGTGGTGACAATACTGTTGAAGACCAAATTGGTAGCATTGCTTCGAGCAGCTATGGTGATTCAACTGAAGATAAGGAATTAGAAACCGTACCTTCTGCTGTTAGTGGAGGACTTAATAAAATAGAGAAGGATCATGGAGAACCTTTACCACTTAATAAGGCTCCCAGTGAGGTAGATTCCACTAAGCATATGAATAAGACTAGTTCCAAGACAGAGTGGTCTGATGCTTTGCCATCTTTTATTTCAACTACTGCTGAGACGTCTACTCCAATAGATGAAGAGCTTGTAGATCTGAAAGAACCAAGTTTAGAGGAGGTCAATAATTGGGAAACCGATCTTATGAGTGAAGACGTAAAGCCCCCTCCTTTGGCTGGGGCCAATGTCATGAATGTCATATTGGTAGCTGCAGAATGTGCTCCTTGGTCGAAAACAGGTAATGTTTAATAAGCCCATAATATGTGAAGGCAATATCATTTATAGGGTCGATAATGATCCTTGTATGCATGTAGTGGCTGATAATGAAGAGTTCTTGTAGGTGGGCTTGGAGATGTTGCTGGGGCTTTACCGAAGGCTTTGGCTCGGCGTGGACATAGGGTTATGGTAATACTTCTTTTTTATAATATTTAAAATTCGAAGTAATTAGAAACCTCTTTCTGAATTTCTTTGTTGAGAAATTTCATGGAAAATGAACTGGTAATATATTGAAATTTTAGGCATGGGGTTTAAGTGAACTGAAATTTCCAGCATGTGTGTTTAATGGAGCTCCCATTTGATTTACAATTCTATGGCTGTTAAAACCCAGAGTTCCTTCCTCTCTCTCTCTCTCTCTCTCTCTCTCAGGTTGTGGCACCTCTATATGGTGATTATGCGGAACCCCAATATTCTGGAATTCGGAAAATATATAAAGTTGATGGCCAGGTCTGCAGCATTTGATTGTAACTAATATTCTATCAAGTTCTCAATTAGATAGGTTTGAACTTCTCATTTTTTAACGAATAACTTACTTTGCAGGATCTGGAAGTAGCATATTTCCATGCCTTTATTGATGGCGTAGATTTTGTATTCATTGAATGTCCTATGTTCCGTCACATGGGGCATGATATATATGGAGGAAAGCGTGAGGTAAGAGATGTTTGTTGTCAGTTTAGCTTCAATTGGTTCTCAAGAGGGATAAAAAATGTTTTCCTTATAGATGATTTGTTTTTATTGAGATTTATGTTAGATTGCTTTTGCAATGGTAGTGTGGCAGATTTATCATTAGAGACAACCGCTGAAGAACCACTACCACATAAAAGAATGACTGTGACTTAGTGGCACCTCCTTCTCCTGAGAACTCTTGTATCTATATCATTTGTACTCCTCATTAACGAAGATTGCTCCCTATATCATCTATTTGTTTATTATTGCATCAGAATCCCCATGGGCTGGAAGCCTGCCTGACCAACCCATGATGTGTAAGGTTTGTCCAGATGGGACTTGGATGGGTTTAGTTTCTTAGGTACAAACAAAGTTTGGGCTTCAAAAATAGGGCTTCGTCTAGCATTGTAGAATAAATTGATCAAGATTGGGTAAGAATTGACGGGGACTTGCTCATACACTCTATGATCTTAATTTATTTGTGATTAGAAATGTGAAGGTAAACTAGGGATAGATAACTTAACAAGACAGCCGGCACAAAGCTGAGCTCAGGCATCCTCATTTCCTTTCATGCTGGAAAAATTGAGCCTAAGCTTGGCTGGCTTCTCATTCTTGTTGGTGCTCCTGCTGTGATTCTTGCTTTTAACATAGATGATCCAGTGTACCATTAATGTAAATAAATAATCTAAGTTCCTCCTTGCAGTGTGGATCACTGTTATTTACATGTCATTTTAGGGCTGATTGAGTCTTACATTCCTTTGGTTTTATGGTGCAGGACATTTTAAAACGCATGGTGTTATTCTGCAAGGCAGCTGTTGAGGTACACTGGCTCAATGCCCCTCTGTATAGAGTCAAATAAGCAAATTCTGTTTTTCAAATCTCAGGCATTACTTATGTGATGGATGTCATGTTAATTCTGAAATCAGCTTTTTCTCTTTTTTTTGGCTGGAATGTTGAAGTCAGTTCTACCTAAGCTCTTTCTTTGTTCTTTTTATCTGCTTAGACGCAATAAAGGCAAAAAAGCTTGTTGCTGCAGGTCCCTTGGTATGTCCCGTGTGGTGGTGTTTGCTATGGCGATGGAAACTTGGTTTTCATTGCAAATGACTGGCATACTGCATTGTTGCCGGTGTACTTGAAGGCATATTATCGAGACAATGGCTTAATGACATATACAAGGTCCATCCTTGTAATCCATAACATAGCTCACCAGGTTTGTTCCTTTGATAAAGTTCATTTAACTGAAACTAAGACTCAAGTCATTTTATTGTCTAATGGAAGCTCGAGCTGTACATTTTCTATATCAGTCGGTTGATCAGTTTTACTGTTTTATATAGATGAGAGATAATTGACAACAAGGTGCTTAGAAGATTTCATACAACCTAGATTGACTTAATGTCCGCACTTTGTTGCCAATTGAATTGACATGAAAAGCAATTTGATCATTTTTCTCTTATACTGTATGGAAAACAACATCCCAAAATGAATAAATTGCAAAGATGATCCAAGATCGCTTATTAGAATGGACTTTCAAGCAAAGTCCCTTTTCAAAGGTTTAAAATGTCATCATAGTATAAAGAATTCTTAGCATTAAAGATTATGAAGTTTTAAGAATTAAGTTCATATTTGTATTTTATCAGGGTCGGGGGCCGGTAGCTGATTTCTCATTTGTTGATCTTCCGGGCCACTACCTGGACCTTTTCAAATTGTATGACCCTGTTGGAGGTGAGCACTTCAATATCTTTGCAGCTGGTCTAAAGACAGCAGACCGTGTGGTTACTGTAAGTCATGGATACGCCTGGGAGGTTAAAACAGTTGAAGGTGGTTGGGGATTACATGGGATCATAAATGAGAATGACTGGAAATTCAAAGGCATTGTTAATGGAATTGATACACAAGAGTGGAACCCACAACTTGATGTTTACTTGACATCAGATGGTTACACGAACTACTCCCTGGCGACACTTCAGACTGGCAAGCCTCAGTGTAAGGCAGCTTTACAGAAGGAGCTGGGTTTGCCGATCCGGGAGGACGTCCCTGTAATTGGGTTCATTGGGAGGCTGGATCAGCAGAAGGGTGTTGATCTCATAGCAGAGGCAATTCCTTGGATGATGGGTCAGGATGTGCAACTAATCATGTTAGGCTCTGGCAGACCTGACTTGGAACAGATGCTGAAGGAGTTTGAACATCAACACCGAGACAAGGTCAGGGGATGGGTTGGTTTTTCTGTACAAACAGCTCACAGAATAACTGCTGGTGCAGACATTTTGCTCATGCCATCAAGATTTGAGCCATGTGGACTGAACCAATTATATGCTATGAACTATGGGACAGTTCCAGTTGTTCATGCTGTTGGTGGACTGAGAGATACCGTGCAGCCTTTCAATCCATATGATGAGTCAGGACTTGGGTGGACATTTGACAGTGCTGAGGCCGGTAAGTTAATCCATGCATTAGGGAACTGCTTATTGACTTACCGAGAGTATAAGAAGAGTTGGGAAGGAATCCAGAGACGAGGGATGACACAAGACCTCAGTTGGGACCATGCTGCTCAGAATTATGAGGAGGTTCTTGTGGCTGCAAAGTACCAATGGTGAACCATTGCTGTTTGATGGCTACGATTTTGACCTTTTGCAAGCTCTATCCAAGTATAGTGATATACCAGGGTTCTGTTAGGAAAAGTTACTACGGAAGTTGTTACTATGTAAATATTGTTCAAAGAATCTTTCTTTTTCTTTTTCTGATCACATGGTTACTCTTTGTACTCAGTCCAGCATGCAAAAGTGGTACATTTTATGGTAGTGAAAGAATAATCATTGTTTCGCACTCTTGTTTTTAGTCACTTTGGTTTCTTTTGCTTTTTCAGGGTAAAGAACAATCCTCTAAATGTTCAAAGTCAACGAATTCTGGGAACTTAAGCCTGGAAAAGATCAAATTTGACCACGCAGAAGCTTCAACTTACGTTGCCTCGGCCAATTATCTGATCAATCTAAGGCATGCATGACACATTTTTTTGATCCGAAGCACTAATCGTGAATTGCTAAAAATCCTATATCATTGGGCATTCTAATTTACAAAAAGTTAAAAAAGAAAACGCATTGTAAGTGCGAGGATGAAGAAAAAGAAAATCACCATTTCCATTTCAATTGGCCTCCATAATTTCATTGATGATTAAAATTCAGACAATTTATCTCAATACACCAGGAATACAAATTAATTTTATTGATTTTATCAAATCCCAATAGAAGCCTATTAACACTCGCCAACAAATCAATATGACAGACATCCCCAGAAAACAACTCTAATTGCTTTCTGAAGCATCCAAATATGTCAAATCTTATCTCTCTCCACATCAAACACACTTTGATACTTGTGACTTCCTATGTAAATGAAACTCCCCTGTCCCGATCAAACTGCAGACAGGAACGTGTTGAAAGCAGCCCTGCAAATCCCTTCAACAGGCAACCTTCAACCGCACATGGAGATTTGGAAGAATTCAATGGACTGCTATGTCTAATGGTTTCCATGCAGCCATCTACAGTACTTCCTGTTGTATTGTCCTCCCAGTTTGCTGGTATGTAAGACATCGGCCGACTTCTCTTAATGCTTAATGCAGGCTTCAAGTCTGCAGGATGTGTGGGGAAGAGGGTGGCTGAGGACTCCATTTCGTCAATTTGAAGGTCTCCAGGTAACTTCCTCTTCAAACCAGGTAAAATCTTCAAGCCTGCACCACAATATTATTAGGATGAAAGCTTGGGCCTTAAATTTCACTGCCTACAAGTCTGGCATTTGCTAAGGTAACGAACAGGTAGTGAACAATGGGACTACGCTTCCAAGTATACTGATTGACATACCAGGTAGAGGATCATCATATGTGCATGACCAGGATTCTGAATCACCACAGTTACAGTTGAAGTTAGAATTTTCATTAGATCCTGAAACCCTGCAAGACAAAAGATACATAGGAATTATGCCTTCAAAATGAATAACAAAACTGTAGTTTCAATGGTTTTATATCCTTTTCCTAGCACTTCTCCTGGTATTGTCATAAGTCTGTCTATTAATTCATTTAGGTAGGGCTACCATTATTTAGAGTATTTACAGCCTCAAACTGTCACACTCCATCTCCAAAACTTATGGAAAGGAGAAGCCATTTGGCCCAATGGAACAAACATTATGAGGGTATAGAGATCAAACCTGTACATATGTTCAACAAAGTCATCTATTAAAACAGGCCAAGCTCCTGCAAAGATGATTAAATCAATGAACATTTCATATAGAAACGACAGCTTTTTTCCATAACAGATAACATAAAGTTGTCAACCTCTCATGCAGTCTTCATACAGAACTCGGACCCAAAACAATAATAATAATAATAATAATAATCAAAATAATAATCACACCCATCAGATATAAAATTGATGGTATATACCTTCAGGATCATACCCTTCCAAATTTTCATGCACACACCGGCTAAAAGCTAAAACTTGCCTCCAGGTATCTTCAGAGATGTTATGCCGCTGATTTTTCTAAGAGGAATACCAAATGTTAGTTGCCTTTGAAACACACTTACGCACATGAACCCACAAAAGACTACATTCTTATACATCGAAATATTGCTTAATATACATGACTTGTACGAGATGTATGTTCCCATTTCCCAAATGAAACAAGCTGACATTGACTGTAAAACAATTCCTCAAAATGGCACTGGTAGTTGGGGGGAGGAAAGGTATGTGATATACAATAAAATAAAATAAAAAAGGTACAAAAAATTCCCTCAAAATGGCACATGCAACTATTGGGAGCCATCATTTTGCTTTCAAGAGTATAACTGTAAGCTTCAGCTTGTATATATCAAAACTACATGGCATAGAACAATGAACTTTGGTCTACCCATGGTCATCATTAGTGAAGAAACATTAGTTCTACTTCAACACAATAAATATATCTACCAAAAAGACTAGAAATCATTGAGTTGTAAGCAACCTCAGAATGTCTGTACCTCAACAAAATCACACCATTGATTCAGCAACCGAAACCTCCCAGCTAATATTAACCTCCATGCAGTAATCGCCTTATTTACAGCTGCAAATAATTCAAGAAAAAAAAAGAAAGGTAAAGGAGGTTTCATAGGGCTACTCTAGGGAATGAACAGAAATGGCTAAGAATTATTATAATGAGTTTTATAACGCAAGAAAACTCACTGATATTCTTCTGACCATTTTCACGGCACATAAAGAAAACAAAATCATAGAAGCGCGAGAATTCAGAAAAGTCTACCTGCAAAGGGAGGATTTTTCTTTTGTTAATGGAACGCTAAGGTAGGAACCACAATTAGGCAATAGCATATAAAGCACTTTTTTTTTCATGAAGAATTAGACGTCACTCATCAATTAACAATAATCTACTTAAAAAATTTCGATGAGTAAATCTTACCACCAAGTCTAACCGTGACATTAGCTTGAAAACTTCATCAAAAATTGATATCCTGTCAAAGTGGACACTCTACTTTATAAAAATCTGACAATAAAAGGGGAAACAAAATGCTCGAATGCTAAAATTAAGTGCCAGAATGTTACTTAAAATTGGAAATAAGGTTCTACAGCATGATACAGGATGACCACGTCCTAAGGGTGCTCCAAATCATGTTCTGTTGAATAACTGTAGCTTGTATATAGAGATTTATACCTAGGATGTAGTTTCAACTGCACCAGATTTAAGAGCTGAATTAATGCCTCCCTTGAATATTTAGTCATCTGTGATTCATTGCTTCCTCTGTAATCATCCCCATGACCATATCCATTTACTGTCCTGACATCTGCCATTTAACAGTCAGAATTACTACTCTAGACTCATTAATAATCCAAATTGAAACTTTTAAAATGACTGGTGATAATTTACATAACAAACAACTCATATCTGATTAACGAAAAGAAAGCTTTTCTTCCTGCGTGCAGGTAGAGTGTTTGAGGAAGTATATCCAAGGACAAGCTACATGAAATCAGAAATGCATTTGCTTTATTTTCTAAGATGGTTAAAGATAATCCAAAACCTTTTTTTGTAGTTCACTGACAGTGACAAATGCAATTAGCCAGCATAAAAAGATTAACTTTCATGCAGTGAGATGAAGCTGATAATTGATCAAAGCCTAGAAGACAAAGGAAGCAAGAAATATATAGCCTTTGCACCATATCTATCACAAAGCTGGGATTTTTATAGAATGGAATCTCAAACAAGCAGATTGACGTATTAAATTCAGCTCACTGCAGGTCTTCACGTGAGCTAAACACTGAAAAGATCAAAGTTTCAGACTGGAATTCCCCTCCACATGTTCTCAGCGATCAAACAGAGAATAATTAACAACCCAACTTCAGTAAGGAAAACATCGCAAAAGTAAGTGCCCATTTTCACATTTTCTGGCACCAAAAAGAAAACTTTTGACAACCCAGCAGAAAGGAATTAACGGCTTTGTAAACACACCAAAAAAACCTACAAAATATTCAAATTTCATAGCCAAATAAATGAACAACCTTGAGAAAAAGAATTGGCGCTAAATATGAATTCAGAGCATAAAATCAATGAACAAGAGCGTGAAATGACAATCGGAGAAATAAATATAAGAAAGAGGTAGAGGAAATTACCACAGTATCGGCGATAAATCTCAAATATGTCGAAACGAGTGGACACGGTTGGATCCATCCAGCTCCGGCGAGCTACGGTCTTAACTAGGAGGAGGCGTGGGGTTGGCCTCTACTCTCTACACCAACACCAATTTTCAGGTACCGACGCTCTTTTTTTATTATTTATTATTATGTTTCTTTTTTTACTAAGGATGTTTGTTTCTCCCTTCTTACTTCTGTATGTTCATATGTTTGTTGTCAGTGTAGGAGAGAAGAGAGAGGATGTTATGAACAGGCTCTCAGTCTCCAAGTGTGGGTAACGTCTCAAATTTCAGCCCAGTGGGTTGAGGTTTTTTAACTAACGGTTTAAGTGGACCGGACAAGTCGTTGGGCTTTATGTTCTCTGTACGGGATTTATCTATTTACAAATTATTAAAAATTGTATAGCCGCGCGGCTATTCTCGGTTTTATTAATGTTTCTTTAAAACATAGTATATCCGGTCGGCTATACTCGGTTCCCTAATTATATTTCAACAATTGTATTCTATACTCGTGTTTCCCTAATTGTTTTTTTAAATAGTATAGCCGACCGGCTTTACTCTTTTCACAGGTGGTGCCCTTAGCGGGTTCTTTTTTAATATATAAATAGTGTAGCCAGTCGGCTATACTCTGTTTTGTTGTAATTTTTTTTTAAATAGTATCGCCGCACGGCTATACCCGGTTTTTAATTTTAATTTTAAAATAGTACAGCCGATCGGCTATAAAGGTTATCCCTATTTTTTAAAAAAATTGTATAGCCGCTCGGCGGTACTACGCCCAGGCTCTAGGCCGGTGCTTTAAGTATATAGTATAGCCGCGCGGCTATACTTTGTTTTTTTTTCTTGCTATTTTTTCTTTATTTTTTTCTCCGATTTTCTTGTTTCGATAAGAGTAATTTAGAGCATTATCCATTACTGTTAGGTCATTACCCGAGTCTCTATTGTACCCTTTTGATTTTTTATTTTTCATAGTTATTACTCGTATAAACAATTTAGCACTTTCACATTTAATAATGTATTATACACGTATGTATGTATTTTTCAATAATACATATGTGTTTTGCAAACGTCTTAAAGACTCAGTTGTAGGAATAAATAATTATTCTTAACTACTTGAACTACAAGCCCTTTTTTGTTCATTTACAAAGTTTTCTCTCTCTCTTTTTTTTTATCTTTGTTTACTTCTTTTTTTTTATCAATAATAAATTTTTATTTGTTCTTGTTTATTTTCATTTTAAAAATTTGTAGACGACCCCATTTAGGGCCAATTAATTTTCTCCAATTCCACTTTTGTATTCCTATAGAGTTTGGGAGATGGGCTTTGTCCTTGAGGAAGTAGGGAAAATAGCGTGCCTATAAAAACAGGGGATGAGCACTCCTTTGGCTTCAATAAGCAAGCAAGCAAGCACGCGCATTAGACAGTCTCTCGTAATTAATTCGGAAGGTTAAGAACATGAGAACGATGGGGTCCCAAGAACTCACTGCTTTCCATGATTCTGATTATGAACATGTTCGCGCAATCGACCGTGATGATCAGACATCCAGCAACGCTCCTGCATCCGTAGAATTACTGATGGAGGAAGCATGGACGACCAAGTGGTTGTGGGATGAGCATGAGTGCCAGTGCCAGCTGTGCACTATTTGCTTGGAAGGCTTGAGTTATGCTGCTAATTCTGAAGAAGCCAAAAGTAAGGAGATGCCTTGTAAGCAAAAGTTTCACTCGTCTTGTATTCGAACCTGGCTCGCCCGGCGTGGTTCTTGCCCGCTCTGCAGGTCCTCTGTTAAGCCTGTCCTGCCCATGAACATGCCTCTTCTTCAACATGGAGAGGAGGAAGATGAGGAGGTCACCGTGTGGATTAACATTGTCAAAAAGATGGACAAATTTTGGTTTGGGAAGATCAGTCTATGAAGAATATTTTTCTTAAGCTTCGATTTAAATTTTTTTTTTCCAAGAGCTTCGATTTAATTGTTTGTTCATACGTTGATCTAATTTCCAAATGAAGTTATTAAATTTTGGCACTAAAGATCTTGATATTGCTTTTGTTTTTCTAATTTTTTGGGGTTAAATTTGATATGGCTTATTGGGAGGCTATTACTTGATGTACAAGGATGATCATACTCATGATTGTACCTTTGTTTTGCATGTTACCAAAGAAAAAGGAGGAATTAGGAGGAAAATTTATTCTGAAACAAGTCGATTTTGGGAAAGAAAGAAGAAAAAAAAAAAAAAAAAAAAAAAAAAAAAAAAAAAAACACCAGAACTAAAAATATAAAATAAATAAATAAATTGAGCTTAACAACAATTTTCCTAAGCGATGTTGCTTCTATTGATTGACCTAATTCTATGTTTACAATACATATTATAATAGTATAACCCAAAGGCAGAGATATCTCAGAGCAAAGTTTGATCTGCTCGTCAATAAAGTAACTTTGCCATCACCAGTAATTCCCACAAGAACAACTCCCATCCTTGAAATGGTGGAATCTGCTGGCGTCCCTCACTACAATTTCCCGTCCTGTAACCCTAGCAATTAACTTAACTGCAGAATGGCAGTCTCCACAAATGCGATGGCTCTGCACAATTTGCAGCGGCGTCCCATCCGCAGTACTTATTAGTCCATAAGCTATGGCCAGTTTCTCACTGTGGTAAAACGATCTCCGCTCATGTTCATCAACATCAGGAAGTAGATGCTTCTCCTCAGGGATGTAACCGTGTTTTGTAATCCTGATCATCAAGTCATCCATTTTCTGGTAAATATCTCTTGTTTCAGAATGGCTTTTATCTCCCGAATGGAAAATATGTAAATGTTTCTTAACTTCAATCCAACTGCATGCGGGTAGCATTCTTAAACCCTTTCTTCTTAAAGTCTGAACAACACTAGCAGCCTCCTTCAACTTCCCAGAACTGCTGTATATATTTAAGAGCACAACATAATTACTTAGCTTCTCAGGTTCCATCCCATAAAGTTTTTCTGCTGCAAATTTGCCGAGCTCTAAATTCTCATGGACTCGACAAGCTGTTAGGAGGGCAGCCCACATATTTGCCGTAGGATTAAAGGGAGCACTTCTTATTAGTGCAGAGGCTTCATCTAAAAGCCCCTCTCGACCTAGCAATTCAATCATACAAGCATAATGCATAGCACGAGGCTTAATCTTGTGATCCCTACTCATTGATTCAAAAATCTCCCATCCGCGTTCTGATAAACCTGAATGACTGCAGGCAGACAATACTGCAAGAAAGGTAACATGGTTCGGTACCATTCCTTCCTGAAGCATCTTCTCGAACATCTCAACAGCCTCATCACCCCGACCATGATTACCATATCCAGCAATCAAGGCATTCCAAGATATTACATTCTTGAGGGGCATCTGGTCAAAAACATGACGGGCATCTTCTATCCTTCCCCATTTGCAATAGAAGTCCACAAGTGATGTGTTTGCCACTACATCTAATCCAAAGCCATGACGAACTAGACCTGCATGAGCTTGCTTAGCATGTTCCAATGATGCCAACCTAGCACAGATTCTTATGATCATGGAAAATGTAAAATGGTCCATCCGAACACCAGAATCACGCATGTCATAGTACATACTCAGAGCTTCCTCACTGTAACCATGGAGTGCATAACCTGCTATGATGGAATTCCATCCTACTGTTGTCTTCCGCGGCATCTCATCAAAAACACACTGAGCATCTTCAATATTCCCACACTTGCTGTACATATCGATCAGTGCACAAGATACAAAAATATCAGCACCTAACCCCATCTTCAAACAACAGGAATGAAACTGTCTTCCAGAAAAAATGAGTCCCAAGCCAGCAGATGCCCGAATCATAGTGGCAAATGTGCGTGACCCACCATCAGAAAACTCTTGCCACATAACTAGAAACAACTGGAAGGCGTCCATGAAATCCCCAGAGTCCACAAGGCCCCCAATTATCGTGTTCCAAGAAACCAAGTTCCTCTCAGGCATTTCCTCGAATAGCCTACGCGCATCGATCATCATGCCGCATTTCACATGCATAAGCAAAACTCTGTTCCTCATATACTGATCCGGTTCAAACCCATTACTAATCATGTAATTAGTAACCCTCTTCACTCCTCCAATAGATTTCAAACTAATGCAAGCACTCACCAACGCATCGTACGTACTACTAGCCAACTCATAACCACCTTCAAACTCCAAAATTTCAAACAACTCAAATGCTTCTCTGTACCTTTTGTACAAAACCGACTTCTCTATCTGACTACAAAGTCCAGAATTGCGTTTTACGACGTGGGTATCTTCCAAAGGCGTTGCTTTTGGTTCATCAACATCAATTTTGGAAGGTATGGGCTTTGGGCGTGGCTTCAGCTCTTGTTCCACAGAGGAACACCTAATATGAGGCAATCGGTTCCTCCATTTTCTAATATTAAGCGGAAAGCAGTACCCAGAAAACAAAGATAAAGATCTATGCCCGAAAAACTTAGGATCTGAGAAAGATAAACGGAAGCTAGAGGCACTCTGAATCTGATCCAGCGCTAAGTTTTGGTACCTTAACAGCGGGATCTCCATGATTGAAAGATTGAACTAAATCAGTAAACAAGAAATGGAGGTGATGAGCAAAGATGGTACCTTGAGAAAGAATTATAGGGCCTCGTTCAAGGTCGGAGAGCGAGACGACGAGAAGTGAGTGAAACGACGATGTTGTGGTTGAGAAGAGAGAACTGGTTTTGTTCATGGTGGAAAGGAAATTGTTGGGTCCCAAGGGGTAGATGGTTTAGGAGAGGGGATCAGCATTGGGATTTCCGCCCGAGGAGTCGATGCGGGTAGCTCCAAGGTTGTTCAACTTCCAACTTCCAGCTTCAAATCTATGGAGACTTTCAAAGCCCGGACGGTGCGTTTTGCATCCAAACAACATTTTCTACTTTTATGAAGCAACCAGCCAATTTAATTTTTTGTTTGTATAGTTGATAGTTGAACAAACATTTCGTATAAAATCTTTCTTTTTGTTTTCGCTTGTTCTTATTTTGTGACCAAAATGGCAAACACATTGCACTTTAGGAGGTGGGATTTTTGGAAATATGGATGTGAATTATGGGTTATTAATTTAAACCTTATAATATGAGCGGACGGTAAAATTGATATTCAATGGATATAATATTAATAAATACATATATGTGTTATAATACAAGTGTTATCATAAATATATGCGTTATAATATAGTGATATGATGGCCACATCGAAGAATTTTTTCACCCGCTCTTCTTGGAAGACAACAAAAGTAAACCGAAACTAAAGAAAAAGCCTATATGCTGCTAAGGATGCCTCTGATCTTGAGGAAGTGCATCCAGAATCCTGCAAAACTTCCTCAAGATCAGATATTGACAACCTTTACATGTCAAACAATGTAAACTGAAATGCGCACGCAGAGTCCAACACATGTATGCAGGTGAATATGGCAGCACTGCAGAATGTTAGGTCTCAATCTTTCTTTGAACACCGGAGGAGATGCCGAAGAATTAAGTAACCCCAACGGCATAATGATCTTGATAATACATTGCAATTGAAAATGAATTAAATAGTTCATGGCATTGAAAAAGCAAGGGCTTAGAAGTATTTACAATGTGGTCGTACTGTCCTCAAACACTCCACTGGGAGATCTGGAAAAAGATATACCATGTGAAAGTAATCTTCACATATGTCCTAAGCTTGTCATCTGATCAGTAGCTTGCATGCCTTCTTGTGTGTATACACTAGCTATAAGACTGATTTCTTTATAATAAAGTTAAAGCTTACTCTGAAGCAGAATAGAATACTCGGATAAAGCAAGCCAAGTAAACTATGCAGTTTGGTGCAAAGATGAGTAGACAAAACATATCATACCACACATGCAGCCCCAATCAAATGTTAGTTCCTTTGGGAAACCACATTTGAGTTTACCTCATGGATCAAACTGGAACAGCTGCTTTTTATGCCTAAACCAGGTGTCCAGGTTACTCTCATCTGGCAAAATATGAATGAAAAAGTTTCCTGCTTTTATAAGTTTACAACCAAGCAAGTTCTAAGTTTCAACAATAACTGAAGATTACACAGACCATTTGTTGTCATTAGTGAGATTTTAATCACGACCCCTAACCAATCGCTAATCGAAGAACGATATACTGGACTTGGACAAACACATTACTCCGAATTTTTCGTTTTCAGGGTCAGGACATAGCAATCGGATTGTGAATAGTGTGGAGAAACCATTGAGGACAAACTTACTTCATAGAAGAATCATATCCTATAAAGGGAAAGAAAAAGAACGGAATAACTGCAGCAATGGAGAACCAAATTAAAATTTCAGATTCAACAAAAGAAAGTTCTTTAAAAAAAACATATAACCAACGGAAAGGAAATTAAATAAGGGATTGTTATATATTCCCCACTATAATCAAGGGTATATAATCCTTACAACTTATTCCATGAGCTAGGCTTATTTAAAGACAACAATGTTCCGAGAAGACAGCCAATAGAAAGGCACTCTTCTCTGCATTATGACTACTCCTGTACTCATAATTTTTCCTCCCTATGGTTTGATAACCACATTTATGCTACTTCTTGATCTTTTTAAGCTTCTTCGGTCCCGGAACTTCCAATCTACCAACAGAACACCCACACCTTGCCCGAAAGACGAGCACTGCTCTGCCATTAGGAGGGGCCATCTTCTTAAGTTCGGCTTCCAATTCGCGGTGGTGATCGCGAGGCAATTCGAATAGGCCCTTCTTAACTCCATCTTTAACCACTGAAGCTGAATTCTTCACGCACTCCTCTGTCTCCAACTGAATATCGAATTCAGCGGCCTTTCGAAGGCCCTTGCAATTGGGATTGCCACATTTCCTACTGGTACAGGCCAACAGAGCCCAAGCAGCCAATGCTGCACAACAAATGCTAAGTCCCATACATCCATAAACCAAAGGAGCATGAGAAATCTCCTCCCTTAGTACATACATAATAATTCCAACGATTTCAATGGTCTTAACAGATATAATCTTCACATACGGGAATAGCAAATACCCGAAAGCACCAACCACAGCAATAAACAATACAACATCAATTGCAGCCGATCGAGATCGATGGCAAGCCGGTATCTTTGAGCAATTTGGAGAATTGGGTATCTTTCTGCTCCTGTGTACATGATTGGTTTGCTTCGATTTGGCACCTGGGTCGGTTAAACTCATAGAATCCGCCATGGGAGTAGGTTGGTCAACGGAGTTGCAGACCGATATTGAGCTATGGAAATATACCATTTCAAATTGAACCCGGAATTTTGAATACCAATCCAATCAGCAAAATCAGATCAAACCGACCAATCTAGACTGCAAAATCAGATCGGCCCACCTCGCAAAAAATCAAAACGAATAAGCAGAAAATTCGATTACACCTGAAGATCGGAAAACTCGTCGGTGCATCCAAATCAAAACCAAAAATCTTCCTATTTTGACATCTCAAATTCAAGCATCCGATTCAATCAAAGAGCTGAGAACTTGAGAGATCAATATAGGTAGATAGAAAACGGATTAAGAGAATCAGGCAGTGTGAATTGGGTTGAGGCAAGGCCGGCTTGAAAGGTTGTAAAAGCAGAGGAAGCAGAGCGGACAAGGAAGAGTCATTTACTGGTATTAATATTATCACATTTTTCTTCCGCTATGAACTAGTAAAACTATGAGAAAGCTCTCTCTCTCTCTCTCTCTCTCTCTCCCTTCTCCTTCCTTTGTAATTGTTCATGTAGGCAAGTGAGATGGTTGGTTCGTTTATACACGCTACGGAAATGGAAATCCCAAGCGACACGTTGTGTAGGGATTACGTGGGCTACTTCTCAGATGGGCTTGAAATTTTGCCCGTGGGAAAAAAAGGAAATAAAAAACTACCACAATGATGTGTGCATGATTTTGTGGGGCAGTTCAATGGGCTTGGCCCACTGTTCCTTATTTTCCTTATTTTTTTTTCCTTTTTTGAATTTTACCTCTTGGTTACTTTGATAGGGAGAGACCAAGTCACCCCAATCACAAATTAATGGAAAATAAAACAAGTTTTGGTGACTAATTTGTCCTCTTATCCTCGCACTTATTCTTTCGAGATACGTCATAAACTTATTATCTAATAACATAACATGTTAAATTGTTATATAATATAATATTATTATTTTTCTTAATCTTGATACATGCATGTTTTTGCATCAAATTAATTATGTTTTTAACTTTAAGTTGGAAATTTTATACATGCCTAAATGAGATGGAAGAAAGGCCCTTTCGGGAGCTTGTTTCGTAACAGGTGTCTAAATTAATAAGTCAAATTCTCGCATTTATAACTTCATCAAATAACAGTTAGGATATTAGTCTCAACGAATTGAAATTGTCAGATTCAGGTCGAGCCACTAAACGGGCCCTTAGGTTCGTTTGATTAATATCTTAAACCAACGGTAGTGATTTGATTGTCTACTCAAGGAAGGAGACGTTGTAGAGAACCTTCTTTCTAGGGTAATATCTCAAACAAGTGAAAACAAAAAGGAAACAATAACGAAATGAGGAATTTTGACTTGCCATCACTACCAAATGGAAACGTTTACGCGTTCGGCTTGTATATTGGTGGAAGTGGAAATTGCCAAAACATTTGGTTGTAAAAGCACCAAGGAAGGTAGTGGCATATTTGTCAACCAAATGGATCCATGAGCCGTGTTGGCCTTAAGATTTAGTGCTTCACCTTGACGAAAAGTGATGTTACCAGTCAACCTTAATGCTCAAAGAAAAAGGAAAAATGGAAACGCCGTGATAATTATGTGAAAAAGACCCAGGAATTTTCAAACCTCATTATTTTTACCCGAACTGGTAAACCGTAAATGTGGCAGAATGTCAGAGATAGCATAAGCCAGGTGGAGATGAGGTAATTTTTCTCTATTTCAGGGTCATAGTTATCCAAGCACAGCCCAAATGCTTTATTTGGCGTGGCCCAATTATGGACAAAACTACAAAAGAAGCCCAATAAACACCACAAGTTAATGTCGACAAGAAAACAATAAATATCTGTTGAATGGCTGGATTTAACTTTTCTCCTTGTCCTTTCTCAATGTTCTCACTTATCTTATTATTTCTCCTTTTTCCTTAAAAAAAAAGGTTATCAATGACGAACATAAGTTAAGCGTGTTGGTCAGGACAATAGACACTTCCCTTTACATTCATATTGACACTATATTAATTTTTCATAATTTGCTAGAAATCCAAATTTTCAATTTACACCTTATGCCTTCCTTATATTTAGTGGACTACATAATTATGTGTACCAATGACAACACTTGGTTTAGTATTATATTTTTTTAGTGCAAGTGATAGTTTAAATTAAGAGGGAGAGGGATTTCTCACACACAAAAAAAAAACTATGATGTTATGAGAATTTGAACTTGAGACCTTTGATCTGCAAGTCAATGTCATTTTTTAGTACAAACGATAATACATCTTTTTAAATATCTTAAGAGATTACATAATTATGTGTACCAACCACAACACTTCAATGCATTCCTAAGAGTCTTATAATTGAAAATAATAATAATAACAATCAGCATAAAGAGACACACACACAAAAAAAAAAGAAAAAAAAAAGACGAATAAATAAATAAATCTGAAATATTTTAGGCCAAAGTAAAAAATTAAGCTTGTATATGGCAGTTCTCTTAACGATAATAAAAGAATAATTTAACAATATGTCAACATGAAAAAAAAACAACAACAACCATTCGATATTCAAAATGTTTACATTATATTTATCTACAACTATGGCCATATGAGAAAATAAAATGTGAATTTTTGATCATCACTTTAACCAAATGTGTACTTTTATTATTATTTTCAACATTTAACACGTGTTCATAGACATAATTATGGTTTCATAAATGCAAAAAAAAAAAGAGTAATTATGATTATATCAATGAACATATTTTGAGATTACAATGAGATTAAAGTGATGAGAAAAAAATATTTTCAAAATAAAAAAATGTACTCCTGCATTTGCGGGGAACACATGGCAGCAATAGAGAAGATGCCCCCATTGGAAGGGAAAACCACAGCCAGTAGAAGCAGATTCTTTAGGTGCTTGGCTCCAAGAGACGCTTCACTCGTATACTAGACTGGACACGTGTGCTCAAAGTAGTGGGACTGGTCTGGTTGGCGTAAGGTGACTTTTTCACTTTACTTTTTCAGGTGGGGCCTACTAAAAGTATGGTATGACTTGGCATTTTTGATCTACTTTTTTCTGCTTAATTGCTTTTTATTTCGGAGACCTGGTTTTCTACGCCCAATTTATGCGACCACTGCAAAAGAGCGCAGAAACTCGGTCTTTTAAAAATAAATATATAGACTTTACGCTATCACTTGTCATAAATTGAGTAAATTATTTATCTAAAATATGGAGGATATAAATTTATATAGAAAACTATATATTTGTCTAATTTGCACTCATATTTGAACTTTTTGGATTTATATCCTTAAAAAGAGTTATGATAATTAATTTAATTACACCGACCTCAAACACAAAATGTAGAATCATGAAGCCATAAATTTATGTGTTGAAGATTTAAACGTGAGCCCTAAGGTCGAGTTGAATCCTCAAACCAAACACAAAAATAACATAATTTAATGAATCTTGTTTTCTAATATCATCTTACGCAAAAAGAAAGCATGGTATTAAAATCATCATATTCAATCACTTAGCAACAATGCTTTTAATCCTACACAAATGTTTTTTAAGTATGTATGGCGCATAAATAACTAACGCTAGCAAAATCTTTGAAAAAGTGTTGGGGGAGATGCTGACTAAGGATTCGAAGACTTAATGTGGAAATTGGATCCAACTTTGTGACTTTTATACTAAAGGAAAACCAATATGTGTGTAGTAGATGGGAAGGGAAGGGGGCAAAAAGGAAAGACAGAAAAAACAGAATCAAAAATCTTTTCAAGGCCACAAGTGAACTTGTGGCTCAGAATTGCCGTGGGGGATGACGTGGCACAGCACCTGCATAGACAGCTGAGGAAAACGCACAATCAACCAAGACGACGACGCAACACTCTCTCACATATACAACGCAACGTGTCAGATCTCTCGTCGATTTCTCTCTCTCTCTCTCTCTAAGTTTTCGAATCGATTTTTTATGAAAAGATAAAGAAAAAACGAAAGCGTAGCAAAAATGTCGGAGGCAAAGGACCCAGCGATCAAGCTTTTCGGGAAGACGATTCCGGTGCCGGAGGTCCCTTTAAGCTCCGGCGAATCAGTCGGAGCTCCTGAACCGGATCCATCTTCTGTAACCCTCGTTGAAGATACTGTCGATCAGGACCATGCCTCTTCCTCCAACTCTTCGCCTGAAGTCAATACCAACAGAGACAGGGAAGAGAAAGAGGTCAATAACCATAAGGTATGAAATTTGGTAACCCTAAATTTTCATCTTTAGTCTCTGCCATTGTTTGGAAACTCAAATGGATTAATGGGTTGCTTTGTTTTGTGCTTGCTTGGAGGCTTTTGTTGACTTTTTGATATGCTGCTACGGTTTTGCTTTTGGGTCTTTCTGGGATTCTTTTCAATTGTGGAGCTTTTGCTTGAAGATGTGCATCTTGTTCATGCTTTTGGAACATATTGGTTGCTTTGATTTTCTTCTTTGGGGGTCTTAGATGGGTTCTTAATCTTATTAGCTACCAAGTTTTACCTAGAAGCATGCATACCGGACCGTATTCTTTTTATTTCTTTGGAGATTGCTGTTCCTTATCCATATGGAATAAGATTATTCAAGCAATTATTTTTCTCTCATGTCTTTTGTGGTAGTGGTTAATCAAGCAAGCAGCTTCCTCATGTAGTGCTCAACTTCATTAGAAATTTTGCTATTTCAAATGGGTTTGCTTTCCACTTGCTGGATATTTGGTTTCTTATGAAATTGTAATTAACGTTTTCTTTTTGAATGGATGGATTTTCGTTCTGATTTTTGGTAATTTGGGGTTAGGTTATCTTTTGGAACTTTGCTATTTTATATTTATATTGAGGATGTTGAGTTGTAGTTTGCACAGCTTGTTATAGTTATTTCTTCTGTTTGAGGGTTGAAAAGATCTGAAGAAAAGTTCTCCGAAATTGAAATCCTTGAGCCAGTCTAGTTCTCCAAACAAGTTAGTCATTTCTCCTCCTACCATGATACCATTGCAGCCCGGAACTTGTGCAAAAAAATTCGCGACTTCTGTTAACCAGTACTTGTCTCTAGTTTTAGCCTGTCTGCTTCCAAGACTTTTTGTGGCTAAGGCACTACTTTTATGAGATATAGATATCTGGTGCTGCTTTACTCAGTACATGGTGACTTAGATCTTTGAATGTGCTACACAGATTTTTAAAGAAAGCTGCTACTGCTTTTGATGGTTGAGGCCTCCCTTTGTTTGGCCACATTCATTTAGGCTCTACATGTTTACAAGATATTGGTTCTCATTCCTTTCCCTCTTATTATAGATAATAGTACTTCAAATCTAAATGTTTCTCTAAAGATGCCATTAACCCCTCATCTCCAAATTCATTGAAACTGCTTTGAAATGAAGGCAGATGAGACCATTGTGTCGAAAAATATAATTAAAAAGGTTTAATATCATATGGAGAGGCAAGTCCTGGGGAACCTTTCTGGTGTGTTCTTTCCTAAGCCTTGGAATTTGATTTTTAACATAGTCATTCAATATGCAGTCTATTTTTTTTGCCATTGCAATAGGTAGTCTACCTCTAATTGTTTCAGTCGGTTCAGCATGTCAGCAGTAAGAGTTTAGTTTTTATCTTGTAATAACATAAAAAACCATATGGGTGAATGCAATAATGTTTTTTTTTGGGGTATCATATCTTAACAGTACTTAGTTTTGAAACTCATATTCCCAATTAAATTTTTGGTCAATTCAGGACACTTCGGGAGAAAAACCAATGCAGACTAAACAGGAAGATGGAATCCCACCTTTATCTTTGGAAGAGGTAACAAATCCAGATACAGCATCCAGAGTAGGTGTGAACCCTAAATCACCTGTTGAGAAGGAGAATGCTACAGTAAAAGATTTGAAGACTGAAGAAGAACAGAGTGAGACAAGTAATTCACAAGAAAAGACCCTGAAGAAACCAGATAAAATACTTCCATGCCCCCGCTGTAATAGCATGGATACCAAGTTCTGTTACTACAATAATTACAACGTCAACCAACCCCGGCACTTCTGCAAGAACTGCCAGAGATATTGGACAGCTGGTGGGACCATGAGGAATGTGCCTGTGGGTGCAGGACGTCGTAAGAACAAGAATTCTGCTTCTCACTATCGCCACATAACTGTCTCTGAAGCAATGCCGAATGCTCAAACTGATGTTCTGAATGGAGTTCACCATCCTTCAGTAAAATCTAATGGTAGTGTCCTAACATTTTGTGGGGATGCGCCCCTTTGCGAATCAATGGCTTCTGTCCTTCACCTTGCTGATAAAAATATACAGAACGGTGCGCATAATGGATTTCAGAAACCTGAAGGATTAAGGATTCCAGCTTCTTATGGAAGTGGAGTAAATGGAGATGATCATTCGAACAGATCTACAGTGACAGATTCAAATTCAAAGGATGAGGCATGCAAAACTGGGTCACAAGAGCAGGTTATGCAGAGTTATCAGGGCTTCCCACCTCAAATACCATGCTTTCCTGGGGCGCCTTGGCCGTACCCCTGGAACTCTGCCCAATGGAGCTCTCCAGTAACACCACCTGCTTTCTGCCCTCCAGGTTTTCCTATGCCCTACTACCCTGCAGCAGCTTATTGGGGTTGTGCTGTGCAAGGCGCTTGGAATATCCCTTGGCTTCCACCGCCATCATCTCCAAACCACTCTGCTCCAAGTTCTGGTCCTAACTCTCCGACCTTGGGAAAACATTCAAGGGATGAGAGCACTGTGAAACAAAATAACTCTGAGGAAGAGGAGGCACCAAAAGAAAAGAGTGCTGAGAGATGCCTTTGGATTCCAAAGACATTGAGGATTGATGACCCGGGAGAAGCTGCAAGAAGCTCTATATGGGCAACGCTGGGGATTAAGAATGATAAGGCTGATTCACTTAGCGGTGGGGGACTCTTTAAGGCCTTCCAACCAAAGGGTGATCAAAAGAATCACCTGACCGAAGCTTCTCCGGTCTTACAAGCCAATCCAGCAGCATTATCTAGGTCACTCAATTTCCAAGAGAGCTCATAAAATTGGTAGCTTACAAATTTGTAGTTTGTTTCAAGTGGTGCATACAATTCAGGAATGCTCAACTGCTCCATACAATGTGACACCACCTTTCTAATCCCAGAGTTCTTGTTGATTAACCAGCCTCAGCCGCAAAATCAAATGTCAAAGCTGTCAAATAGAGGAAGACGAGAAGATTGTCCATCCTTTTTCTCTTAGGAGCTGAGCCATCTTACTTTAGCTGGAATAGCCACTGATTTTTCCCCTCCGAGTGCTATTATGAATATTTGCATTTTGTTTTCAGTTAGATGGTTTGCTGAGTTCTTGTACATATATTTACTTGTAAAATTGAGAACTAGAAGAGTTCAGGTTTGTGTAGCAAAATCCCAGATGTACTTAAATAACTTGGGGATTCAAATGACACTTTCTGTTCTTTTGTGCTTTTTCAATTAGAGATTCAGTCTTTTGGTCTAATGTCCGCTTAAATACCACAGTTGATATGCTACTCTTACTAAGGTATAGTCGAGTTCCTGTGGCTACTGATTTCAGATTTGGATTATTTTTCAAGCTTTATAAGCATGGAAAACACTGTAGACCCATCACGTCTGTAGATGGACATCAATTGAAGCACGAAAGAGCAAGTACATTTCACTTTCCATTCGACAGAATTCAAACCAAAAATCACTGAAAGCTGGAAAGTTGATCATAAAGTTTGGGCCTTTCCTTTTTCCATTTACTAACGGTTGCCTTTTCCTTGCTGTTTCCTTTGTTTGCTTTTTTCATGTTCATCTTTTGATGCCATTGCCATCAGCAAAAGAAGTTCCATCTTCGAATGCAATATAGAAAAGCAAAGGAAAGCAGATTTCATGAATAACTAACAAACCATATTGTTGGATTTGTACTTGGGAAGTAATTTTTGTCACGTTTTACTGATTAGGCAGTAAAAGACATTAAGATCATGTACCAAAATCCGAGTGATACTTTATGGTATTTCTATTGGAGAAAGGTTGGCCACCAGTTTTGGATGGCTCGAGTTGGCTGGTATTGGGGCGCAAATTCCAATGCATGTGAAGAAGCCATGGAGCCTCTTTGTTCCTCTCTTTCCTGGATTTTGTCCTGTCATTTTATCATCTTGCAATTAATTGCATAAAGGGAAATCTGCTTGAAGTTGGGGGTCAATTTGAGCCAATACAAACCCAACTAGACAGTCGGTGGAGTTTATTCTACAGAAGGTATGCAATCGATAAATTCTGGCCTCTCAATAATTTGATGCATTGCATGGTTTTGATTGGTCCTTGTGAAGAAGCCCTTAAATCAAATTCAAACATAATGAATATCCTCTCCAATGTTGTGGTTCTCCTTCACAGTTTCCTAATCTGATGCTAAACTCGTTCCTAAACCCTATAGGATTTCTTTGTTTTTAATTGGAAAATTTTGTGATCAGTCCAAACTCAGTATGCAAGAGATCTAGGGGAGGGAACCAATATAATAGCCACTTCATATATGTATGAAATAAATAATGTCAGAGCCAACGAGATCTAACCCAATAGAAAATGACATTGACTTATAGACCGTAATTTAGACTATTGCTCGTATTCGAAATAAATAATTAATGTCAGATTGCACCATAACCTTTATCAAAATTAATAGGCTCCTAGCCTCCTGCTATAGTTAACAAAGAGAACCAAAACCCAAAATCGATTTCATCATTTTCTCTGAAAAAACAGATTTGGTTTGACAAGTTTTCACATTACTAAATTAGGGTTAGCTTTATAGTAGATCATTGGGATTTGAGACTTAAAAGGTCAACCCATCTGCAAGTAAATTAGGGTTATACTTTGTCTGGTTTCTTTCCAACAAAGTCATTAAGCTAATCCAAAGTCCAAACCAGACAAAGTCATTAAGCTATATATATAGAGAGAGAGAGAGAGAGAGAGAGAGAGTGCATATTGACTGTCATCCATTAGTATTAATTAAAAGAGAAGTTCTCTTTTGCTGTTCCCTCCCATGGTTTAATTAGGCTTCCCTAATCATTCATGCTCTCCACACCCTTGTGTCTCCTTCCAGTATTCAGTGGGCAAAACAAATCAGATCAATGAGGAAATTCAAATTTGTAACTATCAGTGACTTTTGTGTCAACAGTGGAACTGGCTGATTATCAAACAATAAAACAGAAGAACTGGCAAAATAATGGCTAGACAAATATAGAAGGTCCATTCTGTAGCCATGCTTTTTCTGAAATGCCAGCAGGTAAATCATAAAAGAAAATAATGAACAAGGTAGCAAATAAAAGGAAGGAATAAAGAAATACCACGTGACAGGTTCATCAGAGGGAACGGGAAGCTTCACTTTGCCTGAAAAGCAAGAAATACAGAGTTTTTATTGGTGAGAAAACCAATGGCTTGGCTTCCACCTTTTTATACACCATTTGTTTGTTTGTTAGGCAGATTAAAGAAAGTGAAAGGCTTAAAAGAACAAAGAAGAAACCTTGGCAACTGGGCTGGAGATATTAAAAATTTGGAAGGCAGGCAGCATCAGTGTGCGCTAACACGTGTGAACTGAATAGACCCATAATTAGTCCACATGCAATCAGAACATTGTGGCAGTCATTATCAGCTCTGTTTTTAACCATTGCTTATTTGGAAAATGCTTAACACAATAACGATATCGATCGACATCATATTGAGATGATATCGATATAATAGAACCATTTATACAACTCGAAGGTACGTAAATTAATCTACACTTTCTTCACTAGCTCTACCTTGAAGTAGAAAAAGAAGTCAATTTTCAAACGAGGGATGAATAGTAACATGCATAAAAGGCAATTAGAAGATCCCATTGATTAGGAAAACAAACTTCCAATTAGAAAAAGAAAATTGTATTTTTATTGATAAAAGCATTTTGCGTATTATTATTATTATTAATAAGAGTATAGAAAAAGAAGTGTAATGGGTAACAGTTGGGGGATATTGAATTATCTCTTACCGGCATCATCGAAAGTATCCTCCATATAAAATCTGATATTTTCCTCTACATTTTTCAGGCACTATATATAATCTGGTGTCAGGTGGTTGAGTATAAATAGGATTCTTGAAACAATCAACTCTTTACACTTTTATCCGGGGCCTTCGGCTCTTATCTTTACAGCAAAATCTGTTTTGTTTTCAACTCATAATTACGGCATTTAACTTGTTATCAGATCTGAAGCTTAAGGAAGGCGGTTTCCTAGAAACTCAAAAGTCCCAGCCTTTCGGCAGCTCTCAAATCTCATCAAACCGCACCTCATATTCAGATTCTGAGAGCTACCCATTTCCCATAATTGTGTAGGAAATTATGGGTCGTCCTTGGTTTTTAAGAGTTTTCATAGTTTCTTGCCTTCTGGCTCTCTGTTTCTCTCATGGTAAGCGATACACTGTAACATCACTACTGTTTTATTGCACCATTTCATGTTTTTGAATTCCCAATAACCAATTCTGACTTTGATTCATTTGTTTCTTTCTTTAAGGATTTGGGAGAAACCTGATGGGGCCTATTGATCTTGAAGATTTTTCAGTTCTAGTGTCAAAGGTATATTCTTTTTCCCTTCACTTGTGTTGGGTTTTTTTTTTCCTTTTCTTTTTGTGGCCCAGTAATCAATTTTCTGTTTGTTCACCAGGAAACGCATGGAAAACCCAGGAAAATGATCACAGTGATGGATTATGCAGATCCAGAGCCAAATGTTAACCCCAGAACAGGGTATATCTTTACCCCTCCTCCGCAGCCCAACTAAAATGACCAATTTGCTGCAAGGAATAAAGTCATGTCAGTTGGTTTTCATTTCACTTTCTTACTTTCACCTTTATGGTAAAATATGAAGCATTTTAGTTCAGGTTCTTCGTCCAAGTGTATTTATGTTGCATTTCTCTCTCTCTCTCTCTCTCTCTCTCTCTCTCTCTCTCTCTCTCTCTCTCTAATATTGTAGTTCTGAATGGTAATTACTGATTATCATGTTCTTTTTTTTCAGCATTTTGACAATATGTTTTTTGTGAGTTAACATAGAATTATATGTCAGATGTTCTTTAAATACCTGGTTTTGTGAGTTACTAGCTTATTTTACCTTCAATGGCATTTGAAGCTAATTGAAATTTGATTGAAGTAAAGCTCTTTCTGGTTGAAAATGCTACTTATAGTGTATTTGAACAATGATTCAATTTACCTTCCATGCGGATAACGATGAATGGCCTCAACGTGACCGACAATATAAAAATAGTTGACCTTGCCACAAGGAAGGACCCATAACGAGGATATTTGACAACATGGGCACCATTTACTTTGAGTTTGAGGTGTGATAAAGAAATAATAAGAAGTGTGCACGACCCTACCTGACAGGAGAGGAGACTTTTTTCATATAATATTGTCCTCTTTGATCCAAAAACAGGGCCTACACTTAGCAGGATCTGTCCACAAAAGAGAAATGCTATAAAGCAAAAGTAATTTGTTCATGATTTCATTCAAAAGTGTTATTTACACCCTTTGGCTTTTCCATCGACAATGATCTTGGAGCTGACCACTTGAATATCAAAACTGTAAAATCTTGGCAGACAAATTCTGAAACCTTTTGGTTTTAAGGGTGGATCCTACACTTCAAAAAGAACAGGTTCTTTTTGACAAAAAGATATTTTAAACTACCCTAATGTACGGGGATGGAGATCGAATGAATTTAGGTGCAAGAGAACATACACACTTCTTTGCATATCTAGCATCTATGATATGTTGTGTCTACTAGCTACATTTATGTTTGGATGATCTGCCATCCTATGAGTATAATTCTTTGATAAATGGGCTTGAAAATTGGCGGAGTGGAAAGAGTTTGCTTATTTGTTTGTGATTGGGTTTGGGCTTTCAAGGCCCATGATAATATCATCGAGTATTATGGACTCCGTAGGAACCCAATGCAACTAGTGGGCCAGGCCCAGGCCCAGGCCCAGGCCCATCATGAAAAGGCGGCTTAACCCTGCACAACCCTGCCCTACGTGTAAGTTTACAACTAGTGGACAACCCTTCTCGCACGCAAGAATGAATAACGTGTGGGGAATGTGGAACGACCAATATGGTAAAGGCTTGAAACTTCAAATCTCGGGGGAACACTCAATGACAATTTCCTCAGCTTTTACCAAGCAAATAAAGAAGCTTGGCTAAAGAAATAGGGAACTTGGAATTTTCCTAAGAAGCCTACAATTGACTGTTAGCATATATTTTCCCCAGCAGACAGAGACATAAAATATGCAGAAAAAGACTGTGCCCACTTTGGCAATGCATACAATAATATTAAAAAAGATCAGTGCATGGGAAATGAATTGCAATAGTGGACCAAGAAGAGCAGCCCCACTATTAAATCTTACTTTCTGCGAAACTCACTTTCAGATCTTTTTTTGTTTTTGTTTTGTTTTTCATTGATTTTTAAGCAGTCAACAGCCGGCAGATTCCCAGCACAATTTCCGCACAAACCAAAATGAAAGAGCCAGAGAAAGGCAGGCCAGCCTGACCCCACCACATTTCCTCCAACAAAACAATGAAACTTCCCCATAAGATTCTAAGAAATGGTTCATGTGGTGACCATTTCTTCATCTACTTTCAACCATTTCTCCCAAAGACCTGTGGCAGGCAGCTCACAAGCACCTTCCCCAACTTTGGGGCTTGACCAGTTTGGTGGCTTCAAACACAAGACTAAATCTTGGCCTATATAAAACACCACCCTCATCTCTCCATACATCAAACCTTTAATGTAAAAACATTCTTTCATCTCTTCCAGCTCTATCACATAGCATAGACTTGAGAATTCTAACTTGGCTTCTTAGTGGAAATATCAACATTCATGTTCAGCCTCTACTGCTCTATTACAATGGAGAAGATATCATCATCAACTAATGACCATACATCCTCACTAATTCTTTTGCTTGATGCAATCTTGTTACGCACAATTTCTAGTAGCACTCAGAAGTTATTTTCGAGATTTCAGTCTACTCTCCAATCCCAACAAAACTGTGGCAACTCAAAGATTTTGGATGTGAAGAACTCGGATTCTGAGTTGAGGAAGCCGGGGCTGATCTGCAAAAGGAAAGATGATGGAAACTTGAGCAGACATGATGTGAAGATGGTGATGGGAAACTTGGGAATTTTTTGCAGTCCAGAAAGTGAGGAACTACCAGAGTCGTTCGGTTCCAATGAACTTGCAGGGCTGTTTGATGAGAAGGAGCCAAGCTTGGGGGAAGTAAAGGAAGCTTTTGATGTGTTTGATGAGAACAGAGATGGGTTTATCGATGCAAGGGAGTTGCAGAGAGTTCTCTGTATATTGGGCTTAAAGGAAGGATCAAAGCTAGAAGACTGCCAAAAAATGATCAGGACATTCGACGAAAACAGAGATGGAAGGATAGAGTTCAATGAATTCGTGAAGTTCATGGAGGCCAGCTTTCGCTGATTCATTTTTTTCTTCTATCATGCATTTCTGTTCTGTCTTTAGAGCATCTCCAAGGGAGATGTCAAATTCGATGTGGCAATTTATCAATTACACAGTTTTACACTCCGTTGGATATATCAAATAAATAATTATTGTAACAGTCAAATCATTTAAGATAAAAAAGGAAAAAAAGGAAAAAGGAAAATAATAAATGAAAGTAACAGCCAGCCATCTTTAAAAAATAATAAAATATTCATTTGACATCTTGCTTCTGAGATGTCAAAAGTAACAGTTGAACCTCCAGCTTTCATTCCACACCAGCTTTGACAATTCGATTGGAGTGATGTGAGATGTTATTTCTAGCCGTTAAATATCTATGTGGCACTTTTGACATATCGATCGGAGATGCTCTAAGACATCTTCTCACAATTATTACTAATGACAAATTTGAATGCATATCTTATTCTCTCCTAAAAAATGCACCAAATACTGGACGCCAAACTACCTTCCCACCCTGTTAGCTTCAGCCATTTTCTATCCAGTAGTTTCAACAGACTACTTGGTCTCTCTGTATGTTTCATTACAAATATATTTTATCATTTGAGGAACGCCCTCAAATGTAACTACTCAAAAAATTGCACTGGAGATATTACCCAACTACTGCTATTTGAAATTATCTTGCATTAAAAAGAAAGCAAATCCTGCAATTAAGTTCATGAATTCTTTACAGCTGAGGAACAGTTATATCCAGTCTTTCCAAAGAAACACCCTTCAATACAGAAAAATGAATTTTAAACATACTAAATCAAGCATGCCCATACTGTATTACTAGCTGAGAAAAATTGACGTACATCATCAGATACCATATCAAAAAGAACAAAAGAACCAACTTCTAAGAGATGCTATACAAGAAACTTTGATGCTGTCTTGATAGACAGAGTATACAACATAAGCTGACTGGCAATAAAATACAACAAAGTACCTGAGCTCCAAGTTTGATCGATAGTTGGTAGAGTGAAGAAAAATTAGTCCCCGCTCTATATTCTAAAACTGCCTTTACATTATACTTGATTTTGCATTGGACACTAGGAGCAAAATCAGGTGATTAAATAAAGCCTCTCTGCTGGATGTCTTAACCTGAAAGATAGAAACTCATTCAAAATCCACTTAACCATCAACAAAAACTGAAATAGGAGTATGATAAGCTGTTGAAGAAACTGTTTAATATACTTACACAGCATGAACCTCTGCACAGCATGCTCAGTATGGCTGCCATGGAGGCTTATACGGCTATGACCCATAAGATGTAAGTTCCTTCTCTGGTAATCCACTTTATTAAAACTTTCATCATTATCACCAGTAATCTGCACAAGAGCATTTACCGTCCTGAAATTGATGGAATCGATTGGCATCTCTAACAATTATCAACCTGTTTGTGACCTTTGAAATAAGTTTCACAGCTGCATGGCAATCATCACATATCCTGAGGTTCTTAATAACACGAATGGGCGCTTCTGTAGGTGTCTTCATGAGGGCGTATGCTATTGCAAGCTTCTCGCTGTGATAACTAAGATAATCTTCCTTTTGCTCATCCTCCACATCATGTAGCACTGCAGCAATATCTGGCACATATCCCAATAGTTTAATCTTGGCCAACAATTCGCCAACTTTTTCATGTATCTTACTGGACTCTGGGTGTATGTTATCATCCGAAACAAAGATATGGGTAGTATTTCTTATCTCTACCCAGCTCACCCCAGGTTCTTTCTTGATGTTTTTTTCCCTCATCAATTTCCGGATCTGCACAACTCCATCCCACCTCTTTGCCTTGGCATACATATTTGACAATAGTGTATATGTTCCCACGTCATTAGGGTCCATTTGCACAACAACCTCTGCTACTCGCTTACCTAAGCCATAACTTTTATGTACATGACAAGCATTGAGCAAACTTCGCCAGGCAACAATGTCCCACTTGACTGGCATACTCCTCATATATTTCTCAGCTTGATCAAGTTGTCCAGCCCTGCTGAGGAGCCCTACAATACAAGTATGATGCTCTAGTCCGGGTTCAATGCCAATCTGTTTCATTAGCTGGTTCAAATAGTAGAATCCTTCTTGCACCAGACCCAAATGAGCACAAGCCGAGAGAACACCAACAAAAGTAATATTGTTAGGACGCTCTCCTGCTTCCAACATATCTTGAAACACATTCAGCGCTTCCTTACCAAGCCCATGATGGGAAAATCCTGATATCATTGCATTCCAGGTAACAGCGTCTCGAGATGTCATATCCAAGAACACGTCATTTGCTGCTTGAATGTTGCCACACTTTGAATACATATTGACCAAAGCATTCCCCACAATGGCGTGGTCTTTGAAACCCGACTTCTCAACACTGGCATGCAATAGATCTCCATGTCTTAGTGCAGACAAACCTGCACATGAGTTAAGCAAGACAGCAAAAGTATATTCATTTGGAAGAATATCTTCAAATTCCATCTGTGACAATAGACCTAATGCTTCCTCAAAGTACCCATTTTGGAAATAAGCGGCCATGATTGCAGTCCAGGAGACTATGTTCCGAGTTTGCAAGCCATCAAAAACTTTCAATGCATTCAAAACCTTACCACATTTCCCATACATGTCAATCATTGCACTACTTAGAAAGACATCACAGTCGATATCTGTCTTCAACATTTGGCTGTGAACTTGCAGACCCAATCTCAAATCTTTAAGATGGGCACAAACGCCAAAAATGGTAATATATGTAACATTGTCCCAAGCCTTGCACTGACCTATCATCATATCCAAAATATCCATTGCTTCCTTCACATGTCCATGTTCTAAGAGCCCATTTACAACCGAATTATATGAAAGAATATCATCACCTGGCACAGTGTTCAGAACCCACATAGCCGCTTCCACTTCTGAACAACTTGAATACATGTGAACTAGTGCATTCTTAACATACTGATAAGACAACAATCCAGACTTCAATACATAGCCATGGCACTGCTTTCCCTCTTCAACTCTCCCACTGCCAGAACAAGAAGAAAGAACAGTCGCAAAAACAAATTCATTCGGGCACAAATTATCCACATATACCATAGTCTTGAACAAGGCAAGAACTTCCAAGGCCAGCCCTTTATGTAAATAGCCAGCCATCAAGGCAGTCCAAGATACCACATTTCTCTTTGGCATACATTCAAACAAATGGCGGGCAGTTGTAATTCGGTCACATTTTGCATATAAGTTGATAAGAGAGTTAGCATGAAATATGTCAAGGAATTTAGAAGTTTCACTGGATATGATGAGATGGGCATGGACTGTTTTGCCTAACCGTAGGTTCTTAGTATCAGCTGCCTTTTTCAAAAGCTTGATGGGGTCCTCAATAGAACCGGGTATGACCTTGGGTTTGAATAGAAACGGTACGTGATAGTTTCTTGAGACTTTTACACTGGGCATTGCTATGACGCTGTGCCTCCAGCAATGTAATTGCCAAAGCAATCACTTTTATTGGATTTGGCTTCTTTTTCCCTTTCTGAGAATATTGGGTTGTGCTATGAATTTGTAGTGTAACACAAACATTTTATGGGCTTAGGCCCCTAAACTTGAGCCCAAGATCAAGCATGGGCCAACAACAAGTCCTGTCAAAAATCAATGTGAAGCAACAAACAAGGGCCACAAAGACGAGAAATACTCCCATATTCCCGTTTCATTGCACTTCTTTTTATATCTCTTTTCTCTTCCTATAGATGACATGAGGAGAGCAATGAAATGGAGATAGGGAAGTTTTCCTTCACCAAAAGTTGCAAGGAGAATGGATATAGAGAAAAAGGGGCAGTGAAACGGGAATAGAGAAGTTTTACTTCACCAAGAGTTGCATATTGCTGGCATTGATGAACACTATTTGGTGTTGGCAATACATGTCATGCAACCAACCAGCTGGCTGACTCACACCATTTGATGAAATGAAAGCATTAGATTTAGGTGCCCTTTTACTCTCACGCACCATGAGTCCAAAGGGCCTACAGATTAATCATTAGTGCACTCATTCATTGCCCAAAACCAGAAGGAAAAGGGAAAATACTTGGATCTTTTCCTTCAAATTAGCCAATCATTCTTTATTTTTCTTTTTGTATTTTTAATGAGTTGCCTATGTATCAAACCAAAATAAAACTAACAACCAACTGCTCCAAATCAAAGCCTAAAGTCACTGCAGCCTTGGGAGAGTTGAAATTATCTGGCAACAACCCTTCAGTTCATTGCATCCTCTACATGGTGACAATGCAACCACCAAAATGCCAAGAGCTTCGAGCTCGATGTCAATTTGATTGTCATGACTTTATATCACATTTTGGTTCTGCATTCTGCATGCAGCTTGGCTGGACGTCAATGTGGTTGTGACTTTGATGTGATACAACTTTTCCATTCTTCTTATTTTCAGAATAAGGGCTTATTTGATAATTATTTTAATTTTAGTTTTTATATTTTGTGTTAGAGTATAGAGGAAAAAGATGGAGAATGGAAGTGAAAAATAGAGTGGAGATGAGAGGGGATGATGGGAGGGAGGAGTAACAAAAGTGAAAATAAAAACTAAAAACTAAAAACTGAAATCCATTTGAAATTGTCATTTTCTAGTGTTCGTTTTTACTTTTGTTACTCTTCTCCCATCATCTCCTCTTAATCTCATCCTCACTCTCATTTTCTCTAACAAAAAAATTAAAAATTGAAATTGAAATGGTTACCAAATGAGCCCTAAGGTGTTCAAAGTTAGCATCAAACGGTGCATTACATTAGATTTAGATTTTAGAGAAATAATTCTATCCAACATCAACTAAGAATGTAAGTTGGCACCAAACAGATTTTCAGGGGAAGAAAAAAGACAAAAGACACGAGAAAAAAAGAGTGTTCATATCATGGATTGAACTACGTTTCTAGTGTCGGTGCCTATCCCCAAATTTGTTACACCAAAATTATTCATCACTTTTACGTAACTGGGTTAAATTTCCTGTCCCGTATAAAGCGTTTTTCAACCACTCAGCTCTATGGCTATGGTTTGATTGAGAGTAGAGAGTCAAGAGACACCATGTTCTATTGCATTCGTACTTTGTTGTTTTTAATAGTTTGAGTGTTTGGGCTACACTCTGATAATTACAGGTGGTGTTCTGCAACAGGACCAAAAATATTTCACTATCTGCATTAAAGATGAATGATACAAGACCCAAAAAAAATGTACTCTGCTCTTGTGGGGTTTGGTTGTGGTGGGTCAGTTGATGTGAATCACAAGAATGCATAAGTTAACGACTTTAATCTGTCACCAACATTATTAATTTTTCCTACTAAAACGTTATGTGTATCTACACCTAGAAATGAAAGTGCAAACTGGAATACAATCAATAAGTTAAGTAAGCTACCGATTTTGTAACCGGAGTTTAGCGTAATAAGTTGGTGCCTTTAGTATTATTGTATCTCGAGTGTAGTAAAAAGGCGCATAAGCAGGTTTATTGACATTACACAAGCAATTAGCAGCCATATAGCATTTGCTAGTAACTAGTAAAAACACACCTCTTCTATTCAGTATTCATAACTTCATGAAATTAACAGCGGGTGGTAAAATTCCACTGCCAAACTGCCTTAAGAAACATAATCTCTCTCTGTCTCTCTCTCTCTCTCACTCTAGCAGATATGGCCATCAGGCTTCAGAACAATCCCAGCCATGAACTGCAAAAACTCACAATCTATTATCAAATAATGAAAAGGGCCACTCACTTCAAAGTAAACCCTTTTTCATATTCTTCCAACAACTATAGCTATTAGATACACTCCATCCTTCCTCCTCAGAATTACTTCAACCTTTTGTCTGCTGATAGCAAACTTACCACATATAACTAAACGAAGTGGAAAACTAAAGAAGCTTCATTAAGCACACACAGACAGATAATTAATTGATTAATTAATTAATAGAGAAACTGTCTCCCGGTATATGTCTGCCCAAATGACCAATTAGGAGGGGCAACGTTATATGAAACCAATCTGCGGCCATCACTGGTGGTCACAAGAAAAGAGAGGCTCTGTCCATTTAGGTATGAGTTGCTCTGCCAGTTTTGCCCCCAGTTCCTTGACATTAGTTGCCACCGGGTCCTAGAGCCCTTGATGGCCACAGACCGCACATCTCCAGCACCACCAACGTTTGTCACAAGCACTAAGTTGAAGTACGAATGGCCATTCACTGTGAACCTTATGCCTCCTCTTCTCTTGCATCTCACCCTGCAAAACACATAATAATTATAATAATTAAGCCTTAATTAGCACTTTAAACCTAAATATTAGAGAACTCTTTTTTTTTTGGCCGAAGTTAGAAGGGGGTGGGGGGGAGATTTTCTCATACACATTGTGCCATGGGTTCGAACATGAGACCACTTTCTGCAAGTCAAGGCCTTTTTTCACTGGACTAGACCTCGTTGGCATCATTAGAGACATAAGGTTTAGCTTACCTTCTGTATGATACAGGGACAACTCCAGCTCTGTATTGAGCAATGCGCAGGAAGACAGGCTGAGAGAGATCAAAGTGTTGCTGTGGAGGATCACACCAGCCACCTGGTGGGCAAAAGTTTGTGGCTGTGACCACAATGGCGCCAGGGAGGCACCACTGTGGGTCATTTACACACCTGATCTCATAGCATGCCCCACAGCTCAAGCCATTGTTGAACAATGCAGTGCTTAGTGCTGCCGTGTTAGTCCCATAGCCCTGGCTGTAAAGGTTCCCATAGCCACAAGCCCCACCTATAAAAAAATTTGCATGTCCAAATATAATAAGTAGAAGGGAACAGAATGAAAGTTCTAATCTTTTTGCAGCAAAGGTGCTTGTCACCTGTACCATAAGTTAATAAGAAAGGAAAAAAATTCATAAAGCTAAGCATACCCATTGTGCCTGAAGCATCACCACCACCATAAAAGGTTGCATGAGCATTGGACCAGCCCCCATAGTACCCATTGACAGAGGAGACAACTGAGAGAAACCCAAGTAGAAGAATTCCCAAAAAAGCCATGTTCCTGCACAAAGACATGTGAAATCTGTGAGCTCTTTTAGGCATTCCTAGCAATATTTTATAGAAGAACTCTTGTCTAGCTATGAGTAAGTAGCTAGTACAGTAGTGTACTGTACATGTAATCTTTTTATGTTCATGTTTATGAGAGAAAAAGGGAAATAGGAGAAAGAGAGAAGAGAGTTATTACAATTGGGAAATGATGAAGTTTGAACGCAAGCAAGCAGAAGTGAGGAAATGAAATGAAGAGGGAGGAGGGTTTGATTGTTTGAACTTTGAAGAAGAATAAATAGAAGTCGGTCAACATCACATCTGAAATGACAACCTGACAATTTTGAGTTGTTGGGACCAAGCAACTGCGCTAAGTGGTTTGGGACTCTCATGATCTGTTAGTAGAATCAATGCAGTATTTTCGACTCTGAGCGGTTTTAAAGGATGAAACCGCGTGGTTTTTTCAAGTTTCCCATTTGGCAATTGCCACAAATTTGTGGCAGAGTAACTTTGGCTCTCTCAACTGCTCAAGTAGAAAATATGTCTCTCAGACTCATCCATGTGAAGACAGAGATACTGATAATGGTAAATTTTAGGAGCTGCTCATATTTATTCTTCTTTATTGCCATGATGGAATTTATTTACTGTCCAACTTATGAATTCAATTCAAACCAGTGCTTGGAGTTGCATGCAACTTCAATCTTTTATTTTATGTACTGTCTGCAAAGCTGCCGGTATGTCTTCAAAGTTTTCATGTCTGCGTCAAGAGTGCCTTGCTGTCGATTCATTTTGTATCTAAATCTCTAAACCATAAGATTTGCTAATAAATGTCATTCATGCATGACCAAACATTGATGGGAAAACACCACATGCATAATGTTTCATCTTATTATCTCTGGTTTGGGGAAAGATAAGCTTTCATTTATTACATACCAAACATATGTAAATCTACTTTTTTTCTGCATGTTTCTGAAAAATATGTAGTTCTTGTAATGAACTTAGGGCTAACCAGCACAATATTGTCTGTTTCCACTATGTAGGGACAACCATTTGCTAAGTAGTCATGTGGGTTTTTACCTTTATGTCCAGAACTTTATTCTGCACATCTGCACCTAGATTTGATGTGAAGTTCATAAAGAGTTGAAACCTTGTCCAGTTGTAGAGGTGAAAACAGCGTATCTTTGGACGAAATTTGGTGGGCCTTGTAACGCCTTTAAGTCTTCATCTCTCATCTCAGGAGTGACCTTATTATCAGATAACATTGATTGTTGGAAATTAAAGCAAAACATTAAGGTCAAGAGCTATGGAATTCGAATCTGTTTGCGAGGCAGGCAGATGAGAGAAACTCTCATTCAACAACGGGGACAACACTTTTTGCTATTCCCGTTACAAGAAAGTTTTTTAGACTGAGGCCAAAGTTTTCATCAATTTCATTGTCAGAACTCAGAAGACAGATGTTAGCGTCTGTCTGCAACACTCAGCATATATTAAAATGGTGAGTGCCTTGCTTTTTTCTGTATATTTGGACACTTGGTTTCTGAGCCATGTTGAAGAGTTTTGCAAATTAAGCCATTGCAAGCCCGACAGACAATGGCCTAATTAATCACCTAAACAAGTGTTATTATCACAAGTATGCATCATTTTCAACATAAACTGGACTCAGAAAACAGAGCTTTATAGAGAGTGACATGACATTGACATTAAACTGTTGCTTGATGCAGATAATGCATGCTTCCGTAAGCCGTACATACTTGCGCACATGCATCTGCGTTTTGAGTGGCATGTGATGGCAATTATATCTATCCTTTGGTTCCTATTGAATGTGACGTAAACCATAATACATATTCATGTGTGTGATGCTACGGGAATGTCACTGTGGTGGTATTTCATGCGTTTTAACATATTTACATTACAATGCGAGATTGGTTTGAAACACAGCTACAATAATATTTCCAGTGACCCTGATAAGCATATGCAGAGATTACACTCCTAAATTAAGTCATCAAGTTAGACCACACATAATTGGTCATTACCCGAAAATTCGTTGCTGCAATTAATTAATGTTTGTCTCCCTCAGACCGGCCTATCACATATAAATGCCGGGGTTGAAATCGATAAATAAACATCAAGCGTGAATGTTCTATGTTCTCCTTCATTGTCTTTCATTTTCATCAATAAAAAGGAAAACCCACATATATTAATGGATGCTCTCAACCAACTAATAGCGTTGATTATCCCATACCCCATTCTCTGTCATAGTATTTAGTCAATTTCTTTCTCAAGGTTGTTAACTTGTTACTCTTAATTACATGCTCAAGTTTCATCCGTAAACCACAACAAAGATTCGAGTTTTGACAGATCAATTATTAGTCTAATAGTATTTTTCTTTCCAATATTTGAAGTTTTCTGAGTTCGAATCTCACGAAAAATATCCGAGCTTCGAACCAGTGATTGATTAACTGTGATGCTTTAGCAAACTCAGGAAATTATCGAGTTCTAATTAGGGTTCTAGTGCCATATATAACATCACCAGCCAACATGGAGAAACCATATTTCTGTTCTGAGGCAATATTACCTGCATAGTATAGTATAATTGGGAGGATGTGACATATTCGAGTTGATTTGGGGGGCAATGAAATGAAACTATACATACAACAACCACCTAACGGACAGCAGGATATGTATGCATGTTTAAGAAATTAAGGAAATATGGTACTTCGAATTGAAAGCTGTGGGCCTTTGATTCATGATTTTTTCTTAAAAGTATTTACTACAATATGAGAAATATAAAGGCAATCAATTAAGGAAGAGTTCTCTGGAGTGAAAATTTACGTAGGTCAGCAGACTAGAAGAGTGAAATTTCTTTCTTATTTTCTTAGAGGGCTTCTAACTCTGTGTGGCTAGTTCTATAAAAATAAATAATTATAATAATAATAAACCACTCTCTTTTTCGGCCAAAGTTAGTAAGGGGACAGGAAAACTCACGCACACGCTATAGGGACTTGAACCCAGAATCACTCGAGAGAGCACAAAAAACCTAAATCAATCCAACTAACACCTCATTGGTTAATAAAAAACTACTCTGTGTAGCTAGTAATGGGGATTGAGAATTTGCAATATACATAAATTAATGACTCTTAACTCTACAATATTATTAGTAAGGATTTGGCATGTTGATGAGCAAAAAATGCACTACCGACAGACAAAGGCACGTTTTCTTTCTACTTTTTTTCTTCGAACATGCAATGCAATTAAAGAAAATGACATCCATGGAAAGGGTCACCTCACCACTCACAGGGAATTGGTTAACTTAGCACTCCCAAGTCGTCCCAGCCAGCTTTATATATATATATCTATACACACACACCACTCACTCTTGATGTGGTTTTCCTTATTTCGTCGTGAAATTGTGCGCAAAATCCGTAAGATCTTTCTGTTTTTCACCGACATTTCTGAATTTGTGCACAGATTTATTTTGATAGAGCCATATGCTCTGCTGACTTAATGCTAATATCTGCCTTTCTGATCCAATTCATGCTCACTGGGTTTTGATTAATGTTGGCATATCTCGAGGCATGCGGATAAGAAATATTTGAGATATCGTGGAAAAGGGGAAAAAATCAAATAAAAATGAGAATTTTGAGACATATGATGCACGATTAATTATGATTAGATTTTAAATAAATGAGTCTCAAATTCAATCAAGTTGAAAGCTCTCGTTTGCATTTGAACTAGCTTAGTTCGTTTGGTGAGTTCGATTATGTAGTCAGAATTAAATTGGATTAGATTATGTCTAATTCTACTAAGCGTAATAGCACACTTTAATTAATCCAACCCCTTAATCACGTGGTGTCAAAAACATCATTGGATTAATATTATCTGATCCAATTCAATGTAATCCAATGCAACCTCATAATCCAATCTAGTCACAAAAACATTGCCTAATTAAGACAGGTTCACTTTCGGATGTTGAAATTCCAGAGCTCAGAGCTTAGAGCTCCTACCGTGCAGGTTGAAGAGTTGAACCCTGTTTGTTTGTTACAGGGGCCCTTTACTTCACAACCTCTTGTTTTAGACCAAGTAGGCCAAACCCAGAATTGAATTGACCTTTCATTTCAGGCTTTTGCAGTCTAGTGACTAGTGGTATGGTAGTGGACAAAAGCCAAGCCCTATGAAAATATATTCACTTGGGTCCTCCTTGATTGACTAGTACCAAGAAAAAGAAAAAAGAAAAGGAAAATACAATGCCCAATTGCCAATTGTGATTGTGCTTGAATTGTTGGGTGATTGAGCTCAAGCGGATGCAATAACATGCGACTTGAAAGATTTTAGTTAAGCTCAAAACAATACATATTTCGTATTCAAACTAAAATCACAGGATCAGATTTCCAATCAAAGCAGGGCAGTACTGAGTTTAAGACACTGAAAATTGAATTTGGGGTTTTAATATCTTTTGACGTCCATCCCAACGAAAAAACAAAAATATGAGACTGGCAATAACCAGCATTTGTTTAAAGAAAAGAAAAGAAAAGGCATCTTATTGGCCATAGTAGGATGGTGAGGCACCAGGAGGTCCAACTCCTGGAGGTGAAGCACCACCCCGAGGTCGCAAGTTGGGCGGACCACCTGGCTGAGATATTCCCCTAGAAGCCATACTGGAGGAAGTAGTTGGGCCTGTTTGGAGAGGTGAAGAACCTGGCGGCATTGCTGCAGAGGAATATACTGGACCTGAGGATGCATGAAATGTTTGACCAGGAAACGTGCTCGGAACTGAAACAAACGTTGATCTGCCTGCCTGCATGGCTGGATCCCATGATGGCCCTTGCCCTGGAGGCCCTTGGGCCTGCATAGAAGCTGCACCACTGAACTCGTTCCCATGGTACATCGGAGCAGCCTGGGGATTCTGCCAAGCTGCTGGAGCAGCAGGGTAACCAGAAACTTGCTGCGCCGCATGCAAACTAGCTTCTGGGATTGTATAATCTCTACTTTTGTCACTAAAAGCCTGCAAATAAGAATAAATACAAACTCTCAAACTCTCATCCAAGATTTCTTAGGCATGAATTCATATAATCAGATAGGAAACTAGGTGTCAAGAAGCATACATTTAAGGACCAAATCGTTTTTTGACCAAGAACAGATCCACTTTTTCTTCTATGGATGTCTTTACATTTTCTGTCTTATTTTTATTCTCATGAACATTTTAACTCAAAAGCACATATTTATACCTTTACATTGAGATCAGTATGACGAGAGTATGATAGATGAAGCTTACAATAGCCACCATCATATATGCAGTGTCCCTCTAAAGCTTCCCTTGCAACTGCTGCGGTATTGACATCTGAAATAACAACTCACAAATCAATGACAGCCAAATTCTCACAGATCCATGACAAATCAATAGGTCATATAGAGAGGGTAAATACCAGGGTATTGAACCAATGCCTGTGTTTGACCATTCTTCTCAAATATAGCAATTTTTTGGACAGTGCCAAATGCAGAAAATACCTATAACATATAAAGCAGCATCATATATATATATATATATATATAACATCTTATTAAATTGAGCACTTAAAATGCACAAAAGTTATAAATCCTAACCGTGTGAAGAACATCCACAGTGACAGCATACTGCATATTTTCGATTGAAGCAAGAAGCACATTACTCTCAAGCTCTTTCTTCTTTCCATCAGGACCTACAGCAGGCTGGAGATTGCAGCTAATTAGAGCAATGTTTGGCTTAGGTAGTAATACTCAACACTACATATTATAGTAATGTTCTAAAAGCCCAGAGCATACCTGCATAATTCCCTCTATTGCAGTAGGATTTACAGGAAGGTACGGATTTGTATAGTCCCTGCAGAATCAATGCAAATCAAAATCATACACATTATGCAACAATTACATGCACAAACTGTCTCAAAATAGAAACACATCCATAAACACACGTCCAATAGAAATTAATGTAAAATTTAAGTAAAAGCAAGGAGTATTTTCTAGTTATTACAATCAATTATCGTGAGAAGAGTTAAAACAACATTTGCACTACGCATCTAGTCATGTATGTCTCAACTAATGTCAAGCAGTATCTTTTTCCAAAACCAATCATTTAGTATAAAGAAAAGTAAGTGTGCAAATACATGACACGGAAAATATGCTGAACGAGAAGCCATCCCAACAGGGAAGAAAAAATTGTATGAAATGAACACAAAATAACAATGTATAGTGTGTAATAGTGTAAAATGAGCAACTCTAACTATAATGGAATTAATAAATACATTAAGCCACTATATAAGATCAAGGAATTACTAAATGGTCATGACAACACATCTGTGTTCTGGCTACCAGGCTTCACTAACCCCTAGATGACAAAAAGCACATGCACCCATTAGCACTTGATATAACATGCAATAAAATCAGCTAAAGAGTTTAGCAATAAACACATTGAGACACATAAGAACAAAGCCAAAAAGAAAAACGAAATCAGAATATTGACCTATTGGGTCTGTTGATTACCTGCTTCGGTGAGACTGGAACTTGATGTTCAAATCAGTGTGTGCGGAATATGAAATACGTAAGTGGCATGAACCAACATGCTCTGGAAGCAAATACCTGAATGTAAAGCATCAGGTTTCAAAAATTAGAAACACTACACACTATTCCAAATGTACTGAACTCAATGAGGAAGAGGAAAAGATGGTGGGGATGGGGAACATATGGACAGTACATGCCTGGGTATACTTCTTCCGTCCAAGGCATTCCTTGCCGAAGATGCAGTTTCAGCATCATTGAACTGAATCAATGCCTGCAAAATTAAAACAAAAGGATAAAAATGACATATCTAAAGTACATGTTGTACGCAGCACAAAGAAAGATCCAATACAGACCTGGAAGCCTGCTGCTTTTTCAAACGTAGCAATCTTGTGCACAAAGCCAAAAGCAGAAAACACCTGAAAAATGTTTCAGTTCATCATTAACATATCATATGGATACAAAAAAAGAAACAAGACAACAACAGAAACCCTCCCGGACGAAAATATTATGGGACAACAAAAAAATTCCAAACAGATGAGTTATAAGTGCAGAATGACACCTGTGCATATATGCGTGACCTTAGAAAGGAGTATGACGTACATGATAATAATTCCAAACTGCTTCCAACAAAAGAATTTAAATAAGAGACATCACCATCTGTGATTCAACTGATTTCAATAAAAAGGACAAAACGAAAATCTGCTTTACACAAATTCAATTTGAAAGTTTATCCAGAATCCCATGACTTATAAAACAAGCCAGCAATTCATGCTTCTCTAGACATGGATCAGCTAGGTTTAGACAAGGTTTTTGCAATATATATATTATATACAAGACAGGGCCAATATGTAACAACTGTGGGTCAAAAACACTTACCAAGTGAATAACATCAATGCTCACATCGCCAGCTTCAACACCCTCAATGGTGACCAACAAGACATTTCCGGGAACATCTCCAGGACTTTTGTTGTTGACGATTTCGTGTCTATTTGAATACTGAATGTAAACTGTCTTACCACGGACCTGTGCAGGCTCTGAGGATGAAGCATAATATGAAACCATATTTATGGCCTGGTTTAGGTCAGCCTGAAAAGTAATTATTGCCTTCATCAACATATGGCAAGAACTCGAAAGAGATATGCTAGCACCCAATTATTTATTTTCAAATATCTAACCAATTTCAGCTGAATTAATGTCTACAACAACAAGCACAAATGAGAAATAAGATAACACTTCCGATAAAATGGTTATCATAAATTCTCGAAAAATTTAATGGGATAATGAAATTGGAATGACGAAAAGTAAGAGTCAATTACGAATTCGACGAAGGCTTGGTTGCGGTTGGCTCCAACATTGCACTTGGTGTTGACAATCTTGCCGAACGGCTTGCAGAGCTCGATGAGCTCCTCCTCGGCGCACTCCCATGGGAGGTTCCGGAGGTGGAGCACCTTCGACGGGGTCTGCGTGTACCGAAACTGCGGCGTCCCCGAGGTCGACATAGCGCTGAGATTGGGTGGCCAATATTCGGGATTGGGGGTTAGGGTTTGGGTTCGAGACTGGAGAGAGATTGGGTGTTTGGTCGCCGAGAAATTGTTTGAGATTTTATGTCAAAATGTGGGTTTGGGGATAAATGACATGAAGGTGGGGTTAGGCCTTTGGCTCGATCGGGTTGGGTGGGAAGTGGGACGTCGGACGAGGATTTTATTGATAATTGAAGGGTAAATCTGTCTGCTTCAGACTTATTTCTTTGGCTGCGATCCGCGTCATTGTTTGTTTGTTTTTTTTTTTTTTTTTTTTTTTTTTTTTTTTTTGAAAGAGGAGCAGGAAAATCACCACATTTTATTTAATGAGGTGCAATGCAACTTACAAAGTCTTTTTTAATTTAAATATTTATAATTGTATTTTTTTATATGTCCATCTTTTATTAGGGGACTTACAAAAGAATTTAGATTTTTCACAATTGTAATTTGCTAGATGCCCATTTAAATAGAAAGAAAAAAAAATTGTTGAGATTGGCATCTAGCAAAATACAATTGTGAAAAAAAAAATTTAAAAAAAAATTGTGAGCTGCCCGATATCCTTTCTTGATAAAGTAGATCTTTCCATCAAATATTTGCTAGGATAGAAATATCTCAGCGAATTTTTTCGGGATAAACCTAACCCAGGAATGTTCTGTATCCTGACGAAATTTTGTTGGGAGGCGAATTTTTGTTGAAATGGACATATGCTGACAAATGTTTGCCAAAATAGACCGTCCCGATAAAATTTTGAGTCCTAAGTATCTAACCTGACAAGACTCGCTCCAAATCCTCCTTTGGAATTCGTGACGGACCATGGGCTTGTCCAATACAATCTTAGGGTTGGACTTTTACGAGAAAATCAATAGAATCTCTCCTGAAAATGGCTCTAAACCCAAAATCCACCTGCAAAGAAAACATAGTTTACTCCCCAAGCATTCAGGATGCACAAGATATAAGTTAACCACACACTAGCAACAGTTCTAATGGGCCTCACATCTATTTTTCACAATCATAACCAGTCCATTAATAAGCATCGGAACTCAACACACAAATAACCAATACTCAATCTAATAAAATAAAGCACATAATCCAATAACAACAACTATTCCTGACATAAAAGAACATAACGTAAGTGTTTAACCTTACGACTGCACCTAGGTCACCCTAGGTTGCCTACATACCTTTCTCAATGGATCAAGCCACACATAATTCTTGAAACATTATATCAAAACTTTCTTAAATTCCATGAGTGATAAGAATTCAGGTTATATATGAAGTATACTCATATGAACTAAAAACTCCTACACATTTTTCTAAAACCAAACTCTTCAAACTCCAACCAATCAACCGAAACTTCAACAAATGATATTGGTTACAAGACAACTCTTCAAACCATTACATATGTATAAAAAATTTGAATTTTTTTTTTTTTGGAAATTCAAAATCTGATAAGTTGTAAGACAAGAAAGTTAGTAAAACAACCCTGGCCACGAGAAAACTTTTATATCGATATAAATGGGTTAAACTGAACCTACTTCAATACTCTATAAGTAAGAACGAACTTGTGACATAAGACAACAACTATGATTCTTATAAAATCCTTTAAACTTGGAAAATCCAAATCCATTGTCTCACAATTTTGAAAATATGCATAGAACCCTCACTAATACAAAATGAACATTGTCGCGATAATTATCCTGGCAATTGCACGTGAAGAACAAATCCGCATATACATGCAAATCATGGCAACCACACAATAAGAACCATTCGATGTTTGTGCATGCATATCCTCGCAACTAGACGTGTACATAACATGTGGGGACATATCCTGGCAACCACACGAGTCGAGCGTCCCCGATGCATATGTGGGCATGTCATGCGCGCTTAGACTAAATGGAAGGAAACATGAGTAAGCTAACCAGGTCCAAGGACATCTCATTATCCAAAGGCAACTGTATATTCAAAGGCTACTAGTCGCACGCCTGTGCAAACAATGAACATGCATGCAATATCCTGGCACTAGACATGTAGAACATATTCTCATGTGAGGCAAATCCTGGCAACAACACAAGAAGAACACCTCAATGTCTTTGCAAGCATATCTTGGCAACCACACGTGTTGAGTGTACCCGAAGCACGTGAGGGCTTGTCGTACTCGTATAGATTAATCCGAAGACAACTGGGTAAGGATAACCATGTCCGAAGACCATTGGGAAGAGGTACTTATGGTGGGTTTGAAAACTGTTACCCAAAACCTTAAATTCCATCATTTCTTACTCAAATGAAACTGGTTACTCAAGCCATTTCTAGATTCGCAAACCAAGTTTTTCTCAACTCAAGTAAATCTCATAATGTTCATAGTATGAAATCAACTCTTATTCAAATCTAATACCATAAATGAAATCTGAAAATCATGGATCTTAATTAATCAACCAAAAAGCATTTATAGGTCATATCTCAAATCAAATCTCAAATATAAGTTCAAATGTAGTTTCAATAACCCTTGAAATCATAACAAGAGGCAACAAAGCTTTCCAATGATATTTACGTAAAACCCGCCATAAAGATTATTGGTAGCAAAATAAAATATTTGTAACCCACTTCATAAGTTATAAACAAGAACACATCTAAACCTTACATAAAATCATGCATGAAATGAATAATGATCAAATAAAAGTGTGTAAGCATTTCAAATCTTAAATCAAAACACCATACTCTAATCACAAAGCTTTAAGCTTCTCAAAAAAATTCCCACTGAACAAGAATACAAAATATAGAAATAAGAGCAAACAATTGAATGATGAAGGTTTCCCAATAAATTCATAAGCATTCCAAAACATTTCCCAAACCAAAACATAAACTTAATAAAAATCATGCACTTTCAATACAAGCACAAGTTATAGAGCTCTTAAACAAGTCCATTATTAAAATCCTTCGAAAACAAATGTCTAATCACGAACACTTCCAAATCAATTAGTCCCGGCTGAGCCAACAGGGCCCACCTTCTAGGTCAACTGGGCCCGTGGGGCAGAAGGTTTCTAATATATGATCTAAATGTTCCAATAAGTCCACTAAGGTCCACTAATTATGTCCCAAAAGTTTCATCACAATATGATGATTGGATCGACGTTGATCGCACAATCAAACGATGGTCGATAAATCTAAACCTACAATCATCGATCCGGAAGATACGAGCGTCCTATTCTAGATCCATAAGTTCCTACACAACCTAGTGGTACGCGAAACAACATAATCCAAGATGGGACTAATCCAACAATCCGATCATTTTCTATCAAACGATACATAATAGGCAAAAATTTGATCGTCGACCAAACATCGATCAAACAACAAAATCTCGCCAATCCGAGCATATTGTCTTGCTTGAGGCTATAATGGGAGAATTTCAAGACAAAGTGGCCACCAAGCGCCGGCGATAGCATGTGGCTTGAAGAGTTTTCCGAGGAAGGAAAAAGTCCAAATTACTGGTAACCTAATATACCACTAGCACAAACACTTCAAGGGGAACAACTTTTACTCTTGGAGCAGTCACCGTGGCCAAATTTTGCTTGAAAACTCACCCAAAACGGACGTCACCATGAGTGTCTAGATCAAAGCCATGACAGACCAAATTGGCAGCAACCACGTATACCATCAGCTAAAGCATGAGGAAATGATGAAGATCCATACCTAGATCAATGGCAACGGTCGTCGAAGTCACCAAAAACTGCATTGAAAAAATTGGAAACTCGTCAGCCTTCGGAAACTCGATTCATCGTCGTGACTGGTTGATGGGGTCGAGGTTTGGGCTTGACACGCTTGCTAGTCGACGGTGAACATTTCCTAACTGGTGGCATCAACAACCGTGACTGGACGGATGCGTTGCACCACCGGGAAGTAGAATAGGCACGATGCGCCGTTTCTTGGAAGAGAGATTGAGAGAAAGGAAAAAAGTATGAATAAATGCCAAAATTCTGGGTTTTAAAAATAAACTTTTCTAAAATTACAAATTTGTTAAAACTTCATGTACACTACGTGTCTACTAACTCATAAAAGTGAGCCCTACACAATAAAGCGAAGAAAATTTTCAAAATCAATCCCAAACACAAAGTGACCCCTAAACCACTTAAAAACCATATTCGTCTAATTATGTTAAAATTTCAGAAATAAAATAAAATTGTCGGGACATGATGTTACACATCCATCCTTCTTCTTTACATCTTATGACATTTTCCTAATTAAGAAGGTGATCCTTATTACTTTTCCCACCATGTCCTTAAAATAAATATATAAAAAATCTCTAAACAACTTTTCCAACCTTGTAGCTACCTTTACTGGAACTCTAAACAACGATAAATAATAAATTGGTAGGCTACTAAGGATTGATTGAATTAATGTTAACCTCCCTCCCTTTGACAGAAAACCTTTCTTCCAACCCTCAAATCTCTACATCCAATTCATTTATCTTTGATCGAGGAAACTTTGTCCTCGATGTGTCTTCTTCAAATGTGTTTTGCAACAACGTTGTGCCTTTGGCAACGAGTTCTTTTGTCATCTTGCCAAGTTTGGTTGCATTTGCATCTAATAGTTTCGCCTCTGCATTTACATCCGATTCATTTACATTCGGCTGAGAAGACTATTTGTTCGATGTTTCTTCTTCAAATGCATTTTGCAACAATATCGTCCATTTGACCTCAATTCCTTCGTCATCTTGTCGGGTGGTTGCATCTACATCAAATTCATTTACATTTGGCGGAGAATACTATGTTTTCGATGTTTCTTCTTCAAACGTGTTCTACAACAATGTTGTCCTTTTGGCCACCAGGTCATTCATCATCTTGCCGGCTGGAGTTGCATCTGCATTCAATAGCTTTGACGCGACATCTATATCCAATTTATTTACCTTCGATCAAGAATACTATACGTTCGATGTTTCTTCTTCAAATGTATTATGTAACAATGTCATCCCTTTGACCACTAGTTCCTTCGTCATCTCACGGGGTGTGGTTGTATCTGCATCCAATAACTTCAGCGCGATATCAACATCCAATTCATTTACCTTCAACTAAGAAGATTATACATTTGATGTTTATTATTCGAACATGTTATGCAACAACATCATCCATTTGGTCACAAGTTTCTTCGTTTACCTTAGGCCGAAAAGACTATGGTTTGATGTTTCTTCTTATTTATTCATATCGTTCATCATATGCAATGAAACATTAGAAAAGTTCGGATTCAATTGCAGAAAATGAAAAAAGAGTGTAGTTATTCTAGTCTCAATAGTATCATTGCTCACTAAATTATTATTAATTTTTTTATTATACAAAATTAATTTGTTTAGTTTGATATTTTTAATTAAGTAATTTCTTAGCTTATTTAATTACTTCAATTAGTTATTACATTTTAATTGTTATTTATTTAGTGAATAATTAGAATTAAATATTTTAATTAATTTAATAAATTACTTAATAAATATAATTAATTATTCTAAATTCTTTTGTGGAGCTTAAATTTATAGTTATCGGGATAGACATTTCCCGACGAAATTCGACGAACTATAAAGTTATAATGTCCATCCCGTCGAATTATTACTTATTAAATAGTTGTTGACCCATAATTTTTGCATCAATTTTGGAGTTTAAATTTAACTTTATATTCCTGGATATGTTCTGTGTAATTAGGAAAGTTCAATCGTTTTATATGTCGTTGAGAATGTTCCATATCTTTAGTTTAGATGAGACTTAAATTGTTATAATTTTTCTTTTTACTGTGTTATTCAATCATTAATAGGATAACACTTCAAAACCCTATTGTTGCACACCAAAAGAAAAGATGGAGGGGCCTTAAGAACTCAATCCAATACAAACATAAATTTCTCTTCAAAGCATAACAAATGAAAATCAAAACAGAGACACGGAAGTGGAAGGAGGATCGAAAAGAGATGCAAGGAACAATTAGTGAGGGTACAAGGAGAATTTGAACAAGAAAGAATTACTCCCCAAACTAAAAATGTAGGGATTTATAAGAACTCAGTCCAACATGAAAAATTAACAAAATTATGGGAAGAATTGGTGCCCAAAAGCACCTCTAAAAATTAAAAAGTGTTTCTCTTCAAATCATGCAGGTCTTTCATACAAATATTCATCGGGTTAGACCTTTCCTGGCAAAAGCTTATCTTTCTTGATAAATATTCACCGAGTTAGACTTTTCCCGACAAATTTCTTATCTTGTCGACAAATTTAGGTCTTTCGCGGCGAATTCAAAACTGTCTTGGAAAATTGAAAAACTGAACCGGTTATAGGTAGTTTGGATTGGTTCGGTTCTCTCAATCACTGTAGGTGAAAATTAAATCAGACCAAACCGAGTGAACAATACCGATTCTGAATTCAGGTGAGAACAGACCAAATCAGACCTATTCTCTACCTTTTGTTTTATATATGGATAGATTTTTATTTTTATTTTTAAAAGAAAGAAATAATAAATAACAAAAGAAAGGGTGTCAATAAAACAAAAACAAAAGAAAGGGTGGTCAAAACCCTAGAAATCCAAGAATCTAAATTGCAGAGACACCGTAATATCGCAGTCCCATCGTCATCTCTCTCAATTCAAAAGGTACTCAATCTTCTTCTTCTTCTGCACCTTCAACTACTCCTAAATTTATATCTGTTTGCGCACAATAGTACTAATTTTCCCGATTTAGGTGTTTTCACTGATTTCGTTGTTGATTGTTTGATTCGGAAGCAGATCAAGTATGGCAGGTCAGAGGAACAGTTATGGAAAGCGCTCTCATTCTCAGTCGGATTACGCCGATAACGGAGGAGGAGGAAACAAAAGGAGAAATCCAGGTGAAGAAAGAGAGCAATTCATCATCGATGCGGAGGACACCGTGTATCGGTACTTGTGCCCGGTGAAGAAGATTGGTAGCATAATCGGGAGAGGAGGAGAGATTGTGAAGCAGCTGAGGGTGGACACGAAATCCAAGATTAGAATCGGCGAAACGGTGCCGGGTTGCGAGGAGCGAGTTGTTACTGTGTACAGCGCCAGCGACGAGACGAATGGGTTTGAAGATGGGGGTGCTTATGTTGCTCCTGCTCAGGACGCGTTGTTCAGGGTCCATGAGAGGGTCATAGCTGAGGACCTGCATAACGATGAGGACGCGGACGGTGGAAGCCACCATGTTATTGCTCGGCTTCTTGTGCCGTCCGATCAGATTGGTTGCATTATTGGCAAAGGTGGGCAGATAGTTCAGAACATTCGTAGTGAAACGGGTGCCCAGATTCGCATTCTTAAGGACGACCATTTGCCTGCTTGTGCCTTGAACTCGGATGAGCTTGTACAGGTACATTGATTAAACTTTTGAATTTTGCCTCGTTAGGCTTGTACATGTGTATGTTATTTGTAATGGGTAATACAATTGCTTTGTTGGAACATGCTAATATGCTTTGTTGGATCTGGAGACATACAATTGTCCAGTATATATATCTGTGGAGTTGTTTTATCTCTGTTATACATATTCATATCAATTTGTTATTGGTTGTGGCTTCAGATATCTGGGGAGGCTCCTCTTGTTAAGAAGGCTCTTTTTCAAATAGCATCTCGCCTTCATGATAACCCATCACGATCTCAGCATTTGCTTACATCTGCGGTGCCTATGTATACTTCTGGTGGTTCACTCATGGGTCCATCTGGTGGTCCACCAATAGTGGGAATAGCTCCATTGATGGGTCCTTATGGAGGGTATAAAGGTGATGTTGGAGACTGGTCACGCTCCTTGTACTCGGCTCCAAGAGATGATGCTTCTTCAAAAGAATTTTCTATTCGCTTGGTTTGTCCAACTGCTAATATTGGAGGTGTGATTGGGAAGGGTGGTGTCATAATTAATCAAATCAGACAGGATTCTGGGGCTGTCATTAAAGTTGATAGTTCAACATCTGAAGGAGATGATTGCTTAATTACTGTATCAGCAAAGGAGGTGAAGTACTACTCCATTTGTTTTGTGTTTCAAGTTGTATCAATGGAAGAGTTTACATCATCGTTTTGTTATTTGTTATTTGTTTTTAACATGTACTATTTCAGTTCTTTGAAGACCCATACTCGGCAACTGTCGAAGCAGCAGTGCGTTTGCAACCCAGATGTAGCGAGAAAGTAGAAAGAGATTCAGGAATTATCTCATTCACAACCCGCCTTCTTGTTCCAACATCACGAATTGGCTGCTTAATTGGTAAAGGAGGAGCGATTGTAACTGAGATGAGGAGAATTACCAAAGCTAATATTCGCATACTTTCTAAGGAAAGTCTGCCCAAAATCGCATCTGAAGATGATGAGATGGTGCAGGTGTGCTCAGAATTTTCCTGACTATCGTATTTTCTTGTGTCATTTATAATTTTTAGTTTTGGTAACACATTTAGAGTTTTCCTTGATTTAGCTGATATCATACGAATACTGACAATCTTGTGTTTAATTCCACAGATTTCTGGAGATCTTGATATTGCTAAGGACGCTCTTATACAAGTAGTTACCCGATTAAGAGCAAACCTTTTTGACAGGGAAGGTGCAGGGTCTGCATTCCTGCCAGTTTTGCCTTATCTTCCTGTGTCAGCAGAAGGTTCAGATGGTCCAAATTATGACAGTAGAGATGGTAAAAGACATGGGCGTGGGCATTCTTACTCTGCTGGCTATGGTGGCTCAAGTGATTTTGCAACAAATGACAGTTATGGAAGTTATGGTGGTTCACAGGTATCTTTTTATTGCTATTTCTAGACCATTCTTTTAAGAATTAAGGTGAATGAATACTTGCTTGAAGGTTTGCTTCTTTACTTAGATCCATCTTTCATTAGATTCTGTTTGTTATTCTTTTTTTTAATATTGCCACCTATATCTTCATTTGTTCCTTCACAATTTTTCTTCATAACATATGTAGATTGGTGGTAGCGGCAGCGCTTATGGAGCCTATGGAGCTTATTCTTCCGGACGGAGTGGTAGTTCTGGGTAAAACTTTTCTTCCATGGCCTTCTCTATCTTGGCTTGCTCCTTCTTAATTTCAACTCCTCTCCTCCCCTTTTAATCTGCATTTTCCTGTTCTTTTGCTATTTTGCAACAAGTGTATATGCCGAATTTTAGGTGACAACTTCACGTTAGTGTAAACCTCTTGTTGAGTATTCATAAAATTTGAATTTTGAAACTTTGTAGTAACAATTCATGAAACTCAGTTACAAAGAGCTCTAGATAGAGTTATCCGGTTTTATGCATATGAGCAGGAAGCTTCTGATGTTGGTTTTATAAATTAAGTAACAGGTCATTTTTTTCCCGTGAATGCCAATCTTGAAACGCATTAATCCTGATTTGAAGCTTATGATATCAGGTTATCTAGCCAGAACCCTGTTTCTCGGAGGAGAAACTATGGTTACTAATATTTGATGATGGTACCAGCAGGTAGACTATGGTTGTCTTTTGAGATTTTCTTGTCTGTTTATAACTGGCATTACCCTTGGCCAGTCATTTGATATCGTAACCTATCCAATCTCCCTGTATATAAAATGCTGATGCTCTTGTTTTCCCTTTTTTGCCTTTCCCATCCCATCAAAACAGCTGAGTTCTATGAAGCCTGAAGCCAGCCTACTGTCTGCCTAAACCGGAAGATGAACCAGCATATGACATAGTCATGGCCCACCTTGACGCTTCTACTTAAATGTCCAAGAAACCAAAATTCCCAAGCTTCCCTAGAACCTATATATCCAGCATTTCCCATGTTGCTGTTTTTCCTGATACACTTTTAGGATATGAAGCCATGACTTCAATCTTGCCAATGTACTAGTGTTTATTACTTATGCTTGTCAGTTATGTAGTTGAATTACTTTGTGGTTTTAATTCAGATGATGTTGATTATGGAAAACTTAACCACTTTGTGATCTAGCTGATTGTTGTATCATCTGATTGCAGGCATTTATGATTTTACTTCTGTATCATTCGTATTACCTTTTTGGTTTACAACATCTGTTGTGTGTGAATTCTATCTGCGTCAAAATAAATTATTGACTACAAGTCTGAAATTAGTTTTGATTAAAGTGAGAATTTGTTTATTCACATATAACACAAACACACACCCACACACCCACACACCCACATGCATATTTCAAAGTTATTTATAGTACCATGTGAGCAGAATGCATATGTTATGCTAATAGAGCAGGATGTGTGATTGAAGCTCAATGTGACAACACACTTTGGGGGAATTCTAGTATATTGGAGGAATCTGTTTCCAGAGTAGCCACTACTGTGTAAGCTGTGTGCTTGGTGGTGTTCATGTTTGAGCTTTATTAGACACCTGGTTGTATTTTATTAATTAAATTCCATGCTTCGAAGATTTGCTGTTTTTGGCAATTTTTGGTCGACTCAGAATTCAAGTGAAAATTTCCTTGAAGTTATGCTTCCGGCAGTTTTGTTTGTGTTCAGGTAAGTTTGGAGTTTTCTTGAATGGTATGGTTGATGGATGGTGGAACTTCAGATCTTAACTTTTGAAGGCCTATTCAGAAACTTGTGAGTTTGGTTGAAACTAAATGATTCAAGTGGTAGGTTAACTACTTGTGTTATGTGTGCTACCTGTGTCACTGTCTAGCTATGGTTAGAAGTTTTCTAAGCCTCTGTTGTACAACAATGCATTTGGCAGGTTCTATGAATGCCGTTGGCTTGATACAGGCATTGGTTGTTTCCAACACAATTTAAGCAGGCATATCCTCTGTTGGTTGAGTACATAGTCTGATGGGCATGATGCTTCCCTATTGCATATTGTTTGTCATGGCACTGGATGGCCTCAGCTTCTTTTTTCTGTTTTTATTTTGTTTTGGTCTGGGGTGGGGATTGGGAGAGGTTGGGGCAAGGTTTGCTGGTTGTGTAAATGTCGGGGCCAAGGTCTTGTACGCTTTTAACCAAATGGACTTAAGTTTCATGGCAAAGGAGTTTTGATATAGTTCCTTCAGTTTCACGTTGCTGATGGTATGTACTTGTGTTATGTTTATGTTTTCTTCTTTTTAAAGGGTAGAGTAGTATGTGTTTTGAAGGCAGTACTTGATATGAAATGCATCAAGAAAATGCCTACCACCAGGTTACCCACTTTGATATGAACCCATTTTTTAGATGAGAATCTATAATTCAGACATCAAAATATTGTAAAGTGGTGTGCCTGCACATGAGGCGATGAAGCCTCACCCCGTCAGTTACGTCGGCACAAGCCAACAAACAGAAACTTTTTGAGCACTTTTGCAACTTTCAGAGGTGAAATGGGCTGTCGATGATTTGCTTTGATTTCTTTTGATAGAATTAACTTTCTGAGTTGTTATTAGGGTTTTTTGTCATAAAAATAATGTAAGTAATGATTGCCTTGATTTCTCATGAAACATTTTTCACTTCATTTCCCCACAAGGCAAGGCATGAAACATTTTCTCATGCGTGGACTTACCAAACATAAAAAAGAAAATAATTTCCTGAGAACCAAACGACTCCTTACACTGTCGGCAATGTGTAGACATTACTTGCGCTAAATGAGCACGTTACTCGTGATAAGGTTAAAAACTGGTTGATCGACTATATAAAATCATATGGCCGACATGAAACGTAGTGCGACCATGAAAAAATGATAAATGCAAAAGCACCTAGTCATGTAGCATAAGATGAGATGATGGCAAGCATTTTGGGGTAAAGACAATCTAAGTATTGGGACCACACAATCTGAAACTCAAATTGGTTGGGATGCGGCCAAATGTAGTAAATTAACTCACCTCACCTAACTCATTCCTACCCGACGAGGGTACACCTTCTGAATCTGAAGAGAGCCATGCCATACCATTCATTCAATTTAAGCAATCAAATCAAATCAAAAGCTACGCCGTGACTTGAATGGCTTCTCAGAAAAGCAGCAAGAAAGTGAACATTAGGTGATGGAGATGTATCTTTCGGCTTAATATCTCTTTGGTTTATGCACCCATGCAAAGTCACATCCAAACTCTTCGGTTTATGCACCCATGAAAAACTCACTCTCAATTACTCATTTTCCCCACAGATTCCTGTCCATTGGATAAAGGACTTTGATCGGACAGTTCTGGATCTGCTTCTGCTTTGTACAAAAGCTGAGATCATTAATACTTACTTAGACTGTTATGGAAACAAGAGAAAACAGCTTTTGCCAAATTCTATATTTATTTATGAGCAAGCTAGGCTCTCTCTCTCTCTCTCTCTCTCTCTCTCTCTCTATATATCCATGCTCATTCGTCCAAACACTGCCAAGAGGGCTTTGCAGTCCAATCGGCTTCTTCTTCTCTGCCTGTTTCCAAAGCTTTCCTTCCCTCTTTGGGACAATGCCTTGTTTTCTTGTTGAAATAAGTAGAGGGTTGAGTTTCCATTTTTCTACAAGGGAATGTTGTCTTTCTTCTTTGGGAAAATTCCTACCCTGCCTCCAACTTTTTTTTCTATCTTTTTTTTAAAATTGGTTTCTTACACGTTTGGATCTGTTTGATTGGTTGTCATATCATTATGCGACTTTATTTTTATGTTATGTTATGGTTTTTTCATCTAAAGTCTTGCATGTGGAAATGAGGCGTGTGGTGCAGCCAAGGATGACTTGCCGGCAATACTTAGCTTGTCATTCTCCAAAGCATGCATGTTGTTGTGAGAATGAGTTTGATCGGCAAGTCGTCTCTGGCTACATTATTGCCTCCTTTTCTCATGCTAGATTTATGATGATGGCTGCAGCCATGCAAATTGCAATAGAGAAGTGGTCGTGATGGGTCCAAAATTAAAGGCTTACTTTCTGGCTTATTTCTTTCTTTATCCAAACACACACAGATATATATATATATATATATATGTATATGTATATATGTTTCGATCAGACTATTTCATCTAATGTATCACATAATTTGCAGATAGAAAGCGCCAGTAAATTTGTTGCAAGCTTCGAACTTGTACCAGCTGCTGGCTGCCTAAAACTGCTTAATCAGCCAGCCTCGCGAAACTTGATGCTTGTTTCTCATGGAAAGATCACAACGCAAGACTAGGGGTGGCAAGTTGAAGGCTCACGGTCCTTCTCTTGTCTGCTAACTTGATATTTTGTGTATACAGGACAACATGCCTGACCCTGCAATTTTGTATATGCAAGTTGAAAACTTTGCACCATTTTGACTATGGTTAACTTATCACTACGGTGTTTGGGGTAGTTGGGAACTTGGGATTGGATTCATTTTTATCACAACATATGCTATATATCATTATATAATATGTATCAAATTTACTCATGACATGATTTCGTTAAATTAAATTTAGAATTAATTTACGGAGATTATTTTTGAGGGTTTGATAACTCATACACTATACGGATGTTAAAAAACCCAGAATCCTCGTGAGTCCTTTGCCTAGAGATTATTACAGGCTATGTGGGGTCATCAATCTATACCGAAATTTGGACAAAAGATTGTGTATTTGTCCTCACAAGAATTGTGTGAGGCCCACTCACAGTAGTAGCTATCATACTCTCATTATTGTGAGAGGCAGGGGAACCCACACACACATAAGATTGTTTCTCCGAAATTTGGTCCAAAATGGTACCACAAATGGTTGGTGATCAGGGGGCAGAGTCAGACTTTGTATTTGGAAAGGTAAACGTAAAATTTCAAGTTTAATTACATACATGTTTTTGGCTTACTGGGTAAACTATTACCAATAACACTACTAGATTGAAATGAGTAGTTTTCTTTCATAAATGTAATATGATTGTACTACTATATTCATATTGAATTGAGAAATATTGAGTAGTAAGCGGACCACAGACTTAAATGTAACAATTTTTCTTTATATTTAACAGAATTAAATAAAGTGGGGTGCCAAGGCCGCTTCTCGCGTTGGCATACCTATGCCTTTATATGTGGAAAAAAAAACTTACTTGTAATGGGAATAACAAAAAGTGTTATCCTTGTTGCACGAGAGTTTCTCCGTCGTAGACTAAAAAACTTTGGCTGATTTCTAAGGCAACACGCAAAACATTATTTCTGCCTTGGTCAACATATCTAGAATAGTCATTTAATCTCTATTGCCCACATTTTTCACACCAAGGAAAGTTCTTATGCGCAGCTCAGATTTGCTTCATTTTCGAGATACAGGCAGCAAAATAACAAATAAAATTACCTACCGAATTGAAACAATAACAAATTAACACCGCCCATAATAAGCAACCAAATACGTTTCCATCAGGAGTTGTTCATAAGAAAAAGTGCTAGCAAAATCACATAATTCAACGAGAAACCCGAAAAAGGGGAAGCAAAGGAGGAAACAGAGGAGGGGAGAGCTACAGAGATATAAAACCTTCCTTGATCAGCAAACCAAACATGAGAACAAGGAGGCCGATTGCGATGGACTGATTTGGAGACACCAGAGTCTGAGAATAAGCAAACAAGGTCATTGCTGCACCCACCAATCCAATCACAAACGCACTCAAGTTCCGATTCATTTTTCTTTGTGAAAGAGGAAAACTTCAATGCTGATGATATTTGAGGATTTTGGTGGATGATGAGATCAGAGCACCAGACAGGGCAACTATCTGTCTCTGTTTGGAGCTTAAGCCAATTAAAGGTCAACTCCTTTTGTCTCGTATCACAAGGGCAATGCCCCTTTGGTGTCCTCAAAGAGTGCTCCAAGTCAACCCCTTAGGTGGGATCATGGATAATTCATCACTTAGATTAGATGGCGATTTAATTACATTTAGACTTTTTTTCCTTTGATAAAAGCGATATTTTGGGACGGGATTCAAACACAGCACATCAAGCATGAGTTTGCTATTAACCACTTGAACTACAAGCGCCTTGCTATAAAACAAGGTTATTTGGTTTTCCGTTAAATGCAAAACGACTTCGTCTGGTGCCGTTCTGAGTTCTTCTGAGAACCGCCATGGCCCAAAGCACCTACAATGCATGCAGGCCTTACAAAAATGATGGGCCCAATATGTTGCAGACGTTAGAAAAGCCCAAAGTATTGCAACCTATCGAATAGCCCAATGTACAAATAGTGCCCTTTGTTGGGTTTTGGGTTGGGGGAGGTCGTTATTAGAAGCGAAACGACGTTATCTGCTGTCGTTCCCTAGCTCCCTCCAGAGACTGAGAGACACAAGCCAGTCAGACACCAACCTCAAACTCTGCCGAGTGCTGAGAGCTCGAAGAGCCAAAGCACATAACTATATGTAGGCCTTACATAGATGAGACGGAGCATCACCACCACCTCCTCCACCATAGCTTTCTGCAATGGAATGCTCCAAGTTTTATATGCTTTCACACCTCACAAGCCCTATATCAAACAGGTTCGTTCTCTTTACTCTCTGTTCTCACTTTTCAACGCTAGATACAACTTCTCAACCACCACTTGTCTCGTATACCCTTCATTCCCCTCGTCTTCAACGACCCCAAATAACAATACCCAGATAGATTTATCTTCTATTTGTTGCAATGGTATTGCCCAATCTGTCATTTCTAGATGTTCCCACTTTTCTGAGAAGAAAGGCAAAGGCTTTGCTAACGCGTCTCTAAAAGACCTTCTTTTGGAGATTTCGGATATAGTACCTGAATACACGCGTAGACTTAGGCGGGTTTCGGAGGTGAAACCTGAAGATGTGCTTGGATTATTACTCGCTTTTCAATTTCAGTGTGGGAAAGTTGGATTTGAAGCTAGCAAGGTTGAGTCTTTGTGGGAAATTTTCAAACGAGTTAATGGACAAAGTAAGGGTTTTAAGCATCTCTCTCAGTCATGCGAGGTCATGGCCTCGATGCTTGTCCGAGTGGGGTTGCTTAGAGAAGTTGAATTCTTGCTTTCCACAATGGAAAGCCAAGGAATTTTATTGGATAGTCATGAAGTTTTCAGTAATTTGATTGAAGGGTGTGTTGATGCTGGTGAATCAGAAATGGCCATTTCTATGTATGATCGAATGAGGCGCCGTTTACTCCCTTCATTATCGTGTTATGATGCTCTTCTTGATCATTTGGTTAAAATGAAGAAGACCCATTTGGCTTTTCGAGTTTGTTGGGATATGACAGAAATGGGTATTGATTTGAGAGGTGTGAAGAAGGCCACAATTGAGGATGTCATTGGACTCCTTTGCAAGGACGGAAAGCTTCTGGAAGCAAGAAATCTCGTCAAGAAGGCTATGGCTTTTGAACTCAAGCCTAGTAACTTAGTTCTATATGAAATTGCTTATGGTTATTGTGAGAAGAAGGACTTTGATGATTTGCTGAGTTTCTATGCTGAAATCAAGTGTGCACCTGATGTTCTGGCTGGGAATAGGATTATGCATTCTCAATGTAGCAATTTTGGAACAGGAAAGGCAGAACTGTTTTTGCAAGAATTGGAACATTTAGGCTTCAATCCTGATGAGATAACCTTTGGTATCATGATTGGCTGGAGTTGTCGTGAACGAAAACTAAAAAATGCCTTCATTTACCTGTCACAGATGTTGTCAAGACGACTAAAGCCCCATTACTATACCTATAATGCTCTTATCAGTGCTGTCTTTATGGAGGATATGTGGAAGCATGCCCAGGAAATCTTTGATGAGATGATGGATAGGGGGACAATACCTGATTTATCGACGTTCAGAATTCTCTTAGCAGGCTATTGTAAAGCTAGACAATTTGATGAAGCAAAAAGGATAGTGTTTGACATGGCAAGCCATGGATTAATTCAAAACTCTTCAGCAGAGGATTCGCTATCCAAAGCATTTATAATTTTGGGTTTCAATCCATTATCTGTGAGGTTGAAGAGAGACAATGATTTGGGGTTTTCTTCAACTGAGTTTTATGATAATCTTGGGAATGGACTTTATTTGGATACAGACCTGGATGAGTATGAGAAGAGAGTTACTTGGATCCTAGAAGATTGCATGGTACCTGATTATAACTCACTTATGATGAAGGAATGCACTCTTGGAAATTTGAAGGGTGCATTGATGTTGGTAGATGAAATGGTTCGGTGGGGGCAAGACTTGTCATCTTCTACCTTCTCTGCCTTAATGAAAGGGTTCTCTGCATCCCCTTCACATATTAAGGGTATCACCGCTGTTGTGGATAAAAAGTCTCACTTAGTAGATCAGTTAGACCAAGAAACTTTAAATTTGCTCGTCCAAGCATACATGAAGAAAGGGTTGATATGTGATGGAAGGATAATATTGGATGGAATGTTCCGAAGGCATCTGAAAATCAAGAATGAGACATACACTGCTGTCATTAAAGGTTTGTGCAAGAGAGGAAATTTGAAGGAGCTGCATGCTTGTTGGAATAATGCTCAACAGAACAGATGGTTACCCGGGTTGGAAGATTGTAAAGTGTTAATGGAATGTCTTTGCAAGAAAGAGATGCTAAGGGAAGCACTACAGCTTCTTGAAAGCATGCTGATATCCTTGCCTCACCTACGGTTAGATACATGCCATATGTTCCTTGAAAAGCTTTCTGTTACAGGCTTTACAAGAATTGCGCACATATTGTTGGAAGAACTTGAACAGCGTGGTGGCATCCTGGATCATGTGGCTTATAGCTATCTTATAAGAGGATTGTGTAAGGAGAAAACTTTTCCTGTAGCATTTGCAATACTGGAAAATATGCTGGCTAGAAATTTGGCACCATGGTTGGACGATTCTGTCCTATTAATTTCTCATTTGTGTAGGGCTGGTAGATATGAAAAGGCCATTTATTTGAAAGAGATTGGTCTAAGAGAAAAGCCTTCGTCTTCACTTTCCATTGATCGTGCATTAATTGAAGGCTGTTGTATGGCAGGGGAGGTTGGAGAGGCAACCACTATATTACGGAATATGTTGTTAAAGGGGATACTTCCTGATACTGAAACTTACAATATTTTGGTTCAGGGTCATTGCAAGGTTAACAACTTAAAGAAGGTGAGGGAGCTACTTGGTGTCATGCTAAGGAAAAACTTCAGCATTTCACTTGCAACTTTCCGCAATTTGGTGTGTTTGATGTGTGTGGAAGGTAGGGTTCTTTATGCAGTGAATCTGAAGGAGCTCATGCATGGACAAAGTGAGCCTCGCAATCTCACCATTTACAATATTCTGATTTTCTATCTTTTCCAAACTGGGAATACTTTGATTGTGAATAACGTGTTGGATCATTTGCAAGAGAAGAAATTGCTGCTGAATGAAGTAACGTATAATTTTCTAGTATATGGGTTTTCTAGGTGTAAAGATGTGTCAAGTGCTGTGGAAATTCTGTCTACTATGATCTCTAAGGAATTTAGGCCAAGCAACCGCAACTTGAGAATAGTTATGACCAGCCTGTGTGGGATTGGGGAGCTTGAGAAAGCCTTGGAGTTGAGTCGAGAAATGGAATCAAGAGGCTGGGTTCATGATTCAATCATTCAAAATGCCATTGTTGAGGACCTCCTTTCTCATGGTAAGCTTCAAGAAGCAGAAAAGTTTCTGGACAGGATGGTAGAGAAATGTCTAATTCCTGAGAATATCAACTATGATAATCTAATTAAACGTTTTTGCTCATGTGGACGATTGAGCAAGGCAGTTGATCTTCTAAACATAATGTTGAAGAAAGGAAATCTTCCAGAAGCTACCAGTTATGACTCTGTCACCAGCTCTTGCTGTGCAGTTAATCAACTGGACCAAGCTATGGATTTTCATACTGAGATGCTGGATAGAAATCTCAAGCCAAGCATCAACACATGGGAAATTCTTGTCCACAATCTGTGCCGAGATGGACAAACTGCAGAAGCAGAAAGGCTTTTGCTTTCAATGGTTTGCGTAGGTGAGACAGTGAGCAGGGAGATATATTCTTCTGTAATTAATAGGTATCGCTTAGAAAAGAATCTCAGGAAGACAGCAGAGCTCATGCAAGCAATGCAGCAGAGTGGTTTTGAGCCAGACTTTGAGACACACTGGTCTCTCATAAGCAATCTAAGCAATTCTAGTGACAAGGACAATGCAAACAGCAACAGGGGTTTTCTAGCAAGGCTTCTTTCTTCAAGTGGATTTTCTCGGCAAAGGGATTCGAAGACCAAACTGGGTTAACACAGTAATCATTCATTCATTCTTTCTCTACCGACTCATGGTTAGTTGTTGATGTTGTGGCTTGTGACTTTACTTAGCCACCATCTTTAGATGCTTTGATGGTTTATAACTTAGTCTAAAATGGAATCTCAAGTCTCTTATAAGGTAGCGTAGCGTCTATGAGTGAGTTTGTCAAATCCAAAAAGACTTGTACATACCTGTATATGTTTACCCAGCTATAAATGCAACGATGGTTTCTGGTAAAAGACATTTATTTATCAGAAGATTAGGTCTCTTATAATAGTTCTAATATTTCGCATGGTTATAAAGGGAGGATTGTAAGAATATGGCAAGGGGTTCAACCCAAATTCTCAACAAAACTCAAAAGCTGTTCTTTTTGCCTTTGGGTTCTACTTTGTAGATGATGCTCGAGCTTCAAAAAAGCCTTTGAACAATGAAGGAGAGGCCGGAGGGAGAAATATCCTTATCTGATTTTGTTTACTGTACCAAAATGTGAATTTGCCTCAAGAGCTATATACGTGCACTAATAAATGAGTGGAGTAGAAAGATAAGCAAGAGCTGATTTAATTTTTGGCATCAAGCGCATCATTTGGTTGATGTGAGAGAAAGGCCATACATACTTGCCTACGTTAGTCTATCCTATCACGTGCGCAAACTAAATATGGATTGATTTTAACATAGAGCTAATGCACTTTGGAACAAATTAAGCAAACAGAACTGAGTTAATGTAAAGAGAATTGAAGATGAAACTACCAGTTTCAATTTATAAACAAACCAAGCCAATATTGTGTTTGTACCAAACAAGAAGTTATTAGTAACGTAAACAGGCACTCGTCCCCTAACAATGTGTCCTCGACTTTTTGGCTAAATGCAACTTAACATCCTCCTCATCAGGCGCAGCTCCTCCACAACTCTCGCTTGACGACTGCAGTTGTGGCTTGGCGCTGACTACATGACCTTCCCCATTTCTTCCTCCCACTGGCTTTGGTTTTTAGTGGACTGAGCATGAGCATCTTGTGGTAGTCTAGGAACGGGTGTCGGCCACCATGGTACCACAACTTGGAAGAACCCACAGTTCAAACCATAATCAATAGTATACTTTTTATCCAGTTTCGACTGGATTCTTGTACGAATGTTGAACATGACAATCTCATAATCTATAACTAGATAGATAATTTCCTCATTGTTTGGGTCCAAAGCCATACATTCAGAAGCTAGAACGTCTCCTCTCTTCCGAACCATGTCTTCCTCCAGTATATAACTTGTCATGTTCTCCAAGCACACCTTTTCAAATCCTCCATGATACTCTTCTTTATTCACATTCACGTCCCAAACTAAAAAAGTATTGGTAGTCAATTCAAAGTCAAACATCTTGAGACGCCCTCCATACACACCCAGGCAAGAAAGTATTATGTTGCCGTCAAAATGATGATCCCTCAGATTAATGAGACGACATTTATAATCACCATTGTTGATTATGAAGGGATCCAACTCCAGGAGAAAGTGTACAGTACCCATCCAATACAACATTCTGTTGTAAGCATTAGCAAAGCAAATATGAAATTTGACAGTATCGAGCCTAATATCTTGTGGGGATGACACAATTGTCTCTCTCCATTGACCAGTCTCTGAGGAGAAGATCTGCACTTTGAATTTGCTGTATTTTTTCCCATAACAGGGACAAATTAATCTCACAACCTTGCACCTGTAATTGGTATTAAGCTCTGCAATATTATTACTATTATGCCCTTTCAGATCATCATCATTTGTATACTTATTATACAAGGGAAGATCGCACATAAACCCCTCTGGCAAAGGTACTGTCCGTTCGTGACATGGAGGTGCGGGCGGAAGAGCAATCCATTGTTGGGTGTATGGATTGCAGATGTAGTAATTACGTTCATAATACTGTCCTGTGTAACACAAAAGTAAGTCATTATACGTACCTGCCACCTCCGGCTCTTGCTGGATCAAATCGCCATGAAACTTCTTGAATCTTCTGAAAAAAGGCTTCAGGGGATCGGACATTCTATTGAGCAAATCTCTCTTTTTGTTTATTAGAATGATTGGCGTTTGCTGATGATGATATTCTCTTTGTAGAGATACAAAGCGGCCAATGAAATACGGATCCGATATGAGAGTGCACCAACGCTTTGACACGCACTTGCATTGATAAACCAACTTATAGCAACGGAGTCGACAAAGAATCTCCACCAGTACAACATCCGGGAGATCATCGAATATCGGATTCAATGAAGTACGATGATGGTTCAGTATTGCTGCAAGGGATGACTTTCTACCATACCTTCCTTTGATATTACCAACTCTCATGGCGTCTCACAAAACACAACTTGAGTAAAAGAAAACAAATCGATATACACATGCATATAGGGTTTTTTATTGGGCCTCTCAGATATAGGTCTATTCTCATCAACATGTAATGTACTCTCCCTTTTCTTTTCTTTTTTGTTAAACAAAGGTGGCAAAAGTGTCACCCTCTCCGAGCCAAGCACGAGTTAAGGGAAAGCTCTCCCAAAGAGATTCGTTACACATGCGGAGGATTGAACTCGGGACCTCATTGAGGAGCCCGATCAGATTCGCCCAACATGTGTGGCCTAGTCTGTTCAATTTTCCACTAGACCAAACCCACTTGGGTATGGACTCTCCCTTTTCAATTGCAGTCCACTCTCACCAATTAAGCAATTAATATGTACATGAACTCTTATTGCAGTCCACTCTCCCTTTTCAATTACACTATTGTTAAGGTATGAAGTTTCCATGAACTCTTATTATAAATTTTGCGGTGGTACACCTTGGGAAATTTTCAAAATTCAATAAATAGATTTGCAATTAAATTCAAATCAAATATGATAATTAATGTCCTACAAATCAATAACTTATTACCTGTTTCACAAATTCATAGGACTTGGATTAACAATAATTTTTGCGTGGATTACACCGAATATCTCTCATCATAATTGGAATTATGCCAAATTTTCTAGTTTTTAATTACCCCAGTTCAACAGGAGAAAGAATTCTTTTGTATTTGGAATACCTGTGGCCTTTTTATAGCCTTGTATATTGCTTTGTATTGGTGCCAAATTATAAATAATTAATCGACTTTTTCCCATCGTATAATAAAGGCAAGCATACTATTTTAGCTTGGGCTCCTCCCACCAATAGGAGATGAAGGCATGCAACGAACAATTAAAAGATTGGCAACGTGTGACGATCAGAAAGAGGCCAAACGACAGGGTCGGCAACCGTCGCCAACGGTCAAGCCTCTGGAACAATGTACCAACCTTGGAGCTCTCAAGCAAGTCCACGCTTCCATTGTCGTCAATGGCTTCAATTCAGATTATTCTTCTATAAGAGAACTCATCTTCGCCAGTGATATGGCTATTTCAGGCAAACTGTTCGTTCATGTTGCTGACCAGACACCTTCACCATCATCATAGGCTCTGCTCAGAGTCAGAACCCATTAAATGCAATCGTACTGTATACCCGGATGGAAAGTCGGCATTCAAGGAAAGATAGCTTCACTTTCTCGTTTATACTCAAGGCCTGCACTAAGCTTTCTTGGGTTAAGATGGGTATGGGGAGTCATGGGAAGGTTGTGAGGTTCTGATTTGAATCGAATACGTTTGTTAGAAACACCCTTTTTTATTTTCATGCTAATTATGGGGATTTGAAGATTGCAATGCAAGCTCACTTTTTGATGCTTCGGAGAAGAGGGATGTTGTGCCATGGTCAGCTTTGACTGCAGGATATGCAAGAAGAGGGAAGTTGGATGTGGCCAGGCGACTTTTCGACCAAATGCCTTTTAAAGATCTGGTTTCATGGAATGTGATGATTACAGGGTTGGGTATGCAAAGCAAGGGGAGATGGAGAGTGCAAGGACGCTCTTTGATGAGGTTACGAAAGGAGATGTGGTGACTTGGAATGCAACGATTGCAGTTTATGTACTTTGCGGGTCGAATGAGCAGGCATTTCAGATGTTTAAGGAGATGGGTCTGGGAGAAAAGCCTGATGTTGAGTCTTTGGTCTGCTTGCACAGATACGGGAGATTTAGATATTTTACAACACTGCAAGCTATGTTTGGAATTTTGATATTTTCAAGTTATATATATGAGCACTAATTAATTGGTGGAGTAGAAAGATAAGCAAGAGCTGGTTTTAATTTCCAGCAACAGGCACAGCTTTTGTTGGCTAAAGGATAATATAAATAAGAAAAGCATACCAACTCTTCAGTAACAAAACCAACGCAGATATATAACATTGTTAAACAACCTGGTGGGGACTTTGGAAAAGTGCTAATGGAAAAGAATCAAGATCATTCTAGATCGAAATACCTAGATATGATGATAAATCTTATACCATGGTTGTAAAAAAAATTGGATAAAAATAACTACTAATCTTGGAGACTCGAGTTATTTTAGTCTAGGATTTCTAGAAGCAATGATCCCTTAATTTGTGCTCGATTTATATTTGTTTGGATTTAGGGTTTTTACTGATATTATACAAGTGAAGTAGTATGTGGATCTTCTTTTCCTCATATCATTGACCAACTCAGTTTCCCTTCGCATCCCCAGATGTCTAACTGCCCCCATTATTCATATTTCACAAGCTCCCCCATTTTCTCTCTGCTTACCAGAGGGATATATACCATAGATTTCCAATTTGGTCGCTTAGTAACTTTGCCAATTCGGGCCCAAATTTGGTGCGGTTGGAAAGTGGCGGTGACCTTATAAGTGGTCCAAAATATTTGAATAATAGAGCAAGTACGAGTAGGTAGTCTTTACACATCACAATTCATGTGTTCAGTCCACCCAAACTCCTGGCAGGAACAAGCTTTTTCTTTTTATATGAATTTTTTGTCTGATAAGATGTTTTTCAAGTGATAAGGTCCTGATGCAAACGTAGAGTTGATGGGTTTTTTTTAAGTCAATGACTACCAAAAAGCTACTAAAATACCACCCTGTGCTAGCTTTTCTGCATGCATATAAACACCCCTTGGACTCTGATATTCCATGCACAATTAGCTTCCCAGCTCAAAGTTTCAAAGCCCATCTCTCAAACACCAGAGTTTAACCAGTCACCAAATTTAATCTACAGTGAAACATGAAGGCAGGAGGAGCTATTGAGCTTGGTGAGTCCAAAAGCGCTTCAAGCACCCCAAAAATTGGAGGGGTGAACAAAGGGGTATCCATACTAGACTTCATTCTCAGGATCATTGCATTTCTTGGTACCTTGGTAAGTGCAATAGCCATGGGAACCACTAGGGAAAGGCTTCCCTTCTTCACTCAGTTCCTTCAGTTCAGGGCCGAGTACGATGATCTTCCAACATTCACGTATGTGTTCCTGAACATCAAGTTTTCTGTGTTCATGAATATCTTTTCTGCTACATATATAAACTAATAAACTTCTGCTTCTTTTAAGAACAGGTTTTTCGTGGTTGCCAATTCCGTCGTGTGTGCATATCTGGTGTTTTCTCTAGCCCTTTCCATCTTCCACATCATACGAAGCAACGCCAAAAGGAGCAGAATTATCTCGATCTTCTTCGACACGGTAATACTAATTAAGATTTTTTTTTTTTTTTTTTTTTTTTTTTTTTTTTTTTTTTTTTTTTTTTTTCATGCACCATCATCATCATCATATGCTTCCTTCGTCCTTCTCGTCGATTGTGTTGTGTAGGCAATGTTGGCTCTTCTGACAGCAGGTGCCTCTGCAGCAGCAGCTATTGTATACTTGGCACACAAGGGAAATGCCAAGGCAAATTGGTTTGCCATCTGCCAGCAATTCAACTCCTTCTGCGAGCGCATCTCTGGCTCCTTAATTGGATCTTTTGTAGGAGTTGTTGTTTTTATACTCTTAATCTTGCTCTCAGCTGCAGCCCTCTCTCGACGCTGAGTGTCAGTCTCATACATTCTTAACGATGCACATGCACACACACACACATATATATATATATATATACATATCTATTTCTGTGTGTGTGTGTGTTGATTATAGTGCATCAGTATGTCAGTTCTGTGTGTATTTGCAAGGGACAGATTGAAACGTATGTCGTATTAATGTATTTCATTTCCTTTCCTTTCTCAATTATTGTATCTCAATTTGGTTGTCAATTCTATTTGCTGTAACTAGTTCGATCTGCCACAAAATCAAACACTGTCCATCATTTTATTGCATACAAATGGGAGTACCTTCATAAAATGTTGCACTTAATCCTTCATGTCCCTCTAGCTACTATAATACATATAAAGCTTCTTCTTTTCGAAAGCAAAAACGAATTGAAACAAATGAAAAATGGTAGCCGCAAAGGGTTCAAACTCATTTATAAATCAGACAAGAACTTTAGCAACTTTCAATGTCTTAACCATTTCAAGAGACATATATAATAATGACATGAGAGCGCTGGCTCACCAATCTGATCTGAGACTTATCTGCTTCAAATTAAGCTACAGCAAGAGATCATTCTTATCTGCTTCAATTAAGCTACAGCCAGGCTTTAAGCCCAAATTCCTGACCAATTTATTATTAGCAATAGTTTAAAATAGACTAAATTAATCTAATTTATGGAAAGTCGTATTTTAGCCCTAAACCTTAAAATAATTTAACAAAAATGTCACGCAAAACATTTATAGCACAACGCAAATATTCCTAAAAATGATACACTGTTTAAAAGTATATTAGAATATTTTAACCGTATAGCCGCGCGGCTATACGCATATTCTAAACGTATCACCATTCGAATATTTCACTAGTATAGCCGCGCGGGTATACTCTTGAAATATATTAGAATATTCTAAACTATAACCAAGCGGCCATACTCGTTAAATATATTCGAATTTTTAAATAGTATAGCCGCACGGCTATACTGCTAAAATATATTAGAATATTCTAAAAGTATAGCCGTGCGGCCCTACTCGTACAATATATTACAATATTCTAAACGGCTATACGCGTCAAATATATTCGAATATTTAAATAGTATAGCCGTACGGCTATACTTGATAAATATATTAGAATATTCTAAGAGTATAGCCGTACGGCTATACGTTTGAAATACATTAGAATGAGGGGGAGAGAGCTCAATTTAAGTTGTTGATTATTAAAAGCTTCGATCTATGGCTTCTTGGGTTCTTTTACCCGTAGCTCCAGTAACCGGTCGTTGTCTAGTGGCTCCTGTGAGAACTCAGAGGTCGTCTTTCATCCGCATTCGGTCGCTGTCTCGACGCTGACTCCATGTTTTCTTTGGTTGCTACAGTAATCTATTCCGATTAATGAAAAAGGGGAACAAATATTGCTTGGTTAAACTGCTATGACATTTGGGTGATCCTGATATTCTGGGAAAAATCCTTATAAACATCTTTATTATTCTTTAACCATGTTTGTATGATATCTGATATTTTTTTATTCTTGGATCTCCACTTAAAATTCGAATAATAGTCTAGCCGTGCGGCTATACTCTTAAAATATATTAGAATATTCTAAGCCGGCTATACCCGTTAAATATATTAGAATATGTAAATACGGCTAACTGTTGAAATATATTACAATATTCTAAACGTAGAGCCGCGCGGCTATACTCTCACAAACTGCTTAGACGGAGGGAGAGGGAGCTCAATTTAAGTTGTTGATTCTTAGAAGCTTCAATCTATGGCTTCTTGGGTTCTTTTACCCGTAGCTCCAGTAACTGGTCGCTGTCTACTGGCTCCTGTGAGAACTCAGAGGTCGTCCTCCATCTTCGTTCGGTCTTCTCTAGACACTAATGTTTCTGACATGAGTGTAAATGGTAAAGTTCCCATCTTTTTTAGCTTCAATTTGACAATTATCTCTGTTTTTATTGCTATTCAGTCTCTTTTGATTTCTGGATATTCTTACTTACTTTTGGTGAATTATAATGAATTTGAGGAAACCGGTGATGGGAGCACTATTAAATTAGTATTCTGAGATGAATGTTTACTCTTCCAGCTCCAAAAGGGTTGTTTCCACCTGAACCTGAACACTACCTGCACCGAGGAATTACCAAGTTTAGCGGCTCCCCGTGCTCCGAAATTGCACTGCGCACTTCCTGCACCGAGGTTACGACAACCTCGGGACAAGCCTCCGGATGATCCGGAGGTGCATATGGGGCGTCCCTAGGGTTCGCAATCTCATCATGGCGGTTGCGGTTCACGTTGTCCGCTGCAATTGCCGCCTGGATAGCCAGGTACTCGGTAGCTGTCACAGTTTGATTAACTAAATACCTTATCTTTCGCTGGTCTCTGCCCCTTGTGGCTGCACGGACCCCCGTGGTTGTGTTCACCACAACCAAACGGGTGGATGATGAACTTTGGTCCATTTTGCAGGAGGGGAGGGGAGGAGAGGTTGATGGGAGGGGAAGGAGGTTTTTTAATTTTATTTTTTATTTATATATCTCAAACGGGAAGGAGGTTTGATAATAATGCTGATATCTCTCACTCACTCCCCTTTATATTTATACTAAATAGGTTATATGCATATCATGGACCTCAATGCACATGAACATATCATGGACTTCAATTTAGGCATCAAAATGGATATGTACCCACCATTTTACCTCATTGATTGGTCCATCCATATAGAGTAATATTAATTTGCATTTCATGGCATTATTGTTTAGGGTTCCAAAATTTCACTCAAATGAATCGTCATGTCAGCAAAAGTTTCCTACCCAAACAACTTACATAATATGACTCACGCTGCACAAATACCAATTCAGAATTCAAGTCACTGCTGAGCTCTCTTCTCTCTTATTGGATTCTTTCTAGTGAAAAAGGAAAAAGAGATGCCCTGCCTGCCTTCCTGTTTTCTGTTGTATAAACTTAAATTTGTAATTTGTAATTTTTCTTTTCACTGGGTTAGTTAAATACGAAACCGTATCATGGACTTCAATGATCATGGCCATGCACACATGAACACATCTGCACAGACACACAATATGATAGTCATATAATCTGATTCACCTATTATTAAAGCAGTGGATACGTTCTCATGTACTATATATTTCTTCTTCTTCTTCTTCTTCTTCTTCTTCTTCTTCTTCTTGTGTGTGTGTGTGTATGTGTGCTGCTTATAAGCTTTTCACCAATTTCTTTGGGGGAGATGAAGGGCTGCCGCGGTTTATATATTGCCTTTTGTATCATATTAGATATCATACCTTTTTGTATCATTAGATTCTTAATAAAAACACACATTGTACTTGATGGGATATTCATAATAAAATTTACATTAATTAATCTATGTGAGTTATCAACGCGAGTGTCACATTTACGAGTAAATACCGCTAACACTATTTAAAACGAAATTAAAGTAAAAATTGACAAATCAAAGTCTCTAGTGTGTACGTACTGATGAGAGAGAGAGAGAGAGAGAGAGAGAGAGAGAGAGAGAGAGAGAGAGAGAGATCATATGTGCATCCCATTCCTACCCACTCATCATCATATCATATCGCATGCCTCTAGGTTGTTAGTGGTTTTAATGTGGTCACTTTTGCCTTTGTGTTTTTCAATTCCAAGCAATTTGAGGACATTACCCAATTTCCATCAAATTCGTTTGACTGCCATTAGAGCTGGAGGGGCATTTGACGGAAATTGGGCAATGTCCTTAAATTGATTGGAATTGAAAAATACATGGGCAAAAGTGACCAAATTGAAATCATAAGGACCTTAATGAAAAAAGTGATAAACCACATGGACCAAAAAGTATTATTAAAAGCAGGAAACAAAACACTCATTCCTTCCTCTCTTTTGTTTCTTGTTGGTTTCACTTTCACTCTACATTTGGATTTTAAATTTCTACTTTCTTTCTTCTTTTTTAAACAATAGTAGTCTGATATTTGAAATATGTTCACTTACGTGTGTAACAAATAATAAATTATTAAACACTTGGTAATAACCAGAATAGTCGAGTATGTTGGAGGATGAGGCATTAGATTTGTTGAAACGTAAAGTGAAAAAGGCTATAGTTAGTTAAAATTTATAACCTTTATTTTTGAAATTTTATGGTTTTGTGCTGCATCGACTTAAAGTTGTAATTTTTCTTTTCAAAACAGAACCATTATATACATGAAAGGCTTAAATGTCGAAATGGTCCCTATGTTTGACCCTATCAGCCAATTTAGTCCTCGTATTATTAATTTAGCCAATTTAGTCATTGTGTTTGTATTTGTTAACAAATTTGATCCTAAATGCAGTTGCTTTCAGAAAAATTTATTATACTTCACTCAACCACCTTGAGCAGTGGCGGATCCACCATGGGGTCAATGGGGTCAGACGACCCCACGGCAGATCTGGAGTTTAGTGGTAGGGACTGGTTTTTGCCCTTGGCAGCCATGGAAGTGACCCCATGGAGAAGAAGAAGAAGCTTCGGTGGTGGCAGCTGGAGCACGAAGAAAGAGAGAGAGGAAAAAGAATTAAAAAAGAGAGAGGGGAAAAAGGAAGAAGGAAAAAGAATAAAGTAAGAGGAAGACGGGAGGAGAGAGAGAGAGAGAGGAAAAAAGAATAAAACAGAGAGGGAGTGATTAAAAAGAGAGAGAGGGGGAAATATTATAAAAAAGAGAGAGGGGAAATATAATAAATATCTTTTCCTTTTTTCTTTTCTTCTTTGTTTCCTTTCAATCCATTCCAAATATTTCAACAATATTATCAATAATTCCATCATTTTCCCTATTTCAAATGTCGTATAATAAAATAGCAACAAGGGCTTATAATTTATCAACAAAAAAAAAGTCACTCATGTGGGTTACCTCTAGTTTTTAGTTCATACAATCTATTGTTCAAGCCTAAAAATCTACAAAAACCAACCAAAATCCACAAACACTCACCAAATTTTCTTAATATATTTGTACTTAAGGTAAATTTAGCCCGATCGATTTTCAATTCCTGGGTCCGTACCTGTCCACCACCATTATCTCATCCCTTGACACTGCAGCCAAGAGTGCTAGCTGCCGTTTACCACCAACCGTCTCCGTCGCCGCCACTATTTTTGTGACCCCACGAGTGGCAATTCCTGCATCCGCCACTGACCTTGAGAGATGTCTTTAGCACGAATAGCATCTATCTCTTTCTTGATGTGAGCAATCTACAAGCAGAAAAATGAAATAAAAAGGATATTAGAAAAAATAAGATTTACCATAAAGATTAGGACCTTTATAAAGAATATATTGTTGAGTATCTGGCAGGATAATTTGATTGGTAACCATTTCAACATTCTAGACAAAGGGAGAATAAGTCTTCATTAACAAATTTTCTATCATGAACCTTTAAAGGCTTCCTAATCTTTTATTCTTTGTATTTTCATTATTTAAAAAAATATATATAAAAAGAAAAAAAAGAAAAAAAAGAAAAAAGGAAAGCAATGAGAACGGGTCAGTTTTGTCAAAGTGAGGCAGTGTATCTTTAACCACAAGGTAAACAAGGTAGAAACGGATAATTTAGAACTACAAGAGTCACTTTCAACCATGTTTAATAGGTGCACTTCATTCATTTAATTGATATGTCATATGATATGGACATGCCACATCATGTGGTATAGAAATGTGGGATACAAATGTGGTATAGAAATGTGGGATACAAATGTGGTAAGTGTAGCATTACTCTTCTCTTAGAATAATACTAGTCTTACCACATTTTTTATACCACAATTTTATACCACATGATGTGGCTGCTGATGTGTACATACCACATCATGTAAAATATTAGTTTCTGTTTTTCTAATTTTATTTATTAAAATACACTTCATTCATTAATTGATATGTCATATGATATGGACATGCCACATCATGTGGTATAGAAATGTGGGATACAAATGTGGTAAGTGTAGCATTACTCTTTCTCTTATTACAATGCAAGTACATGAATTGTTGCTCTCCTCAAACACCAAGCAATATATACTGTTACAATATGGTCATAACAGGTACATTGGTTGTGCTTGTGACTTTTCTGAATACCAATTCAAGAACTGCTTTTCTCCATACCAAGCAATATACACAACTCGAAACAATAAGATGCTAACTATAGATCTTGAAGGTAAAAACAATTGGAAACAGAGACCTTACATGTTGCAATATGTATTGGGCCGACCCAATACTATAGTTGTAATTTCCTTTCAACAAGTGTCGCTGTTGACAACAGACTAAAATCACATTTATTATAATGTGGATTTGATAATAGTAATGGATATAATTATATAATTAACATGATGTTGTGGTTTTTGAGAAACCGTTATGTGTGAGTTTAAAATCAATTAAGAGTTTGCATGATTTTGCAAAATGGATGGTATTCTTGGGAATGACAATATTATTGCGATTGTATTGTGGTGTTCATAAATGAAAGACCACGTAAATATATTGTTGTGAAGGTTGTATTTGAGATAGAAAACAATATTTAATGTGAAGAGTGCATTTTATTGTTTGCTGAGGTGAGTGTGTGTTGTTGTGATTGGAAGGATAGATGTGAGAATGTACTGATTCCTTCAATTGGAATATAATTTCTAAGAGGTTGACTGTGGCAATTAATAGGGAAAAGGCATGGGGTGCAAAATCCCAAAGCGGTTAGAGCTCTAGTTGTCGCCATTACAGATGTTCACGAGGGTAACACATAGTTACTTGGCTTCAGTGAGTTAGGAGAGTCAAGTGTATCCTCACTTCTATTGTTCAAGAGTGACATTTATACGTTCGTCTCTTAAGCTTTGAAGCTAATTTTGGGTCAATCGATGATCGAACAGTTCTTATAAAATAAAAGAATTGTGATTGTCAAGATTCTGATTGATTATGAGTACCTTGATTATACAAGGATTGTGTGATGATGCTAAAGAAAGTGCATGTTGTTGTGTATTATGTGAAAAATGACATATTTATACTAAGGTTGTGGTTTCCTCATACGAGCTTTAGAAAGCTTACCAGGTTTGTTCTTTGGTGAACTCGGTACACTATTCAACGGTGTAGAGGCTAATCCTGCAGGGAACAATAACCCATGAGTAGGTTTGGAGGGGGACGCTCAGATGCTGCTATGTAGACACAATGCTTAGTTTGGTGTGAAGAATTCCGCTATGTGTAATAAACTATGAGGAGCATATATGTAATAGGTTGAAGTTTCAATTTATTATGTAACTGTTGGAATGTAATATTTGACTCAGAAGAGTTGAGTCTGTATTCAGTGGCGGAGCCATGAATTTAAGTAAGAAGGGGCACCCTTACAAATTCAAACGCTTTCTTTTATGACAAATCAACCTATTTTTTAAGAAATCCCTAATTTTATCACTTATCACTTATTTCTATTTTTTTTCTTTATTTTTTGTATGAATAACCTATGACTCTTTCATGATAACAAAATACATGCAATTCAGAAGAAATTTAGATGAGAATGAAAGAGAAGCAAAGAAAATAGTGGGCATTTAAGAATTTGTGAGGAATTTTATAATATTTTTACAATATCACTAATATATAATTATCTATACAACAATTTTTAAGAGAGGGTCAGTGCCCACCTTGGGCATGCATTGGCTCTGCCGGTGTTTGTACTGACATTGTGGTTAGGAACGGGTTGTATTGTATTAAGGAAAAAGAAAAAAATTCTTGGTGCATTTGTTGAAGGTTTCGAGATTCGCGTGCCGGATTAGTTTGTTTGTAATAACTTAAACAGGTTATTTGTGGTTAGAAATTCGAGATGTGACAAATAATGAGGGCATTATCTAAGACCCTTAGATGAAGTCATATCTCTTAACCGTTTGATCAAATTAACCAATTTGATTCAACGGCTAACCAATTTAATCCAACGATTAAGAGATAGGGTCTCATCTAAGGGCCTTAGATAATGCCCTCACCATAGAATTCTTGGACCAAGGTGAATGTAAAGGTTTTAGCTAGGCTTGGGCACGGTTCGGGTCGGGTCTAATTTTGTGTGACTTTAGTGTCAAACCAAGTAAGGCATTGATTCTCGGGTTGGGTCCGGTCTAAATTCAAAGCCAAAACTGAGTCGACCCAATAGGCTCCGGTTCGATTATGGTTTGTTGGTCGGTTTCGGGCTTTAGCCCAATACTAGCAAGCCCAAATCACTTTTTGGCCAAAAATCTTTTTTTTTTGGTCAAATTGCCAAAACCTAATCAGTATTAACAGGCCCAAATTTTTTTCTACTCTTTCAAATTCTGAAATCATGCAAGTTCAAGTATAATCCATAAAAAATCCATGATTCAAATCTAAGTTTCTAAACAACTAAATCAATCACAAATTCACACAATCATCAACCAACCAAGGAAGTAGAACGACTTACAAACCATCACAAAAAAACACACACAAATAAAGCAGGAAATCTAAATTATAATGATTACAACCCATGACAAAAATATAACAAATTTAACAAAGCAACTTGCATTCATCTGTCCAAAAATACACTTGTATCAGTCAACAATCAATCACCAAACAGATAATTTCAGTAAAAATAGAAATAAATTGTTTGCTTATCTTCAAAACCCTTCAAAGTTTAACAAACGAACATGTCAAAAATCATGAACTACTACTCCTGAATAAGAAACAGATAAACAACAAAATTATATAACCTCATACTAGAGCTCAATAGATATTCATTTTAATCCCCCCCCATTAGAGTTTGAATCATAGAAATAAAAAAAGTTTATAAAAGTAAACATAGGCACCAGAAGAAAATTATCATCTATCTTTAGCTAAAGGCCTCTCCACTGTGATGACAAATATGAACAATTTCAAGACTATCAACATCACTACGGTTTTAGCTTAGTTATCCTTTGTTCTTATTTCATAAATTTGACTTTGGTGAACTATAAACCAAGGGATGAAAGATAGTTAGAATACAAACTAGCTCTCAAAACTTACCTAAAATGATCAAATCACCTACAACAGCTCTCAAAAACCCTAAAAATTCCAATATACAATTCAAAACCTATAGCTCTCACATATGCAAAACCAAAACATAATATCCACATACAATTGAAAACCCAATACAAAATTAACCCAAAAAAAGAAGCAAAACTTACAAAACAAAATTGATGAAAACCCAAAACTTACATAACAAAATTGACTTCTTTTTTTTATTTTACTGTTTTCTATGAAGAGTATCTAGTGCTGTTGAGCCAGAGGGAGAAGGGTCAGGCCGAAATGAGAGAGAAGGTGAGGTGGTCGAGCTCGAGTCGGAGAGAAAAAGGGTAAGGTTGAGAGAGAGAGAGAGAGAGAGAGAGAGAGAGAGAGAGAGAGAGAGAGCGATGGCGCGCTGTTCAGAGCTAGGGAGACGATAGAGGTTCAGACGTAAAAAATAAATTGAGATGGAGGTTGGCTGCGAGTTAGGTCAAGAGGAGATGTTTATATTAGGTTAAGAGTAATCTAGTCAAGTAAGCGCGCGGTACAAGTTCCTTTTAGCCAATAATATCATGCCATGTATCAATTTTATATGTAATTAAATAATAGGCGGTTCGGTTAAGGTTTACCGGTTCAAAAAAATTTGGAATTGAGGGCCGAAATGTTGACTTCGGTTCGAATCAAGTTCAACGTTGAATTTTTTGGTTTGATAAAAAAAGCTTTATTTTTCAGTTCAGTTTAATTTGATTCGGTTGGTTCATTCGGTCCATAGGTTTTTATGCCCTCCCCTAATTTTAGCACCTTTTGGGAACCCAAAATAAAGGTTTAGCTCCTTTCTATTAAAAATAGCCCAATGGGCCCAAATCGTCGGTTTTTCCTGACAGTTAGTATGAGACGACGTCGTCTGATATGAACGCTATCCGAAACAAAAAGCCCCTTTGGTCCTATGCAGCTGGACCTGGACTTGCATCATCCACGGCTTGGCGCCAAAATCACTGCAAAACACTAGTCCGTACATCTCTCTCTTCAATCAGTTCCAGTCTCCGAACCAATAGATCACCCATCTCTCTGCTCCACTCACCCTCCATTGGATTCTCTCCTGTCCTTTCACCCAATCAAGGTACTTTCTTTTTTACTCTCTCTGTGTCTCTCTCACTACACTCATACGCAAATGTCTAATTCAATTTTGTGATTTCAATTTGATTACACACTTGCTTCGCAAAATGTTCCTTCACGGCCGTACATTTCAACAGAAGCGGCAGATTTCGCAGACGAAGCTCATTCCATAGACTCAACCCTAGAACCGCCGGAGTACCCGACGCAGGACAGCGTGGAGCAACTGCTCACGCAGAAAAACGACGTCGCACGCCTCATGAAAAATGGAGCGCCGCCCTGGGTCCGCACACCAACGCGGCGGTCGGTGGTTCCCATACCTCGACAAGTTCAGCTGCGGCTGCGGGGAAGATGCTTATCTCAGCAGCGGTGAGGTTCTGGAAGCTTTGGATCCGTACATATTGGATGTGAGGAAGGAGAGGTTCAGGAACGCGGTGAAGAACCGGAGCTACTCGGTGTGTTTGGTGGTTGAAGGGTTGGGCGATTTCGGCAACGTCTCTGCCGCGTTTCGGTCCCTCGGGTTTCAGTCGGTTCTTGTGCTCTTGTGCGACAGCTCCAAAAGGTGCAACGGCATGTGAGGTGAAAGGGTCTGGTTCTAGTTCAAAAAATGTATAAAATTAGAAAGGAGATTTATATTTTTCTAAACTAGTTTTTGTTTGATTTTGATTAGTAAGTTTAATTGAAGCTGTTATGTAATGGGTTTCATTTCTTAACTTTCGTTTATTTATTTTTTTTTTTTCTCTTTTGTAATACAAAAACGCTTGATCTTGTTTCAGGTATAGAGACAATCGCCATGTCAGTATGGGGGCAGAGAAATGGTTGGACATTGAACTTTGGAACTCTACTCCAGAGTGCTTTGAAGTTCTGAAATCGTGTGGTTATCGAATTGCCACAACGCATGTGGGCATGGATGCGGTAATTGTCTACTTTCTTCTTCTCTAGAATTTGTTTGCATGAAAGGGATGTTCAAAGAATAATATTTCTTCCAGGAATGCACCATAATCTAAAAAGATTTGATTTTGATATATTTTCTTTTTTGATCGATAACCAAGCTCTTTCCTTGTTCAGTTTTAAGCTGAAATACTTGTTTCTTTATGATCAATATCAAATATACTTTAGAAATTTAACCCAGAAAAAGGTAAGAACACCAAGAAATTATACCTTAGACACAATGTTCTTCAAAAAGAAATTTGGTTGGAGTCCTGTTCATTGCGATACACACTTGTATATACTCTTGTGGAATGTGAGATCCATTAGTACATTTTTTCTGCTGGCGTACGATGTTGTGGACAATGCTAATCATATAATCTGCTTAGCCTCTAGGCAATGCATTGCTGTATGTTCTTGGATATTATGGTTTTATTAATTTATATATAATATGATTTTTCTGAATGTAGGGGAATAAGTGATGAGGCCCTGGATTTATCAGATTCGCATTGCAGTATTCCGATTAAAGGCATGGTGGACCCTTTCAATGTTTCAGTTGCCGCAGGCATTCTCGTGCACCATGCTGTTTGTGATAGAACTGGTAATGACACTACTGCTGTACATCATCTTGTATTTCAGAATACATCCAACTTCCTTTTTCCTTTTGTCGTTTTTGTTTGGAAAATTATTGTTACGGTTGTTTTATGATAATCTTGACTGGTGTATGTTCTTCTGTAATAGAAAAATTCACTTTTCAAGTGATACCTTATGAGAATGAATTACAAGGCAATCATAAATCGAATGTCCTATGCTGGCCATTGATATCGTTATGGAAATTCTGTTCTCAACTGTATTTGTGCAATTGAACATGCCTGAGTTTTTATAAAAGATTGCATTTGCCCCCTTTAGGCATCTTTTTGCCACAGCACTGGCCCATAAGACTTTATATGTTGAAGGTTTTTGTTGTTGCCGTGATCATCTGACTAATGACTAATGAGGAGGGAAGTGAGTGTTTGGGTAATTGAGTAGCTGTTTTGGTGTTTGCTATTCAAGTGCAATTTGGGGTTATACATCATCATCTGTAGAAATATTAGAGCTTTGATTTTGAATTTGAGCTTTCTGAAAAACAGGATATTATTTCATTGCACAAAAATATTATTGAGGTTTTGGTACTAATAAGAGTAGTCGTTATAGATGAACTATTGTAACATCTAGTGACGTTTCTTTTTTCTTTTTCTTTTTTTGGTTGGGTATAAAATGTTGCACTTAAACCTTTCGTGTCCCTCTAGCAACTACAAAGAAACAATACTAAATTTAAACCAAAATGTTAGTTTGTGATGCTAGTATATTGTTCAATACTCTTAGTAGTATATACATGGCTGCTAAGCATGTAGTATTGACAGATTGAAAGTTGTATATTCTGTCAACCCTGATGCAATGTTTTGAGCGTAGGGAAAGTATCTGTAAATCAAAACATTGCATCAGGGTTGACAGAATATACAACTTTCAATTTGTTGCTCCTTTTTGCTTCCATCCATTGGGTTTGGATATCAGTATTATCTGCAAACTAGCATAAAATCAAATAACTCCAGTAAGTATACAAGTGCTGCGCAAAGTTATATAAAGTAAACATAACTCTAATCTAAATGGATCATTCTTATGACTTTTACCTTTTGTAATTCGGCCAGTTTTTTTAATATTCAACCATTCAAAAGCGCCGTCGTCTCTCTCGGGCTAACCCGTCAGCTATGCGCGACAGAGCAACTGACAAATCATGATCGTCCGTTGGCTCCTTATACACAACCATTCTGCTGGCAGCATCTCTTACAACTCCCTTGTTGCACATGATGATCAGCCTCGAGCCTTTCTCCTCCATCGTATGGATGAAGTCAGGGGTAAGCTACCAATAAACAAAAGAACAAAAAAACCAAAAAACGAAAATCAATAACTTTTTCTTTTTAAAAGAAAAAATATTATTAATAAGAAACCAAAGAGAACAAAAGGAACCCTAACAAACCGGCAAAAACACCAAACAGAAAACACACAACTGCCTCCTAACAAGAAGCAAGCCAAAACAAAAGGCAGAAGAATCCTAATAGCCTAATATAACCGGAGGAAGGGAACCGACAACATCATAATTGGGATCTTGAAAAAACTTCCCAATTCCAGAAATTTCACAATTCCACAAAAACTTCCCAATTCATTAATGCAAAAACTGAGCACATGGCTATAAGAAATTCAATGGCTTAGTAAACATAAACAATACAATACCAATCTCACAATAGAGCAATAACAGTACAATTACAGTGTGCTGACAGTATAATAACAGTCTGATAACAGAGCCCTAACAATGTAATAACAGTTTGATTACTAGCAGTGCATTAACAATGTAACAATCTTATAACAATCAGATAACAGTATGAAAAAGATGAAACTAATTGTAGCAAACAGTAGATCTCAAAATGAAATCAATAAACTAAATAGTTATCCAAGTTAGATGAATTACCGAGTCCATGGAGTCCGAGAACACCACAACGGAATCCAAAGGGACCCATTTGGAGTGACATGGAGTTTCTGCAATAGCGCAATTGGTAATTTAAAAGAAAAGTGAATATATTCTATTGTTTATTTTCTGTTTTAATCTCATAATGTTTATCCTTGTGTATGATTTCTGTCTTCTTCTCAATACTTGTCAGTGCTTCTGGTTTCTTCCATAAAACCAAGAATTCAGCGCATAGAGCTGCTAAATTGTTATTGTTGGACAATGCAACACCTGCAGTGAAAAGTGAATATATTCTATTGTTGGACATAATGGAACTTCACTGCAGGTGTTGCATTGTCCAACAATAACAATTTAGCAGCTCTATGCGCTGAATTCTTCATTGGTTTTAGGGAAGAAACCAGAAGCACTGACAAGGATTGAGAAGAAGACAGAAATCCTACACAAGGATAAACATTATGAGATTAAAACAGAAAATAAACAATAGAATATATTCACTTTTCTTTTAAATTACCAATTGCGCTATTGCAGAAACTCCATGTCACTCCAAATGGGTCCCTTAGGGTGCCAACAAGAACAACGGGACGATAAGGGTCCTCACTTACGGATTCCATCAACACGCATCCGTTGGCCACAGATTTTGCAACCATATCATAAATGTCAGTGGTGACAAGGGATGGACAGATATGAGGAACAGAAGCAACAGCCGCAACATGAAGATCTTCCAACCTGAGATTGGAACCAAGTTGAAAGTAGATTATTAGAAGGGAGAGAGGGAGAGAGGGAGAGAGGGAGAGAGAGAGAGAGACAGGGAGACAGAGAGAGAGAGAGCAAGCAGTATGTGTGTTTTGATGGATGCAATGCAACAACAAGTATCTCATCAAGGGAATTTTCATATCAAAATGACAAACTAACTAACAACTTTTGCTGCCTTCCTCTTGCTTTCCTTTCATTGTCCACACTCTCAAATCACTCTCTCTCAATTATACAAATATATTATGTCTTTTAACTTTGACATAATCTACTAATAGTACTACTCTTCGTCTAGTACTTATGCTTAATCTACTGTTTTTCTTCATTTCTTTAATTTTACCGAGTACACTCTACAGGACCTAAACCCTAAACCCGAAGTACACTCTGTTTGTAATTAAGATAGTTCACTTACCGGTCACTCACGGTTATGCGGTTTGAACCCACGAAAATGCAATAGCTGCTCAGCCAGATTAGACTCTTATTTCCAGACACCCCCACCGCCACCGGACGAGAGCTGTGCTGAATGGTTTGGGCTCCGAAGACAACCTCGTAAAACTCCACGGCCTCCTTGGCTCGTGGTGGTGGTGAAGGGAAGATAACGGCGGCCATTAGATTTGGGGGAGAAGGAAGCGGTGGTTACGGTTGGGGGAAGGAGGCGGTGGTTAAGGTTGGGAGGAAGGAGGCACGAAGAAAAGAGGCGGATATGAAATAGGGTTTAGGGTTAAAACGCGGACAGAGTTTATATATCTTAGGTTTGGCATAAGATGGATGATTAGGATTCACAATCGTACGATCAAATATTATATGATGATCTGACGATGTAGATAAAAACAACTGGAAATGAAAATATATACATAAATGTATTGTACTTCTTGTTGTCATTGTATTATCAAACCCCCTGTTATTATTTTTTTTGGGGTCTGTTAATACAGTAGTGATACAAGCATGACATTTCTAATACACAGTTCAGAAATCTTACCGTATTGACAAATAAAGCATGACATTTCTAATACACAGTTAATCATGAAATTGTGATTTCATGATTATTGTTATAAGAATACCCTGATCAAATATAAAAACCATTCAAACAAATTCACATGGTCCGAGCATTCTGCACAGCTGTAATTGAGTTTTCTATTGCACAACCATTAAAAGTAGAAGTACCAACACTTCCAGATAGGTATTTGTTATAAATAAAATACCTCAAAATTTCTTCTTCTTCGTCAATTGCTCCTTTCCTCTATAACACCCCGTCTCCAAATTTATCCCCTGTTTTAATTAATTTGAGCGAAATTAAGATTTTACCCGTGCGATAGGGGTATTTTAGTCATTTTCTTATCCGGAAGGAATTTTGGAATTCTTGCTGTACTGTTGCGTAGAGCACGGTGAGATGAGTCCGTAGACACGTAGTGGGCTCAAATCGGAGTTGAAACGAAAGAGTTATGATCGAATGAAACTCAGTGGCACGATCGTAATTATTGGAAAAAGAGATTTTTTATAAAAAGTCTGAAATGCCCTCAGTTCTCTCTCTCTCTCCCACTCGCGTCTCTCTCTCCTCTCTCTCGCGACGACCACCGCAGCCGGCCACGTTTTGGCCAGCCGTTCTCTCATCCGGCCACCAAAGTTGACGGGGCCAGTACCAAAATGACCGGGCCGTCGTCCTCTTCCAACCCCAGCCAGGCTTTGCCGCCAGCCGTCGTGATTTCGCCGGAAAATGAGAAGAAACGCGTCGGTTTTGATAGAAACTTCGCCGGCTTCATTCGTCATCGTCCGGCCACCATTTCCGACGATCCAGGTATGGATCTTGAACCTCTCGAGCTGTTCTTGCTTCCTGTTGTGTTAGATTTGAGATATTTCTGCATTTTGGAGATCGATTAAGCGATGGAAGTTTGGCGGATTTTCGGCCTCCGATTCCGGCAACTTCCGGTCACTTTTTGGGGTAGTTCCAAGAACAAAAGTGGTTCCAAATGAGGTGTTTTACCTAGGGTTGGAGGCCGGCGGTTTAGAGTTTTTCCGGGCGTTGGAATTTGATCAAGCCACCCACGCGTTGCCGGCGCGTGGGCATTAGGGTGGGGACCACATTCAGTCTTAGAATGATCCCTTGGTCCTCACGAGCGCATAGGATTTCGCGGATCTCAATTTGGATACCGTTTGAGTCTTGAACGGATATCGCATATTGCACGTTATCCGGATTCAATAGGTTTGGATCGTTGGATGGTCCTGAATTGTTAATATGTTAATCTAGACATTCTTAGGATCGTGTAGGATTCGACGGATCGTAAAACGGAGTCCTAGATACTCCGGAAATGCCAACCCTAGAGCGAGGGTTTCAGTAACCGTCCGATCGTGTGATCGTGAGCGATCCGACCGTCCGATCTGGACCAAACTTGCAGGACATGTGTCCTAGACCTTGTAGAACTCATAGAAACTATCGGATCGGAATTTGGAGGTCGCGGGCCCCGCGGGCCCATTTGACCAAGGTTGGGTAGTTTTCCCTGAGTTGACCATGAGACTTCCTAGGTAGTATTACCTTCCTAGGAAGATTAAGATGACCGTAGAGACAGGTCTTGATCGTTAGTCGAGTGTGTGGATTATGTGAATTTAGGATATTAATATATTATTTAAATTGGGGGATTATTAGATGCTATACCAGGGTTGAGGTTTATGAAATAGAGGATTATATATTTATGTGTATATATAAAGGTATAAAAAGAGTTTAGAATGTCAGTTTGAAGTGCTATACGCACTACCCTATGTACCTCCTTGGATATTGATTACCATGTGTAAGTACCGTCCTGTGATTGTAAGGTCCCACATGTCGTAGGATTATCCGGCGTGCGGACAGACCCCATATGTGGCGCTGTTAGTACCGGCATATGGGGGATATTGTGATACTAGTGAGGTCACACGTGTCGTAGGAGTAGCCGGTGTGGTTACAACACGAACTTTGCAATTCAAGTGATTAAGAATAATTATCCATACATCTGTTGTTCTGTGTTCGAATCCCTCCTCTTGTTGGTGTCTCTTGTATATCAATTTATTTGAGTATAGAAAAATGCATTAATTATGGCATGCATGATGATTGTAGATATAATTGAAAGTCATCATAATCCATCCTAAATGGGAAGGGTGGCCCCAATAGCAAACAAGAAGAATACACCATCGTGTCGTGCACATGGAGTGGTTTATTTTTATTTTCCTAGGATGAATATGCACATGTAATGTAACTATAACATAAGCACCACCCGCGAGATCTTCAGTCCCACTTTCCACGAGAGACCATCACAAATTCACAAAATTCAGAATATGAGTAGGGGAACGTTGGGTTCGTCTGGGTCATTTGGTGATCATAGGAGATATATGCAGCTACTTGAGCTCTGCCCTAACCCATAACCATACATAAACTTGATTTGGTCTATAGTCACTTGTAAATACCCACTCAACCTCATGCTACCCAAATGAACGAATAGGCCACAACGACCCAAATCAACACATAATGATTCTAGACATGTCATGTATCTTGAGGATCGCTAGTGGGTTGTAGTTTGAAAGGTATGAGAAGAAGTGTTACGATTACTTTTATTTATATGGTCTGGGTCAACCCAAATCTGCTTGGGGGATTAATGGGTAGCATTTAACCACATTAAACATCTGTAAGGGATTTATAACTCAAGTGGTTAAGGACATTTATCCATGCCCGCAGTTATTATCTTCCCGCAACTGAAGAAGCCCGTTTCTCATGGAGCTACAAATAAGCTCAAGATGGGGGAAGGCCCACAAGAGGGAAAATGGAAAAGGGCCAACTTCAATTTTCAAACCCAACCAAGAACATGTTAGATGCCATGGCCCATGCCAGAGATTCAAGCAGGAACCCAAAGAGGCCCTAAACGCCAGAGACCATGAGAAAATAGTGAAGCACCATACTGAAAACGATAAGGCTAACGCGCACAACTCGATGAGTGGTAGTGTTAGAGGCCTTCCGCAATTGCTGCTCATTCCACACTCTCCTCCTTATAAAAACTGTTCGAAAAAGCTAACCTCTCCCACCCTCCACTCCATCCACACCCACTTCCTATAAGATCAAGTGCCCGTTTTCTGCTTCAAGCAAATCTACATATCTGCAAATAGTACTTTCATTTTCAACCCATCATATATTTAGCTTCTTTTCGCTCTGCATTCTTTATTTCTGGACCTTTTTTTTCCTTTTTCTTTTTGTTATAGGTGCCATGACCAAGTGAATGGCATATAACTCCTTTTCGGTTTCTGGGGAAAAATGAGGACATGCTCCATGTGCTATTCTAACTTGCAAGTACCAAAGTTGGGTCTTCAGTCACCTTTTCTTGGATTACCATATTTAGGGAGAAGAGCAACAATAACCACCATAAGTCAACCACTTTTAAAATGCTTCAGAAGCATACAATACCAAAAATCAGACTACAATATAATCGAATCCTCAAAAAACGGATATGAATTCACAAGAAAAAATCGAAGATCACAGATCGCACCAAGCTCCAATTGAGTCTCTTGCAGCGCAATATCAATCCAAAAATTACCAAATCAAACAACAAATAACAAAAAAATTGAAGCAATAAACCTCCAATCTACACCATACTGAGCTCAGAAGAATCCAAAAAGAAGATCTGGAACCACATCATACTGAGCTTCGTTCGAAGAGGTGAACGAAGCTCGCTTCGTTCGAAGAACTGAACGAAGCTCGTTTGGAATATTCGATCTGCTGAGGCTGCCAAACAAGTTTCTGTTATGAGGTCACCAACGTAAATTTTAAGAAATTCCTATCCTAACTGGCGAATTTTGGGCATGTTTCAAAGAATTCAAACCAAAATGTCAAAACCGTAATCTAACATAGAAAATAAATCCAAAAATTGACAGATGTTGGTTTTTGGGTTTATTTTGGGTGTGTTTATATGTTTTAAATAGTGTAGGGTATGATTATAGTTTAATGTCTAGAATTGGGTGTTTAACTAATTTTGTAAAAAAATATTGCGTTTATCAACTACCAGTGTAAAGGAGAAATGAACCAGCATATGCCTATTTGTAGTTATTCTCTGTTCATTTCACGGTGAAACATACTTGCTTGGAGCATGAGAAAGGTTGTTTTGATGGAACAGGGGCGCGAGCTTCATCTTCATCTTTCAAGCTGAATTTTCAAACTGGGTCATGCTCTTGAGGTCAGTTCTCTCATCAAACCACTTCGTATGGTTGAAGAAAGATCAAAGACTTTATATGTTGAGGGTTTTTGTTGTTGCCGTGATCATCTGACTAATGACTAATGAGGAGGAAAGTGAGTGTTTTGGGTAATTGAGTAGCTGTTTTGGTGTTTGCTATTCAAGTGGAATTTGGGGTTATACATCATCATCTGTAGAAATATTAGAGCTTTGATTTTGAATTTGAGCTTTCATTGCACAAAAATATTATTATTGAGGTTTTGGTACCGAGTAGTCGTTATAGATGAATTATTGTAATCTAGTGACTTTTTTTTTTTTTTTTTTTTTTTTTTTTTTTTTTTTTTTTTTTTGGTTGGGTAAAATACCAACCAACCAATCTCATAAAATTTCTGAGACTTGCATATACTATATAGTATATAGTAACTCTCGTAATAATTATCAACATTAAATTTATAATGGCCCGATTACAACATATTTATATATAGATATTTCAGAATTGGCCTAATTAAATTGGTGGCCTTGAACAATGATCGTTACAGAAATTATAATTCGATCCATAATAAAAAAGGAAAAAAAAAAAAAAAAAAGATACATCATGTAATAGCCCAAATTTAGAGAATTATAATTTGCGCATCGGTCTTTACTTCCTTTAGTTTCTCTTGGACAAGTGACCTGCCTTTTTCTTCCCAATATGAATTTGATAGATATGCAACATTTAAGCCCAGGACGTCCCACCACTCTCCACCACCCATATACAATTTTCCAAACGGATCGATTTCCATGATCTCGAGCTTTATTGTAATTTGCAAAATAGAAATGGCAAACTCCATCTCGCACGGTGTGCTTCGAAATGCCTGCAACTTAACTTTTCTCAGATGATCATGTTTGATCCTAGAAAAACTCTCTGTCTGTTGTTGGTTCTCAGAGAAATTATCAACCAATAACTGCAATAACGTAAAAGAAATCTCTCATGTAATGGGCATCATCTAATTTGGTTGAATGACATATATAACAACTGATTTTGCATATATAGAAAGTATAAACTTTTAATTACTAACCGTTACTACAAGTTCTTCCAAACGAGGTGCAGCATTGAGAAGATTCAGAGGCCCAACGAGGTCAGCCCCATTAAACAGATGCAGGTCCAGTTTCTTAAGGTCTCTAAACATTGGCAAGTTTTGGGGAATCCGCTGCACATAAACACCAACCGTCTAAAAGTTAAATTTTGCAAACAATATTAGTTGGCATGCTTCAGAAAGTTGACTAGAAACAAATCTTCACTCACCCCTGTAGCCACCCTCATACCAAGAGTCTCAAGCCCAAGAAAAGATCCAAATTGGGTTAGTGTATCCCATAAGTCATTGTAATCCAACGGATCATAATAAATTCTTGCTGGATGTGGAGGTTTGATGGAAAGATGCAGATTTGGACGTCCATCTACGAGCTCCAAGTAAGCAACCTTTGGTAGAAAAATATCAACTCTTTCTATATCACTACAATTGACCACTCTCAAATCATTCAGACGAAGCGATGGACCTCCAACAATCAGATCCGTGGCTCCCGTGCAACCATCTAAGGTCAAGCTTTCGAGTAGCAAACAGTCAGATAAGAGACGTGCCAGAGAAATGTTGTCTACCACAGCTTTATACAGATAAAGAGTTGTTAGCTGATTGAATCTGTCAAAGTCGGGTGGAGGTCTTAGTAAACATCTAGCCAATGACAACTTCTTTAGAGGTGATGGGTTCAGCTCTGAAAGCAACCAGCAAGGGAAATCATAAAAAGTTTCTCTCTCTTCTATATCTGGCAGTGAGTACGTGCAAGAATATAAATGAAGGTCAAGCACTTGAGCTCCCTTTGTAATTGCAAAACGAATCCATTCGTCAAGGATAGTGGTGGATTCTCTGTTAAAAAAGAATTCCACTTTGAACGAGTCTACCTTGTTGCCATGGTGGAGCTGCAAAACTTTGTTCACCCATCTTACAAAGACTTGTTTTGAGAAGTCCTCAGCATACAAGTCGTCTTCGAAATCATCATCTCGAACGTTGATTCCGAAAATGTTTGCAAGGTCAAATTCAAGATTGACCCTTGTTAGTATTGGCTGCAATCCAAGACGCCTCCATGGACGTGATACCATGGTGGTAACCACTACATCTTTTAGGGTCAAGAGTGAAAATATGGATACCAATATGCAATCTGGCAACTCATTAATCCAGTCCTTGCTCTCGCCCTCCTCATCCTAAAAACATAACAACAACACCCCACTGAATAACTAAACATATTACATTACCCTTCCTTGATCAATCATGCACTTGAAGAGGAAGAAAAAGAGGAAAGAAAGAAATATTGAACCTCTAAAATATGAAAAATGAATACAACCATAACTCAACATGTCATGAACTCTAGACTAGACCTTGTTTTGCACTCTCTTTTTTCTTCTAGCTGTTGCATATTGTATTAAATTTGAGAGCGGAACAGTAGAAAGCTTCCATTAAATTTATATATATATATATATATATGTAGGCATGTTTTTGCTATATCTCTTGAACAATAAGAAAAAATTAAAAAGGTGAAAAACACTTACAGTAGCTAATATTCTATTTTTATCCATTGGCCTTCACGTGGTAGAATCTTGACCGCCTTTGCTTTTCTTTTTCTTCTGATTTTTGTTTTACTACCTAAAAACAATCATGCACAATATTAAATTAATTAACATCAAGATGAGTTTGCAGGTTTTTAAGATATGACGAAAGTGATGATGCAACAACTGGAAACGGGAAAGAGGGTTTTTTTTTGTCAATCGCAAAACAAGTGGTAAAGAGGCCCAAGTAGCTACGCGACAAGAGTTAAAAGCAAGGGAGATCTGACCGGAAAAAAAAAAACACACGAGTACGAGAATACTAGATTTCAGTTCAGACATCTGACCAGAAATAAAACGTTTTTCTTTTTTTTATTTTTCAAACAATACCAGATTTTAGACATAGATCCAGCAAAATAAGATCATCGAACCAGCCCAAGTAGGAGGAACAAGCAATAGCAAATTCTTAACCCTCAATGTAGACTAGAAGAAACCACGAGCATGCAGTTTGAAAACATAAAATAAATATAAAAACTTTTACCTTAAACAACAGGCAAGAGGAGCGGCCGGTACTGGGGGAAGGGAGGAGAGACAGAGAAGAGGAAATTGCAAGAAACCCTTGCATTTATATACAAGGGTCTTGTACAGATTGACCAGGAAAGAAAAGGAAAAAAACAAACAAAAAAAAGGCAATGTTAAATAGGTCCAGCGATTAAAAAAAATAGCAAGAATTCATTAGGGATATAAAAAATAGCAAGTAAGAATTCATAAAATTATATATATACTAAAACCCAATGCAACTAAACACTGTAGCTAAGCACAGTGAAATGACAAAACTGCCCTCTCTTTTTACTGTTTTGCAAACTCATTTTTCTCATCAGCACAGTGAAATCACGTTTTTGCCCTTGGTTAATTGCTTTGTGTTTTCCCCGTTTTGCCCCCTCTCTCCTTCGATTGTAACGACTTGGAGCCTTCGTTCTATCAAATGCTGGGTTCACTTCTAACCAGGTTGGTTGGCCTGGTTGCAGGGCAATGATGTAAGAGGCTGGTCTATTGTTGGAGATTATTTGGAGGCTTCGATTTTTATAGGAGTGGCGTGCGTTGATCTTCTTCTTCGGATCGAACTCCAGCTTTCTCTCACTGATCTGTAAGTGAATTTTGCTTCATCTTCCCATTCGATTTTTGTTGCTCTTCTTTTTCATTTTTGTTATTACTAATATCTTGGATCTTATTTGATTAAACTATAAGACCTGTTTTAATTTGCTGCCCTAAAAGTCCAAATCCCTAATTTTTCTTCGTAGTGGGTCTGTGTTATTGATTTGCAAATTTTATCCAAATACTGAAATTGATTTGATTGTGTTATTATTTTGATGAAATCAGGTTAAACAATTTAGTTATTAAAATACTATATGATTGCTTTTGATAAGGTTTTCTGTTTGGTTATTAAAAATTGGTTGGTAAACCCTGAAAATCAGTATTTGGATATGCTGGTTCTTTTGTTACAGGGTTTAGGATAGCTCTGTTTTGGTAAGCATGATATGCTGCTATTTGGGTAGCTCTGTTTAAAGATATGTTCGTTCTTTTATTACAGGGTTTTAATTCAAATTCGTTCTTATACTGGTTTATGGGACTGGGGATTTGAATTTGATAATTTTTGTTTTGGTAGGGGAAAGAAAATTTGGGAGTGTGATTCTAGGAACTGATTGCAATGTTTTAGCATAGTTGACGTGAAGAAGACTGGTTTAGGAATTTGAAAATCTGACTTCTAAATTGAAATTCTGTTTGTGGACATTAGTGATGACGAGAAAGAACTCAGAAAAGTTAAAATTCATAATTTTTTTGTTTGTGGGTTTGATTTACCAAGCTGATTTTTGCGTTGAATGGAGACTTATTGAAAACTTAAAAAGTTTGTATATCCTAATTTCAGAATGCAGAGTTCGGTTCTATTGTTTTTTTCCTTTTCATGGGCTTAATAATTTGGCCATACTTCTACTCTTTGCAGTTGCTAGGGACTGGAATGGATACGCAGGATGCATCTCCTTCAATGTTGCTGTTCTTTGACAAGCAAAGATTTATATTTAATGCTGGAGAGGTAAGGAACTCAAGTACATACATTTACATCTGGTTAGTTTTGTAATATTAAAAGTAAGGTGCTGATTCAATTATTGTCTATGAAATAGTAATTAGAGATCAATGATAAACCTGTTGTTAAGTAATATAGTGTCTCTTACTTTGCAACTCTCACTGCAGAGATTGCAACGGTTCTGCACAGAGCATAAGATTAAGTTATCAAAGGTATAAGATATATGAGATCCTTACCCATTAGGTAGGTAAGACCAAAAGTGGGGCTCTATATATACGCCTGGTGGTTAGTGAGAGAGAGTGAGTGGTTTTAAAGGGTGTCAATGGCCTTTGAATTTTACTTATATAAGATTAAAGTTATGTGCTTTCAAGTATTTGTGAGCTCTCTGTATCTAGGTTTTGAGCAAAATGACTTTATTGATAAAGCTTTGATTTGCAATGTATATTAATGGAGTAATAGGAACTGCTGACTGATGCAGTTTTGCATGTCCTTGGTTAATGCATTTATGTTTGCTCTACACAGATGATAATTTTTTAGGAGAAATGGAGATTTAAAGAGAGAAGTTATGGATTTGATAAGGGTTTAGGGTTTAGGGTTTACTATCTCTAATTTTTGGATCCTAATGGAATTTTTTTGATTACATATGCTGTTTCTCCAAAGCACCAATGAAGAAAGCATTTAGATTTGATGGATTTGATGCGAGTGGTATGAATCTCTCTCTCTCATTTTGGTTTGGGATTTTTGATTTATTTGTGAATTAATTTTGTTGGGTTCAATGAAATTATCAGCTAGCTGCAGTTGACTTGGTGTAAATCACGTATTTGATCTACTTAAGTTCATTATCGTATCTGCCCCAAAAAAAAGTTCTTTATGGTAATTTATAAAGTATTGTGATTCTGTTTTCTGGCGTTTTCCTTTGTTTCTCCAACTAATAGATGTAGGGGTTTTCCTTTGTTTTTGGTTCACCAAATGGTTTTCATCTATTCTGATTTTCTAATTTTTTGTATGAGATGTGCAGTTGTTGCGGCTCTTAATCCTTCAATCTTCTCCATCTTACTTGCTAAAGTCGAAAGTTCACATTACTTTGGTTGTTTTTGGGTCTTCTTGCCAACTACTTAGAACATGCATTCTGCATTTTCATGTTTGGGGGAGAGATAGATTTGATGAACCAAGATAAAGATATTCTGTATAACTATGAACGGCATGTAAGATATAATTTAAGACCTGCATTTAGTGTAGGACATTATCAGAGAAACATTTCAAATATTAAGATTTCAAGAAGATTAAGAAGAAGAAAAAAGAGTAAAGATGATGATCCTTTATAGTTTTTATAATCTAATGAAGCATTGGAGTCACCTTCTTTCTTAATGTCAGTGCAGTTTTCTGACTGGTGGCTTTTCCCTAGCCTGTATTTCTGCACAAGAAAACAAAACAGTTTTACAGTTATGCTTTTCCATAATAGTCTGAAAAGAGGCTTGATGTGATTCTAAGAGTATAGCCGAACGGCTATACGTTTGAAATACATTAGAATGAGGGGGAGAGAGCTCAATTTAAGTTGTTGATTATTAAAAGCTTCAATCTATGGCTTCTTGGGTTCTTTTACCCGTAGCTCCAGTAACCGGTCGTTGTCTAGTGGCTCCTGTGAGAACTCAGAGGTCGTCCTTCATCCGCATTCGGTCGCTGTCTCGACGCTGACTCCATGTTTTCTTTGGTTGCTACAGTAATCTTTTCCGATTAATGAAAAAGGGGAACAAATATTGCTTGGTTGAACTGCTATGACATTTGGGTGATCCTGATATTCTGGGAAAAATCCTTATAAACATCTTTATTATTCTTTAACCATGTTTGTATGATATCTGATATCTCCACTTAAACAGGTGGGCGCAGACGAAAATCTACTGTTCAAGGATCATACTCATACTTTTGTAAACAAAGGGGGTAACATTGGTGGTATGTCTCAGTGCTTGATCTTATTTGCTCCATTATGAATTATTCCTATCCAATGCACCTTATATTTCCTCTCATATCAATCATCTCCGCTCTCAACTTCAGACGATCTCCAAAGGCATATCTTCAGCGCCTCAAGGAACTTGCTGATGCTCTTACTGCAAGTGTTGCGCCTATTGACGATGCTGATCTCGTTTATCACACTCTTCATGGTCTCCCTGATGAATTCGAGCCGTTGTTGACTCTATTGAAGTGTGTGCTGATCCATGCTTCATGTCTAGAGGAAGCTCTAGCTATCTTTTGTTTTGTTTTGAGTATTTATTCTCTATGCTTCACGCCTGTACCAATTATCTTGCAAAAAACAGAGCAGAGAAATACAATTGTTTTGAGTATTTATTCTCTATGCTGTTTGTGATAGAACTTCTCGCCTGGTAATGACACTATTGCTGTACATCATCTTGTATTTCAGAATACATCCAACTTCCTTATTCTTTTGTCGTTTTTGTTTGGAAAATTATTGTTACGGTTGTTTTATGATGATCTTGATTGCTGTATAAAAGATTGCATTTGCCCCCTTTAGGCATCTTTTTGCCACAGCACTGGCCCATAAGACTTTATCTGTTGAAGGTTTTTGTTGTTGCCGTGATCATCTGACTAATGACTAATGAGGAGGAAAGTGAGTAGCTGTTTTGGTGTTTGCCCTTCAATTCTTTTCCACAGCTTTAAATTTCTTTTCTGACAGTATAGCCGTTTGGCTATACTTTTGGTAACCGTATAGCCGAGCGGCTATAATCTCAAAACTTATTAGAATATTTGAAAAGTATAGCCGTTCGGCGATATGCGTTAAATTTATTCGAATATTTAAATAGTATTTCCGGACGACTATACTCTCAAAACTTATTAGAATATTGTAAAAGTATAGCCGTTCGGCGATACTCGTTAAATATATTCGAATATTTAAATAGTATAGCCGTCCGGCTATACTGTTAATATATTAGAATATTCTAAAGGTACAGCCGCGCGGCTATACATGTTAAATATATTCGAATATTTAAATAGTATAGCCGGTCGGCTATACCGCTGAATATATTGGAATACGTTGAAAGTATAGCCGTCCGGATATACGCTTTGAATATACGTACTGCTTGGAGAGGGAGAGAGAGAGAGAGAGAGAGAGAGCTCAATTTAACTTGTTGATTCTTAGAAGCTTCAATCTTTGGCTTCTTGGGTTCTTTTACCTGTAGCTCCAGTAACCGGTCGCTGTCTAGTGGCTCCTGTGAGAGCTCAGAGGTCTTCCTCCGTCTGCGTTCGGTCTTCTCTGGACACTAATGTTTCTGACATGGGTGTAAATGGTAAAGTTCCATCTTTTTTCGCTTCAATTTGACAATTATCTCTGTTTTTATTGCTATTCAGTCTCTTTTGATTCTGGATATTCTTACTTACTTTTGGTGAATTATAATGAATTTGAGGAAACCGGTGATGGGAGCACTCTTAAGTTAGTATTCTGAGATGAACGTTTACTCTGCCCAGCTCCAAAAGGGTTGTTTCCAGCTGAACCTGAACACTACCGAGGTCCCAAGCTCAAAGTGGCTATAATTGGAGCTGGGCTTGCAGGCATGTCAAAAGCATTTGAGCTTTTGGATCAATGCCACGAGGTTGGTCCAATTTATGTTATAGTCCACCTTCTGTTCTCAATTATGTCTGGATTGTATGTTTCTTTCTGTTTAGCTTTTTAACTTCAGTATATGATTTAAAGTTTTAAAATTGGGGACTTTGGCTGAAACGTTTCAGCAGCTCACTTCCGATTTTCAGCTAGGTTGTTTATTTCTAAGAAATTAGTTACATGTGTTCTATATAAATTCTGCAGGTGGATATATATGAGTCAAGGCCTTTCATTGGTGGAAAAGTGGGATCCTATGTTGATAAACGTTGAAACCACATTGAAATGGGACTCCATGTTTTCTTTGGTTGCTACAGTAATATTTTCCGATTAATGAAAAAGGTGAACAAATATTGCTTGGTTGAACTGCTATGACATTTGGGTGATCCTGATATTCTGGGAAAAATCCTTATAAGCATCTTTATTATTCTTTAACAATGTTTGTATGATATCTGATATTTTTTATTCTTGGATCTCCACTTAAAGAGGTGGGCACAGACGAAAATCTACTGTTCAAGGATCATACTCATACTTTTGTAAAAAAAGGGGGTAACATTGGTGGTATGTCTCAGTGCTTGATCTTATTTGTTCATAAATCTTTCCTCATCTAGCCATGCTCCATTATGTCACAATTCATTTATGAATTATTCATATCCAATGCACCTTATCTATAACTTAATTTTCCATCACAGAATTTGATTTTCAGTCCCAATTGGAGCACCAATACATGGGATTCTTGCATTTTTTTTCTACAAATCAGATTAAGGTAGGTTGTCCCTATTGGAGCCACTGCTACTGGTTTTACTGCAAGCATTGTCATGTCTCGTTACTTTGGATACCAGTACGGAGAATGAAGCATTGCTTTCGCCTTAAATCAGGAAAACCAGTAAAGAAAAACATTCATATGTTTTCTTATTTTGTCATTTAGAGAGCTTCTTGAAGTGAACCAAATTGTAATGGAGCTTATTGCTCAATTAAATTTATGTTAATGGTTTCCTGTATAATACTGTTCAAATGCAGACTTATGATAAAGCAAGAAATGCAGTGGCTCTTGCATTAGGTCCAGTTGTGAAGGCTCTGGTTGATCCAGATGGAGCATGAGGGATGTACGGAATTTGGATAGTGCAAGAACGAAAGCTATCGCTATCCTTTATTTTGGTATCCATTCATTTGTGTACCTGTGAAAGTTGTCTGATTGTGTTTTATTTTTTCTTTTTGGTGGGGGTGGGGGAGTTGTATTCTCTGAATTTTTAGTTGAATCCGGGAATGTTCCGCAGTTTATTTTCTCCATGTTCATAATTGAATTATAATTATGTATTATTTTTCACACAATTGTTGTAACTTTTAAAATCTTACTGGTTAATTACAAGACTAATGGACAAAGATACTTGTGTTTGATAGGAAATTGAAGCAAACTTTGGGATTACTAATCTTTTTATACTCCTGATGCAGATTTCTCTTGCTTTGCCGGCCTAGCACTTACTTCTCTGGAAGATTACTACATTGAGGGACAAGGTTCACTCCTCTAGTAAGGAAAACATGTGCATTATTGTTATCACATTTTTCAATCTTTGGGTTTTACAAGTAGAGATTACATATAATATAACCAGACACCCTCTTTATTTTGAAATTTTCAAATCAAAATTTATGAGGTTTCTTGAAAGTTCATTTTGCATCTCAGTGTGTCAAAATGTATTCTAATGTGAGATTAATGATCCTTTGTATATCAGAAATATTTGCACTTTTATGATTGTGAACTTTGTGCTGATGCTTCTTCGTCTTGCAGATGCGTTTTGACACCAGGTGGTCCTTACATACCTTTACCAAACGAAGAAATTATAGCAAGAGTGACGAAACAGGTAATTAGCTTATTAAGTGTGTTTCATACATTAAGCCAGTTCATCTGCAGTTGGTAGAAATCGATAAAAAAATCAAATTCTGAACTTTGAAAATTTCAATTCAAGGTTTTGGCTTTATTCCCATCATCCCAAGGTATAGAAGTCACTTGGTCATCTGTTGCCAAAATTTGGCAATCTCTCTATCAGGAGGCACCTGGAAAAGATCCGTTTAGACCTGATCGGAAGAGACCTGTAAAAATTTCTTCCTTGCCGGATCGTACACAAAACAAGTAAGTTTATGCAACTGATTTTGCCATAGAAGAAGAATGACGAAAGTAAAGTGTCAAGTGTTGTAAATTCTAAATGGCTGTCCACCTTACATGACTGTATAGACAGCATGGAATGATGATCTTCCAACGTTCACGGATGTGTTCCTGAACATCAAGTTTTCTATGTTTATGAATATCTCTTTGCTACATGAACTAATAAACTTGTGCTTCTTATAAGAACAGATTTTCCGTGGTTGCCATATCGTACGAAGAAACGCCAAAAGAAGCAGAATTATCTTGATCTTCTTTGGCACGGTAATACCTAATTAAGATTTTTTTTTATTTTTTGCAACATCATGCTATCCATTATGCTTGCTCTTGTCTTATAGAAGTGAATTTATACGGTTGTGTTGTGTAGACAATGCTGGCTCTTCTGACGGCATGGTGCCTCTGCAGCAGCAGCTATTGTATACTTAGCTAACAAGGGTAATGCCAAGGCAAATTGGTTTGCAATATGCCAACAATTCAACTCCTGCGAGCGCATCTCTGGCTCTTTAATTTGATCTTTTATAAGAGTTGTTTTTATACTCCTAATCTTGCGTTCAGCTGCGGCCCTCTCTCGACGTTGAGTGTCAGTCTCATACATTTTCAACGATGCACATGTATACATGTTGATTTGTGCATCAGTGCGTCAGTTCGTGTGTATTGTAAGTGACAGATTGAATCCGTCGTGTGTCAGCTAAAATGTTTCTTTTTTCTTTATTTGATATGAAAAACGTATGTAGTTCATTTCATTTCCTTGCCCAATTATTGTACTCAATTCTATTTACTGTAACTGGTTCGATCTGCTACAATGCAAACACTGTCTACCATTTTATTGGGTATAAATGGGAGACTACCTTCATAAAATGTTGCACTCAAACCTTTCATGTCCCTCTAACTACTATAATACATATATAGCTTTTTTTTCGACAGCAAGAAAAATGGTAGCCACAAAGGGTTCACTCATTCCCCAGACAAGAACTTCTAACAATTTTTAATGTTTAACCATTTAAAGAGACAAAATAATGACATAAGAGCACTGGCTCATCAATCTGAGACTTGAATCTGTGGTGTGTTTAAATCGATTTGGGCCTGGAATCATACAAAAAATGCATGAGATCGCTGTTATCTGTTTCAATTAAGCTACAGCCAGGTTCCTTCTTCACCCCACTGTCATCCATCAGCTTTCTCACCTCTTCAACCCCATGCCACTCACCTCGCGAAGCATATATGTTTGATAGCAGCACGAAATCCCCACTCTCATCCCTTCTCATTTCAAGTAGCCGCTCATTTGCGCGCCTTCCCAGCTTGACATTTCCATGAACTCTACAAGCCCCAAGCAGAGTCCTCCAAACAATGGCATTGGGTTCAATCTCCATTTTTTCTATGAATTCAAATGCTTCATCTAGTAGCCCAGCCCGCCCTAACATATCCACCATACACCCATAATGCTTTATGTTTGGCTCAATTTTGTACTTATTCTTCATGAGATTGAAATATCTGCGCCCCTCTTCAACCTTCCCAGCATGACTGCAAGCAACCAAGACTCCAACAAACGTGATCTCATTTGGCCTGATTTTCAACCTTCGCATCTCTTTAAACAGATTAACTGATTCCTCAGCATGGCCATGAAATGCCAACCCTCCTATCACCGAATTCCACGAAGTCACATCCTTGTCCCTCATCCTCTGGAACACTTCAAGTGCCCTTTCAATACTCCCGCACTTGGAGTACATATCTATAAGCGCATTTCCAAGTATGATGCTCATATCTCCCCGACCCATCTCCTGAAGGGCAGAATGTATCTTTTGCCCAACATCTAAATCTCCAATATCTGTGCAAGCAGACAAAAGACTCAACATGGTCACTTCATCAGGCTTTTCTCCAAGACTCCTCATCTCCTCGAACACCTGCAGTGCCTGCTCATTCGACCCGCAAAGTACATAACCTGCAATCATTGCATTCCAAGTCACCACATCTCTTTCCGGAACCTCATCAAAGAGCTTCCTTGCACTCTCCATCTCCCCTTGCTTTGCATACCCTGTAATCATCACATTCCAAGAAACCAAATCTTTAACAGGCATTTCGTCGAAAAGTTGCCTGGCCTCATCCAACTTCCCCCTTCTTGCATATCCTGCTGTCAAAGCTGACCATGGCACAACGTCCCTCTTCGCCGAAGCATCAAAGAGTTCGCTTGCAATCTTCAAATCCCCACAATTAGCATGGAAATAAATAAGGGTATTTCTAACAAACGTATTCGACTGAAATCCGAACCTCACAACCTTCCCATGAATCCCCATACCCATCTTAACCCAAGAAAGCTTAGTGCAGGCCTTGAGTATAAACGGGAAAGTGAAGCTATCGGGCCTTGCATGCCGATTTTCCATCTGGGTATACAGAAGAATCGCATTTAATGGGTTCTGGCTCTGAGCTGATCCTCTGATCATGGTGTTCCACATGAACGTATCTGGTTCAGCAACATGAACGAACAGTTGGTGGGCATAATCTATGGTGCCTGAAATAGCCATAGCACCGGCGAAGATGAGTTCTCTGATAGCAGAATAGTTTGAATTGAAGCCGTTGACGACCATGGAAGCGTGGACTTGCTTGAGAGCTCGGAGGTTGGTACATTTTTGCCAGAAGCTTGACCGTTGGTGACGGTTGGCGCTCCTGTCGTTTGGTCTCTTTCTGATCATTACACGTTGGTTTCATGCTGCCTTCTCATTTGCTAATTTCACTATGATTCTTCGAGGGAGCCCAAACCAAAATTGAAAGAAGAAAATCTCAAGAATATGACGCGTTCCAATTGGGCTAATTGGGCTTTCAGCCCAGATTTCTGACCCATCTTTTTTAGAATGGGCCATGAAAAAGTCGCACACTTTATTCTAAGATAGGAAAAAGTCAAATAATTATTGGTAACAAAGGCCTTATGTGTTTCATATCATTAAAATAAGAACAAATAATTGGGAATAAATAAATTGAACTTATGTGGTGGCAAATCTATGAAATAACAGCACTACAACTGCCTACATAAGAAATGATTTCAACATTGTCCCCAAAGATCTGGCACGAAAATAAGTCACCCAAAAGTCTGATCTACATACTAATTACTTATTTGAGGATCTCTCAATTGAATCTTTTTGGGCTAGTTTGGCATTACTGTGCTGTGAAAATAATCGCTGTCAGATTTGTTATGAGAGAAATCAGCTGTGAGAGAAAGCAGTTTGGCGTTTGGTAAATTTTTTGTTAAAAGTATTGTTGGTATTGATTTTACGCATAATCAAAAAATGACTGCCGCATAATCATTAAACCCAGCGCCTCTTCAAAACTGATTCCTGCATAATCAGAAAATGAAAGCACCTCATTAGCTGCTTTCCCTTATAGCTTTCTCTCACAACAATTTTTAACAATAAGTGATTTTCTCACAGTTTACCAAACGGGTTGGGCTTCTCAAAATTTTTAAAAAATCACTTATCACCCCAAATAAGCAATGCCAAACTAGCACTTTGTGTATATATACGCATGATTATTAACAAATCGATAAATAAATAAAAAGATTTGCCGTCTTTCCCAGATCCTGTTATATCAAATATAATATGGTTACACATCTCACAGAATAAAATTAATAATATTTAATTACCTCTGTAGTCACACGCAACTAGTCACTGGGATATACTTATAAATATATCCTTCAAATATGTGTTGTATTATCCGTTGATTTGTTCTCGTTGACTTCAACAGTACTATATGATTTGCCATCTTTCACTTTTTTTTTAAACTTGCATTACAACAATAATTAAACACATTATTAATAAAATCCGAAACAATATTATATGATGATTGTGGTCCTAAACCCTACTTTGTGGCATTATTTCCAACTATTAAAGATAAGATTTTTGGTTTTTGGTGTGACACTCAAAGATAAGTGTGAATTAAATGGGTTTTTTATTAAGCAGCTCAAAAACTTTCTACGTGTGTTTCCCGATTTGTTTGTGAACTGTCTGAATTTGGTCCTACTGATGAGATACTTTGAATCATGTTCCCTTAATCTCTAATTAGTCTATAAACATATATCCCCCAATCGTTTGATTTAGGTGCACTAATTCTATCGTCAAGTCAATTTTAAGCACCAATATAGCCTACACCTACGTACCTAAGTTGGAGTACCTTTAATCAAGACAAGATCAATTATCAACATCTAATTAAATGTGAAATTTTAGGTCTTAGATGCTATGTCAATTATTCCTCATGAAAACTGGAATATACGTCAAAGTAAGTAATTTACGAGCGAAAAGAAATGCTAAACGAGACGTGTTCAAAAGAGAATCTTTTTAAGTAAGTCCTGTTTTTGTTCCTAAAACTGCTATGGACGAAAAGTTTTTCTTATTACGTAGTTGCCAATTTGTTATCTTGTTCTGGAATGAAGGGAAACAAGACTTCATTCCCGAAGCTGCCAAAAATACATTGAATTCGAGTTATAGAGTACAGCCATGAATTGGTAAGCCGCACTTTTCGCAGCTAGATGATGGACCACATATAATTGATTTCCAATTGATGCCATATCAGTCAAACGTAGAAAGTTGTGTGAATCGTTTTATTAATACTTCATCTTACCCTTTAGGTGGCTAATCTTATTGGTTTAACTTTATTTTACACTTTTTACTGAAAATCAAGCCGTTTTAAGGTGATGATTAACACCAAAAGAAGCCCATTTTGAGGTGATGATGATTTGCCATTCAAACAGTACCTAATCATTGAAACTCTAAGCCCTATTCCAAATATTATAAATTTAAAAGAATAAAATAATAATAACTATATTTATTTTTTTGGCCAACCTACTCTTCTAAATTCTAATTAATTTAATCAACGTATTATTACCTTTGTCAACATTTTCTGCGAACCTTGTTTGTCCACGTGTCAATCTCTATCGGGGCTTATTGTCGGAACAGAGGAAGCAGGGCCCACAGTGCCAACGCAGCACTTGATCAAACGGTCAACGTAAACTTCAATATAGGTTCGGTAGGAACTTTTCGTCTTAGCCAATCAGAACTCGCCAAGTTGATGAGTTTGGTTGATTTTCCGTCGGCAGTGACGGCACAGTCAATTCTTTTTTCTCGGACTCGGATGGCAGATATTAAGATTGACTGCACGAACCAATACGAGCCGTCCGATCAAGGAGGTTGCCGAGACGATTAGAAATACCAAAAATAGAAAAGTCCCTACCCCCACGCTTTCACCTACATTATTAAAATGTTTCCTGGAAAGGGAAGGGATTAGTTTTGGCATTATCGAGATTAATTAAAGAAGGTAAAAGGTTAAACAGTAGATTAATTCTTCGTCAAACTAATAATAAAGACAAATTTTGCTGATTTGTTTGTTGGCCTAGAGAGAATGTACAGCTCATGTTTTGGCAAAACAAACATGCTTTGATGTGTAAACACATGCATGTTTTGTTTTCTTGTGAGATAAATTTATTTCTGATATGCATTTTCAACCTTACTAAATCAAACACCCAAATATTAAAAGGGGTAATTTGGATTACTAAATAATACAAAATTTGCAGTAAAGTTTGACGAGGAACACACTATAGCTAGTACAAATGCAATATTGCGGCTAAACACAACTCTCTAATATGCCTTTCAGTCAATACGAAGGAAGTGGATTAACTTTTGTGGTTTTATATTTGTTTTTGTCACGCTGCGGACTTGGGATAAACTAGAAATCCCAAACTCGATAAGTGATGTCCGGAACATGACAATTTCCAACCTAATTAATTACATGACCTTAGTGTTTGTGCCTTTGCCACATAAAAACGATTATATGCCCGCCCTATCCATGTGCATTAGGTGAGCCCAATAATAATAATAACTATGAAAAATCACACTTATTGTGAAACAGCTATAGTTGGGACCTAATGCTACATAAACCTCTCAAGGCAGGGCCAGCCAAGAGGGATCCTCATTTTTCTTAATTAAGTGCTCAAGACAATAAGGATCTGTTTGGGATTTTTTTATGAAAATTCAAGATTTTTATAATATAAGCGCTTATGAACAAAAGTACTTCATAAAGAAGCAGTCCCAAACGAGCCCTAAGTCTTGTTTACATAAGTTAATCCTTGGATAGGCTCTTTTGAGGAAATAGCAAAATTACTAAAAAAGTTCAGTGGAGATTTTGATGCACCACCCAAATTTTGAACTTAGATGCAATGGGACGGTTTCACTACTATGATTAACTGGCCTAATCCACATATACACTTAATCACTTTTTGTCGTCAAAACTTTTAGTTTGGAACAACAAAATAATAAAAGGCAAAAGTAGTGAACGCAAGGGCGGAAAATTCAGTCTGTTTGGCTAATTCAAGTTGCAGCAAGTTCATGAATATGACATAGCTAGTCCATGAGGACCACAAAAACCCCAAAACGCAATTCCTTGACCTTGATGGGTCATAATATCATACGAGAGTGTCTATACAACCAGACACATAACCCTAATCACGCACTACCATAAAGAGCGTCACTGTTCACACTATACACCTCCCATATATGAAGAAGTCAGAAAGATAATGTCACATGTAGCATGGTCTCTTTTGTCCACCAGTCCAACAAACCAAGTCCCTCCCATGATAATTATGAATAATTTCCAATTTTTTTCTTTGCTAAATTAAAAGTTTGTAATAATATAAATGATTTCATTAAATTAATTACTTTCATTTATTTGTGATTAGCTGCTAATCTGTTCGCTTGACAATATGTTCCGTATTGAGGGCAATTTGGTCATTTTGACAAGAAATATGAACTATTTTTGCTGATTTTGTAAAATGATTTTTAGTGATGGGTATGTTTGATCTACGATTTTTGATTTTGCACACCAAAATAGCTATCATGTGAAAGAAAAAAAAAGATCTTCTACTAAAATTTAAAGTTTTGATGTTATACTAACTAATCTTCCAACATGGGCTCACGCCTTTACCAATAAGCTTTCTATTTGTTTTTATATTTTCTCTTTATCTATAGAACTTTTGTTGAAAAAAAAATATATATTATTAGTATTTATGCCTGCCTTTTTTTTTTTTTTTTTTTTTTTTTTTTTTTTTTTTTTTGTTTTGAGAAGAGATTACAATTTTTATTTTATTCATTCATCACAAACAATAAACAAACCAAAAGGTAACATTACATAGAATATAGTATAACGGCTACCTCGTTAAAACCTTCCCAAAGAAAACAAAATCTCAGGGTAGGAAAGAGTATCACCCATGTTATTGACTAAACAGAATAGTCAAACAACTTCTACGAAACAGACAAACCTAAAACTCAACCACAAAACCCTTAAAACAACATCTCATCACTACGTAGGTACTGTAAAAGAACTCCTTATATGATCTAAAGAAAGCATCATAGTTCTTCGTACATAATAAAAAAATGTAATATGGGTATTAGAAAAGATCCAACCAATCACCCAACCGCAAAATTATTGTGCCCTTGAAATGCCTTAGGCATTAAGAAAATAAAACTATTGCACGCATTAGACGACTTTTGTAAAACTAGGTAGTTCAAAATAACTAACAACGTGACTTTGGTCCCTAAATCTCTCTTTACCTAAAGTCAATAATTACAGATAGAGAGTTTAAATTTGGAAAGAAGAGAACAGTTCTTAGCTCTCTCATTTACATGCAGGTGACAGCGGTCAGTCGCTAGCTCCAAAGTCAAGAAGAAGGGAATTATTACAGAAAAGTTAAAAGGGAGAGCCTGAAATTTTGAAACTACCCACCAAGCTGCCTTACAACCCACGTTTCTTTCTCCCCCAAAACCTGTATTTAACGGGGTTCTGTACCTCTCGACACAATTTTTTTTCCTGGACAAAACATCTTTGAACATCTCTCAGTTAATTAGAAGCTTTTCAGTTTCATAGCTTTTTTTAACTTATCACACAACATCTTAGCTTTTTTTTTGTAGAAACCAGTTTGCAATTTATAGTTGTTTGGGATTTTTCTGTGTTGATTTCTGGAATTTAGGGCTTATTGGTGAAACCCATTTGAGATTCAGAGAGGGTTTTAGTGGGAAATTGAAGGAATGGAAAATGCTTCTGGGTTTAGTAAGGAAGACGAACAGATGGAATTGCCTCCGGGGTTCCGATTTCATCCAACTGATGAAGAACTCATAAGTCATTACCTTTCTCCTAAGGTTCTTGACAGCTGCTTTTGTGCTAGGGCTATTGGTGAGGTAGATTTGAACAAGTGTGAGCCCTGGGATTTGCCTTGTAAGTTCTTCTAAACTAGACCAATATTTTCTCTCATTTTGCTCTGTTTTTTATTATCTGCCCAGGTCAGTTTTTGTTTTCTTACTTTGTGCTCTGTGCTTGTTCCATGAAGGGAAAGCTAAAATGGGTGAAAGGGAATGGTATTTCTTCTGTGTGAGAGACAGAAAATACCCAACTGGTCTAAGAACAAACAGAGCAACTGATGCGGGGTACTGGAAAGCCACAGGAAAAGATAAGGAGATTTACAAGGCCAAAACCCTTGTTGGGATGAAGAAGACTCTGGTTTTCTACAAAGGAAGAGCTCCCAAAGGTGAAAAGACCAACTGGGTCATGCATGAGTATAGACTGGAAGGCAAATACTCTGCCTATAATCTCCCCAAAACAGCAAAGGTGCAAATGAAATTTTGCTCTGTTTTTGCTCTGTTCCATACTCTTTTTTTTCTTGTATTATTTGTTAATGATATCTCTTTCTTTGTTTCTCAGAACGAGTGGGTGATTTGCAGAATTTTCCAAAAGAGTAGTGGTGGGAAGAAAACTCATATTTCAGGGTTGGTGAGGTTGGGCTCTTTCGGGAACGAATTGCGCCCTTCTTTATTGCCACCTTTAATGGATTCTTCACCCTACAACAGCGACACGAGAACCACCGTCTGCGAAACGTCTCACGTGTCCTCCTTCTCCGATCCGATGGAGGATCAGAGGACTCAGGATGATATAATTGACAGCTTCCAACACAACAACCACCACAACAGCAGCAACAGCAACCACAACCCTCTTTTAGCTTCTTCGTCTCGCTCAAACCCCTCTGCTCACTTAAACCCTTTCTACTCCAACCAAATCGCACCAAACATCGGATTCTTGCAGTACCAAGACTCTGTCTTGATGCAGGACCAGTCCTTCCTGAGGATGCTGCTTGAAAACCAAGCGCCAAACTTGAAGCGCAGTGCAAAAACAGAGCTCTCACAGGACACAGGCCTGAGCATGGATGTCTCTTCCGTTGTGTCAAACAGAGAAATGGTTCAGGACGATCCTTCATACTCATCTGCTCCTATAGAATTTGACAGCCTCTGGAATTATTAGTTGGAAGATTAGCATGAATTAAGAGAGGGTTTTAGGGATTTGTAATTAATTGTTGCTAAATTATTGTGTCCGTGTATAGATAGATACTCTTGATTGAATCATAGAAGAACCAAGAAAGAAAAAATATCCATGGGATGAATATGAATATCACTTGTTTGTGTAAATTTGATTCGTTACTGAATGATAATTCTTATGAATTTGGTAGATTAGTTATAACTTAAACAGTGGCAAATTGGCAACGAGACTTTTTTTTGCATCTTTTTTCTCTGTTTTCAAGTTCATTGGTTATTTTAGGTCACCAACCGAGAGTTCCTTTGGTTGATCATAACCAATGGCAAACGTGTATGGAGCGTCATAGAAAGCAATAACAAATTTCAAATTAAAATATGTGATAATATACTGAACTCACACGCATTACACGGATGTTAGGATTCGAACTCAAGGCAGACCTTACTTAAGGTAAAAATTACTCCAAACCACTACTCTTAGTAGGTCCTTCACCTGTTTCCCTTTATTTTAATTTCTAAATATACATAGCTTCTTTCTTTCTCAACATTTAATACCAAAGTTTAAAGGCCTAAATATATTGTCCCAAACACTTCAACCCAATTAAAAAAAAAGCAAAATTTGATCTCAGTGATTTCTTCATATTTCATCAATAAAAACTATTTGTAGATTTACAAATATTGTTGCAAGACCAATCGATTATAACGGAAATAGTATATCAAACGTAAATATTTTGTTCGTGCGTAGTTGCATACGTATAGAGAGAGCAAGTAGCTTGGCATTATAATCGTGGGTATATGATAACAGCAAAATATTATCTCTTCAAAGCCTTGAATTTAGGCAATATATATAGCTGGACCTCCACATCATACCGTGTATGATCAAATGGATGAACACTTTTTCATATTTTTAACGTTCCCTTTTTTTGAGGAGTGACATAAGACATAACTGTTTCTTTGTACCATGACACCATGTTCTACAGTGGTCAGTTGTCAACCCGAAAAAGATCCATATACAAAGAATTTATATTATCATAGAAAATGTCTATTTCTTCTTTCTTTTCTGTTATATCTTTACTTTATAGACAGTGGCGAATTCAGAAATTTTTCTTCCGGGAGCTAACGTTTGTTCCCTTGTAATTTTCCTATATTATTTATTTTTGTTTTTTGGGATTTCTTGGACTGCATAAATGAATTATTGGCAAACCCAGAATTTCCTAATGACGCTAGCATGCAAATCAGAAGAGTTGTACAAGTTTTTAGGGTCCATAAATAAACGCATTGTAATTTAGTTAGTTGCCCACATGATTATAGTCCTGTCCTCCTATTCTTGCAAGCCTTGCACGAAATAATGACCCATTACAATTTTATTTTATTTTTTTGAATATGGAATTATTAATTTGAGGTTATTTTGTTTGTCCATTGAAGTTTTTCAGGTAGAGCATGCAGATGCAGAAGAGACAAAAGTTCAGTATACATAGTGGAAGCATATGTACACCTCTCAACTTCACATCACATATGCGTCCGGTATAGAGTTTGGTGCTTGATAAACAGTGCTATTTCGTCGGTTACTGTTTCATCAATTAGCTGTTGAGTTACGCCAAACAGACCATCCAAATATTTTGTATCCTCGTGTTAGAAGATGTCGATAATGATTGTAAGAATGCTCGTATTAGGTAAGGGTCCGTTTCGTCAACGGGATCTAACATAATAGAAAATGACATTGAGTTGGAGATCAATAGTTTCAATATCACTTGTGTTAAATACAGATTCGTACTATAAATTTTTATAAACGATAAGAACATTAAGGATACAATAAACTATATTTTTTTAAAATTACTTTTCAAAATGGAGGGGAATAGTATGGGATTCAGATTCACCCATTTCGAAAGTATTGATGGATAAATGGAACGATAATATATTTTGTAAAACATGGATTAAAATAATAAAAAAGAGTTTGTGGAAAAAGCAATAAACCACTCTCGTTCAGAACTGGTGTGGACAAGGCGAGTTAGGCTGAGCCGCCCATGCAAAAAAGGATGGTGACAACCAGTTGGAGGCTCATCTTTATTCCCACCCACCCGGGCCACCACTCCTACTACTTGTACACGTCGTTCAGTTCCGCTTGGCGAGCCTACGTCACCCTCTTTGCTCGTTGGATCCACCCTTCACATGTCCCACTTTGCCACGTCACAGGTAGTCATCACACAAATAGTAAGCCCTAGAATTAAGCACAATATAATCATGCAAATCGCTTAATTGGTAATTATCACAACAAACCAAGCTAATTAATCATAATTAATTGATTACTCATTGAGATATTTAGTTATATACTCATTTTTAGATAAACCCTACACCATTTAATTTCTATAAACAAACCCAAAAAATAATAGTTGACCCTATTGAATTTAATTTTAATTATTAAATTACTTTGATGCCCTATGGAGTGTTTTGGGTTTTTTTTTATGAGGCAATCGATGACAGTTTTGTAATTTAAAGGATCAAAGCCTCTTTGTTATGTTCTAAATAGACTTTGAGTATGTTTCTAAAGTCTATTTCATGTAGGTTTTTTTTTATAATTTGAACCCATATATTGGATATAATAGTAAATCTCCCTTATATTTTTTTGGGACAGATTGTATAAACGTATGTAGTCCGGCTGGCATGAGATCACATATGAAATGATCTAGGATGAGAGATCGTAGCATTTGACTAATCCCAATAATTAAGAGTTAATGGCAATAATTAATAAGCTGCCCGAAAAAGAAAACAAGTATAAGAGATAAGTCCATTATCCAAGATGATAAAATTTGTTAAATTTGTAGAGCATTGTAATAACTGCGTGGATAAAAATTGCATGGAAATATTTAATTTACTTAGGATAAGGTTATATATAGATCTCAAGCTTATCTCTTCGTTTCTTCTTCTTCTTCTTCTTCTTCTTCTTTATATGTATAGTTACTTTGTATTCGACAAGGACTGAAAGTTTCCCAATTTGGGAAAACTTTAGATGCTCAGTATCTGGTTGTTGTGCTGGATAAATTGTATAGAGACTGAATGAGCTGGTAGCGTACGTCCTTGCTACTTTTACAAATGGCATTCATTATTTGTCTACCTAGTTAAATCGATCACAACCACTCTCTCTCTCTCTCTCTCTCTTTGGCGAAAAAAATTACGAAATAATGTGTTGAAAAATGTGAACTTAACTAAATAAAATACAATATATAATCGAATACGGCCTATAGATTTGGGTCCCTTGAAACCTATACACCCAACCCAACCCAACCCAAGCGTCAAGTCTTCGTCCGCTGGAATTATTTGTGTGTACAGTGAATAACGTTTAATGTGTTTTTCTCCTTTGGTTTGCTGTTTATTAGGGTAAGTGATCGATCCGAGCTTCTTTTTCTTTGATTTCTGAAAGCTTAGTCACATATTTTCCCTTGATGAACGATAAGTGCTTATTCACACGCATCCCTTGGCAACGGAAAAATTAAGAATAAATTATAAAACCCATCAAGTCAATAGTTCAAAATACACGACTATTTCCTATTAGTTGACAACAGTGAGTGAGATAGAAATTGCACAAGCAGCAAAACGATACGTGGAACCACATCACAACAGCGGTATCCTATTCCTGTTGGATTACAGTGAACGAGATAGAAATTGCACAACAACTTAATGAATTCAGATCCAACTGAGCAAAGAAATTCCCCTAAATATAACTAAGGGCTCGTTTGGGACTGTTTCTCTATGAAGCACTTCTGCCCATAAGTGCTTTTATTATAAACATGTTGAAAATTTCATAAAAAGCTGAAGTGCTTCATGGAAAAGCATTTCTATGGCCTAGAAGCACTTCTAAATTTTTATACCAAACACTATAAGAAGCGATTTTTGTTGTTAAAAAACACATTTTAATCCTTCCATAAGCAATTCCAAACAGACCCTAAATATCACTTGGATTAGATCTTATGAACCCAATTCAATTAGAACAGCCAATTGGATCGTCCAGTGTGAGCCCAATCTAAAGTGGGGAGATATAAGAAGAGTATGGGCCGTAAGGGTATCATGGAAAAATAGCAGGATCCATACCTGTCTCATTTAAGCTTTCGGTGCCCTTTCAACTTTGTATATGGGATAGATAGAATACAGCAAATTCAAAGTGCAGATCTTCTCCTCAGAGACTGGTGAATGGAGGAGGGAGTCAATTGTATCATATGAGGGTATTATTTGAAATTTGGTGATGGTTGAGTCGGAAAATGATGATGAAAATGTGAGTTCAGTGAAACATATGAGCTTTGTGCATGTTGCACTACGCGAGCCTGCTGAAGTGTAGCATGAGCTTCGCAATGCTGAAAAGGGTGTGAAGTTGAGACAATATTATTTAATTTAGCTGATGTGAGAGACATGCCATACATAATTGCCTAATTTAGTCTATCATACCATGTGCGCAAACTAAATATGGAGTGATTGGTTTTTCAACTGTTGATATTTGTGCAGTTGCCATGGCTTCTTAATTTGCCATGGATTGACAACTTATATGGTGACATTGTCATGGAATTCGTAAACCCTAAAACTTGAAAATTTGTCATTTAATTGGCTAATCAACTATTGATGTTTGAGAAATTCTTGGGCAGACAGGCGATGTCATGAACTCTCTCAATCAAATTATGCTTATTGTGCAAATGCTTTTGTTGTTCTATCAATGTTTGAAAATTTCATTAGTTGCTGCAACCAAACTCGGATTGATTTTAACATAGAATTAAGGCACTTTCGAACAAATTAAGCAAACAGACCTGAGTTAATGTAAAAGGAATTGAAGATGAAACTACCAATTAACCAAGCCATTGTGTTTGTATACCAAACAAGATATCATCCAGTTATTACTAAAAATGTGTCCTCGACTTTTTGGCTACATGCAACTTAACATCCTCCTCATCAGGCGCAGCAGCTCCTCCACAACTCTCGCTTGACGACTGCAGTTGTGCACTTGGCACCGACTCCATGACCTTCCCCATTTCTTCCTACCACTGGCTTTGGTTCTTAGTGGCGGACTGAGCATGAGCATGTTGTGGTAGTCTAGGAACGGGTGTCGGCCACCATGGTACCACAACTTGGAAGAACTCGCAGTTCAAACCATTATCAATAGTAATCCTTCTATCCAGTTTCGACTGGATTCTTGTACGAATGTTGAACATAACAATCTCGTCATCTATAACTAGATAGATAATTTCCTCGTTGTTTGGGTCCAAAGCTATGCATTCTGTATCCATAGCGTCTTCTCTCTTCGGAACCATGTCTTCCTCCAGTAGATACCATGTCATGTTCTCCAAGCACACCTTTTCAAATCCTCCATGATACTCTTCTTTATTCACATTCACGTCCCAAACAAAAAAAGTATTGGTCGCCGATTCATAGTCAAACATCTTGAGACGCCCTGCACCTGTAATTGGTATTAATCTGTGCAATATTATTACTATTATGTCCTTTGGGGTCATCATCATCTTCTTTTGCTGCACAATACGTAGGGTTGTTATTATAGTAGGGAAGATCGCACATGAACCCCTCTGTTAACTTATTGGTACTGTCTTTTCGTCACATGGAGGCGCGGGCGGAAGAGCAATCCATTGTTGGCTGTATGGATTGCATATGTAGTAATCACGATCATAGTACTTGCCTGTGTAACACAAAAGTAAGTCATTATACGTACCTGCCACCATTGGCTCTTCTTGGATCAAACCGCCATGAAACTTCTTGAATCTTCTGAAAAAAGGCTTTAGGGGATTGGAGATTCTATTGAGCAATTCTCTCTTTTTGTTTATTAGAATGATGGGGGTTTTCTGATGATGATATTCTCTTCGTAGAGATGCACAGCGGCTAATAAAATAAGGATCGGATATGAGACTGCACCAACGCTTTGACACACGCTTGCAATGGGAAACAAACTTATAGCATGGGAGTCGACAAAGAATTTCCATCAATACAACATCTGGGAGATCATCAATACCATTCAAACGATGATGATGGTCCAGCAGTATTGCACCATACCTTCTTTTGATATTGTTGGAAATTAGGAACGTTATTAAATTGTTATTTAGTTTCCTTTTATTAGTTGATTGTAATTGATTTGGAGTAGTCTCCAAGTAACCTAGTTTTCCTAGTTAAGCTTGTAATATCTCTATAAATACTTAGCCTTTTGGTTCTATCAATAACAACCGAGAATTATTCTTCTTAACAAAATCTCTAATTTCACATGGTATCAGAGCACCGATTCTAGGGTGTCCCTTGAAACTTTTTACAAACCTTATTTTCTTCACAATCCGATGTTTCACAACCCTAGTTGCTAATCTTTGAAATCCTCTGCCAAATTGAGAGTCGTTGGCGCTTTTCATCCCTCACCCATGATGGGTATTCATCTTGTACAGTCGTCTTGTTCACCCTCTCCTCAATGATCAATATTTTATTCCCGCTACCAAAGCCATACCATCCCACAATTCCTACATCTAACTAAACCAACAGTCGCACCCTTCTTTGGCGCAGCAGTATCTCTATAAATACTTAGCCTTTTGGCTCTATCAATGACAACTGAGAATTATTCTTCTTAATAAAATCTCTAATTTCACAGATATCACTACCTCTCATGATGCACGTCTCACAAAATAAAACTTAAACTTGCATAAAAGAACACAAATCAATATCATATATATAGGGTTTCTAATAACCCCAGTTAAACAGGGAAAGATATAATTATATACAATATTTTTTATTTATTGGAAACATATATATATGTGCAATTAATTAAGTCCATGTATACGTAGGAATGAAATCCACTAAGAATCTCAATACAATCAGAACACAATATTGGTATAAGAAAACGGAAAGCTATTTTTTTGGGTGCTATATGATGAATATAAAAAAAACGAAATTCCTTTTGTGTTTTTATCACTATGATCTAAAACATCTCTCTAGGATAATATTGGTAAGAAAAGGATTAAGAAACGTTAAGAAAAAAAAAAATTCTTAGATGGAATGTTACATGCTCTGGAAAAATAATGCGATTAGCTTTTTCTACTTGTATATGATAAGAACAAATTGCTTTCACAAAGCCTTTTTGTTAATTTTCCATCCAAAAATTGTAGATCTACATGGTGTATGTGCAATCTAATCTTTGTCATTTGAAGTGTTTTTATTTATTTATGTATAACATCCTCAATTTTGGTGGATTATGAGAGCACCAACAGAGCAACTATCTACGTCTGTCTGTGTTTGGAGCTTAAGCCAATTAAAGGTCAACTCTTTTTGTTAGAGATGCCTTCTTTTTCATATCTCTAGTCTATATATAATTGCTTAGATTTTGTTTCTCTTCATGAACGAGAAAGGGGATTCCCACTTGTGATTTCGTCTAATAACATGAAGATATGAGAAATAACATTAGATAAAAAGTAAGAGATTTGAGAAAAACAAAAACCAAAAAGAGTAAGTAGTGAAAATGGTCAAGTTGGCAGAGAAAGAAAGAGATGGCTTGGAGGTACATATAATTTGCACATTCTTTGACTATCTTCTTATCAAGGCCAACTCTGAGTTTTTAAGGGCCCAATGTGAAAATAAATAATAGACCCTTTTCTACCGTCACAAATCTACAAACACGAAAAAAATTATTTCCTTTTTTATTAGTTATTTCTCTCTCCTTAGATTTAGGAGCTCTTAGAGCATCTCCAACCGATATGTCAAAAGTATCACATAGACATTTAACGGTTAGAAATAACATCTCATATCACTCCAACCGAATTGTCAAAGCTGATGTGGAATGAAGGCTAGAGGTTTAGCTGTTATTTTTGACATCCCAAAAGCAAGATGTCAAATGAATATTTTATTATTTTTTAAAGACAGCTGGTTGTAACTTTCATTTATTTATTTATTTTCTTTTTTTTTCTTCTTTATGTTAAATGATTTGACTGTTACAATAATTATTTATTTGACATATCGGGTGGAGTAAAAAACTGTGTAAATGTCAAATTGCCACATCAACCATCAAATTTAAATTTGATGTTTAATATTTGACATCTCCCTTGGAGATGCTCTTAGAGGTCTTCCTATTTTGGAGCTGAATAGAGAGCATGGTTGGCGGTGGGGTTTTTTCAATTCCTCCTTAGATTAGTGTAGGTTCAGTACAGTTCCCTGACTTGAGATTGTTTGTTGGGATCACACTCTTGTATATATTACGAATGTATTTAGCCCATTAATCCATCTATGTTAAGCTTAATTAAGAACCTTATTATTGATATACATTTCTTTTTTGGGGTGAAAACTGCAGAAATTTATTGAATTGAAGAATCAAGGTTTACATCACTTGCTAGAATATTAGAGAGTCATACTGGGCAGGAAAGGTCCCAACTAAAGGTATTCCCAACTCGAGAATATTAGCAACCTCATGTGCTGCTTTGTTACATGTTTGCGGAATAGGCCTAAAGTCTACCAGCTGAAACTGAGTAGGCAGAACCTTAATATCAAAAACTTATTATTGGTATACATAAGTTTTTCTTTTGTTTCCAAAAATGACAACTTTAAGACAACTAAGTGTGACGGAGAAACAGTGGTTTATCTAATCATCCCATGGAATCCATCTATTTGCTATTTCAAAAACATGTTCTTTTTTTATCTTCTTCTGGTCTCTTATGTATATCCTAAAATTTCATATCCTTGTATGCACGTGGAGGTGCATAGGTTTGACAAGTGTAATGGGACTGAATTTAATAGGGTAATTAAGAACTTGTTGGACCATATACAATGCTAGAGCTGGCAGTGATCAAGTAGAATTTAAGATGGTGTCCCTCCCCAATGTCCTTCTTCCCCACCACTGCCAGTTCCCAATATCATCAACCTTTCGATCCAAAACCAACATTTTGCTTTGCATTTTGTATTTTGCATTTCCACGCCACACAACACAAGCAAACGTTTCATTTTAAGTTTCTTTCCATTCCATGGGACCCCTCCTTTTGTCTTTTCATGCTTTGCCTCCTATCATTCAAGATTGCACCCCCACAATGGCGTAGACCCCATCTCAATAAATTAGTCATGCTTTTCTCTAAATTACCAAACTACCCTCTTAAATTATTCTTTTGCTTTCAGATTTATTGATGGGTTCATTACAAAACTAGTTAACTTATACCCCAATTTTACTCTAGTCATGTGTTGAGAATCATAGAATTCAATATTGAACTGAGCAACCGAAGCAGTGAAACTCATATGCAAATGTAGGTTAGATCAATTGGCCAAGGTAATGTGTCTGTCTCTTTACACTCGAGATCGAACCCCCTTCTGTGTACACTAAAAGAATTTAGAAATATCACCACTAATTGTAAATGAAACGGTGAAACTCGGATTCAAATTTACCATTGTCGTAATTAATTTACTGGCATCAGCTGCGGCCTCCAGCAGCCCTATATATAGGTCTCCATCACCATTCGCCACCTTCTTCAAGTGCGTACCTCTTTCGGCAGGGCAACTTCTGGACCTGGTTCAGTAATTGCTCGAGAGACCCACCATCTCTATCTGGTAAGAGCCACCACAGTCTATATCTTTAATTTACTACTTGAAACTCAAATTTCACTTTCTTATATGCAGTGCCATCTATGGTTAACCTCATTCACATGGGTTACTAGCTAGCTCACTATTTTGTTCACTTTTTATATTGGAACTTGGGAGTGGGACATATGGATTGAATTTGGATGTGACATATTACGGCAGCATGATAAAAGACAATTTTACCCCCGTTTGAGATGAAAAAAATGAAGTAGGTTAACTGAACTGGTTAACACTTACTAGCTAGGGCAACACCAACATATGCATATTGAGTTTCAGTGGGACACAATGACAAATTTGAGCTGTAATCTCTTAAGCTTACCCAAATTTACAAACTTTCATGACATATAGGCTAGCTCGATTAGTTCTTGTCTCAGCAGCAGAGAAAAAAAAAGGCTCTGCAATTTGATTTTTTGACACAGTTTTTTTTTAGAGGAGAGAGAGAGTAGAAAAGTATTTCTTTGCTAACTATACCAACTGACCATTGATAGCTAGGTGATGTGGACCAGTTATTAAATATTTTACCTCATTTCGTGGTGAAACCCAGAGCAGATTTGATCAAAGGAGATTATTCTGAAGCAGTAGTTGTATTTGGGTACAAGAATAATTACATGCTAGAGGCGGCCAGTGATCTTGTTGTAGGAGTTATAGCCAAGTTTCTCATCTCATCTCTGAATAAATATATGGCTTCAATTAATAATCGACTGCACTGCAGTCTGCATGCACGTAGACACAGTGAATCAGCATTAAAATCTAGCGTAAATATGTTTTTAATGGAAAATCATCAGAGGATGTATATATTGATAATATTGAGTGGGGTTGCTAGACTCAAAAGTTTGTTTATGTAGTTTTATTTTTGAGTTTCGACTCTTTTAATGTGAGAATGTGAAGATAAGAGTCCCACATTGGAGAGTTGAGAAACTTTACAAGGACTTATAAGGAGTTGGATTACTCCTCTCATTGCCAATTAGTTTTGAAATGGAATCTCAACTTCATTCATAACAAAAAAATATAAAAAATACGAGTCTAGTCTAGGTAGCTTGTCTATTTTATTTGAAACCTTCCTAAATATGGGTCTATTGCAAACTGCAGGAAATGATTTCATTGCAAAAATAATTTTTATCAAAAACACAAAAAGAAAATTTCTTCAACCATTATTATCACATAGAGCAATAATTCTTAAACGCCATTAATATAAAGCAAATTAAAGAACGTGGCATAATACAGATGCCATTGGGGAGAGGAGAGAGAGAGAGAGAGAGAGAGAGAAGTGAGAGAAGGTTAAGGGTAGTTTTGTCATGAGAGTTGTACCACATTATACTCTCTGATCAAAATTTATTTCTTTATCCCATTTATGTCGCTGACCTTTCTTCCCTTCCCATTTCTTCGTTTTACAAATTAATTCAGGGAAAGACTGAAGACACCTTCTTCCCTTCTCTCTCTCTCGCTCTCTCTTAAATTTTCTCCATCCATATGATTTCTTTTCTCTCTTGTGCTTAGCCGAAGCTAGGCCGCTATAGCTATATAAAGAAGAAGCAGAAACTACAAGCTTTGCTTTGCTGCTTGAGAATTCAAATGGGTAGGTCACCTTGCTGTGACAAGGTGGGTTTGAAGAAAGGACCATGGACACCAGAAGAAGACCAGAAACTCTTGGCTTACATTGAAGAACATGGCCATGGCAGTTGGCGTGCCCTCCCAACAAAAGCTGGTGATTTCCATTTCCATTTGCTCATTAACAACTCCTAATTAGTCGTCTGTATATTGTTATAATATTTTGCATGTAAAACATAATATTATTATATAATTTAGCAGTTTAAGTTTTTTTTGTTAATTTCATTGTTTATGTATGTAGGGCTTCAGAGATGTGGAAAGAGCTGTAGGCTTAGATGGACGAACTATCTCAGACCTGATATCAAGAGGGGAAAGTTCAGTTTGCAAGAAGAACAAACCATTATCCAACTCCATGCCCTATTGGGGAACAGGTATATTTATCTTAATTTTGTTGTTTTAAGTAAAAATTAGCGTTAATCTAAAGAGTTATCATGCACATTGTTTCTTAAGTATAACTAATTAGTAGTCTTAATTAAGCTGTCTTCTCACTCTTTGTAATTAAGTAGAAAATTCATCTAGCTCTTTCTTTCTTTCTTTCTTTCTTTCTTTTGAATAATTGTGATGCTTTTGATCTGCAAAACCATATTTTGCCTGAGTATTTGGTTGAATTATGAGATGCTTTGAATTAATGCGGTGCCCTCGCAAGCAAGTACCTTCAACCAACCACTCACTCTCTAACTTAATCATATATTCAAAGTTTTGACCTCTGCGACCATTTTTCATGTATCATTTACTTCTTCTGACATCCAAGTCTATTATTTAAAATGAAAGGGTCCTCTCCTCTTGAAATTCTCTTCAAATATATATATATATATATATATATTAATGAAATGAAAAGGTGCTAGTAAAATGGATGGATCGATGTAGTTTATGATTTTTCTCTTGGGGTTTTCATAGTTTTGATGCTCAGCTCTGTCGTGTTGTGTTGGGCTTTGGTGATCAGGTGGTCGGCCATAGCAACTCACTTGCCAAAGAGAACAGACAACGAGATAAAGAACTACTGGAACACGCATCTTAAGAAAAGGCTAGCCAAAATGGGCATCGACCCCGTCACGCACAAGCCAAAGAACGATGCCCTACTCTCCACCGTCGACGGTCAGTCCAAGAACGCCTCCAACCTCAGCCACATGGCGCATGGGAGAGCGCTCGCCTCGAAGCCGAAGCCCGGCTTGTCAGGGAATCCAAGCTGCGTTCCCACAGTTCATTAATCCATCAGCTCACAAGCAGCCCAAGCAACAAGATGGAGTCTTCATCATCAATGGTGCCTATGCCTTCTGCTACTGCAAGGTCTTTGGATGTGTTTAAAGGTTGGAATGTTGGTGGTGGATGGCCAGCGTCAAAATCATCTAATGTTGATCTTGAGTCTCCAACTTCTACACTCACTTATAATTCTTCTGAGCAGATTAATGTAAATGCATCAGCATCAGCAGTTGTGGTGCCTCCAATTATGCAGCCTATGATTGAGCTTGTGGGGTCCTCAGGTTCATCTGAGACCAAAGAAGAAGGTGATCATGATCAAGATTGGAAATCCCACTTGTCTTTCACTTCAGGGCTTCATGATCACATCACAATGTCCCTGGAAGCAGGGGCATGGACTGGTGAGGTTCATGATCATCATCATGGAGGAGGAGGAGGAGTTAGTAGTAATGTGGACATGGTAGATCAAGAAGGGTTCACTGATCTTTTGCTTAACAACTCTGATGAAGTACAGAGTTTGTCAGATGGCGAGCGCGGCAGCCGCGGAGACTCTGATAATGGTGGTGGCAGTGCAAGTGGAAGCGGTAGTGACTACTATGAGGATAATAAGAATTACTGGAATAGTATTCTCAATTTGGTGAATTCTTCTCCATCTGACTCTCCAATGTTCTAATCACAGCAGTGCACCAAAAGAGTTTGAGTTAGTGACATGTCAATGAATTACAAGTCCGAAATTCGTGATGATGTGATATATAGGAGGATGAATGCTATTGGCAAAGCAGTTTTTGGTTGCTTCTGCAATGTTCATAGGCTAGGCCCCCGCCCCACCCCAAAAAAATTGTAATAAAATGTGCTTGACATGCATTGCATGCTTTGTATTCTTGTGAAAGAAAATAATTACAGTTTTGGCTGTAGCTCTCACATCAAATGTTAATACTTCACCCTTTCAACTTGTTTCATTCTGAATTCTGATGGCTTTTGATTGTTGTAAAGTGAATGAGAGATTAAGTGCTTTTGCTTTTACTTTTACCTGAAGAAACTTCTCTGTATTTTCTTTATATTTTTTTCTACTTAAGAACTACACAGGACATTTATATATATGTGCATGTCCAATAAAAGAATCTTTTATGATAGGCTTTATTGCTGTTGGTTTGATGTCAAATTCTCCTTTTCAGAAATAGTTTTTCCCCCTTTCCAATCTCCTTTTGCTTAGTTGTAACTTGCATGCATTGCAGACTAACAGGAAACACAATTCATAATGGCAAAAGAACGCTAAAGGCAAGTAGGTCAACTAGCATGTACTCTACAATCACAACATCAATGCACCAAAATGAAAATGAAAATGGAAACTGAAAACAGAATCAAAATCAAAACCAGATTTTGAGGACCTCAGTTTTGATACTAATTTACAAAAATGGGTAAGTTGTAGAGATAAAAGATATTGACCTAGAAAGCCTACATTCTTGTCAATTTCCCAAGTCTACTCTTCCTCTTCCATCTAACCTGGCGGTGCCATTAAAAAAAATTTATTGCTGCTGTGATGGATAACAAATCAGTGTTCAAATTGAAAAAGGAAAAACTAACTGGATTTTGGTAGAAGACTTGAGCCTCATACCTACTTATTGGAATCCCTCAAGTATCTTCATTGTAAAAAATAAAAAATAAAAAGAAAATGTTGCTGCATTACAGTTCCAGCAAACAACATATGAAGATTGGTGATGCTTGTTTTTCATTTTTCTTTCTCTGAAGTTTCTGAATGGATCACTCTCCCTGTCCCAATGTTTTATTTTAATTTTAATTTTATTTTGAGTACAAGCGAGATAGTCTAAACTACAGGAGAGGAGGATTTCTCAATGTCCCGATGGTTGAATATTGCATGTGTTTGTTTCGTTGGTGTAATGTCACTTGTAGGCATTTAAGGTCTGCTAATTTCATTAATTCAACAAGCCTTGCTGATGCTTATTTAAAAACATGCACTTCAACTGGTTGCTTTCTTTCTGCATAATCATTTCCTTTTTATTGTCCTTTTCTGAGAGCTAATTGGTATGTGCTTAATATCTTGAAACATCAAAGATCGATGACATCATAATTAAGCTTTAGAAAAGAAATGGCGGTAAGTTGAATTTGATGCAGCTTTTAAAACATAAAACTCTGTTGGGGCATTGGCTAATCAAATGAATGGTTGATACATCTTCAACGTGTCCAGTTTTGAAAGCAGAAAATATCATACTTTACTAGTGGAGTTGGTGAGACAAATCATGAAAAAGATGATGACATGATGGAATTCACTACACCACTTTATATTTGATCAAATAAATCAAGGAAAATAAATATTAATTAACATATATTCTTCTATGATGACTAGTATTGATGAGACACACATGAGAAAACAATCATATATATTTATGAGGGTTAAGTTGGGTTTTAAGATAAGATTAGAAAATAACACCACTTTAATTGAACTTTATAAAGTAAGATTGAATTGAAAGGTCAACAAGCAACAATGCTAAATTACTTCCAAATTGACCCATTGAGAGTTGAGAGTAAAGACTTGATTTGACAGACTGTGGAGCAGAAAAGGGTAGCTTCATTTAAATGCCACTCTGTTTTTCCACTCAGTTTCACCTACATAGGAGATCTCTCAAGCCATGCATTTAAACACTTGACATTTAACATCACCAATACAAATCCTTTTTCCTTTACAAACCCAATTAACTCCATTGAAAAAAAGAAGCTATCCTGCTCTGTTTTGTCGGTGGAATTTCACAGCTTCAATAAGACCTATTGCCAATTCCCCACTCCCCACCAGTCATGTCAAACGACTTCTCTAAATGATTACTACGTATCATACTTATTGATCACATTCATTATTAATCGGCTCATAAAAATAGGTTTTTAATGTAAATAAATAAAACATATGTGATCAATAATTTAACGGTGAATGAAGTAAAGCACAATATTATTATTATATGTGGCTCAAAAGTCCACATAGCCGCATGCCATAGTAATGTCGTTTAGGGTACATGAAGAAAATGAGAAATCAACTGTTACTTTCCCATTAATTCAAAGGATGAGGAAGAGCCAGGCTGTGTTGAAACTTCAAAGCTGTGGATCAGTGTGGAAGGAGAGGAGCAAGCAACGGTGAATTTTGGGCCACACTTTTAGATATCAGCAAGCAGAGACATATCCTTCATTCTGTTTCTGTGAAATTTCTATTTCTAATTTTGCTATAGATTTTTGCACATGAACATTTATTTCAGTGTGTAGTGCACTTGGCAATTCACATGGGTCTTTAATCGCCTCGACTGCAACCAACCGTGCGTCTTAAATGAGAGCGGAGCAGCCCCTGTCTGTATTTTGAGCATGTGGTTTGCATCAACTGTAAACTGAAAAATACTTCCTTTCTCACACAATTATACAACTTCTTCACTGCAAAAAAGTCCCATCTCTTTGTTTGTACTGCTTTCAAACTTCACACCAATTCAATGCCATAAACGCCTGCCCCCAATCGGTTGAAAATCAAATCACAAAGTTAAATTGAAATTTCCGAGTGATTCTCTCCGAAACAATTCAATATGTTGTCATGTTTGATCACCGGAGAGATTTAGTCATATTCGGCACATTGTTACTTTGTACTTTTGTTTGTCTATCAAAAATATACTATCGCTTAATTTTTTTAAATGTGAAAATGAAATGAAATCACCTTCTCATTTTCATTGCATACCAACAAACAACTCAAAGATCCCTGAAACTTCAGTGAGAACTTTGATAAATGATAATGGTCCACAGTGCTCTTATGTTTACAGATAAGAGTAAATGTACAAGAATAGAGTGAACCCAATAATTGTTCTACTCATAAAAGCATTGAGCTCAAGGATATTTGTGGCTATCATCACGTTCTGGTTTTGAAGTTTGGTACATGTAGCTGGGTCCATCGCGACCCCTGTACTTTTCAATAGAGTTCTCCTATCAGCAAGGCAGCAGCAATGGCGTTCTGACATATGTCCAAAAGGACTTATTCAACCAACTAATTAATAGCAGGGGATTCCAAACACTGTTCTTTTGTCCAAAAAGCCCAACTTTCATAATACTAGCCCAAAAGGGTTACCAAGATTGAAACAAATTGAGATTTTCTATTTAAACCCCGCACTTTTCTTAGTTCACCCTAACTTTTAATTTAAATGTTCACAATTTCTAAGAAATCCTCAATATCTTCCCAACTACCCTTAAATACACTCCAAACTGAAAAAAATAAAAACTAAAATAGATTTTTTATTTAAACCCCACAATTTTCTTTGTTCCCAGAAAAAAAAACAAACAAACAAATGAAACCTCAAATCCGAAATTTAATACTTTATATAGAAAGAGAACATTTACCTCATTCCAAGAACTGTAACTGGAATTCCAACACTTGAGTATTGTTGAGTTGAGAACTTGAGAGAGAGAGAGAGAGAGAGTTTGTAAACAGGAAGTTGAAAGGAAGTTTCTAAAACTTAAAATGAAGAGTGGTGGAGTGTGTGTATAGATGTACTAGAGTTAATTATTAAGTTGGATGATCTTTTTGTCTTTTTACCCAATAATAAAATTTATAGCTTAATGATACTAGCCCAACTTTCATAATACTAGCCCAAAAGGGTTACCAAGATTGAAACAATTTTCCATCCAGTATTGTGTTGCTTGAAAGCTAAGAAAGAAGAGAGCAACAAGTGGTAAACAAAATTCAGAGTGGTATTGCCATGTTTCTAACTCCACATAAAACTTTTGAAGCTGCTAAGTTGCTAACGTTGGGAAAAAGAGAAAATATTGACAAGTTTAAAATAAAACACTTCCATTTCATATCCATCACTAATAGAGTCAAAACAACTCAGCTGAGTACGAGCAAAATTACAATAAAATAAAAAATTATACGCAACCAATTTCCTGTGAATGACCCCAAAAATCCCAAAGTTGTGAACAAAACCAGTGCTCTTTTTGGTTTGATTTCTTCACAATGAGAATGAGGTGCTCGGCTTCCTGAATGCAACAGCTCCTCACGGCATTTGTAAGAACCCTGCTTTGACAAACCGATATTAATACCAGAGGACAAGTTCAGATGCATGCACTGCAGAACCCTGCAAGCTCATACAGAAAAAATATACATATAAAGGTAAGACTTGATCGTCAACAATTTTTAGGAACCAAGTGTTTCTTGGAATGACGGAAGTAATCTCACAACTTTCTAAAAAATCAGCTTTATTAATTAACTTGTACTACTTTCATGGCAAAAGGATTCATTAGTTTCATTCCAATATGAGCTCCACATTTTAACCAACAAAGCAATCAAAGATGACACTGCGATTTTCTCTTCAGCTTCATTTGAACTATTCTTCAATCTATCTAATATTTCCTCACTTCAAGTGATTGCAGAGCCTACTAAACACAAACATTACTGAAGCATGTGAGGGCATTACTGGCAGCAGAAACATTATAAGTTTAAGCTGCAAAGCGGATCCCAACTTCTATCTTTGCTCATTCAAATTAGGCAACCAATAATTTGATGGTCATGGAGCCTAGGTAATAGAGCAACAATCAAACTTAATGCTAGTTGGCATGATTGAGTGAGGAACTACTGCAAAGTACTAGCTACTGAGTACTGAGTTAGATTGCGAGCATCAACTACATCAAGGCTACCCCTTTGGAATTGAGCTTCTTCATGTTGAAAATCTCAAGTGGATCATTTTTCGGTTCCAGTGAAATTAATGGAATACATAAATAAGGATTACCCATGTGTGGGGGTTTATGGCAACAGAAGCACTAGAAGCTTAAGCTGCAAAGTGAATCCCAACATCTATTTTTGCACTTTGAGACTAGGCACCCAATAATTTGATGGTCATGGGGCCTTGGTCTAGAGCAGTATCAAACCTAATGCTAGATCACAAAATGAAGAAACTACTAGCTACTGACTTAGATTGCTAATGGCAACTGCATCTAAGCCATTGCTCCGGAATCGGGCCTCTATGACAAAAAACTCAAGTGGGTAAGTTTCTCTTCTACTGACATCAATGGATATCTACAGACCAGAATTACTGAATCATGTGTGGGTAATACTGGCAGCAAAACACTAGAAATTTAGGCTGCAAAGCGGTTCCCAACATCTATTTTTGCACATTCATATATAAGGCAACCAATAATGCTATGGTCATGGAGCCTGGGTAAAAGTGCAACAATCAAACCTAATACTAGTTCACAGAAGAGGGGCAACCACATTAGGTCATCCCTTTGAATAGGGCCTCTTCATCCAGACAAAACTGAAATCAATTTTCTGATCCATAAATTGAAACTATTCTTTAAATCTAGAGAAGTGTTCAATGTCACTAATTGAATAGGGGTACAAATTTTTTCACTTCAGATGAAAATTTTGGGGCCGCAATCAAATCAGAATCAAACAATTACTCTGTAAATTCAATAAATATTGTAAGTAACAGGATGACGATAGAATACCTTTGAAGTTAGAATTTTTGAGCAGTTGACAACCCTAATTTCAGCCGCCAACAGAGCATAGAATGGAAGAAGACCGTTGGGTTATTTATACAGGTTTCTGAAATTAGGGCATTGCATGAGAAACAAAACCCTTTCTAATCTTTTTTTCTTTTCTTTTTGCTTTTGGGAAAGAAACCGCGTTATCCAACGGTCGGCGAGAGAAGCGGCGGAATCGGATGGTTAGGAATGAATTTTCGTTGTAGCGGAAATATCGTGGGTCAACGGTGGGCTCGTTCATGTTTATGTAATAGAGATGCTAATTCATTACAGATTTGGGCCTTTCACTAAGTGGGTGGGTAACGCATAATTATGGGCCACACATTGGGCTTCCAGTATGCTAATACGGAGTTGTTAATAGCTAACCGATCAAGTCCAGAGTAATTCGTTAGGCTTAGTTCAAGACTCGACCGAAAAAACAAATTTAATTGTTGGAGGCCTGTACTTTATCAATAGGTGCACTGCTATGCATAAAGGTAATGCACAATCCATTTGGACATAAGAGCACTTCCACCAGTTAGCCCCTTGTCATGGCAAGGGGAGCCCTAGGACGGGTACTATTCATGTGAATAGTGGCTGCCCTAGCGCAAAAAAAAAAATTGTGTTTCCAACAATGCAAGGCTTGCCATGGCGAATACTATTCATTTTTTTGTTTTTTTCACAACTTTGTTTACTTAAACAATTAATTTGGATAATATTTTCGGATAAGATTTTTGGGTTAAAATTCAGTATTGGTTGGTATTTATAGAAAAAAAAAATTCAGTATTTTTTTCGTATTTTTTTAAATTTTTTCCGATTTTTTTTCATTTTTTTATTGGGCAAAAAATTGTCTGTCGTTGGATTGCTGGAAAAAACTAATCGGAGAGCCCAGGAGCTTCCACGTGGCATAGAGCTGTTGGGGGTTGCTTTTTGGATTTTTTTATTCACGAAAAAATGGCTGCCGTTGGATAATTTTAAAAAGCAGATCGGATGGCCCAGCATACGACACGTGGAATCATGCCGTTGGGCGGCTACTGTAGCGCGCGTCAAATTTTTTTTAAACCGGGCACGTGCATTGCACGCGCCAGCTTTAAAAAAATTTAAACAGCAGCGCTGAAAACGAGTTTTGTTGCTCGGGCTGGACCTCCCCAAGGGCTAGCCCATGCAAATTTTTTTTGCTGGGGCCCACACCTTGCCCCGGCAGATTTGTGTTGCTGGAAACACCATTTTTCCCCAGCCCCCCCAGCCCTCCCCCCAGGCCCCTTATTGGAAATAATCTAATGGTAGCCAACATGAATGGCCAACGGGTTCGTTGGGTTGTCAACTTGAAAGTGCTGCCCAACTTCGATTCTCAACTAGTTATTGAAAGTGTACTTTATCAGCAGGGGAAGGTTTTGAAAGTGTAAAATGGTTGGTAGAACGATTATGACATTAACTATAAATTTTAATGAATTAATTCCTTTTCTACTTGGTGAGTTTTTATTTATTCATTGAAAAAGTTGTGAGGCCGATCTGTGTAATTCAAGTCTACTTTCTTATTTTTTGGGTGTACCAACTTTGTAAGTTCGAAGATGCATGACAGACATCTAATGACTTATTCTCTATATATTAAAAGTGGCCTTGCCCTTGATCATCACTGCATTGCAAATTGTAATGAAGCCTCACAAGAGAAGAGTGCCGCTGCCACATCGAGTAGACCTACCTCTCTCTCTCTCTCTCTAGCTACAACACCGCCGTTTAGTGAGCTTTCTTTTCTTCGTTCCCGTCATGGTTGTTTAATTTTTCGTCATTATATCATGATCAAATTTCATAGTGCACCATTATAATACTTCATTAGCTCTCATTGCTTTCAAATCTTGAATGAGCATGTAGACGACAATGCATGCAGCATGCACAGAATATATACAATTTATAATATATATATATATATATATATATATAAAACTAGGGGGCCTTTGGATTTATAAAGAACCATCATTTTCTTGTCTAATAATTTCTACCATCTTAATAATTTATTGTTCATATGCATGAGACGAGACCTTCAAACAAAATATAAAAAGACAAACCGACCAATGGGTACGAGATAAGATTCCATTGTCTACCCACCCACCCATGCCAATGCCATCCTCTTTTTCTTTTCTGGTGGTTGGTAGAATAGAAGTGTAGCTAGCTACAATATGCTTTCAATTCTTTGGCACATGAACAATCTTCCAAGAAATACAAGGGTTTTGTTTACTAATATATCTTATTCGGGTGTCGTTTTATGATGGATATTTAATTCATTTGCTTATACTTCAATCTAAATCAACTAGAGGGACCCTAGATGGCTGAGCAACATTTAACATGCAACTTACAAGCTTGAGCCCCCACACAATTTGACAATTTGGCAATTTGGCATGGCCGTGTATGTGTGGCCAACATGATTTATTGTTACTCTCCACTACCTTTTCCTTGATTTTTTCTTGTTTGGATTCTAGTCCCATTTGGTACTCATATTCTTTAGTCGGATTAAATATATATATATATATATATGTTGATGTCCAAAAATGAAACCAACTTAGAAGTGATCTGCCTTTGGTCGCATGGGCCATACGAAGAAATTTAAAAGGAGGAGCAGAACAAAAATAAGGCCTTAGGCATCGGTATGGTATGAGATTCTCCAATGCTTAAGTTAGTTTAAAAATGAAATAAGTAATTAGACAAAGTAAGAATTATAATGCCAAATTAGTATTACCCTGGTCATTGGGGCAAGAGCCATATTTATAAACAAAAAAAGATGAAGCACATTGGGTTGTTGTTTTGATGCGAGACCGTGAGCATCATCCGAGGGGCTACCACATGTGTGACTTTGTTAGGCCGAATCAGCCAGTCAGGTTGCCGAAGACTAACCCCCCTGTCAAACGTTGTCATAAGTTCCAGCGACTACGGTGTACCATGCGGGCCACATTTACCAATTTACTACATTATCTAAATTGCATTTCGCATACCATACACGCTTTCAATAATTTAATTGAAGCGAGCAGACATAACAGTAGTATACACTGTGTCACGGTCATCACCTATCATCATTAAATATCTTGGTCAAGATAGAATACTAGGTGTTAGATATGCCACCACGAAGCTGTGCAATTGGACCAACATTCACATACGTTTTATTTCCTCATAGAGGATATCCAAGTTCGAATTCTCCCTTTTTCGTCTCAATTCAATGGAATTCATAAATGGAAACTATGTTGCTAATGATATAATAATACTTCGTTAATTTATGAGACACTATCTTATCGTAATCAAATTCGTGATTTACAAATTTGGGGAGTTGTTTTAAAGTGAGTCTCATGATGGCATCGCATGCGGCGTAAAATATGATCTGTAAATTTGGTATTTTCTGACCAAAAAATATGTTGCTGGTCAGATTACACGTCGGCCACTAAGCCAACTGGACCCAAGCTGGTTAATTTTCGGCTTCAAAATCATAAAAATTACGAAAGAAAAGGCGCGTATTTAAACGGGTCAATAATTGACCCTCCATTTCTCCCAGAGACAAACAGAAGAAGCTAACCTCATCAATTGAAAGAGAGACGTTCGAGACCAGGAGATTCCCAAACCCGAGATCCACCCGATCCACTGTCACTCATGGCCGTCTGCACTTGTCCTCCTAGGGTTTTCACCTCCTCCCAACCCGGCCCCCGCCCACGACTCGCGGGTCGGGTCGACGCCACGGCGCCGTTTCACGGCCTCTCCTCTCTCATTCTTAGGTTTCCTCCCAACTTCGTCCGCCAGCTCAGCACCAAGGCCCGGAGGAACTGCAGCAACATCGGTGTCGCACAGATTGTCGCCGCTTCGTGGTCGAACAACAACTCCAACTCAGGCATTCCGGCGGCGCCGTCGGCTACTGCCGTCGATGCCGCCGCTACCGCCGCCATTCCAGTCGATCCGGCCAAACTTTCGGCCGGTGGTGACGAGGTGGTGTTTGAAAATGATGTACAGTTGGAGGCCTTGCCTGATTTGAAGGAGGCCTCGTTCTTGAGCTCCGATGGGAGCCTCGCGATTCATGCTGGTATATTAGTCTATTTGCATTTTCGGGAATTTGTTTTCATTATTATAGTTTTTATATATTTTTTTCGGTTTTTAAACATATTTTTGGCTGCTTGCCTTGATATTACATTCAAGAAACTCATTTGTTGCTGATTATGTGGAGATTAGCGTGTGAGTTACAGTTGGGGTTTTTGGGTTTTTTTTGTGAAGGTGAAAGATTGGGTCGCGGCATAGTTACTGATGCAATTACAACCCCAGTGGTTAATACTTCTGCCTACTTCTTTAAGAAAACGGCTGACCTCATTGATTTCAAGGTATGCAAATCATGCTTTGCGCATATATATTAAATTTTCTTACGATTTTCTGCATAAGTGGGTGGAACTATTTCATAATTTTACACCAAACCAGACAGCACCACACTCGAACCTGCAAATTTCGAAACTTAAAGAGATAAGACAGTAAAATCAAGTTCATATATATATATATATATATATTATATTGGGTTGTCGGTGATTGATGTTTTGTGTGGCTTTAGCTTATTATCATTTACCTTGTTGCAGGAGAAACGTGCAACAAGTTTTGAATATGGGCGCTATGGAAATCCAACGACAGTGGTTGTTGAGGAGAAGATCAGGTTTGCATGTCTTTCATCCTCGTTTGTATCCAAACCCTGTTTGTGGTTGGCATCAATATTTTGAATGTTGTTGTGATAATACAGTGCGCTTGAGGGAGCGGAGTCGACAATGATATTGGCATCTGGAATGTGTGCTAGCACAGTCATGTTGATGGCATTGGTTCCAGCTGGTGGGCATATCGTGACCACCACAGATTGCTATAGGAAGACTAGGATATTTATTGAGACCATTCTTCCCAAAATGGGGATCACGGTAAAGCATACTGTTATCATCAATTTAGAGTAATATGATATTGGTGTTTTCAAATTCCTGGTATTGCTTTTGTTATTGCTTATACTTAATACCTATCATCCTCTATGCAGGCCACGATCATTGACCCTGCTGATGTGAAAGCCCTGGAGTCTGCATTGAATGAGCACAAAGTCAGTAGAAAAAGTGTTTACCTTGCTTTTTTGAAGTTCACTATAACTTAGCAAATCATTGGTGATCCTGACTGTTTGTGGAACTTACTTCGGTGTAGGTTTCTCTTTTCTTCACAGAGTCTCCTACTAATCCATTCCTCAGGTGTGTTGACATTAAGTTGGTTTCCGAACTTTGTCATAAAAAAGGGGCTTTGGTCTGTATAGATGGCACTTTTGCCACACCTCTCAATCAGAAAGCCCTTCCCCTTGGGGCTGATCTTGTTGTGCATTCTGCAACAAAATATATTGGTGGCCACAATGATGTAAGTCAGCTCATATCCAACCAAATCTTTTGAAGGAGTGTGAATTCTTAGTTTGTCGCTTACTATAAAATGAAGCATTAAACAAGTATACATATCCTATTTCAGGTCCTTGCCGGTTGCATTAGTGGTTCCTTGAAACTGGTTTCAGAAATTCGTACTTTGCATCATATTTTGGGTGGTGCTCTCAACCCGGTGAGTCATGCTCAATAAGCAGTCTTGTGGGTTTTATATGTTTTTCGTGACTCGTTATTCTCCATAAAAAATGCAGGGCCTGTTGATTAGATTAGTAGTTTGTGGTTGCAACCTATTTTTGTAGACACTGGTTAGGGTATTTGGACAAATGATTTCTTGCCCACTTATTGCTTAGATGATTGAAGATTGCTCACTTATCCCTTAGATGATTGAAGGCCGTGACATGAATTGTGAGCATATGTGACAATAATAGATTTTTTTGTGTGCTCTTAACAGAATGCTGCGTACCTGATCATTCGAGGCATGAAGACATTGCATCTTCGTGTACAGCAACAGAATTCAACAGCATCGAGGATGGCCAAAATTTTAGAGGCACATCCTAAGGTATAAATTTCGTAAGTTTTTCATAACAGTAAATAGGTAATGTGTTAGAAATATTTTTAAACAATGAGAGGTAAACTCAATAGAACCAACGTTTCTAATATCAGTGAGTGATTGTTGTTGGAAAAGTTAATAGTACGAAAAGTTTCTGTTGGGATTAACTGCTTTGTATTTGAAAACTGATGTAATTAAAAATGTCATTGGCAGGTGGCGCATGTCTATTATCCTGGCTTGCCGAGTCATCCTGAACATCAGCTTGCCAAGAGGCAGATGACCGGTTTTGGTGGGGTTGTCAGTTTTGAGGTGAACATTGTTGGTGCAATCCATTTCTGTTGTGCTTTCATTATGGTCATTGGGTTAATACTATATATTTTTCAATTATGCAGATTGATGGAGACTTGATGACAACCATTAAATTCGTGGATGCACTGAGAATCCCATATATTGCCCCATCCTTTGGTGGTTGTGAGAGCATTGTGGATCAGCCAGCCATAATGTCTTACTGGTATCCCCTTTGATTCTATATCATATGGTGGCAAAAAAAGTTAAATTTCTTATGCTATGTGGTTTAGTTGTCCAAGTAACAATATTAATGTCTGTCCATGGAGTCTGAGAAACTGGGTAGATTTGTGATCTTGTTATATCAGCCTACCAACCTCACTCTAGATGATGTGTGAAGATGCCAAGTTCAGGGTTTTACTGGAAAGTTAATTTCATACCCATACCCAAGTAGCACGGAAATCCTTTAAGCTAATGTTTACAGTAATTCCTCTTAAGGGTTTATTTGTTGATGCAACCCCATGGCCATCTTATACATCGATATTGATAATGATTACTTTTAAGTTGTGGCAGTAGATGTAGCAATGGCAAAAAGCCGAATGATTTTTATCTTTATTTCTTCTGAATGCTGTGTTTTCATGCTTTTGAAACAGGGATCTCAGCCAGTCAGAGAGGATTACGTACGGGATCAAGGATAACTTGGTCCGGTTCAGCTTCGGAGTCGAAGACTTTGAAGATTTGAAGGCTGACATACTGCAGGCCCTGGAGACCATATAGAGCAAGCCCCACCTAATATGCGGTTTACTGTTTAGTTTATCTTTCTCAATTGTTTTGTTGGTGCTTCAATTGGTTTTGATCACAATTTGCTATTTTCTGGTCCAGTTTCTGGGATGGGCGGACCCAAAACTTTGTCTAATTTTATTTTTCGACTGCTCTTTCAATTTCCTCATCATTCCAATATAGACGATGGTGGCCTTGTTTTTTAGTGTTTTAGAATGCTTCAGTTTAATGAGAATTTAGGACGACGGAAATGTTTTGCAATGAATATAATTTGAACCAAATGGATATGAGTTATAAAGCTCCCAAATTTTCACGAGTCAGATTTGAGCATATTCCATTTTGTCACCTTGGTTCAACGTTGACCTGTTAACGGATTTATCAATTGGATGCTGTGAAGATGCCTTACGATTTTCCAAAGCCAGCCCAATACTTATGCATTAGTCCATTAGTTTGTCAAGCTCATGCGCGATTTCATGTGGACACCTGGCCTTTTCTTTACATTCACATATGCTGTAACAAGTTAACAATCCATTTGGGTGAACCAAGCTTGATGATAATACAATTTTGAGCAGTTCATTCTCATTGGATACTCTCATGTTCTATTTTCTTTATTTTCCAGTTGATGGATTTGGCTTGCATGTTATGATGTTACCAAGAAAATTTCAATCTTTATTTTTGTCAAGAGATTTATAGTAGGAAGATGCTGTTCTATTAGCACCATGGCGATCCAAGTTAGAACCAGTCTTTAAGGATAGCTGATAAGGTGGACTGGGATGTCATCTGTAAACATGCAATTTAGCTAAAACTCGGACAAGAATTGAAGCAATGAGATGTTCATGTCAATGGGACACCTCTGAAAGTGGAGAAAGACTTCTATAAAATAGGGATATCACTAATTTGCTATTTTCCGATCAATAACGGTATAACATGAGTGATAACGCTTCAACGTAGAATAGCATTATTGACCGAGAATAGCAAAATAGTGCTATTCCCGTTACAACTAAATTTTTCCCTTGAAAGTGGAGAGTCTTTTAAGTTCTGCAACAAAATATATTTGTGGCCAGCTCATAGCCAACCAAATCATTTGAAGGAGTGCGAATACTTGGTTTTCAGTTACTATAAAATGAAGCATTAGTATAAGTATCCTATTTTGGGCCAAAACTCTGTAAAATTTTATTTTCCCACTGCTCTTCCCAATTCCTCATCATTCCAATATTGACGATGCTGTGTTTTTAGTGTTGAAATGATTTGAGTTGAATGAGAATTTAGAATGGCAGAACTGTTTGGCAACGAATATAATATGAACCATGGTTGATTGATCATCAGGTCTTTGGATAGTAATAAAATCACAAAGCCATGTTATTCTCGGACGGTCCTGAACTCCTTTTTGTTTGTTTATTTTTAATACTAACGATAATCTAAATTATTCTAAATGCGAACATATCCATTTTGCATTTGGTTCAAACTCGTCATGGACGGATTTATCAATTGAATGCAGACACCTTTTCTATGCAAGTCGCATCTTAAGATTCTGAATGTTAAGAATATGCCTGAATGCTGTGAATATGCGCAAGGATTTTCAGAATATGTCATTGGAAAACCAACCCAAGTGTTACTGGATTTTATACCAAAGAAAGAAATATTACAGTTAGAAACGACATGAGCGACATAAAAATCAAGAAGAAAAATCTAAAACTCGGGTATATTCTACCTGTCAATTTTAGTGAGAGGAGGAAAATGCCAAGCCCATTGTTATCAAGAAAAGAGAAAAAGCCAAAATCCACACCAACAAGAACGCGCATGAGAGGACAATTGACCTTTCCCACTTCACAAATATTCCAACCCTTCCTTATTGGATTCTCTATTTATATCAATCGAAAATAAAACATCATTATGCAGAGGACTCAGAGCTAAGCTAATCAAATAGATTCAGAAGCTCTAAGCACCACTCTTCCTTGAAGCCATGAAGTTTGGGAAAGAGTTCAGGACCCACTTGGAGGAGACCCTCCCAGAGTGGAGAGACAAGTTCCTCTGTTACAAGCTTCTGAAGAAGCTCCTCAAGCGCTTACCCGCCGCCACCGCCATCGCTGCCGTCGATTCTCTCCCTTCCCATCTCAACTTTCGGCAACAGCCGTCAGATGCCGACGCTGCGGCCGCTGGTGATGGTGGCCGCGGCTTCCGTCCTTTTGCTGGCCTACAGGATTGGTTCGTTGGGATTCTCAATGAGGAGGTTGAGAAGTTGAACGATTTCTACGTTGATACGGAGGAAGATTTCGTCATTCGTTTCCAGGTTCTTATGTTTTACTCTTTTTCCTTGTTTTCTTGAATTTGCATGTGCATAGACATGTACATGGAGTTTAATTTTCATGGGTAGTTGATGGATTTACCAACAACAACAAAAAGTTTTGATCTTTTCTTTTTGTTAAGTGAATTATAGATAGATGCTGTTCTATTAGGAGCATGGCGATCCAAATTAGAACTCTTTTAGGATAACTGATCAGCAGGAAACAATCTGCCCCCGAAAGGATTGTGGCCGGAACGATTTGTTGAGATAGATTCATGGTAACAGAGCAGGAAAGAGTTGTAGAATATTTTGAGAAGCTATGCATTTTCCTTGGATTTTGTTTTTCATGGTTATCTGCATGTATTAGGCTGAATCCTATTGATGTATTCTTCTTAAGTGTCTGGTGGGAAAATCTTCAAGATGAGAGCCATTTACTAGTCAATGTAGAGTGATGTGCATGGTTTTCATGTTGCAATTTCATATTTTCAACACCGAGGGACCAAGTACCAACTATCATTTGTGTGTTTTCATCTACAAACTGCAATAATGACAGGAGCTGAAAGGAAGAATCGAGCAAGTTAAGGAAAAGAGCAGCAGGGGTGGAGCTTTTACATCAGAGAGTTCATTCAGTGAAGAAGTGATGGACATTCGTAAGGACTTTGTCACCATTCATGGGGAGATGGTGCTTCTCACAAATTATAGCTCGTTGAATTTTGCAGGTACAGCAGCTACTTTTTTTCCTTTCTGTGTTTAACTTGTGCTGGTAAGGGCTGTCTCACCATTCGTGGGGAGATGATTCTTCTAAAAACTTATAGCTCCCTGTATTGTACAGGTACAACTGTTAACATCACTGAATTTCTTCATTCTATTTCTTCGTTGTCTATTTATAAAATCAGTTCCGTCTTGTGGCTTCAATAGGGATCGTCAAAATTCTAAAGAAGTATGATAAACGAACCGGAGGATTGTTGCGTCTACCTTTCACACAACTTGCCCTTCGCCAGCCTTTCTTTATAACAGAACCTCTCACAAGACTGGTCCGTGAATGCGAGGCAAATCTGGAGCTCCTCTTCCCATTGGAAGCAGAAGTCATTGAAGCTACCCCCACCCCCACCAGATGAAACTACCCCACCCACACCAGATGAAACTTCCCCAGACAGAGGTCATTCAAACCCAGAATTCAATAATTCAGCAAATATTGCATCTGAGACACCTTCAAACCAGGAGGCAAACATGGATATTTACCGTGGAACCCTTGCTGCAATGAGGGCCATTCGAGGCCTTCGGAAGGCAAGCTCCACTTCCAATCCATGGTCGCTTTCAAATCACTATAGAAGCCAGGATGATGAGAGCACTGGTGCTGTTACAGCTGAGAACTCTACTTCAAATTCTGCAGCAAGCTTGCACAGCGAAGAGGAGGCTGATCAAGAGGATGACCCGTCTACATAGTAGTGTTCATCTTATTGGTTTCTGTCGTACATTCATCTTTTCACTCGTAATAATTGGAAAACAGGCTCTGAATTGTAAACTCAGTACATCTTATAGCCATAGGAGAAACTTATCATAGTTTTAGCTTGAAAAGTTTCCTATTAGAGGATTTCATTGTTGGGTGTGTTGATCTTGTAAAGTCTCAATATAATAACTATCTTGCTCGATAGTTTATAGAAAACATGTTACTGTGTTGCTCATGTTGAAGGCTTTTAAAATTTCCTTCGCAACTTTTCCTTTATGAGGAATTTGCAAATCAATTTCCTCCTATGCATTTCAAATTAACTAATTCTTTCAATAGAACCCTTTCTTCTTCTGCTTATTACATAAATCAGTTGAAACTTGAGAAGGTGGATGAACAAGTTGATCTGTTCTGCAAGTTCATGCTAAATATGGTCTTCTTTTTGGTCCACTTATTATTGCCTCCATTGGAGCATAGCAGAGTAGAAATGACAATAACTTTTTGAAATCTCCAATGAGACAAATTGTCTCAGAAATCAAAAGACAATGAAGCCATTTGATTGGAGAATGGGGATGTAACAAGATATGTATGTCACTGCCACTTGGGTCCTTTTCAATTAATTTCAGAATCTTTTTTAGAATTTTCAGCCATCGGGATGAGTTGCTCTCAAAAGAGGACAGTTTGTTTATCGATGCACCTCTTCTCGGAAGACAGAAGAAAGGCATTGGACCACTTGGTGGTCACCATTCTAGTAAGCACTAGGAGCTCACTCCATTCACAGGGTCCCAGGATAGCAACCTCTATGTTATATCCACACTTTATGGCCCAAAACGACTTGTCTACAAGCAAAAGAATAAGAGGAAAATTTGTGCTGATTTGAACCCTCTGCTTCATACATTTTCGTTAAAGTAGAAAATACTTTTAACACTTGATAGAACAAACATCAACCAGCAACATAGGGTAATTTCACTTCTATTTCAATAACTTCCAGTTGTAGATTCTACTTCTAGTCGTATTCAACACTTTGGCATCAAGATTCTTGAGTATGACTCTTCGATTTTTTTCCTTTTGTTCTCTCTTTCAAACAAAAATCAAGAGAACAACTAGCACATGAACACTAATATGTCATGAATAGCAACAAGTTTGCTCTGATTCTCATGACATTTGTAACCCTGCTCATTCCTCTACCTATTGTTGAATTTTTACTTTGCAAAAAAAAGAAAGGAAGCTATGACTTTCACTTTTCCTGCCATCTTTTGTCCATGGAATACAGGTTTATCTGCTCTTGCTCTCATCACAGTCATAGTTGAAAGGTAGGGGTACAGACTTGAATGCCCGAAACTTTCCCACATTGTTCAAGTGCTCATTCTCCAACCTGCTCAGTAAAACATCAAATCCTTATCAGTTGAAAACAATAATTTGAAATCATGATTGCATTAATATAATATAACATTGTTATCTTAACCTGTTCCTAGTTATTTCTCTTCTTCCCTGTTCTCAATTTGGCAGATTTTTGTGCCAATTATTCTCACTTCTTACTAGTTAAGTTATAGGGAAGATAGGCACTCCAGTACTGTCCTACCAACTTGGCTTTTAAAGATAATTTCTGAACTGTCAACTAAGTTAGGTCACCTACATTCAATCTAACAATTTACATCACTCTGTTCTTCATAGTCACACAAGCACCTAGGACACAATGTTGAAACACATATGACATAGATGTGCAGCTATTAGGCAGCTAGAACATTGAAGAGAAGTTTAACATACCGAAAGAAATTCCAAATGCCACGACGAATAATTTCTAAACAGGCAACTATTGCAACTAAGGCTGTTCTGTGGACGAAAGGCACTTCTTTAATTCCTAATACTGACTGCATCCAAGCGAGTCTCAGTATAACATTCAACACCTGCAGTTCACATTATTCAAAAGTACTGTCAAATGAGAAGGAAAAAATGGAAGGCAGTGATGGGAGAAGAATTCATCTTATGATCTTACCATGGCTATAAAATAAACACTTTTGTTTGATATGAGGAGTTTATCTCTAAGCCAAGGGTTTCTAGAATTCCGGCGCAAAAGACCCCAATCTATGACTATATCCCAATATGTACTAACAATTGTTGCCACAGCTGAACTAGTTATGGCAAGGATCTTCCACGTCATCCCCTTTTTCAGATCAAAACTTGTTCTCATGGCTACTGCAAGAATTGTTGAAAAGTATTTCAGCCCATTTAACCCTTGCGTTCCATCTTTCTCTTCTATCAAGCGTCGAAGGCACTACAAGAATAGAGAGCAGCAGGTAAAACCATACTTCCATGTGCCTGATATATGTCAATGGCACAAGGACTAAGAAGCCTAAATAGGTTGTGATTGTGTTATTGCTGCATAAAGAATGTTTGAACTGCGGAATACCTGAAGGGAACGGATCCAATAAGGAATAATTGCTACAATGAAGTAGAAAGATCTATATACACGGCTGTCAAGGCAGTTGTGTGATCTTTTTTTGAAGTCCCCCCAACCATAATAGCAAACATAGAATTCCAAACTCCTGAAGGCTTGAACCTGAATGCAAAGATTTTTATGAGCAGAGTATCTATCCCAGAATATCAATATATCAATATTAATTAGGAAGTTTCATATTATATGAAACTGTACAACATTACTCGATCATAAGCAAGACAAGTATCAATATGTTAAACAAAGTGTTGGTACCTGGCTAGTAAGCTGATCTGCCAAGAAAAAATCTGGGAGGGAAACCTACCACAAAAACAGACCAAATTTTCAATGTCTTACACTTCAGTACATTCGAATAGCATGTCAACGGAAAGAAAATTTTACTTTAGATACCTTATAAAGTGGAGCACAAAGGCAATGGAATATACATTGGAGGAGGAAAAATCGACTGGAACGATATATTATGTTGAAAGGACAAAACATTATAAGAAGCACAACCTGCAAATGTAATATCAATCTTATTCAAAAATCTAATTCACTTAAAAACTATAATGGTTCATACATCATGTTTAATTATTGTCTAAATTCTTACAGTGACTAGGCCCAAAGGGACTAATTCAGTCAAAGCTCTGAAGCTTTTTGTACTTGGGTCCATCTCCATATCCAAATTTGAGAGGACACCAGCCAAGGCGAGAATTGCAAGACCTGAACTGAGAAGGAAAAACTGTCTGTAACCCAGCTCTGCCCCTTGCTGGAAGCCAAAAATAAATGGATAATTTACTCGGTATCGCCTCCAATAGTATATGTTTGCTGAGAACATGAGCATATGTAGGACCATGAATCCAAACAAGCTGCAAAAAGGTGCATCAAAATTTTATGTATGAAAGAAACTCCATTATGCTACTGCATCGCCATAACAATAGATTAAAGTTAATCTGAATGAGTTGAACACATTTACTAAGTGGGCAAATGAATGAACATCTTGAAACGAATTGCTACTCAGGTTTAAATTTCTCCACAAAAATAGATATGAGATAATTATTAAGCACTCTCTCACCTGTATAGAGGAAATATGTTTTCCATGTACTGACCACGCCCTTCACTCCTAAGGATATTTCTTGCATGTATAAGCACAATGATGGCTACTACAAGTGCAATTGAGACCCCAGAGAACAACCCTGCAGGTACGGAACAGTAAAATGATTCATTGATATCTCGTTTAAGGTCTTCCATAATATGGAAACTTAGAAAGTTTTTTTTTCAATGTATGCCACTTACTAATTATCTCAATAGTACAAATAATATTTGCTTCTGATAGCACAAGTCTTACCCAAAAAAAATGTACTTCTATGCTTTTCCCTTCTGGCTCTTGGTCTTAATGTCTTCATTCCTTCTCTGCGATTTCCATTTGTAAAGTGCTTTATGAAGGTAGCCTCCACCCTTTCCATGATCCTAGTAACCTGTGAAGGCAAAAGATGGATCATAAGGCAAAATTTTTGGCAATGAATCGATTGGAATTTGGATTCATGGTAGGCTGTAAGCTCATGAACTATATAACTTACTTCATCACAGCTTCCGAGATAAGAATTATCCACCATATTCAAGTAAGCCTTTGATGCATTCCTTGAAGAGATCTGCACTAACACAGTTAGTATGACTAAAGCAAATACCTAGAAGTTCAAATTGATGAGTTGGAAACAAAGTGATTGGACCTTGTCATATTTCTTCATGATCTTTGAAAAAGCCAATTGATTCAGGAAACTGTGACATCCATTAGCAATATAATCAGCAATACATTCACACTGTAAAAAGGTAAAGAAAGAAAACACTTCTTTTTGCTCTAGCAATGTAGTCAGGCCAGCCATGTTACCAGTAACTTTTTATAAGCCGAAGCTTTTGGTAGAACTCATTAAAAGCCTCTGTCATTTGCTCTTCTGCTTTCCTCAACTCTTTCTTGCTGAATGATAAGTCTGGTTTTGAACTCTTGAGTATGCCTTTCACTGTTGATACCGGAGATTCAGGTGTCACATTGATCTTTACATGATCCAGGATCTCTAGTGAAGGTGGTTTAAATCGCTTAATATCCACCGTGCTTCCATTGCCTTTCTGGTCACTGGTTTTTGATTCTTTGCTTCCTCTCTCTTCATCTTCCATCTCTCCTTCATTGCTCATCTCAACTTCTGGAATCACATCCATCTGAGGCCCTCCTTCACATTCAGAACCAATATTTGAAATATCCATGAGAATATAAATAGATGAAATTAAATAAAAAAGAGTTCCAATCATGAACTCCACTGAGAAAACAAACAAACAAAATATACAACAAATTTCACATTTTTTGCTTCATACCTGGCCTTCTGCCACTAGTGGGATGAACAGTTGATTGCGAGGAAACCCCATTGCTTCCCCTGTCTATCACATCAGTTCCTCCCAGTTCCACCAGTGGATTCTCTACCTTCAGCCTAAGAGCAATTAAAGCATCCATCTGTCTGCTCAACTCCTCTGCCTCATCCACCACTTCCCCAACTTTCTTCTTGTAAAAGTTGATTACTTATTAAACTCCTCATCAAGCCTCTTAAAAAACACAACCTCAATGTCTCCTCCTTCATCAGAGGACATCAAAAACATTGTCTGCCACTGCCCTTCTGGCCCTTCTTCACTAACAAGAATCTCTTCATCCTCTTTCTTCTTCGGAGAGCCTCGATGCCGGCTTGTTAGCCCACTAAAAGCTCTGTAGAGAGACACCCTTCTCTTCAACGATGACCCTTCAGGAGTTGATGCCATTGGTGTTGTTACTTTGTTGCACTGCCTAAAACACAAGATGTCTTTCAAGAGAAGCTTGAGAGAGTTGTAGTCCATGTAAGCCTCTTGCCATTCTGGCACCATTTGGGACACAAACTCTTTTCCAAACTTCATCTTCTTCCTCCCTGAGCAAAATGGATTTGCAGATCAACAGTGAAGCTCTCAATGGCATAATAAAGATATGATTTTTGGAGCAAGCGTGTTCTTGCTTTGCTTTGTGTACAGCTAATTTGGTCAAATGGGAAATTCGCGTAAAAAGACGTGCTATATGGAAATGTTATGTCTGCAATATCATATATAGAATTTTTCTTTGTTTTCTGGTGATCAATTTCACAATATAAAATTCTTAATTATTGGAAAGCTTCCCTATTTGACATCACTGTCTTTTTTTTTGGGTCTGATACTTCACTGTGATTTACACATGTTTAGAGGTTCTGCGGTCCTGCTGTCTCCTGGTTTTTGTCTTCAATGAATGCACTTTTTCCAACCAAAAAAATAAAAGTAAATTTAGGGTTCAACAAAAAATATTAAATGCATATAAAAAGTGAAAATCCCGAGTTGTTGTTGGTAAAGAAAATCACGCATATATGTATGTCTGCCTGAAATCACGCAATTTTTTGAGCCCAAACTACCATATTAGGTTGCATTATTTGACAAATGAAATGGCAAAAGTATTAGTCCCCACATTACTACTCACATGTCCACATCTCAAACATTTTCGTACGCGCACCTTTAAATATGCCTAAGATAAAGATTAGCGCATTAATTGGGTTAGGTATTGTCGATTTAGCTGTCTTTGTCTTTGTTTAAACAAATAAGTAAGGTAGTTGCTTGTGGAACTGTCTATTTGATTGAGGCCACGATGATAAACAATTTGCATTAGGATTTAAATAGTGTGATTTGGTAAGACATAAGATGTACACGTAACACGCTTGCAACCAAATGCGATTCAAGAATAGATGGAAACATTTGCCAATTACAATGCAATCATAACATTGCATCAATTAACAGCTCATAAATTCATAATTAATCTTCCAAAACTAATATGCCAATTTTCAATTTCTCTAGTAGCCAACACAAACTATAATAACAACAAATTTACTTCATATTTAGATACATAAATTCAATTCAATTATTTTTTTATTAATACAAGTAATAATCTAAATTGAAAGAAAATAAAGTTTTCACACATACTACTAAAGTACGAGGTTTCAGGACCGCTAGTACTGTTAACGTAAGGTATTGTGTGTGAATTTTTTTTTACTTTGCCAAAAAGAAGACATTAGCAACCTTCAAACCAAATTTGATTTTGGGAGGGCACTAATACTAAAAATTTAAAGGGACCCACACACGAGCTGACATGGCGAAACACCATTGGTTCCCGGAAAATTAATACCAGAAGATCGTTTTACTCATAGAAACCCAGTGGTTAACAAACAAAAACAGATCTTCACCGTTTGGAGAGAAGCTCAGACTCCGACCAAAACTGCAATTTTTCATCTGGAGCCACCAGGGCGTTTTTTTTTTTTTTTTTTTTTTTTTTTTTTTTTTTTTTTTTACACATATCCCAATTTTTCTGTAATTTTGATTTTGGGGTTAATGTCAACAATGGCGCATTCAATGCGTTTCGACCTTCAATCGGGGCGCCACCAAGTGCATCTCAGACGACATAAAGAGCAATGCCATGACGGTGGGCCAGTATTCCGTCGTTAACCACAACGAGGGCTTTCCTAAACCTGATTCTCATAAGGTCACTGTCAGGGTAATTCCCAAACCATCTTTGTATGTGGGTCTGTTTCTATTTCTAAATTCGTCTAAAACTATTATTTGGGTTTCCTTTATTGCCAATTCTATAATCGGGTTTTCTATTTAATCTTGTTTGGAATTGTTTTGGGATTAATGGGATAAAAGTTTTAAACTTTGTATTTTCTTTTTATTCACAGTGAAGCGAATGTTTAGGCAAAGCATTGATTTTGGCAACAATACATCCTCTTAAAGATTTCTGTTATTGGGTTCGTTGATTTATTGGAAAGGTGTGATTTTTGTGCTCAGTTTAGAGATTTGATCTGGTGGTGCTGTGGGTTTGTAACAGGTGACCTCACCTTATGGAAGTAATTATCACTATGGGGATCACGTGGAATCGGGTAATTTTGCGTTTACTGCGGCAGAGACTGGTGATTATTCAGCTTGCTTTTGGGTGTCTGATCGTAAGCCCTCGACCACGGTGACCATTGATTTTGACTGGAAAACTGGAGTTGCTGCTAAGGACTGGTCCAAGGTTGCCAAGAAAGGGCAGATTGAAGTAAGTATTCTTCTGCTTGCACAAATATATATATATATATATATATGCATTTCCATTTATGTTTGGTGTTCATTCCTTCATTGTGAATTCCAATATGAACATAAACTTGGTTCTTCTATGCTTTATGTTTTTATCAGGAAATGTGATCCTAGTGAAGTTGAAAAATATGAACACAAGTACTCGTTGATAATCAATAGGAAGAACAGAGGATTTCTACAAAGAACAGACTAGTTAGATTCACAAAATATATCAAGCAAAAAAGAATAAACCAGAAAGATCTCTTTTTGTTTTCCATTTGCTATGTGATATGATTAGTCTGTCTCTTGTGGGCCTCAAAGGCTCTTCTTTGTAGAGTTAGAATTCTTAAAGCAATAGGATTCAGTTTTGAAGTACGAAAATTACAAAATCCAGTATACAAAAAAATATTAAGTTGTTTTTTTCAGCAGCCTAATCATCTGATAGATGCTAATAACTCACATATCCTTGTGAATCTGTTTCACATTAATTAGTCTTTTATTTGTTGTAGAAATATCTAACATACTGATAAAAATATGGTTTATATCTTGTTCTGATATTTCTTTTGTTCCTTGTGCTAGACGATGGAAGTTGAGCTGACAAAATTATATGATACTGTGTCATCCATTCATGATGAGATGTTTTTTCTTCGTGAAAGGTATAGCCACGCGTCATCCAACATTTTAGAAGCTTGTACATCATTAAGTCATTTGAGTCGGAATATTGGACCCCATTTGTCCTGAGATTTTTTTGATGGAAATAGCCAGCATGTTTTGTTCCATGTGAAGTTCATTTTCTCCCCATTTTTCTTTTCAATTCTCCCCCTTTCGGTTGTGGTGTTTCAGGGAGGAAGAAATGCAACAACTTAACAGATCAACTAACTCCAAGATGGCGACTTTTAGCTTCCTTTCCCTTCTGGTTTGCCTGTCAGTGGCCGGTTTGCAACTATGGCATCTTAAGATGTTCTTTGAGAGGAAGAAGCTCCTCTAGTTCCACTTCGTACTTATTTCCTTAGCTTTTCGTTCTGCAGTTATATACATACTACTTTTCCCCCTGTATTACGAGGCCGAATTATATGTTGCGCAGTGGTTTGTTCCACCGAGAGGTTAGCTGATAGAAAAGAATCCTATCAAAGTTTTGGTTTGTTTTGTTGAAACTGGTTCTGTACTTTTCCAAGGGAACTAACTTATCAAGTTCATTTGTAGTCACTTTGAATTAGGGGTGGTTGCGGTTCGGTAACCGCTAATTTTTGCTCAAACCGCAAACTGACCGACTATTTGCGGTATGGTGATTTTTGAAGCCTTTTGAGTTCAAGCATACTTTAACCCAAAAATATAAATTCACAACCTAAACTTCTCAAGAATTCACAATCTAAAGAAAATTAAAGTTACAATTCCAAGCATTCCAATTAAAGTTAAACTTCTCAAGTATTCATAACTTCAACTTCTCAAGCATTCCAATTCCAAATCCTTTAAAGTTACAAACCAAAAAGAAAATGCAATGCAAAATGAATTAAAGTTACAACCCAAAGGAAAAACTCAATTCAAAGTTAATTAAAGTTACAAACTAAAAGGAAAATGCAATGCACCAATGTTACAAACTTAAGTGTTGGTGGTGGTGAGTGGATTTGAAGGACCCCGTTGTGTTGTTTGATCACCAATATTATCCACAAAATGCAATTTTTTTTTATAAAAAATATCGTCGCAGTTTGCGGTAACCGCAAGTTTTGAAAATCAAATACCGTAACTGCAACCGCAAATACGGTTCAGTTCTTCATACCGCAAATACGGTTCGGTTTCCCGCGATTGCGGTAAATTGTCGGTTAATTTTTGCGATTTTTCGGTTTTTGGGTCTAAAATGTCACCCCTACTTTGAACACACTTACATCTAACACTCAATGTTGATGACTTCATTTGCTCTTTAACCAACAGATGATATTGATTCAAATTATATATAATAATAAATAAATAAATAAATATATATATATATATATATATAGAAAAAGGGGGAAAAAGTGATTTCATTTACCATAATTGATAAGCACGCAATGGTAGTGATGATAATTTCCACCAATAAAATGGATTGTAAGAATTTTTTATGGAAACTATTTAAGAAAAGATCTGCTATATGTTATAAATGAAAATGAAATATTAGTATTGAAAATTTGTAAATTCATTGAGGGGAAATAACAAGAGCGAGCCAAGAAGGAAGAGAGAAGGAAAAAAAAATGTATAGAGTTCAAAATACCGTTAAAAAGAGTGAGACCAATTGAGTCAGTGACCATAAACCTATGCTACAGCTAGAGCAACAACAATGGCAGGTAAGCCTGAGCTTCAGCCTGGGCTACATGGCCCAGAACTGCCTCTCCATGAGACACCTCAAGCAAATCCATGCCCGCTCAATCGTCACAAACCTACACCACCACGCCATCGTCTTCGCCAAGCTGTTCCGCTTCGCCGCTGTCTCACCCTCCGGTGACTTAAACTACGCGCACCGCCTGTTCTGTCAAATGCCCCAACCAACCACTTTCTTGTACAATACCCTCATCCGGGGTTACTCTAAAAGTTCGTCGCCTTCGCAATCGGTTTTTCTGTTTAACCAGATGAGGCTAAACAGCCTCAGCCCAGATGAGTTTACCTTCACATTTTTGCTGAAATCGCGGTCAAGAATGAAAATTGATGTGCCTTCGATAATGGCGTCCGATGAGATTCATGGGGTCGTGTTAAAGTTTGGGTTTTGCTCACATTTGTTTGTACAGAACGCATTGATTCATATATACGGGGCGAGAGGGATACCGCTTGCGGCAAGGCGAGTTTTCGATGAGGCGGTGGCTCCGGATGTCGTTTCTTGGTCGGGTTTGGTTAGTGCGCATGTGAGAGCGGGGGAATTGGACTTTGCACGGCAGGTGTTTGATGAGATGCCTGAGAGGGATGTGGTTTCTTGGACCGCTATGATTTCTGCCTATTCGCAAGCAAAGTATTCGAGGGAAGCGCTTGAGTTGTTTTGGGAGATGAATCGCGAGGGAGTGAGACCCGACGAGGTCACCATGGTGAGTGTGATCTCAGCTTGCACGGATTGGAAAGATGTGCAAACGGGGATTTGCATCCACCAATATATTGATGAGAATGGGTTTGCATGGATGGTTTCACTTTGCAATGCTCTAATTGACATGTATGCAAAGTGTGGATGCATGGATCGAGCGTGGCAAGTATTCAATAAGATGAACCAGAAGAGCTTGGTCACTTGGAATTCGATGATTTCAGCTTGTGCAAACCATGGCAATGCTGATGATGCATTCGGTTTGTTCGATAGTATGATTAGTGCCGGTTTTCCTCCAGACGGGGTCACGTTTCTAGCCCTTTTAGTTGCTTATACACACAAGGGATTGGTAGACGAAGGGCTCTGGCTATTTGATAGAATGCAAAAGGACTACAGAATCGAGGCACAAATTGAGCATTACGGGTGTGTGGTAGATATGTTAGGCAAGGCAGGGCGGTTGGAGGAAGCATACAATTTGATTAGCAGTATGCCAGTTCCAGGAAATGATGTCGTTTGGGGAACGCTCCTCACAGCGTGCAGAACTTACGGCAATGCTGATATGGGCGAGAGGGTTGTGAAGAGGCTGTTAGAGTTGAAGCCAGATGAAGGTGGCTACTATATTCTCCTTCGTGATATTTATGTTGCTGCTGGAAGGACTGCGGAAGCAAATGCTATGAGGCAAACCATGATGGTTAACGGTGCTAGTAAGACTCCCGGATGCAGTTGGGTGGGAGCATAAGGTTTAACATCAAATGCTCTGTCTGCCCTGGTCGTCCCGGATCCTGTTTTTGATGTTCTCCTCAGAGATGAATCCAATCAGTCTTCCAATTAGTAGGGGCACATATTACCAGTTCTTGTTTTTTGGCGGTTATAGAGTCTAAAGAGCAATGAAATGTGGAAAGACTGAAGATGAAGGATATGCGTGGGACTAGATTAAATTAAGATGAGTTGCATTTACAATCAAATTTAATCCAAGTCATGACTGATTATCATACAAACCTACGTATGCCAAATAATTTCAGTGCAGAGTTGAGCTGTTGGGGGCTAGAAACCGATTGTAATATATACACTCTTTGACTCTTAATTCTGAAAGTGACTTTTATTTTTCAGGTTCCTCGTTATGAATGACATTGGCACACATGGCTCTAGAAACTGAAAATGTACAAACACATTGAACTAACATAAACTAGAATGTTTTTCACACCATAATAACTCTTATTATACACCATTTCCAGGCATATTCATCATCAGTTAAAATAAACGCATGTAACAAGACACTCCAACCCAGAAGTCTGGGTATTTATTTAGAAGCCACAAGTTGACACACAGACACACACTCATCCTGAGATTTGAGTTTAGAGCTTAGGATACTCAAACATGTAACAGAGAATACCACTAAAAGGAAATACACGCGCAAACCCTTTATTTAGCATCAAAGTATGGCTATGGCTATGGCATGTATCCCCTTAAGGTACAAGGATTATGATCATTCATCATCATAGCTCTTGCGGTGGTGGTGCTTGTGGTGACGTCGTTTTTTCTCCTCATCATCATCATCCTCATCCGAGTTGTCATTTCCCTGCCATATTCATTTGAGAGAATCAGATAAAATAAACAAAAATAACCAACAGGGTTCGAAAAACAGGTACGTGTTCTACACTTTTAAACCACCTTCACCAGAGGTGCAGCTACTACACTACATGCATCTATTAGATTCCCTCACCAACAGCATTGAACTTACAACAGAGTAAACAGTTTTCAACAAGAATTTATCCAAATGATCCACAAGCCAAAGCATTAGGAGGAGGATATAGAAACATCATAGACCTAAAGTCACCTTCAGAGATTCGAGCTTGAGAAAAAAAGTTTGTGCCTTGAGAAGGATTAGAAATGTTTTCGGATTCAAATGGTGATAAAAACCAGAAAAACAAAACCAGGATGTGTATCTCCGGAAGATATATTTTGACTCATTATTGCAACTACAACCCCCAAAATTTTATGCATGTAATTATTAACTTATGATACTGTAATGAAGATGGACCACATGAATTGTTTAGAGCTAATCACATAAGCTCTGCTCTCATCTTATACTAAATGAGTGCCAATGCAAATAGATCAATCCAAAAATGTTTTCCAACCAAAAATATAAACAGTTACTCAATGCATACGCAAAAGATGATTTCCATGATGCGTAATTCAAATTGATAAATTAGCTAAAGAGGATCATTATAATTTATAAATACCATGATTTGTATGCATATAACGGCACACTGGAAATGGGGATACGTACATTATGAACAGCATGCATGAAGATGGACAAGCAAACAAACAACAATCCACATGACTCAAACTTATATCATAGAGACGCCTAAATGTAAACACATAATTAGAAAAAGGAGTTTTAAAGCTCGAGGTTCTCACATATTTCTTGCGACTATAGCCCTCCTCACGAGAACCATACTTAGGACGCTCAGCTTCATCATCATCACCGCGCCTCTCATAACCACCAGGCCTGCGGTACTCCTGCTCCTCGCTCCTCCCATAACTGGGCTTCTCATACTCCGCGCTTTCCTCCCCCTCATAACTGGGCCTCCCATAGCTGGGCCTTGGTGGTGGCGGCTCATCGCCGTAGCCAGGCGTGCCATAGCTGGGCCTCGGCGGCGGCTGCTCATCTCCGTAGCCAGGGCTCCCATAGCTGGGTCTTGGCGGGGGCGGCTCATCTCCGTAGCCAGGCCTCCCATAGCTGGGCCTCTCCTCGCTTTCTGGGGTCTCATAACTAGGCCTCCTCCGCGGCTCTTCGCCATAACCAGGTCTCTCAAACTCTGTCCTCCCATAACCCGAACTCTCATACTTGGGCCTCTCCTCACTTTCTGAGGTCTCATAACTGGGCCTCCCATAGCTTGGCTTTCTCGGCGGCTCATCTCCATAACCAGGCTCCTCGCCATAACTCGGCTTCCGATCATACCCAGACCCGAATCCAGCTCCCGGTGCTTCGAACTCAGGCTTTCGCCCATACCCAGATCCATGCTCAGATTCGGGAGCCTCGTACTCGGGCTTTCGCCCGTACCCGGATCCATAATCGGGTTCAGGCGTCTCGTACTCGGGCTTTCGGCCATACCCAGATCCATACTCTGGTTCAGGCGTCTCGTACTCTGGCTTTCGGCCATACCCAGATCCATACTCGGAACTGGGCTCATCGGACTCTGGTCTCCGACGATACCCAGAACCGTATTCCGAACCGGGCTGTTCATACCCCGGCTTCCGACCATACCCAGACCCATGGCCCGAATCGGGCCTCTCGGATCCATACTCGGGTCTATCCTCTCCGCCAGGCTGGAACCCATAAGCCGGTTGGGGCCTCCCTCCGTGCTCTCCCTCCGGATCGCCTCCACCTGGAGTGAACCCAATGGCGGGTCCGGGTCGGTGCGTGGGCCGGGCGTAGCTGCTGTACTCGTTGTCGAGAGCCTCTTCGTCATATGCAGAGGGCTCAGAGTAGGATGAAAATTGGGGCCGCTCATAATCGAAATCATCGGACGGCGATGAGTTAGGGTAGCAGGTCTCATCCGACGGCTCGAGAGCACGGCCGTAGGTCAGAAACAAATCGTATCCGCCACCGAACGGCGTCGGATCGTACTCGTCGAAGTCGTGAACTTCGTCATCGCCGGCAGCTGTGTAGTACGGCATCGTTTTGAGGTTTCTGTGATCTGAGAAATGTGACTGTCAAAAATGACGAGGGAGCCTGGATCCCGGGTGATCTGTATTTATAAGTCGGTGACCATTTTCTCGTCATCGTGGGATTACCGCGTCATGTCGTTGCCTCTTGCCGAGTGACAGGTGGACAGTTTTTGTTGGACAGGTGGACAGATTGAAGTAAGCGCAACCCAAAGGTCGAGTTGGGCCTACCAAGCATGGGATCATTATCCGAAATTAAAGTAGTGGGCCATATCGTCATTTCAGTGGGGGCCCTTGAAATGCTTTCGGCAGTAGTGGGCCATATTAATTTTTCTTTTTTCTTAATATTCACTGTAGGATAACATTTTGGAGTTGTATTGTGCAATTGTCTCTAAGAAAGGAAGAGGGGTTTGTTTCACTAGAAAAATATATATAACAAAGCCAAATGTGAACCATATATACATTAGTAACCTGGATTATGCAGGAAGGAATGATTAGGTAGCTTGATAATTTATGGAAATTAAGCGTTAATCAAGAGATGATAATTAATTGGGATGAAAATCAATAACCGAATAAGAACAGGATGCTATGGCATACGCGGGTTAGGAAGTTAACCAAAATATTGTCTCCACCTTTGAACTTAAATTCGATTTCACTCCCCATACATTATAATAGTTTAAAATATTATTTCTTCATAAAAAATAAAAGAAGAACAGAATGCTCCGGAGAATCATATACGTCGGTCACTGAATTGCTTGTTCGCTGGTGCAACATCCGGGCCACCAAGATGATCGAGTGCCTCCAGGCGAGGTAGCCTGCATGTGGAGGCAGGCAGGGGTACACAACTAAATTAAAATCACTACAACTTCATCGTCATATAAGTTAACCGACTAACAACAAACACATGCATGCATGCATATGCATATCTATTATGGCATTAAATTTAGTGCAATGTAATTAATTATGATGAGCCTGTTTCTTACGTATTTCTTGCGACCATATCCCCCTTCTCCTGCAGGAGTGGGCTCCTCATCATCATAAGAATCGCTTCTCCTCCCTTCGTCGCCGCCCTGCCTCCGAATATTGTATTGATCTCCCTCTTGCGACGGCCGGGCGTAGCTACTATACTCCTCTTTCACGGCCTCCTCGTCGTACGCGGACGGTTCCTGGTACGATGAGAACTCGGGCTGATCATAGTCCTCCTCGGGGTCCTCTCTTGAGGAGTGACGGTAGCACGTCCTCTCAGATGGGGCCACAGGGCGGCCGTAGGTCAGTGCCATATCGTACCCGCCCTCGTATGGCGTCGGATCATACTCCTCGAACACGTCCGCGCTGTCTTCGTTGGCGTCGTTCCCTGTGTAGTACGTGTAGTAGCGCGTCATTTTGAGGTTTTGATCAAATCCAAATGTGCTTAGGAGGAGATGAATGAATATATTAAGCATTAAATATTCCCTAATTCTCTAACTATATATGTGGCGGTTGACATTTTCTCATGCGAAAACAACGTCCGACCATAACTTCTTTGGGGTACTCACACATGGTAGGCCTTTTGACCAACATTTGGGATGAAAATTAGGTTAAAATAAAAAGGTGTACATCTAGCTATGCTGCTATTAGATTTTTATTTTTATTTTTTTGGAATAAAAGTTTAGGGGAAGAGGAGATTACCCCATTTCAGGGTCATGGCGTACCAAAATCTCTTTGAGGACTTATAAAGAGGGTCTTAGCCATTTTTTTTTGTTTTTACAGATTATCCCCTAAGAGGGATTGTCAACGACGAAACTCAAATCTAGGTCTTGCTAGCGAAGAAAATGCTTCTTACCAACCCAACAAACCCTTGTTGGCTTATTAAATTTCTTTTTAATGTTGGACGAGTCTAGTAAAAAAAGACTTTATGGTAAATGAGTAGTTTCCGGGCTTAGGATCCTATCCTTATCAAATTTTTATTTTTGGGTAATGATTTCCCCACTATAATTTTATCCACTTACACTCATTTTTTAGTTATAAAATGGAGTGTAAGTGGATAAAATTGGAGTGGGAAAATCACCACTCTTATTTTTTTTTTGGTTACAAGACGGACGAACCCCAAAACAAAAACCTAAGAATAATTTGGGCCGATACCCAAATTAAGACCCGAATAATTAGGTAATACATGAAAAATATGCAAACCCAAAGAAAAATTATGTCCAATAACAGCAAAAAAGATCAGCAACAACAAGGCCTTATTTGGGTTTCTTCAAACAATAGCCCATTAGAAAACGGGTTAGTGGGCTACAGTTTGAGAAAAAAACTACACAAGATTCCAAGGCTAAAAGTTTAACATTATCTGGTTGAGTGAGTTTTCTGTCACTGTCGGTCCGTCTGGACCGTCTCTGCGTTTTATCTCAGCTATCGATTCCATCGCCACCTACATGCAAGTAAAGACAGTCTCCTCTGCTAGCTATTAAGCACTTCAAATTTCCCACTTTTAGAAAGTACCCAGATCAATAGAAATGGCGGCCTTTCTGCTAAGGGTGGCACAGGACGGCTCCGGCGACTACCGGACGGTGCAGGAAGCCATAGATGCCGTCCCTCTCTGCAACACGCGTCGCACTTTGATTCGTGTCTCTCCCGGCATCTACAGGCAGCCCGTGTACGTACCCAAGACGAAGAATCTCATCACTCTCGCTGGTCTGGCTCCTGAGCTCACTGTGCTCACCTGGAACAACACCGCCACCAAAATTGAGCACCACCAGGTGAGGTAGTGACCCTTTCACTTGGGTATGCGGACACGTGTCCAATGAGTATGTTTGCTGACTTTGTGGGTTGATTTTGTGTAGGCTTCTCGTGTGATTGGGACTGGGACTTTCGGGTGTGGGACAACTATTGTGGAAGGAGAGGACTTTATTGCCGAGAACATCACCTTTGAGAACTCTTCTCCTGAGGTAAAACTTTGTTTCAGTTCTTAGTTCCATTTCATTTGTTATTGTTCAAGACTGCATCTTTTGATTGCTTTTTCGATGTTGGTGTAGTTCGGCATTTTTGTTTTCTGTATTTCGAAAATGTGAACCAGTGCAGTGGTAACTCGAAAGTTCTCCAATTGGTTTTTTCTTATGATTGTTTTGGTTTGGTTCTGCTCTATGGCGGGTTATGAATGTTGGAGTTGCTAGTTCCTTTGGATTAAGCGAGTTTTGGAAGTTCTAGTTGGGACTGAAGAAAATATAAATGATACGATAGAAAGAAGGGAAAATATGGGAAGTTAGAAGATTTTTCATTTTTCATCTTGTTTGGATTTAGGGAAAAACGGGATTATTCATATCATACAACACAAAAATCGCATTCTCCATAAAAATTTCTTAACTTTTGGAGAGAATATGGAAGTGCGGAAAAGAAGATCTAAAAGTCTCTCTGCTTATCTCCGTACCGGGTCATCTGAGAATATGGTAATAGGAGAATTTTTGAAGACTACAAGGGAGTGGGAGTGAGTGATTTGTGGGATAGAGTTAAGTACTGGGCAGCTTTGTGGGCTTCTGTTACTGAAGATTTTAAAGATTATTCTGTTTCTACTATTTTGAGGGATATGGCAGCAGTGGTTATGTGAGGGTTGGGGGGTGTGTTGTTTCAGTGGTTTTTTGGCTTTGTTCCTCCCTGTTAGTTTGGGAGGGGTTGGTGTTGTTTGTTTCTTTTTGTGTTGGTGTTGTTCTTCGGTTGTGGTTGCCTTATCCACCTCCGTGTTCTTTTGCTTTATAAATTTCGTTTCTTCTAAAAAAAAAAAATACTGGGTCATCTGAGCAAGAGAAACTTTAAAACTTTTCAATTTCATATCTCTTCTTTTCTCTATTTGTCTCAATCCAAATATACTTTGTCATTATAGAAATTGGGGAATGCTTAAACTTAGGCTGTGGGAAATGCTTAAACTTTATTTCCCCTTCTCTCCTTCATTTCACTCTTGGGAACTTGGTTTACTATCAACATTGTGTTAACATTTTTCTTCTCTCTTTTTGTTTGGTAGGGTTCAGGCCAAGCTGTGGCGATTAGAGTAACAGCTGATCGATGTGCCTTCTATAATTGCAGGTTCCTTGGATGGCAGGTATACCCACTGTTCCCATTTAGTTACTTTGTAGATCATGGACTTCACGAGACATCTTTTACAACAAATTGATGCTGAATATCTGAATAATTCATCTTAGTTAATTCATATTTTTAAATTTCTTGGTGGGCACAAAATGTTATTGTTTTCTTTCACTGTGTAAAAACTAGCCATTTGATAAGTGAGAGTTATCAGTGTAATAAGTGGGTTCTTTTAATTTTGATACAGGATACCCTGTACTTGCATTATGGAAAGCAATATCTGAAAGATTGCTATGTTGAGGGAAGTGTTGACTTCATTTTCGGCAATAGCACAGCTCTTCTGGAGAATTGTCATATCCATTGCAAGGGAGCTGGCTTCATAACTGCACAAAGCAGGAAATCTTCCCAGGAGACAACAGGATATGTATTCTTAAGGTATCACACTATCTTGTAAACGAAAATAGCGAAGAAAAAAAGAAAAGAAAAATAAGAGAAGTGCCTGGTCATTGATGAACAATTTGTTGAATTGTTGCAGATGTGTAATCACTGGAAATGGAGGGACTTCTTATGCACATCTGGGACGGCCATGGGGACCTTTTGGAAGAGTGGTCTTTGCGTATACATTTATGGATGGGTGCATCAGACATGTTGGCTGGAATAATTGGGGTAAAACAGAGAATGAAAGAAGCGCATGCTTTTATGAATACAGGTATACATGTTTGACTCATCTGTTAGTACTTTAACTCAAGAGTGCCTCCCTTTAAACAAAATGTGTTATTATTTTTCTGAGTATGGTACGGGTATGAATACCGCCAAATATGCAATAGAAAATTTATGTAACTTAAGAACTTTTCACATTAGACTCCTATCGGTATGGACTAGAGTAATTTAGATGGTTAACCTGGGAGTACCCAAAAGCAAAGTTAAACAGAACTGAGAAGCGACATACGTTTGATCTACTTTAATTGGTTTCATCAAGCTCTTTTGGAACATTTTTTAGATTCAGTGTATAAGCTTTTCTTTTCTGGAAGATAATATTCTCTCAAGATTGTCACTTTGTTTACCTGATCTTGGATGTAAGAAGAACTTCTTGAAGTACTGATTATTATTTTGAAAGCTAAAATTTCTTTTGGACTGAGTGACTAGAAGCAGAATTTGATAAGCTTGTATTATCCAATCAAAATTGCAGGTGTTTTGGACCAGGGAGTTGCCCATCAAAACGGGTGACATGGGCTAGAGAACTGTTAGATGAGGAAGCAGTCCAGTTCCTCCAGCATGGTTTCATTGACCCAGATCCAGAAAGGCCATGGCTTGCTCAGAGGATGGCGCTAAGAATACCATATTCGGCATAGAAGTTCAAATTGAAACTGACATGAGGAAGACTCCCAAAAACTGATAGTTTGAGTAATATTGAATGATATTAGGTGAATGAATAAGATACACATCATGGCTATTTCAAATCTTGCTTTGTCAAAGAAGAGGCATTACCCGATACCTTTTAATGTATGAGCTTCCTAGCAGATGCAAGTACATGTAAATGTATGTTAAAGAATTTCAGATATGATGGCTGATTGTCCAAGATAATATATATATTATATATTATTACTATTATTACATTTGTAAACCCGTTTTCTTTTCAGCCTTGGGATAGAAAATGGCCCATTTCAGATTGGTTATGGGACATGAAAATTGTCTTGGTCCTCCTCATCAGGCACCGCCGCGTGCATAAAGTAGCAATTTAGCACTCATGCTATTGGAAAGATCACTTTTTGTCCTTTGAATTGAACCGCCCTTTCTTGTTTTGATGAAAGTGAACCACCCTTCCATCAACCCCATCAAATGCATCATATGCCCCCCGTTTTGAGATGAATTTGCATGTCATGGAGATAACACTATTTTGCTATTCCAACCGATCACGTGCTGCCATGTGGAATAGTTATCATGTGTGGCGGAACATGATTAATTGGGGATAATAAAATATCCCCATGATATACAAGTTTTTCTCCCGGTTGAGACTAAGGCCTCAGTTAATGCTGCTTCATATGCAAAAATTACCTTAAAAAACCATTTCATCTCCGAACATTTTGCATTTGAGGGTTAATGACGCAGTGTTTTCAAACACTGAAAAGACACTGTTGCAGTAGCAAGCATAGGCTTCTAAAAATCCCATGTTTCCAAGACGAAACAAGCACGCACATGGTTGAGCTTAAAAACTGTGTTCATATCGTTAGAGTCGAGAATGCTGATGTCGACCACACATGCAGATGCAACTACATTTCGTTAATTACTTGCGTGTGGAGTTGAAAACGCTGAGTCGAAAATGCTGATGTCGAGCACACATGCAGATGCAACTACATTTCGTTAATTACTTGCGTGTGGAGTTGAAAACGCTGATTTTGAGCAAACAGTTGCACATGGTTAGGAAGTGTGCTTTGAGGTGCTGTAATTCTGATTTCTATTTCCGTTGCTCTATCAAATACTAGGGCCACCACCTATCACCATGGAACTAAATTGTTCCTTTTTTTTATTTATATCTTTTTTCTCTTCTTAGCTACATAAAAGTTTGATATAAAGCTTAAGCTAGAGGAAAACTAGTTTGCAATATGGTAAAGAGAAGATGGGTGAGGTTGCTGCTGCTGGTCTTTTTTCTGTATGGCATTGCCAACCCTTGTTCTGTCCTCGTAGAGGCATGCGTGCCGGAGCAGAAAATTTGAAGGGTAAGCTGATGAAGAAGCAGGACAGGCTTTGCCATGTAAAGGCCTTGTTTAATCCAAGTCAGCCAAAGAAAAAGGAGCCTTTAACCTTCTACTTTAGACATACTATTGATGCCCCTCTCTATGAGTCCCCTAGGGTACTATTCATCTCTCTCTCTCCCCCTCTCTCTTACAGACTGAAGCTCTTGCATAATTCATAATTTGCTTGAATGCTACTTTAATTTGCAGGCTCCATTTTATCAATATTTGGAGGATGAGCAAAGGGTTTTTAAAACAATTTTTCAGGACGAGGAAAAAACTCAACTCAGTGAGGTGCCTAGTGCTCTCTTTTCTTGTTATTTTCCTGCATTTCTACACAAATTTGAACTTTTTCTCAATTGTTATCACCCTTAATCTGCTGGGGTTAGGTTTAAGGACGTATCATGTGATTATGCAGGAAGAGTGGAGAATGAAAATGCCAGCCATGCAAGTCTTGTTCTTGTCTATCTTCCTTATACTATATGTAAAGTTAAGAATGAAATCGATGGGGAAAGACTACCCTTCTCATGTTCCTCAAGACATTTCCAAGGTTCTCGAGATTGAAATTGTAAGTAAGCATACCATAATCCATTGGGAAAAAAAAAAAGAATCAATAGGTAATTAGTTTCATGTACTTGAGGGAGATTTCCAAGGTCACATTTCTTTTTTTGTTTGTTTTTTTTATTTTTCTAGACAAGATGGGAGCTCCTAGGCCCCTCAGATTATGAGCCAGGTGATTTTAGCCTCACTATCAAAGGAGCCATATACTCTGAAAGACAAGGAGCACAAAGCTGGCTTAGAAACATATTTAATATCAACATAAGCTTCATTGTTTCACCTCTGCTTGCTTGGGTCCCGGATGATGTTATGCGAAACATTACAAAAACGGTTAGTTCTTCAAAACCCAAGTGTGTTAGACTATTTGATTTTCTCTTATAGATAACATACAAGCACAGTTAGAAAATAAGGGCAAGTATCTTTCTGGCAAATTAATGTTTTCCGCGAACAGCTTGTGAAGACGACGATGGACGATGTGAAAATAAATGCCAGGCTGCTAGCAGATTATGACAAATTCAAAACAGAGAAGCTCAAGAATGTGGCCTAATTAATCATGTGAGTAGTACTCATTGAAAAATCCAAGTACAAACATATGTTGAATTTTCGAATGTCTTGAAGAACGAAAAGAAAGAAGAACTGCTGCAACTAATAAGTATGGAGTAGTAGGACACATTGAAGGTACCACAAGACTGAGAGGTGGTTGTTCTTTATTCATTGTATTGTGAACCAACCATGGCCAAATTGTTTCCCATTTCCATCTTGATTGCCCTGTTTTCATACTCTGTTGTGTATCAATTAGGTTGCAAGTTCTAAGAAATTAGTAATGAGAAAGAAATAGGGACTAAAAAGTAAAATTGAATGATTCTACAACGTTACACAACGTGATTGAAAAGACAAAACAAACCAAAGGAAAAAGAAAAACAATGGAGATGCAGGGGATCGAACCCTGTACCTCCCGCATGCAAAGCGGGCGCTCTACCATTTGAGCTACATCCCCAACTTGTCGAATAGATGAAACATATCCTTATAAAAAGGACATTAAAACTTTAAGAAAACCCACATGCCAGCGCCGCCATTTGTTTCATCTTTACCATGAAATAAGAATATGATTAACTTATTAACAAATTGGGGATGTAGCTCAAATGGTAGAGCGCCCGCTTTGCATGCGGGAGGTACAGGGTTCGATCCCCTGCATCTCCAGTTGTTCTTTATTTTTTTTGGCTTTTAAAACCAGCCTTAATTAGCATTTTTACAAGCATAATGAACAAATAAGGAGAAGCATAACGAATAAACGTCATAAAGTTCCATTCAATAGGACATCAAATAGGCCAAACAAATCTAATTAATCACCACTTGCATTATTTATGTACACATAAACATCACCAATAATCAGAGCAAGAACAAGAACCTTGCTTGAAACAATGAAATCGATTCCGATGCCAAACAAATCTAATTAATCACCACTTGCATTATTTATGTACACATAAACATCACCAATAATCAGAGCAAGAACAAGAACCTTGCTTGAAACAATGAAATCGATTCCGATCCCTGATTACAATTTCTCGATTATAAACATGAGAAACTATTTTCATAGCAGAATGACAGTCTACACATATCCGCAGATTCTTGAAAATATAAAGAGTTGAGCCAGCTCTTGTGCTTATAAGTCCAAAACAGACTGCCAGCTTTTCACTGTGGCAGAACAATGCCTGCTCTATCTCCTCCAGCTTGTCTGCATCATCTCTACTGTCAACGCCAGAGAAAACTTGAGAACCAGTATTTGGGACATAACCAGCCAATCTCAACCTTTGTATCATCTCATCCAACTTCATGTAAATCTCCATCGTCTGTGGGTGTGACTTATCTCCGGCACTGAACTGATGAACTTGGCAACCCACATAAACTGAACTCATTCCAGGCACCTTTCTTATACCCCTGTTCTTAAGATCCTGCCTCAGTGAGTTAGCCTTGTCCTTTTTTCCACCCAAAGCATACATGTTTGAAAGCAGGACATGATGATCTGTGTTGTGGGGATGCATTCGAACCAGTTCTTGCAGAATGCGTTCGCCCAGCTTTAGCTTTCCGTGGACTCTGCAAGAACCAAGAAGGGAACCTAAAACAACCTCATTTGGAGGCATTGGCATTTTCTTAATCAAGACTTCAGCCTCTTCTAAATGACCAGCCCTGCCTAGAAGATCCACCATACAAGCATAGTGTTCTATCTTAGGTGTTACACCGTATGATGCTTCAAGATTATCAAAGTAATGTCGACCCTGTTCAACAAGGCCCGAGTGGCTGCAAGCACTCAACAAAGCGGTGAAGGTTAAATCGTCTGGCTTGACTTCTTTGAGCATTTGAGGAAACATATTCAGAACAAGTTTACCCTTTCCATGCATTGCCAACCCACTAAGCAAAGCATTCCAGGTCACTTCATTCCTTTGGTGCATGTGCTCGAAAACTTTCAACGCAGTGTCTACTCTACCACATTTTGCATACATGTCAACCACTGCTGTGCCAACCATGATATCAATCTCATTACCCACTGCCTTAACAGCATAGGCATGAACCCAACGGCCTGTCATCGTATCTCCCGATTGCGCAGAAGCCGATAAAAATGAACAGAGGGTAACATAATTCAATCCCAAACCACAACCAAAAACCATTTCTTCAAGAAGAGAAAAGCTTTCACGGACAAGCCCAACACTCACATAACCAACAATCATAATCGTCCAAGCAACCTCATTCCTCTCAGGCATATTATCAAACACCATCCTCCCACTTCCCACACCTTCCAATTTAACCACACCATCCAAAATCACAGTCCACGACACGACGCTCCGCTCCCCCATCTCTTCAAACACCCGTCTCGCCATACCCAATAGGCCACACTTGACATACATATCCATGACCCCATTGCAAGCCTTGACACTAGAACCCAAACCCACCTTCATCACAAACCCATGCCCTTGCTCCCCAATCTCAACGTTGCCCAGCCGAGCACACGCATTGAACAAGCAAGCCATGGCCACGTCGTCCACCCTCACGTTTTCTCTTCTCATTTCGATAAACAAACGAAGCCCACTTTGGGGCATGCCGTGGCGGGAAAAGCAGCCCATCAGGACGGTCCAGTCCACAGCGTCTTTGTGCCAGTTGGGAATTTCATCGAACAGCTTGCGGGCAGAGCATGCACTGCCATGGGCAGCATAGAAGTGGAGGAGGGCATTGTGAAGGAATGAGTCTGGCATGGCGGCAAGGCCTCCGGTGATAATGGCGGCGTGAAGCTTCTTGCCCATGTCGATAGAGCATTGGCGCGTGCATCCTCGAATAAGCGAACGGAGGTGGCGGTTGGGGAGCGATGCCAAGGCAGCGTTGGTTGGCCATCTCATAAGAGAGGCTGAAAGAGGCAGCTTAAGTTTGGACCTTTGGAGAAACACAAGAGTAACATAGACCAAACCAAAGGAATTGTTCAGTCGTTTACTTTAAGTACAGATAAGCCAATAACAACTTTTTATTTTCTTTATCTTAGTAAGTAACATGGGAGGATGGGATGTGTGAGTTAGGTCAGTTGGTCAGGATGGTGAGGCTTGTCTCTTTGGACCGAAGTTCAAGCAAGATGGGAGTTATTCAGATAAAGAAGAAAGGAAAAATTTTCCGATATATGATTAACTGTACTTAATGAGCAATGAACCCACTCATGGTGAAAGCAAAGCATGTCTTTTTAGTAGTGAATACAACCAGCAAAGAATCGAAACGTCAATATTTTGCCATTACTACACAATCAAGCATCTCCATCTTGACAACTCAATTTTGCACACTCGAAAAATAAGGAGAAACAAGAAAATGAAAATCTGTTCGTTCGAAACACCCACAAGCTCAAACAAGAGAAAATGTTTTGGCTATTTAAGTTTGAAGTACAAGATCAAGGCGATGGCAATGACAAGAACGGCAATAACACTGCCAATAATCCACTTGTTCCTGCTCATCCTCCGTGCCATGGAAGTCAAAACTCTCTTGCTTTTCCCTATGTTGTCATCCACCCCATGAAGCTGCAATAGAAAGAAAACAGTCAAATAATTATGTCCAAGGGTGTTCTTGCATTGATAGCAAACAGTTATACCAACAACTTTTGTGCTTCGTGAAACTTATTTTTAGTAAAGTAAATGAATACATACAGCCATAGCTCACTGCTGAAAACTAAAACTAAAAACTATGAAAAGAAGATGAAGAGTAAATCATGTCCAAGAGGTGGTATGTCCAAAAGCATGAAGTACAACGTTGTAATTTCATTATTCTCATACATTACTCAGAAGGAAGGGAAGGTGTGCATACTACTGACTAAATGTAAGGGAAAAAAGATGAAAAAGATAGTAAATTGACCCTAAAACGAATATAAAGCCTGAAAAGATAATTACCGTGTTATTTGCATGTAACAGAGACTGTCTCTGTGAATGCAGATCTTGAAGGATTGAAACACCAAGCTCTTCTGTTTCCAGCATGGTTCTTCTACTGTCCTTAACTCTATCACTAGTCTTGTTTAATCTCTCTGTTGACATCATTAGCCTTCCTCTTTGATCAGCTGATGCCTATTGCATTTGCATCAGTTAGTAATGGTAAACAAGTTATCCAAAATTCAAGAAAGGATGAGCTTTCAGAGCAGAAGGGTTGACACAGTCACGGATGTTTAGTGCACCAAATACAAAGCTCTGGAATGCACACACTAGTCTCATCATACGTCACAATAGAGGAAAAACTAATAATTATGACAGAAGTGCTTAGTGGAACGAATTTTCAAAGAATCTCACACGCATACTTTCTGCGCTTCTTATATGTAATAAAAAGTAGAGATACAATCACGCAAAAGGATACTTCTATGGAGCATCTTTGTTTCCAATAAGCAAGTGGCCATCAACTTGAACCAGAAACTGATGAGAATGTTCACTGACTGATTTGCTCACCAAAGTGTATTCTTGCTCACAAACTCACTACTCCGTAATGAATCACACTCGTATATTTAATAACTATTAGAAACATAAAAATTAGCTCTTAGGATCTAAACATACCGTCAGAGTATCAGCCATGCCTGATTCCAACAACTCATCCCGGGCAGATGAATATGAGTTACCAGATACAAGTCTTTTAACTTCGCTTTTCAGATTATTCAGATCTGATTTATATTCCCTCAACTTGGCAAGAAGCACAGCTTTAATATTTGGTGGCAAACTTCTTGCCTCGAGGTCCATTTTCCGGATCTGAAATTTTTTGAGAAACATTCCATTTAATACAAAGTAAAAGGAAATAAAAGAAACTAATCCTCCCAAGGAGAATAGTTTAACTAATTACCAAAGATTCTGCATCATCAATTCCAGCCTTTATTTCAGAAATCTTTTGCTTCTTTTGCTCTGCAGATTAAAGAAGAAGCAAAACCTGATTACAAGCATGTATAAACCCCCAACGACAAAATTTGAAATATTATTCTTAAGTTCATCATTGCATGAAATGACTTAAAAACCTATTTCTCTGTATTTTTGTACCTGCAACACTCCAATCCACTACTTATGGCTGGTGTTGCTACAACACTCAACATCCAAAAAGTCAGAATGGATTCGTCTCCCATCCATTTCAATGGCATTCAATTGTTGAAAATTTTAAGAGTATAAATTGAGCCCCAATCTTAGATTAGACATAAAATTAATGTGCAATACCAGATCCCATCCACTCTCTTTCTTGTTTTTTCCTCTTGGTCAATAAATCATAGGCAAAGTCTACTTTCAAACAACCATTTTAACACATTAAGCATAAGATTCTTCAAACCAGTGGAGCTCTATCAGCCTAATGATTTCCACCATCTTTCGAGATCACTAATCCTAGAGCTACTAATAAGTTTTCAACCTCAAATAAAGAAGCATAATTTATGTTAGCAACTTAGCATCATCTCAAATTAACAGTCTAGTGATCAGGTAAACACATATCCCCCACCAACCAAGACCGAGAAGTCAGTTGTCGCACAATTAAGGCAAATCCCAGACGTACATTAAGATCCTCCACCAGATTTGGGATACCTATGCTTAAATCAACAAAAAGACTGAAACTTTATCCATAAAATCCATGCCACCGGCACAATTAAATACAAACTAAATCATCTAAATTCGGGGCAGCTACATATAAAAATCACATGTACGAAAAATAGAAACCAAATAAGAAAGAGTGGGAATTGGACCTCCATCAAGAGCACCAGCTACCGTACACTTTTTGGTGAGGTTGGCAGAGAGCTCACTGTATTGGCGCTCGTACCCTTCAAATACGTCACTCATCTTTCCCTAAATTTCTCTCTGCATTCAACCATCATACAATTTCAAAATGAATCAAAATAAAGCCCTAAATCGATCAAAATTAGGAGATTGAATTGTGCAACTATGATAATAATTTGAACGATCTGAGATCAATTGAATAAAGGGTACAGGCCTGTTAAGATCGGAGATTCAGATGGATCGCCGGAAACGAGCCTGAGGTCAGGGCGGGTGTTGAATGTTTCTACCAGGCGGTGGTGGTTTGCTATTGAAAAAGATCAAAACGGCACTGTGCGCGAAATGGAACCAACAGTTGTATTAATTTTGTGTGCATCCTTCCGATAAAATCAGTGACCGTGGTATGCTCGGGTATTACACTTGGCTCTCCCTGCTGACAACCGGGTCGTGGGGCTTTTTTTGGCCAAATGGGTTTTTTTTTGGAAAATATATTTTATTAAAATATCATAATATGTGTACAATGAATAACTAGAATAGTCAATTCATGACCGAGTGGTTTACCATAGTGGTAAGCTGCCCCACTCTTCCCCTCATTTTCATCTGAATAGTCAAAATTCATAACCCAAATGTGGCAAACATGAACAAAAACAAAATCTCAGTTAAAAGATTTGGTGCTTGAATACAATCAGATGGTTAAAAAAATAAAGCAAAACTACATAAACAGATTCCCAATAGTAAGCAACCTATTTCTTAGAAACAATGACATGGATATGAGATAGAAAAACAAAATAAATATAAGTACAGGTATTTACTCTTTTGCCTCTTCCCTTAGAGCATTGGCAACAAGGGGCCCAAGGGGAGGATTGGGGGGCAAACCCAAAATGTGGTTTCCAGCAACAAGAAGCTGCCAGGGCAATCAGTGGGGCCCACATACTTGGGCTGGCCCGAGCGCCAGCCCGCGGGTTGTGCTGACGTCAGCACTGGGGTTTAAATTTTTTTAAAGTTGGCGCGTGCAATGCGCACGCCAACTTTAAAAAAAATTTGACGCGCCGCTACAGTGACCGCCCAACGGCTCTTTTCCACGTGTCTTCTACTGGGCCATCCGATCAGTTTTTTAAACATATTCAACGGCAGCCATTTTTTCACGAATAAAAAAATTGAAAAAGCAACCCCTGACGGCTCTATGCCACGTGGAAGCTCCTAGGCTCTCCGATAATTTTTTTTCCAGCAATCCAACAACAGACAATTTTTTGCCCATTAAAAAAATGAAAAAAAATACGAAAAAAATACTGATTTTTTTTTTCTTTAAATACCAACCAATACTCTTCACTTTTAACACCAACTCCTCATACATTTTCTTCTCCTTCTACTATTTTTCACTTTCTACTCAATTTTTTTTCACTTTCAAGTTGTTTTTTTCTCTATCATATTATGGGTTCAGAGGGACATGGAGCATGAGATGGAAGATATTAGCTTGTGTGAGGCTTGGCTCCAAGTTAGTCATTGTCCCGTAACGGGCAATGAGATCAAATTCTGTCATATGTGGAAAAAAATTCATCAGGAATTTTGTGAAAGGGTAATTGGTTCTACCCGTACGGATCAGGCATTATCTAGTATGTGGAAAATTCTTAATATGGGAAAATGGAGAGATGCCTTGACAAAAGCGATGAACAACCATAGAAGCGGGGAAAACCTTAGCAGTGAGGTAAATTATTTGTAATTATTTATTTTATTAATTTCTATGTCATATTAAATTTTATTTAAATGTTTCTTGCAATTTATATATTATGTTAATATTTCTTGTATTTCCAATATTAATATGAATGTTTCTTGCAATATTTATATTTTGTTTTGCATTTCTAATAAATGGTTAAAGTTTCTTGCGTTTCCATTAATTTTTTTAATACTTGTTGCATTGCCAATATTTTTTTTAGTTTCTTGTATTTCCTTTTTTTTATTTTTATTTTTTTATACTTGTTGCATTGCCAATATTTTTTTTTCTTTTTTTTTTTGTTTTTTAGATTATGCAAGCACAGATGTTTTTTGGTGCTACTGGGCAAGGGAAAAAAAGTTTCAACCATACCCTGTGTTGGGAGGTGGTGAAGAATTGTAAGAGATTCCAAATTATTCCAACGGGTCCAACGATAGTGTTGAACGAGATGCCACTCCATGAGACACCGACATCGGATTCACCTATGGATTCCCCGATGAGTCAAGACTCACCTATAGAAAAAGAGTCGAGGCCTATTGGGAGGAAGGCGGCGAAGGCGAAGAGAGGGAGTAATTCTACCAAGAATACATCTAAATATTTGGAGGAGCTTTCAAAGATGCAAGCCATGAGAATTGAAATGGATATGAAACAACAAGAGCACGATAGGGCAATGGAAGTAGAATATGCAAAAGAAAGGGAGTGTGTATGCCAAGGAAAGATTGAAAAAAACGATCGGGAAACCATGGCTATGGATACAACCCATATGTCCCCCGAAACAAAACAATTTTGGAAGTTAGAACGAAGGGATGTTATGAGACGAAGACTTTTTGGTGATGATGGACCTAGCAACACGGATTGGTTAAATGATCAAAACCATTAAGTTAGTTTGCTTGCCTTTAATTTCATTGTATTTATCTGAATTTTGAATTTTGAATTTATCTGATATTTGACATTTTGAATTTATCTGAAATTTGAATTTTGAAATGTATCTTAAATTTGAAATTTATCTGAAATTTGAAACAGAAAATCTGATCCGATATGAATAGTATTGACACGTAGGAACCCAAAAATCTTATCCGAAAATATTATCCAAATTAATTGTTTAAGTAAACAAAGTTGTGAAAAAAACAAAAAAATGAATAGTATTTGTCATGGCAAGTCTTGCACTGCTGGAAACACAATTTTTTTTGTGTGCTAGGGCAGCCACTATTCACGAGAATAGTAGCCGCCCTAGGGCTCCCCTTGCCATGGTAAGGGGCTAACTGGTGGAAGTGCTCTTAGAGATACTCTTATGTTTGGTGCGAGTCTAGTTTGGTTCCTTTTTATTTTTTGGGTTCATCTTCTGTCTCTCAATTTCTCTATATCATTAAAGAATGATGCCTATTAATGGGTTGGATTATGTCTTTGTTGTGTTAATGGGTTAGGTTATTTAGTTCTTGTGTTAAGGGTTTGATTGTCAATGTGTTATTTATCAATTTCATAGGTTTTTTGTTTTGTTAATGGGTCAATGGTTTTATTTATCAAGTGTTTTAATGGGCTGTACTTCACAATGTATGAAAGTTTTACTTCAAAATTCTTTGTTTTAAAGTCAATATCTCCTCTTAAAAAAAAAAATACATATGGTTTTCGTTGTGATTTTCTCCAATACCTAAAACATGTGTGAAAGAGAGTTTGCTAATATGCACTTAATATATATGAAAGAGAGTGTGCTAATAATATCAATAACACAACGATAATTGAAGAATTTAAGACTTCTAAGCTTCTCGTAGGATAAACTTTTGGATTTAAATAGTGTTGTTTTGTATTGCATTGCATTTATTTGTGGTTTTTGTTTTTATTAAGCTTTTATTTATACATAAAAATGCATTTAAGGGTAACGCTCAATTCATCCCCTGATTAGGTGTATCTTTTTATGTTGGTGTCATTGAGTTTAGTACATATGTTTTGCCTAACCAACTTTCAAATTCTAGATCTACCATTGGTTGAGCTTGAGTAAGGGTGGGCATGGGTTGAGTTGGGTAGGTTTTAGTACCAATCCTATAGTGGTTTATGTTTTCTTGGACCTAAGACCTGCTCATTATTAGGCCAACTCAACTCAACTCAGATTTCTTGTGATTGAGTTAGGCAGTTCGGTTGGATTAACTCAAACTTAAGCGTACTTTTAAGTTTTAATTTCAACCCATACATAACAATTAATGATTTTATTGAACTCAAGATCCACTCATTTTTAGACCGACCTAACCCATTATGATCGAGTTGACAGTTCGGTCGAGTTGACCCCTACTTGAGAGTGACATTTGGGGCGGTAAGCAGTGAGTTGCTTGAAATAAAGTCGGTTACGTTGAGAAAATCCCAACATATTATGTACCTCTCTTTGCTTAAGCAAGCCTCGAGCGTAAATTCCCCTTGCTGCCCCTGCCCTGTCCCTCGCGCTCACGCTCACACAGCTGCTTACAGGTTCTCACTTTCCCAATTGGGTGATGCTTTCTTTCGTTAAAGTTGGAGACTTGAGATTGTAGTGCCATCTTTGCACTACAAATATATAATTTGCAGTTTGCTCAGTTGAGGTTGAGTTGCTTTGTTTGAAGATATGATAGTGTGGGCACTTTTAACATCAGTAGGAATCAATCTTGGTCTTTGTCTCCTCTTCTTCACTCTATATTCTGTATTGAGGAAGCAACCCAGTAATCTTGAAGTCTATGCACCGCGCTTGGTTGCTGCTAAAGAAGGATCTGAGCAAAAAAATGGTTTCAATTTCGAGAGGCTGTTACCAACTGCAGGTTGGGTGAAAAGGGCATGGCAGCCCTCTGAAGATGAGCTCCTCTCAGTCACCAGCTTAGATGCTGTGGTCTTCATGCGCATTTTTATCTTCAGGTTACTTAATAAGCTAGAATTGCAGGGTATGTTGAGATTGATTTTGCTTTTTCGAGTGCATATTTGAGTTTGTTTTGTTTGTTTTTATGCAGTTTGAGAGTCTTTGGCTTTGCTGGGATTGTTGGGGTTCTCATTCTTCTTCCAATAAATTATCTGGGGAACCAGCTCGATGTGGATTTTGATTTTTCTGATTTGCCCAACAAGTCTTTGGACTCCTTCAGTATTTCAAATGTCAATGATGGCTCAAAATGGTAATTGTCTGGTTCGGAGTGTCATCTGTAGCTGCTCTTGATTGAAACTTGTGGAAATATTGTTGACAAAAGAATTAACTTGACATGAAATTGCAGTCTTAAACACTGCCGTTATTATTCTTTGACTCATTGTAGCATTTGCTACAATGTGTTGAGTGCCTTGTATAGCCCTGCATCATATTTCCACACATTGTTCCCCAATGCTGTAATCCATTTCAGTGGCTTTCAATTCTATGCACTATATGCCCTTTATAAGTTAGTGCATCAATCAATGAAACGTTAAAGACTTAGGATTCCCTCTTTGTGCTCGCAAATTCATAGCCTTAGACAGCAGGTGAAGCCGTATGAGCTTAGGTTGAGATTTGGATATAGGTCTCTGGTTATCTTCTAATTCCTGTGTGGCAGCTTTGTTGTATTTCGTTTTTGTCAGACTCTGGCAGATTAAATAAGCTAACTTAGATGGGAAATATTGCTCCTAGATACCAGCAACTGAGTTGGAGTTTTCTCTTACTTTTTGTGCTTGCACGTTCATAGACTAGGAGGTGAGAATGAAGTTGTTCAAGCTCATGCCAAGATATGGACTTGGGTCTGTTGAATATCCTTGAATATCCTTCTCACATGTTATTCAAACTAATTTCGACCTCTATGTGGAGTAGTTCTCTTTGATGTTGCTAGATAATGTTCAAGTACATTTGGATTTATTATATTTATAGTAGGCATAGTAAAATTATTCCGAAGATCACCTGATTATTAGTTTTGGTCTCCCAAGGTTATGGGTTCACTTTTGTGCAGTATACATTTTCAGTGGAGTTGTCTGCTATCTTCTTCATTATGTAAGTCAGATTTTGTTTTTTTAATGGCTTATTCCATCGTTTTCTGGTTCATTTAGAAGAAAGAATCAACACTGATTTCAACTTGATGACTATAACTGCAGGAGTATGGCTATATCTCATCAAAGAGATATGCGCACTACTATTCATCCAAACCTCAGCCTCATCAATTTACAATATTAGTTCGTGGTATTCCTGTCTCATCTGGGAGCAGCTGCAGTGAAACTGTTGAGAGATTTTTTACAGAGTATTATCCTTCTACTTATCTTTCACATGCAGTGGTTCGCCGAACCAACGAACTCCAACGTCTCACTGTAAGAATTCCGTGTGGATAATTGATTCAATCTTTTGTCCCCACTCCCCACTGCCCACAGGGGTCATATTTATTGTGGGAGTTTATTTTGGAAAATAAGTATGGGACCTCATTTATTTTTCGTTTATAATCATGTCACGTGCCTATGTTTGAATGCATTTTTTTTGGATAGTCCCAACAATGTGTGCAAGTAATCAAGCAGAAAGTAGTTTATCCTGTTTATGTAGCCTCTGCACCTCATAATTATTGACTGAAGAACAACATTTTTACGAATTAATTTGTTTTTGAGCTCTGTGATCTGCATTGACTTGACTATTTCACCACCATGCCATACATTTAATTTTACGAGGGTATTACCTTGTAACTTTAATGAATTCATTAATTTTCAAGGAGTGTCAGACTAATCCTCGACAAGTTAGGTTTTTTTGGGTTGTTTTCTAAGGCCCTGCTTGGTGCTTCTGTAATTGCTATGTGGATTTTTTTTAGGTTCTTACATATCACGCCTCAGAGTCCCTTTCTGCTTGCTTCATCCTACCCTTCCCGGTCATCAGTTGTAGCCTATATTTATTTAGTTGCTTAAACATCACACCTTAGTCCCTTCCTGCTTGCTTCGTCTCACCCTGCCTGGCCATCAGGCGTACCCTATATGTATGTATGTATGTGTGTGTGTGTGTGTATATATATATTTATTTATTTATATATTTTGGGTTTCTGAAAACATCATACCTAAGAACATCTGAACAAATTTGTAATGCATAATTTCGAAATAGGGTTGTTTTCAGACACTAAAATTGTAACAGTTATAACATTTCTTTATCAAATGAGAAATTGACAATGATTCATATATACTTTTTCTTTTCGTAGAGTGATGCAGAAAAGCTATACAGAAGGCTTGTGCATCTGAAATCGGAAACTAAGCCCCAGCAAAGATCCAGACGTGATGGCTTTTGCGGGCTTTTTGGACGCAAAGTTGATGTTTTAGATCAATATGGAAAGAAATTGGAAAATTTAGAAGATAATGTGAGAATGGAGCAATTGTCAGTGGCAGGAAAGGTATTCATGGAATTTTTTTTTCAATAGAGTTTGATAATAATTGTTTCAAATGGTATAAAAGAAGATCTCCTCTAGTTAAGAATTCCTTTAGCATTAATCTGAATGTAAGAGGTGAAACAAAAGTATCCATGAAACGTAATAGAAATCAGTAACACACTTCTTCATTATTATTATTATTATTATTTTGTTATACTGATTTGTATATGGTGGCTTTAAGAAATGCATGAACAAACACGAATAGACCCATATTTTTGACTTCTAAAAGGCATCAGAATATTTAGTGAAAAAAAATTATAATTGGAATAGATTATTCCAATATTGTTTGATTTATATGAGCATGAAATTTGATGTAGTTGATTGTTCCACAATGCCCAAAAAATATTAATAATAGGAAGTTCCAGCTGCCTTTGTGTCATTTAAGTCCCGGCTTGGTGCTGCAATAGCTTTACACATTCAACAAGGAACAAATCCCACAGAATGGGTCACCGAGAGGGCTCCGGAGCCTCAAGACGTTCACTGGCCCTTCTTTTCTTCATCTTTTACCTTATTTTCTTCATCT